GATTCAAAAAATTAAAAATATTTCAAAACATAAAGTCTAATAACATTTTTATTTAAATTTGTTTAATTTGCTTCTCATCTTGTTCATCTTGATCATTATCTTGTTCATTTTCTTTGTTATCATTATCATTTTGAATAATTTTAATTCTTCTAATAATACTTTTAACTAAATCAATTAAAGTATCAATTTTAAAAGTTGAATATTCATTTGAATTTTCCAATCTAAAACAAAACATGTAATTACCAAATATAAAATAATAAATTACATTTAATAATTTGTTTGAATTATTTTCACCTATTTGATTTAATAATAAATCTTCAATATTTTCTTTTTTAATAGTTAAATTGGAATTATTTGTAAAATTTAATTTAATTTTTTCATATTGATATCTCCAACTTTTAATTTGTTTTTTATCATGTATTGATAATATCATACCATTATTATACATTTCAAAATTTAAACTCTTTTTCATTTTATCATCAATTTCATTCAGAATATATTTTTGAATAAATTCTTCTTCTTCTTTTTTAAATGTATTATTACTATTAGAATTAGAATTATTATTACTATTATTAGTATCATTATTATTAGTAGTATTATTAGTATCATTATTATTAGAATCATTACTAGTAGTAGTATTAATTGTTAAATTATTATCATTTTCATTATTAATAGAAATATGATGAAATTGTTCAATATTAATATAAATAGTAGGTTTTGTATTTTTAGAATTATTTTCATAAGATGGTTGTAATTTTAAATGTATAATTAAATTATCAAATTCATTAGTACCAATTTCATATTTAGAAACATCCCATTCAAATGGTACTTCCATTTCAATTGGATAATTATTTAATTCACTTAATTCTTTCCATCCATCACTATTTTTAGTATCATTACTATTATTAGAAATATTTAAACCTGATAATTTAGTATTTGATAATGTACCTCTTGGAGCATGTTTAAGAAATGAATTATAACTTTGAAGTGAAAGTGATTTTAATCTTAATGGACCTTCTAAAATTGTAATTTCAAATATAATATTACCTGTTTCTACATTTTGTAAATTTAATTTATATTCTCTTGGTTTATTTACTAGAAAATATAAATCTTCTTTTGTTAATGTAAATATTACATCACCCATTGCTATTATCATATTTATATTTAAATATTTAAATAATATATTTAATATAATATATTTAAATAATATATATTTAATAATATAATTTTAATAAAATTTTTAAATAAAATAATATATACATACGATCATCTTTAGTTAATCTATCCCAATCATAAACATAAAAATGTATTAATAAATTATCCATTTCATTTAATATTTCAAATTGAAATTCATCATTCCATATTGGATTTAACTATTTAAATATAAATATAAATATAAAATAAATAATTAAATATAAATAATTGAATACAAATAAAACATACAGTTTTCATTTGAGTTGTAGTTCTTAAAAAACCACCAACTAAACCACCAGGTAAAACTTTTTCATTTGAAACTTCAACTAAATGTCTAAATGAACTCAATTTAAAATCTTTTAATCTTTGTTTAAAATCTATTATTGTATAGGGATCACTTTATTACGTTATTTTATTGTAATAGATATATTGTATTATTATATATTGTGTTGTATAGATAGTTGTATAATAGTTATAATAATTATATTGTAAAGTAAATAATGATATTAGTAAATAGAGGTATTATAATTACCTTTTACCATTAGCATCTGCTATTATTAAATCCTCTCCTCTAATAATTTTAATTACTAGTATATCTCCTGGCATGAGAGTAAATATTTCATGTTGTTGTTGTTGTTTATTTGACATTTTTTTATTAAATGAAATTTGAAAGGAAATGAAATTGAATCTGTCACACACTGATTTCATAATGAACTTTCACTGATTTAATTTACAACGTATCATCACCATTCGTACAATATATTTATATGTTATGATGATATGGTTTCAAAGATATATGATTGCTAATGGAATAATAATATTATTGTTTCCTATGAGAGAGGAGTGTGATAACATATTTGATTAACTAAGGCTTTTAAAAAATGATTCACTTGATTGTTAATGTATTCACTTGATGATGAATGTAATATATTAATACTATTTAAATAATAATAACAAAGTTTATATGATGATCTTCTCTTCATATATTATTGTTTTTGTTGATTTCTAAAGGCTTGTTTAATTTCTTCACGTTGTTTAACTCCATGCATTATTATTTGTTCTACCATACGTTCCGATAATAATTTCATTTCATTATTCTATTTATTTATAATATTATTATTTAATATTTATTATATTCAATCATCATATTTAATTATTATTTAGAATTGTAAAATACATACTTTTAATTCAACTTGTTTACGAAGAAAATCAGCAACAGTCATGGATTTATCATCTTCATTGTATTGATAATTAGCAGAGAGAATAACAGATGGATGTTCTTCCATCATCATTTGAGTCATATTATTATTATTTGGTTTCTTTTGATGAAGAGGAGTGAATGACATTTTTTTATTCTTATTTTTTAACAATAATTTTTGGCGGCATTTTTAAACATCTTTTTATGTTTGTCAATTCGCTAATTGATCTTTTCAATTTTAAAGAGACTGTTTATCAATGATTTAATATTGTAAACAAATACAATTTAAATATAATCCAATCAATAGATCTCTTCATTTGTTTTCCACAATAAACCCATACCTCTATCAAGTGTCAGTTATCAAACAAGACAGACAACAAGTTTCAAAGCCTTTAAAAAAATTTACATCATTTCTATTGAGAGAGAGGCTGTGTTTTTAATTTTACTTTGTACTTTATCAACACTATTCACTACTTGTAACAATATAATACTATAATAATAATGGCAGAATCTGATGATTCAATTTCATTATCATCTGATGGAGGAGATGAAGAATATGATGATCTTTCAGAAATGTCAGATTCATCGGGTGATGATATGGATGCTACTTTTGAAGAATTGAGTGCTTCTATGGGATTAGATTTACCACCTACTCATAAACCACCACCAATTCCATCTACTAGCAAACCACCTGATCATCATCATCATCACTTCATAAAAATCAAAATTCTATTGATGATAATACTACAACAAATACTGATGATCAAACTACATCAAATAATGAATATTATGATGATGAAGAAGAAGATGAAGATGATACTAGTACTACAGGTGTTAATATGAGTGTGAGTCAAACTAGTACTGATTCACCTCTTAAACAAGTTTCTGATGATAATAGTAATAATAATAATAATGGAACATCAACACCTCCTCCAATTCCTCAAAAACCTAGACGAATCTCTACTAAACCATCTACTACTACTTTAAATAGTACAACTACTTCTCCATCATCATCATTAGGTGGTGCAATTACTTCCGCTACTGGTACTGGTACTAATGGTGTTGCTTCTACTACTTCTCATGATGGTAAAACAAAAACAAACAAATCATCCTCTTCAAGTCCAACACAAAAGAAACCACCTAAACCATCAGTACCAAGTGAACCTAAAGTAATAGATGATGGACAATTTAGATATACACATGTACCACCACATCGTCTTGTCTATACTATTGAAACACAAGTTAGAATGTTAAATAATGATGAAGTATCATATGATGATGAATTAAAAAGCTATGAAGAAAGAAGTGAAAATTTAATGGAATCTAATATTGAACCATTTGTTGGTCAATTACCATTACCACCTAATTGTAATTTATTTAAACAAGCATTGAGATTTAAAGGACAATTAGAAGAATTAAATAATTTAAATTCACAAATGAATCAATTACATCCACACATATATCGAAAATCATCAAATACTAAAAATAGAAAACATTCTGTCATGTCAAATCCAAGTGGTGGTACAAGATCAAGAAAACAATCAATCAAATCATCTTCAATTAATAATAATTCATCATCATCATCATCAATACCATATGGTGCTATTAGACACGTACATCCTGTTAAAGATCCATTTCCAGAAGATATTGCTGGTAAAGGTGTTCCAATTAGAATTGGTTTATCTAAACTATTAAATAATAATAACAATAACAATACTAATAACAATAATAATGGTGATAATAAGAAAGAAATAGAAGAAGAATTATTCAAATTACCTCCAGAGTTGAACAAATTACCAGATATTCCATTCCCACCATACAATTCAGTTCAATTATCTACAAATTCAATGAATTATGTATATGAAGATCATTGGAAAGTTGAAAATTCAAGACCACTCATTCAATCCACTTTAATATCTCCTGATCTTGTTAATAATACTAATAATACCAATAATACTAATAGTAATACTAATACTACAAATAATATAATAGATAGAAGTAAATGGAGAACACGTGTATTAAACAAATATCCAGTAACACAAGAATTATCAGAGAGATTATATCCACTGTGGAGAACATTAAGTTTTGGTGAATTATTTAATGCAGGTAGAAAGGATGTTCGTAAGAAATTGAATGATGATCACATTACTAATATAATATTACAACATTTACATTTTGAAGGATTGAAGGAAACTAAAAAATCCTTGGAAGAAGAGAGTGGTAAGAAATATATTGGTATCGATATTGATCAAAGTTTATTGTATGCATTGTGTAAGGAGGCTATTAAAAAATCTGAAAAGTTAATGGATACAATAATTTCAGATAAATATTCAAGTGCCTATCTACAAAAGAATAAGAATCAAATAATGAAAGAATTAGATGAACAATTGAGTGAATTAGGTATAACAAATGATGAATTTGGTAAAAGAGATGAAGATGTTAATATTTGGAAAGAACCTGAAAGACAAAATGAAATTGTTGAATTTGATCCTGTTAGTAAATTTGAACAATTTCAAGCAGGTTCATTAAATAGAATAATTGAAAGATTAACAATACCAACACAAGATCAATCTTTTATTGATGTATTTTTACATACTTATATGGCAATTGCTTCACCTGAATTAGTTTTAGGTAAATTATTTCAACGTTTCAAAGTACCTTCTACATTTACACCTGACGTTAAAAATGGTATTCAATCTGCTGTTATTAGAGTTTTATTAATTTGGATTGAAAATCATTTTCATCATTTCACTAATAACATGTTACAAAAATTACAATCATTTTTAGATGAACAAGTTTTAATTCATGCTAAATTAAATAAGAGTAGAAAGAAAATTAATGAAATTATAACTCAAATGTCTAAATTATCAAATATTAATACTTTTTCATTTAATAATAATAATAATAATAATATGAATAATAATATGAATAATAATATGAATATGAATAATAGTGGAATTGGAATGGGAGGTGGAGGTGGAATTAGTAGAAATGTGAATAGTTCTGATAAAATACCTGAACCAATCATACCATGGAATAAAATCTTTGCCAGTGATTTATGTATTGAAGATATAGATGGTGAAGAGATGGCAAGACAATTATGTTTATATGAATTTGATATGTATTATTCTATAAAATCAGAGGAATTATTAAATCAAGCATGGAGAAAACCCAAATTAAAACATCGATCACCTAATGTATTAAATATGATGAATTTCTTTGATAATATTAGTATGTGGGTTGCATCATTAATATGTAGAGGACAAACAACCTATGCTAGAAAACATACTTATAAAATGTTAATTATAGTATGTGATCAATTGAGAAAGATGAATAATTTTAATACATTGAGAGCAATTTTAAGTGGATTTGAAAATGGTGCAGTTAAAAGATTAAAGGATACAAGAAGTGAACTTGGTCAAAAATCTAAAGATACTGAAAATTTATTAAAACAATTAATGAGTGAAGAAAATAATTATAAGAAATATAAAGAAGTTTTAAAAACTTCATCATTTCCAGCTATACCATATTTAGGTGTACATTTACAAGATTTACAATATATTGAAGAAAATCATAATGATTATGTTAAAAATACAAATAGAAATGGTGTTGAATTAATTAATTGGATTAAGAGAGAATCTTTATTTGAAGTTATTAAGGAAATTAAACATTTCCAAAATCCAATTGGTTACAAATTTGTTAAAGTTTTTCAAATTCAAGAATTAATTAGAACAATGCCATTCAAAGCATCAACAAATCATAATTTAATGATTCATAGTTATAAGGCTGAACCACCACCAGGTGCATCTGCTAATTTCTTTGTTGGTTAAATTTATTATTATTATTATTATTATTGTATCAGAAATGTTTGAAATTGTTGTATTTTTAATAAAAGTTATTAAATTTTTGATTGGGTACGATTTTATTGTTGGATTGAAACAAAGGCTTGTTTTACATTTTCCATTTTAAAGTTGAAAATTAAATCAATAAATAAAGCATCAAAAAAATGTCAGACTCCCATGCACCGGATTTAATTCAATGCAAATGTGGAGCATTGGCTCAACTTCGTGTAACTAAAAAGGGTGATAATATGGGAAGAGAATATTGGGCATGTGCAAGAAATTTTGGTGATCGAGAAAGATGTAATTTTTTCAAGTGGAGTGATAATGGTGTCAAACCAAAGCCTTCGAATAATAATTTTAATAATAATAATAATAATACTCCGAATAGATTTATACCACCACCTTCATCATTTGTAAATAATAGTGCATCATCATCATCGTCTTCCACTTTTGTACAGGCTTCATCATCAACTATCGGATCCAATAATACTAACAATAATAATAATACTAACAATGATGATGATATTGGAGCACCATTGTGTCCCAAACATCAAATTACGTGTGTACAGAAAAGAGTTGTTAAAGAAGGTAATAACAAGGGTAAATTATTTTGGTGTTGTAATATAGAACATGGTTGTTATTTTGAATGGTGTAAAGAAGGAACCAAAGTAGCAGATTATTTATTAAATCCAGAGATTCAAAATAGACCACTCTATAGTTCAACCTATTCATCTAAGAATACACTTGGAGTTCATTATCCAATTAGTTTACAATTAGTAGGAAGTAATATTCTTCAACAAGCAATGAAACAACAAAAAGATAGACATGAAACTTTAGTATTTAATAATGCAAATTATGATTGTGTTTTAGTAACATTTCCAAAATTAGGATTTATTATGGATAAATTATTAAGATCACTTAAAGAATTATTTGATAACAAGATTACAAAATTAAATGATTTGGAATATTTATTTCCATTAGATCAACATGAAACTTTAAGAACATTTTTACTTGATGTTAAAATTGATGGTGCTTCTATTCAAGTTCAAGATTTTCCAGAAATTGTTAAATTAATAATTAATAATTATCCACAAATTGATATTTCTAAAACTGATCAATTATGTAATGAATTGGATTTGGCACATAAATTTCCAAAACAAGTTTGGACTAAATTAAGACCATTTCAAAAACAAGGTATTTCATTTGCTGTTAAAAGAGAAGGAAGAGTTCTTTTAGGTGATGAAATGGTAGGTTTTTTTATTTATTTATTTTTTTAATATTTAATATATTTATTTTTAATAATTTTAATACTATATTTAAATATAATTTATTTTAATATTTAATATTTAATATTATTTATTTTTAATAATAATATGTAATAGGGAGTTGGTAAAACACTTCAAGGATTATCAACCATGTATTATTTTAAACAAGATTGGCCATTATTAATAATATGTCCAAGTTCACTTAAACATAATTGGGGAAAGGAAATTGAAGAATGGTTTATAACAAGTGAAAGAGGACATACAGATATTACAATGGAAAAGATTAAAATAATTTCACATGGTAAACAAATACCTGATAATTATATTAATATAGTTTCATATACAATGGCAGCTAATATGTTAGAAAGTCAACCATGTAATAATGATGGTGGTGGTGGTGGTGCAATTTTAAATGGTATTAAATTTAATTGTATCATTTGTGATGAGTCGCATTATCTTAAAAATTCATCAACAAAGAGAAGTTCACACATTGTACCATTTCTAAAACAAGCTAAAAGATTAGTAATGATAACAGGTACACCTGCTCTATCACGTCCAGTTGAAGTTTATCCACAATTAAATTTATTATTGGATGATAAATTTACATTTACAAGAAGTGCATTCACCTATAGATATTGTGATGCTAAAGAAACACAATTTGGTCTTGATGATAAAGGTAGTTCAAATGTATTAGAATTAAATTATCTACTCTCAAGAACTGTAATGATTAGAAGAAGGAAGGAAACAGTTTTATCAGAATTACCTGAAAAACAAAGACAACGTGTTTTATTAAGTGTAAAACCAAGTGATTTAAAACAATTAGAATTTTCAGCTGAGAGAATGAAAAGAGCAATTGAAAAGATGAAAACAGCCATCACATCAGAAGAACATAATCAATCTAATTTTGATAAGAATAGTGAAATATTTAGAATGTATACAATGACAGGTAAAGCTAAATTACCTGCTGTTAAAGAATATATTCAAGATATGATTGAAAATACAGGTGATTTAAAATTTTTAGTATTTGCCTATCATAAAGAAGTAATGGATGGAATTGAAGAATGTGTTGCATTGGAATTGGCTAAATTTTATAATTTAAAAGGTCAGAAAAAGAAATCTAAAGATTTACAAAAAAAAATGAGAGGTGATTATTATATTAGAATTGATGGATCAACTGATTCAAATAGAAGACAAAATTTAGTTAATACATTTAGAACTAATGGTCATTGTAGAGTTGCCATTCTATCAATTAAAGCTGCAGGTGTTGGATATACAATGACACCATGTAGTACTGTTTTATTTGCTGAATTATATTGGACTCCAAGTGATTTAAGACAAGCTGAAGATAGAGTACATCGTATGGGTCAAACTAATGCTGTCTCTATTAAATATTTATTAGGAAAGGATACTTTTGATGAATATTTATGGCCTCTCTTACAAAAAAAATTAGAAGTTGTTGGTAAATCTGTAGATGGTGAATCACATGTTGATAGAAATGTTGATCAAGTTATATTTGATAGAACTAATACCTATGATGATAATGATAATGATGAGGATGAATATAATGAGGAGGATGGAAGTTATGCTGGTGGAGCATCATCAGCATATTATCAAGATATGAAAGAAAGAGACTATCTTGATGAAGATGAAGAAGAGGAATATTATGAAGAATTGGAAAAGAAGAAACAAAAACTCAAATCATCACCATCAGTTAAGGAAAGAGAATCACCCAAGCTATCTCAATCTAATCGAAGTAATAGTAATACTACTAATCGTGGTAGTAATAGTCGTAGTGTTGGAAGTAGTAGTAGTACTCAAAGTCATCATGCCAATGAAGAAGATATTAGAAAAGTAGTTCCTCCACCAAATAGTACTGCAACAGACTTTTTAAAAGGATTTTTATGTACAAAGAATGGTAAATTACCACCAAATATAATATTAATGAGAGATGATAATAATAATAGTAATACTAAAATATTTAATACTAGTAGTAGCACTCAAAAGAAGGAATATACTTATAACAAATCATTTAGAGATACTAATAATAATACTAAAAATAATAATACTAAAAAAAGACATTTAGATGATGAAGAGGAAGAGGATGATATGAAAGTTAATTCAGATGATGATGATGATGATATTACTTTTGGAACTCCAAAGAAGAATAATTCTTCAATTACTCAAAAGACAAGTCCTTTCTTTTCAAAGTTAAAATCATCTTCACTACTACCAAATACTAGTAATCTCAAACAAAAACTTCCAAATAATAATAGCAGTAGTAGTAGTAGTAGTAGCAACAATATCACTACCATTAGTAATGAAAGTAATAGTGGATTAAATGATGATTTTATGCAAGATGAACAAGAAGAGAAAGTTAATTCATCATCATTTCTCAATCTATCTAATGCATTTAAAAGAACTCAATCAGATTCAATTCAATCAACTAAATTTGTTACACCATCTAAATTTATATTACCCAACAATAAGACATTACCACCTAAATTATTATCAACTTCATCTCAAATTCCATCAATACCAAGTCCAGTAGGAAATACTAATACTAATAATACTACTACTAATATTACTAATAATACTTCACCACCACCAAACTTTAATTTATCAAAAACATCACCACCACCATCAACACCACCCAATCATAATAATAATAATAATAGATTAACTAATATTACACCAGAAAACAAACCTTCAGAACTTGAACAATTATTAGCTAAATTTTCATTTCAAGGAAGTGCTTCTATTTCTCCATTTGCTAAGAGAACTCCTCCAACCAAATCAAAGACTACTACTACTACAACAATTAACAATACCATCAACAATACACCTCTTTCCATTTCTAATAATAATAATATTAATAATATTGGTAGTAGTTCTTCAAATGTTAATAGTACTACTTCTTTATCAACACCCAAATTTATTCCACCAACTTTCAAATCACCAATAACTACAATTAATAGACCATCATCTTCAAATAGTTCTCATAGCTCAGCAGCAGTATCATCATTTACTCAACATAAATCACCTCCAACATTTCTACCTCCAAAGAAACCTTCAATTGAACCTGAACCTAAAAAGTTAAAGCTTGATTCTATTACACCAAAAACAGAAAACAACTCTTTAGATATTGATGACTCTGACTTTATACTTGATGATATTCTTCCTGATATTCTATAAATGTAAATAAAATATTAAACTTAATTTGATTTATTTGCCTTTATTCAATATTCTGGTAATTTATGTGGTGCTTACTTGCTCAATGTGCATATGACATGATTTCTCTCCAATTTTAATTGAACAATATCTTTATCAAACACATAAATTGTAACATTGAATATCTGAACTCAAAAACTGTGTTGATTTTAATGCCAACTTACATCCAATAACAAGATGGTTTGTAATGGTTATGGATATTTTATAACAACGAAATTTTTATTGTCGTTATGGGTCAAAGTTGGTACAATAACAAAGTTGGTATCCCATTAAAAAGCGGAGTGTATACACAGATCATATCTTATGACAAAATAACTAACTCTCACTTAGAGTGTTGAACTTCCCACTGATGATTTGTGCAGTATAAGCTTCTAAAGCGGTCATTAGTTATATTCACAAATAGTTAGTAACCACACTTAGAGTTAGTAAATACGAGTATTTTCAAACACACTGTAACTTGCAGTACCAATTAGTTTACAAACTCTAAGTTATTGATATTTTAGTGCCAATCCAAGCGATATTCTTACTTACTGTTGAATTCGCGAATTATTTATTAATAGCTTACCAACCAAATACATCATTATCAAAGACCCGTGTACTAATATTTTACATCCAAATGTGATTGAGTTAAATCTTATAAGATCTTACCTGAAGTGATATTTGTTCATATGCATTAGAAAAGACAACGAAAAGGAGGAAGAATCAGAATAAAGCGATATTAACAAACTCAAATATACAAAAGAAAAGTGATGGGTGTATAGCTAGAGCTCTCTATGTAGTGTGTAGACATGAAAAAACTACCCATAACACTTTTGGATCTTTCAGAAGTAACAAGATACAGTATTTTTGAGCTGGGAAGAAAATACAAGGAAATTGATAAAGATTTGGAAACTTTATGTGATAATGACTAATGAATTTTCTGAAATATTCATCTGAAAATGTTTGCTGGCAATGAAGGGTTTGGCATTCCATTTGATGATGGTGACTATGATAATAACAACAAATCTACATTATTTGTTTGTGATACGGGCAACAATAGAGTTGTCAAACTAAATCCAATCGACGGCACACTTGTTTCTACATTCTCATCAATAGGTATTGTTAAATTGATAGATCCTCTGTCCCTAGCTTTCAATGATGTTGGTGAATGTTTCATCACAACCTGCAACACAGTATTGTGCATTCGGGATGATGAATTAGGCAAGATATTCACAGTTGAGGAGGAGGTAAACTCTAAAATATGGCTGAACATTACCATTGATAGAGACTTTATCATCATCTCTTGCAAGGCTAGTAACACTCTTGTCGTGAGGCACAGCATTCTCAAAAATATCAAGACTAAAAACAGATATCAATTTGAGGATGAGAATTATTAGGGTTGCTATGAAAGAATGTTTAGTAGATTCAGGGAGACCTGCTCTTTTACTTGCATTACAATCATGCTCGATTGATATGAAATTATCAGAAGTTGCGAGATCTACACATGTAGGAGAGGCTACAACAAGAGAAAGGTTTAACGAGCTCAATTCTCCATCGAATAATAATAATAGTATCTGAAACAAAAACTGAGGAAGCCATCGAAATGAAATGGAGTTTTGTCAATTCAACACATTGTTGATGTAATTCTAATAGTTTTACTGTAATCATTTACCTCCATGTAAAAGATCTATTGGAATTTATTGAATCTCCAATAATTTTATTTTATGGTTTCCTTCATATAATAAATATAATTAATTCTTTGATTTAACATGTACCATATATCTAATTTTAACTTGATCTATGTTATAAACAATGTATTCATTGTAACTTAATGGGAATGACCAATATCTTTGAGTTAGAGCAATAGGTGGTTTTGGATTACTAGTGATTGAACCTAATGGAATATGTACACCATCATATTGTACGAATGGTTCATCTGGAGAGGGACCAACTTCACCGACACCCATTGTAGAATCGAATCCATCCTTTGCTTGATCCATATATTCAGCAGAATAGGTCTTGTATGGATTACCAATACAAACTTCACATAATAATAATAGTGCATGTGTTTCATTGGTTGAAGAATCTCTCTCAGCTCTACAATATCCAAATGATTTTGAAAACATATCTGCACAATAAATACCCTTACCAAACATGTATCCACTTGCAGGTGCTTCTTTTGGTGCAATTAATAAACCTTTTGAAAGAATTGAAAGGAAATTAGAAATTGGACTACCATGCCATAATAACATTCTATGACAATTCTTATTGGATTCTTCTTGTTTTGATAGGAATGATTCATATCTTTGAGATTCACCCTTTCTATTAACTCTAAATATATTAACAGTATCAACAGAACAAGCATGTCTATTTGTATGTTGAATATATCTATTAATAATTGAAAATTCTTCATCTGTTGATTGTAATGATGCTAATTGTGTATCTAAACCATGATAAGTATAATCTAATGGATTCATTTTAGGTAAATTAAAAGTAGCAGCTAATAAAATACGTGCAGCTGTTCTTAATTCAATTAAATCTTCAAGTGATTTCATCTTTTCTAAAACATCATTCTCTCTATCAATTGATTTTATAGCACAATTAACAAAATTTCTATGTGGAATTAATGAATAAAATTCATTTGATAAATCTGCAATTTGATTTAATTTAACTAGAATTTCAGATGCAGGTAATTGTACTGTATGATCATTAGTTTCCTTAATTAATTTTAATATATCACCTAATATTTGATATCCTTTCTTTAATCTATCTTTAGATAATTTACCTAAACTAAAATATTCATCTGAAATACCTAATCTAATTAAATCTTTTCTTAATAAAGTAATATCACAAACTAATTTCATTAAATTATAAATAGGTGTTGGTAATTTAGATTGTACAGATTTAGATAAATCAATAGGTTGAAGTGGATCTCTAACTTTTCTCTTACTAATATCAACAACTTTATACTTTTTAGTCTTTTCTTCAAATTCTTTACCCCATTCATTACCTGTTTTAGATTTAAATATCTTTTTAAATTCAGATATACATTCATCTTTAGATTGGAATGGTGTTGTTTGATATTGTCCTTCTTCACCTACTCTACCATATCTATTTAATAGTACATATAAATTTTGATCTTGATTATATCCAATTTGTAATATATAAAAATTATTATATCCACTTGTACCATATTTAACATCTGTCTTGTTTAATATAGTATGATAATATTTAATATCATTGTTATCATTGTTATTATCATTGTTATTATCAGTATTATCAGTATTATTATCATTGTTATCATCCTTATTAGAAGTAGTAGAAGTAGTAGTAGAATCATCAATTAAAACTTTACAATTCTTCAATTTACAATGTTTATCCATTTTAGGAATTCTTTCCTTCTTTTCTTCTTCAGTTTCAGGTCTAGTTAATTCTTCCTTTTCAAAATCTTCAAGTGCTTGTGAAGCATCCTTTTCAACATTTACATTTATATGTGGAATTGTAAATGTATTCATATATTCAATTAATGATTTAATTTCAGATTGTGAAGATTCTCTTAATTTTTCATCAATTTTACTTTCATTAGGTTGTAATATTTTAGTATAGGTACCATTAGTTTGTCTTAAAGAATAATAAAGTGGTGATTTACCATTTAAATCTTGATGTAAAATATCAGATTTAGATTTAACTAATTCCTTTACAATTTCAATATTTTGAATATAACCAAATAAATTAATACCAATAGCATAATGTAATGCAATTCTCTTATCATTATCTTCAATATTAACATTAATAGTAGGTGATGTTAATAAAACTTTAACAATTTCTGTTATATTTTCAATAGTAGCATAATGTAATGGTGTTCTATTTAAATGTCTATCTTTAACATTAGTATTAACACCATGTGTTATTAATACTTTAACTGCTAATTTATCTCTATTTAAAACAGAGAAATGAAGTGCTGTTCTACCATATTTACCTTCTTGAATATCAATATTAGCATTAGATCCAATTAATGATTCAATAATTGAATAAATTGCATCTGTTGAAGATGTTGAAGATGAATAGGATGATCTATATTTCATATGAGTTGTATCAGTACCATTTTTACATGCATAATGTAGTGCAGATCTCTTATATTTTGAATCTAATGTATTTGGAGAGGCACCATGTTTCAATAATAATGAAACTAATTCTGCATTTGAATTAATTGAAGCATAATGGAGTGGTGTTCTTCCTTTAACTTTATCAGTTAAATTCAAATTTAAAGAACGACGTAATAACATTTTAGTAATAGTAATAGCCCATGTATCTTTCCATTCACGTGATGAATCTGAATTCTTTGCAACTAAATGCATAACATTTTGACCATCTGAATTTAAATCATTCAATAATAAATCATTACGTGTCTTTCTAATTAATTTTTGTACTAGACTATATTGATGTGTTTCTAAAGCATCTGAAATTACTTGTGTTGGTTTAATATTAGGTTCTTGCATAATTAAATAAGCTAATCCCATATAAGATCTAGAAAGTGCATATTTAAACATTGTACATGAATCTAATTGCTTATTTTTAACTTGTTCATAAATTGAAACTTGTTCTTCTTGTGAAATTTCAATTGGTTCTTCTTCAATTGATTCAGATGTGGATGATTTCATTGGTTTAGAATTATAATTTGAATCATCTGAATCATATGAATCTTCATCAGATTCTTCAACTTCAGATTCTTCATCTTCATCATCTTCATCATCTGAATCTTTAACTGTTGATGCACCAATAACATGTTTAGATTTTTTGATTGATTGAACCTTTTCAGCTTGTAATTGTTCTCTCAATTGTTGTCTAATAGATTTAATATTAATTGATAATTGATCATAAATTGGAGCATGAACATCACCTCCCTTATTAATTAAAGTAACAACAAAATCAACACGTGAAGATAATAATGCTAAATTAGTTGGAGTATTACCATCTTCATCTTTACGATTCAATTCTGCACCTCTTTGAATTAGGAAAATACTACTTATAGTTGCACCACTAATAGCAGCATAATGTAATGGTGAACGTCCATATTTATCTGTAATATCAGTTTCAATACCTTCAAAATTACACATATCTGATACTAATTCAATTGGATCATTACTACTTGTATTATTATATCTACTATTATAATTGTAATTATAAGAATTACCACCACTTGAAATAGGATTATATTGAATATTTGTAAATGAATAAAAGAATGGACTTCTACCAATTGAATCTTTAACATTCAATTCAGCACCATATTTCAATAAATATTTAACTGCATGAATCATTCCTTCATTTTGACTTGTTGCAGAAACAGCTAAATGAAGTGGTGTAATACCTTTGAAATCTTTAGCATTAACATTTAATCTATATTTTGAAACAAATGCTTTGATTAATTGATCTGATTGTCTTGCAATTGCATAGTGCATTGGTGTATATCCAATACATTCATTATTTGGATATGATTTAACTCTCATTTTACCTGTATGAACATCTTTAACTTTAACTTTTGATTTGTATGGAATATGTTCAATTACTGCATTTTTAAGTGATGTTTTAGTTAATGAAAGATACTTGTCGAGGAATTCTAAAAATCTATCAACAGATTGTGATGTTGGAATTTCTCTCTTCTTTCTCTTATTACCATAATAATCAATTTCATATGGTTCACCATCTGAATCTAAATCTTCAACTGTTGCTGATGCTGTTGCTTCTGTTGTTGTTGAAGAAGATGATGATGCTACTGCTGATGCTCTACTAGTTGGGAATGTTGCACCAAATATACCAGGAGTAGAAGTGGAGTACTTGTTGTTACTTCTTCTTCATCTTCTTCCATTGTAGTTGTAAGAATAGATTTAAATAAAGCCTTCTTAGATTTAGAAGGAGTAGCTTCAGAATCATCAATGAATGAATCATTAATCATTGCTGATTCATGTTCTGCTGCTTCTTCTTCATCATCTGAAGATGCTGATGAATGTGAATGAATACTTTCATCATCTTCCATCATTGATTTATCAACCATTGTTGAATCATCAAGTTTACTTGTTTCAGAATGTTCTTCATCTGAAATATCTTCTTCATCATCATCTTCATCTTCATGATCTTCCATTTCTTCATCTGAATCATTATTTGATTTTCTCATTAAAATATCCTTCTTCTTCTTTGTAAATTTCTTCTTCTTTTCTGGTTCACTCACATCAAAAATGTTATCAAAAACAGATTCTTGAATTGTTTTAGCAGAGACAGGGAATGGTGTTGCTTCACCATCTGAATCTTCAGCAAGTTCATGTTGTTGTGAATAATTTGAAGGAGTGAATGCATGAATCATGGCCATTAATGGTGTTTTACCTGATCCATCAATAGTATTAGCCATTTTATAGAATAATTGTTCAGAATCTGTAATATTATCATTATTATCATTGATAGATTGTACATTGGAAATGGTAGATGTATTGAGATGATCTTCATCTTCATCTATCATACTACCACCACCACTACTACCAATACTACTACTACTAGTTGTATTATTTGTATTATTAATATTATTAATATTATTAGAATAAATCTTCTTATTAGTAACCATATTATCATAAATAACCATAAATAATCTATTTAAATCTCTTTGATGAACTTGTTTTAAAACCAAATGTAAAATATTTTCTTCATGTTTTTGACATCTAACTTTTGAACCTTGTTCTAATAGGAATTTAATCATTTTAATATTTGAATGATTAAATGCCTTCATGAGTGGTGTAATACCATTTGCATCAATATCATCATAATGTAATTTAGATTCAATAAATAATTTAGCTAATTCAATATCATATTTAGATTGATAACCTGTAATATAATGGAATAGAGAAGTATCATTTGGTCCCTTAATAGTTAAATCAATTCTATCCTTCTTTTCTTTTATCAAATATTTAATTTGATTAAAATTTTGTTCATCTAATTTTGACATTAATTTATGAATTAATGTATAACCTTCTGAATCTTTTAAATTTAAATCAACTAATTTATCATTTAAAATAAATTCAGTTATACCATAATGTGATTTTAACATTGCAATATTCAATGGTGAATATTTCCATGAATTTAATGCATGTAAATCAGCACCTGCAACTAAAAGTAATTTAACAATTTCAAACCAACCATAAGCAACTGCATAATGAATAACAGAATTACCAGCTGAATCCTTATGATTTGGATCCATTCCCTTTTCTAATAAATATTTTACAATATCATAATATCCATTCATAGCTGCATACATTAATAATGATTTCTTTCTGGTACATAATTTTTCAATTTTAGCACCCTTTTCAATTAATACTTTCATTAATTCTAAATTACCTCTTTTACAAGCTGACATGAGTGGTGTTTCTTTTAATTTAGCTGCTAAATCAACATTTGTACCACATTCAATTAATTTTTTACAAACATCAATTTGATTATACCATGCTGCTAAATGTAATGGTGAATATCCAAATTTATCCTTAATACTACCATTCTTGGAATCTTTTGGACATAGAATTTCAATATTTTGTGAATGACCATATTTAGCAGCATAATGAAGTGGTGTTCTTTTTTGAGAATCCTTTTCAATAATATTTGAACCCTTCTCTAATAAATATTTGATATTATCACTTGTAGAAGAACAGGCAGCAAAATGAATTGGTCTTCTCTGATATCTATCAAGAACAGCACATCCATCTGAATTACCTTCAACTAATTCCTTTAAATATTTTGTATTTGGATTTAAAGCAGAACAATGAACAGGTGTAACATCATTAGCAATTGCCTTCTTTGTAATTGAAACACTCTTATAGGAAGTAAAATCAGATGAACCATCTTTTTCTAAACTTTCAACATGTAAATGATTTAAACCAAATCCATCTTGTTCATTCAATTTCTTTGCTAAATGTAATGCAATTGGAACATTACCAGATTCAATAGCAGCATAAAAAACATCTTCACCAAATGTAGATAATCCCTTCTTTACAATTAAATAATCAATAGTTTCAATTTTAACATCTCTACATGTAACACTTCTCTTAATAGCATCTTGTATTAATGCGTAACTATTATATGAATTAAAAGTTGAATAATCTTCTGAATCTTTAGCAAATGCAACATCAATACCTTCACGTCCACCACGTGAAACATTAACATTTCTAACTGCACGTCCATAAGTTCTCTTTGATGCAAATCCAGTTTCAATTGTTTGAATTGAATGTGATTGTGAAACACGTGAACGAGAAATACCTGTAGTACTATTAATTTCATCAAATATTAAATCTAATGCCTTAATATCATTTGAACGTATAGCATAATCAATTATATTCCAATCATTATCAATTGATCTTTGAATGAATGGATTATTAACATGTTTTTCATCTTGTAATACCTTCTTTAACAATTCATAATTATTTGTTTGTAATGCACGAAAACCTTCCTTACTAGTTCTAACAGGTGAAACAAATGTATTCAATTCATTTGATGTATCAATAAATGGATCATCATTACATTTCTTAATAGCTTTCAATATATCATCATCTAATTGACACATGCCAGGTTTAATCTTTTTAGGCTTTTTAGTTTTAGTTGATGATGATGATTTGGAAGTCTTTCTCTTCTTCTTCTTCTTTTCTTGTTCACTATCACCTTCAGAAGTATGAAGATCTTCATCATCATCATCCTTTTTCTTCTTCTTCTTTTTGGAAGTGGTGGATTTTTTAGTTTCCTTCTTTGGCTTTTTTTCCTTCTTTTTAGTGGCAGCTTTCTTCTTCTTTTTCTTTTTATCATCATTATCACTTTCACTTTCAGATTCTTCAGATTCTTCCTCTTCAGCTGAAAGTTCAACTTTTTTACCTCTCTTCTTTGAAAGTTTTTCTAATTTGGCCTTTCTCTTTTGTGTTGCAATAGAAACACGAGGAGCATATTTTGGTTCTTCTTCTTCTTCATCATCCTTTTCTTCCTTTTCCTCCTCCTTTTCATCATGTTCTTCTTCCTCAGCATCACTAGTAGAAGTGGTGGTAGTAGTAGCAGATTTGTCCTTAGGTTTAATTGCTTTATGGATAATACGCTTAGCAGTTTCTTTAGATTTTCTAGTAGGTCTCTCTGATTTAACACTAGTATTTTCCTTCTTGTTGTCATTTTCCTTTTTTTGATCATCATTAGAAACATTAACTTCTTCAGTAGGTGGTGTACTACTAGTAGCAACTGAAGATGATGATGGAATTGTTGATGTTTGTTGTTGTTGTTGTTGATCAGTCATTTCTTCATCTGAATGTTCTTCAGGTTCAATGACAACTTGTTTAACTTTTTTAGGTCTACCTCTAGTCATCTTTTTCACACTCCTCTCTGTATTTTAATATTATACACAAATTATATATTTGTTATTGTTACAGCTGCAAGTGGTGTGTTTGATCAAAAAAACAACTGTTGTGTGATACAATTTGCAACAATGTGATTGATGCGATAATAAATTAGATTTTGTTTTTTTTTGATTAGATTTTGAAGTTTGGCGCCACTTTATTAAAAGCGTTAATGAATTTTCCAGTGAAAAGTCTCAGCAAGGTTGCAAGAGCTAAATGGCCGCATGAGGTGAGCTTCAAGGAGAAGGTGGAGATATTGCAAAGATTACAATGAAACTTTTGATGTGAAGAAATTAAGCGGCCAGGTTGAAGATTGCACACCATCGGACCATTATTTATTTCACTGTTATGATGATGGATGAACTTGCATTATGACTATTTACTTCTTCTCATAGGAATTATTCTGAAACGAACTTGTTGTTCACAAACACTTTTTAATGGCTTATCAATAGCTAATAATTTTATTTATCATTATAATTACATTATTATTAGAAAGTATCAAATATGTTATGAAAATAGACTATTATTAAAAAATGTCTTCATCATCTGATAACAACAGTAGTAGTGAATCATCAACAACAACTTCGGAGATTGAATCATCCTCGTCTTCATCTTTATCAACAACTACATCAACAACAACTGATAATAATAAACAAATATATAGAACATGGATTAAAAAACAACAAGTACCATTAGGATGTTCAATATTACAATTATTTGTTAAAGAGAATGATATAATAGAAATTAATCAACCATTATTTGAATATAAAGTATATAATGTAAATCATAATGGTGTTATTGGTGATAGAGTTGGTGTATTCTTAGCAAGTATTTATAAAAATTTAAAGAATAATTCATTGTGCAAGGCTAAAATTGTTAAAATTTTAATGTCTAATCAGTCTGATTTAATTTCACAAACAAATCCATATCATATTACACAAGAAAATCAAAGAATTGTTTTACATATTCAATATATTGATACAAGTGTTAAAGAAGAAATTACAAATCAAGATTTTGAACCACAAGTGCCAACTTATACTTTATTATAAAATTATTTTTTATTTTATTAATTTTATTTTTAATAATTTATTTATTTTTAATTAAAATAGATTGACCTGACATTTCAATATTTTTATAACATTTAAAAATATTAATATTTGAATTTTTAAATAATTTAAATTCCCATGTATTTTCTAAATTATTTTTAAAATTTTCAATTGTATTTTTTTTAAATACATATTTAGTAATAATTTTATAACTTGAACGATTTTTTCTTGTTTGTTTATGAAGAGGTTGACAACAATTAATTACTATAAATGTATTATTATATTCAGTTACACAAATTAAATCTCTATAAAAACAAATTTCATTTAAATAATCTTCATTAACATTTTCTTTAATTGTAAATTCTAATTTTCCTTTTTTAGTATTATTTAATTTATTAAATTCTAAAATATAAATATCATCATCAATTACAATATCACTAGGTTTACCTAAACTTCCTTTTTTAATACAAATTAATTCTTTAACATGTTTTTTTTGATAATATATTGTTTTATAATAATTTAAATTTAATATTTCATTATTATTACCATTTATATTATTATTAGAATTATTAGATAATTCATTTGATGATTTAATTGATTCAGTAAATTCTTCCAATGATAATTGTTTTTTACTATTATTATTTGTATTAATATTATTATTATTATTATTGGTTGTATTGTTAATATTTTTTGAATTATTATTTGATGATTTTAATTTTTTTCTATTTAATTGTTTTGATTGTTTTGAAAAAGTTAAATAACAATGATATCTCCATAATTCATTATCTATTGACATTTCATACCATCTTTTACATACACTACTAACACTTGTAGATAAATCACTTGGTGTTAGATAGGAATAAATTTTATAAATACACAATTCATCTAATTGCATTTTTTTTTAAATGATATGAACTTTGGAAGTGCTAATTTGAAATTGATTGTAATCATGTTTTATTGGTGTTTTTCTCCAGTTTAGAAAAAATTGTTTTGATTTTAAGATTGATTCTCTTCAAATGATTGAAAATTAAAATGTGTTCAAATTAACAATAAAATATTCTTTTACAAAATTATTATTAATCATCAATACTTTATTTATACAAATCACTCTAAATGATGATGAATTAAGAAAATAAAAAAAAAATGGCTACTAAGGCAAAGTTAAATCGTCCTTTCAGTGTTTTTGTTCATAGTGAGCAAGATATGAATCAGTGTGATGAGGTATATATTGCTGATACAGAAAATCATTGTATTAGAAAAATAATTAATGGTAATATTATTACTATTGCAGGTACAGGTGAAGCAGGATTTAATGGTGATAATATTAAGGCAACACAAGCTACAATTAATAAACCTGTATGTGTTATTGTTAATCATAGGAATGGAAATGTATATTTCTCAGATTTGGGAAATAATAGAATTAGAAAAATTGATAATAATGGAATAATATCAACCATTGTTGGATGTGGAGATTATGGACTTGTAGGTGATGGTAATTTAGCAATTAATTCTTTTTTAAATTCACCACGTGGAATATGTTTATCAAATGATGGAAATTATTTATATATTGCTGATAGAGATAATCATGCAATTAGAAAAGTTTCATTAAATGATGATGATGATAATGGTTTAATAGAAACTATTGTAGGAAATGGTTCAAGTGGAGAAAGTGAAAATGGTTCATTAGCCTTAAATTCACAAATTAACTGTCCATATGGAATTGCAATATCAAAAGATGATGAATTATACTTTTCAGAATTTTCTAATCATACCATAAGAAAGATTGATAAAAATGGTAAATTATGGAAAGTTGCAGGTATTGATGGTAAGAATGGTAATAATGAATATGATCATCATGCTTTTAACAATTTACTCAATTACCCTGCTTATATTTGTTTTGATAATAATAATAATTTATATATTGCAGATAGAGATAATAATTCAATTAGAAAAATTGATTTAAAAACAGGATTAATTAATACAGCAGTGGTCAAAGAATTAAATTCACCACTTGGTTGTTTTGTAACAATTAATAATATATTATATATTGCTGATACTGATAATCATCAAATTAAAATGATAGATTTAAATAATGAAATAATTACAATAACAGCAGGAACAGGTGAAGAAGGATACAGTGGAGATTATATACTTCCAACAAATTTAAATATTTAACCATTTAATTTAAATATATTGACAATAAGAGGATTAGAAAACATTTTAAATGTTTGTGATAAAACTGTTGTTGAAATTCTATAAAATTTTCGAGTTTCTTTTTTTTTGAAATTGCAATAGAGATTATTCCTCTTTAAATTTCTATTTTCTTGTCATTTCCTCATCATCAATTTCTTCCAAATCTTCTTCTTCTTCCTTATCACTGTTAAGTGAATCTAAATCATCTGATAATCTTGTACTTGAATCATCATTATCTGTTTTTGAAATATTCTTCTTCGTTCCTTCTTCATTATCATTATTATCATTATTATCATCTCTATTATCATCTCTATTATCATTCCTATCCTTATCATCCTTATCATCCTTATTATCATTCTTATTTAATAAATTAATTGATTTTAAAATATGATAATGTTTAAAACATTCTAAATGATTATTTCTTTTTAACCATGGTTTATAAAATTCCTTTCTAATAGATTTACGTGAATGTTGAATTGGATCTGGATATTTCATTAATTGATACATTTCAGAATTAGTTTGATCAAACATTTCAAAAAGTAAATCAATAAAAAAAGGATTATATAAACCAGTACGTGTCATTCTATGAATTTTAAATATTTCAATTGCTTGTTCAACATTTTCAATAATTTTCTTTTTTAATAAATAATAACAAATTACAAAACCAGTTCTATTTAAACCATGTGTACAATGAATTAAAATATATTTAGTAGGATTATTAGAAATATATAAATCAATATCATTTACAATTGTATCCATTTGTTCTGTAAATAATTTTACATTTAAATTCTTATTTAAATCATGAATATTCATATAATATGATAAATATTTCATATTTAAAGGTAAATCATTCTTTTTATAAAATTCAACACAACATAAATCAATTATTAATCCAATATCTTGTTCATATTTGGTATTAAAATGTTCTTGTATTAATGAAATGGATGAATTATTTGGATATTTAAAATATTGTGGACTTAATGGACATTTAAGTGGAATAAATTTAGTATTGGGTATTAATTCTCCAAATAAGGGTGTTACTTGTGGCCAACCTTTGGGAATTTTACGATACTTCTTAGAATTGGAAAAATAATTTCTAATTACATTTTGACTTGAATTATTTAAATTATTATCTAAATTATTATTATCTAAATTATTATTATTTAAATTATTATTTAAATTATTATCTAAATTATTATTATTGGTGGAAGAGGAGGTGGTAGTATTATTATTATTATTATCATTGGTGGTATTTAAATTATCTGATGATGATGATGTATTTGAAGATGATAGTTGATTAATATAATCTGTTACATTCCGTATGGCAAATGGATATTTTGAAATATAATTTTCATTATTATAATAGTTTCCTCCTCCTGTTGAATATGATGATGATGATGTATTAGTATTGTTATTAGATGATCCATTATTATCATCATTAGATGATGAATTTGTACTATTATTTGTGTAAGAAGAAGAATCGGAGTAGTTTTGATATTTTTGTTTCTTGTAATTTCGTCTCCTATATGATGATGATCCACTTCTTGAATTTCCATAATTATTATAACCACCATCATGATGGTATGATCTCTTTTCACTACTACTACGATGATGATGACTATTATTACTATCACTCATGATGATGAAATAGTTCTTTTAGTGTAACGGCTTTTTTTTGAATATTTTGAATCTAATAGACTCTCCTGAGATATCGAGATTACAAGTTAGGAGCCGAATTATTCTAGTGTAGGGAGTAGTTTGATGTACTTTAATCTAGTTGTTATCTTAGAGTCATTTTGTATTATTTATAAGAACATCAGTTGTTTGTTGTATGAAGAGAATGATTTTCAAAGCCTAAAAAAAGAAGTAACATAATGGAGGGTATCAAGTTTTCAGTCTCACAACTAGATTCCTTGAAGCAATTTGTAAAGGTTTGTTGTATTTATATATTTCATTTCATTATAAGCGTAACTAATATAATAATAGTATATTAAATACAATCCTAGAGTTTTGGATGATAGTGAAGAGTTAGCTTTCTTTAAGGATTTTCTGATTAATGATTGTGGAGCAACCAAATTCGTTTCAACTCCTTTTGTAAATAATGTATCATCACCTTCATCATCAACAATAATTAATTCATCATCGGAACAAGAACAATTCAAAGAGGAACTACAAGAAGAAGAGGAACCTGAAGGATTTTTAATTAAGGAAGTAAAAACTAAATCACTGATTTTGGAAATTGATGATCAACAAGTCACTAATGATAAAAAGGAGAACAAACCTCCAGTTGAGGAAAAGAATGTAATGAAGGAAATGACCAATGTTAGAGAGTCTACGGCAATTAATAATGGTTATGTAGAGGAAACTTCTAACTCACCAAAGATTCCTCTCATTTCTGAACCAACAGCAACTAAGGAGAAAATAATTGAACCTGAAAAGGAGACTGTACTCACAAACAGTGATTCAAAATATATGAGTATAATGAACATGTCAGATTCAACATCAAATGTAAAGGAAAAGGATATGAAAGTGGCCAATGAATGTACAAAGAAAGGAAATGACCTTTTCAAAAAGAATGAATATCAATTAGCTGCAATTTATTATGGAAAAGCAATTGAATGTTCAAATGGAGAATCTGCAATGACATTTATTAAGAGAGCTGAATGTTTAGCAATGATGAACAAACCATTGAGTGTGAGGAGAGATTGTGATCAAGCAATTAAACTCAATCCAGATGCTGGAAAAGCTTACAATTTGAGAGGAAAAGCTTTATTAGCTCTTGGGAAGGTTGATTTGGCAAAGAAGGATTTGGAAATGTTTAAACAGTTAAATAGTGATATTTCTAATATGGATAAGGTTGATAAATTAATTGATCAAATTAATGATATCAGAAGTGTGGAAAAGAAGGAGGAAAACCCAACTACTACTACTTCTAATACAGCTACTACTAAACAAAGTACTCCACCCCAACAACAACAATCAAGCACAACCTATTCACAAACAACTCAAAAATCTTCTACAACATCATCTTCCACTAGTTCAAATAGTTCTTCTAAACCAACCAATAGTAACAGTTCTAATAATGGTAGTGCTTCCACATCTGGACATGTCCCAAACTTTGTCAATCCACATGTAATGAAACTTGTTTCTGGAGATGAATATTTAATGAGAGGATTTCAAAATCCAAGACTTGTAAATGCAATTAATGAAATTGCTATGAATCCATCAGCCTTCTTGAAATATAATCATGACATTGAGGTTGTAACAATGTTTAAAAAGTTTACAGAAATTATAGGAAAGGCAAATAAATAAGTATTTATTCTGATAGGCTTAAACTTTCATCTTAAACTCTCGTGTGTGTTTTAATCGTTCTAACGTAGCACCCAAGTTGCTTTGTATGTCCTTTTCAATGATAGAGGTGAATGTGGAGGTAAAATAAAATAATACTCTTGAATTTCGTCTTGTTGCTGCTGTTTCTAAAAGACTCTCTTTGCTCCATTGGACTATCTTTGAATCCTCTATCACGCCTATCTCCCCGAACCATTTCTTCAAATTTGTTTTAGAATTTTTCGAGATTGAAACCTCATATTTTGAAAATGTTGAGAAAAAATCTCGATTGACCTCTTTTAGCTTTTCAAAAACTTCTCTTTCGTCCACCATTTCTCTTATTTCCTGTATCTTTTCATGTAAAACGACATTTTCAAAAGTCAGCTCTCTTTTTGCATATTGCTTCAACAATTCAAACAAACGTGGAATGATGAGCACTTCATTCAATGAAGCATTTGATATTTTCCTGAAATTATTAATAAACTCTATCGCACAAGCTAATCCTCCCATTGAGAAAATAAAAAAAATTGGTTGTAGAACAATAACATTAACCTGCCAGATAACGCTGAAGGGTGTCAGAATAAATCCAAAAGATAGGTTAACCACAACAGTCAAAAAGGCACTCAAATACTCCTTTCTTAAGTGGAGCGGATCATCAAAATCAAAAAAGTTGATAATTGATTTTCTCCTCTTAATATGCAAACAAAATTGAATAAAAGGTATTACATATTGCAATAAAATATTCATAATAAAAAAAAAAATTATAATAGCAATAATAACAATACGTCTATCTTTGAGGTTGAGAAAAATCGGACATGCCATTCCAAAGAAGGCCAATAATATAAACCCAATAAATAACAACTCTGAGGTAAATATTTTCCAAAGCCTAATGGTAAATCTGTTTACCACTTTTTCAAGATATTCAGTTAAATTGACTAAAATACTGTTTCTTAATACTACAGGAGTGTATAATGAGAATAAAATCAATAAAATTTCATAGTCACCTAAACCAGACTCAAACAGTCCATAATTTTGATTATATTTGAACTTGAAATAAATTTGATAAATTCTCAAACATAACATTAAAAATGGAAAAACACAAGGTGTATATAATCTCATTTTCGTTGACCTTTTCTTGATACATATTAAGCCTAAACAAAAAAATATGATATTCAATGCTAATGAAACAAAATAACAAACTGTTACATCAATTCTCAGTTTCACTGATTGACCAAAAACAAAGCAATAATAGTTTGTGCATTCAATATCAACTCCTTTGTTAAAGTTAGAAGGACCCGATACCATATAATTATTTCCTTTGCCATACCAACTATCAGATATTTTGTATAAAACAAAATCATTTCCAATCGTAATATCAGACGCGCTTTCAATGTTTGTAATGATGGGGCTTATAATTGGAAGTCCAGATTCATCTATCTCATTAAACTTGTTAATTCCCCATCCGTACACATTGTTAACAGCTTTTACAAAACACATTTGATCACCACAATACATTCTTTCTGCATTTTCCACAGATATTTTTGTTGGTATTCCAATACAAATACTAGAAATACCTGTTCCTAGAAGAGATTGTTCATTATAACCCCAAGAATAAACATGTCCCTTTGATGTTACTTCATAACTGGTTGAATCTCCTGCACAAATACTAATAATGGTAAAATCATTATTATCGATTGAGATAAGGATTGGACGCTCGATGAATGCTTTAGGATTTGATGCACAGGCACCCTTAATATTCCCTCCCTCTCCATATTGATTTTTACCCCAAAAATACAATCTTTTCATATCTTGTGAAACTGCAAGATTGTGACTGTGGCCACAGGATATACTTTTGATTTTGTCATTATTGGGAAAAACAACTACAGTTGGTGTCTTCTTAATAGCGTCGGCGAGTGTTCCCCATTCATAAACCTTACCATCAGTACTAAGGGCTAGTGAATGTGAATAACCCCCACATGCATCTAAAATATTTTCTAGAACAAAATTATGAACAGTTGGATGGAGAATGTCAGAATTCTTCCCATTTCCTAATTGATATTGGTTTCCTCTACCCCATAAATATAGTCTATTTGAAGCGGAGATACCAAGTGCAAACTTTCCTTTTGTTGGTCTCAGTTTTCTCAATATTGGCATCACACCTTCAGAGGGATTCATCTTAATAATCTTTGGATTGGTTAAGGAATCGTCTTGTGAAGGGTTTTCTCTCCAGAATAAAAAGTGGTCATCCATTCTTCCCCACCCATCTTTTAAATATATATAGTCAAAGTAACATTTGGAAAACTTACATAACGTATTTTGATTTGTATATTCTATTATCCAATTAGTGTGTTTTGCTACTGATGTGTGTAAATCCTTCTGGCCAGGTTGCAAACATGTTTTCTTTTCATAAGCAGTGGTAGCACTAACCACACCAGTAACTATTTTGGACTTGTCATTAGCTACATAAAATACTGGACTTCCAGAATCACCTGGACAAGAAATACTTTTTTCGTTCCATGCACAAAATTGACCACTACTTTCATTTGGTGTACAATGCAAAAAATTTTCATCAGTAATAGGGCAAGTCTTATAATCTTGAATAATCTCTGTTGTTTTGAACAGTTTTTGTGAATGAGGAGAGTTTTCATTTCTAATACCCCATCCAGCAAAAGTAACGCTCGCACCCACAGTGGGACCATTAGTGTCTAATAAAGCTGGTGAAACTGTACCGTCAAATATTAATTCATTACCAGCTCCAAGATCAACAATTCTTAGATCGGAGAATAAACATTTTCCTTTCGCATCGAATGTAGGTGGCACATACTGATCCCTATGAAAAGGTGTTTTTCTTTGTTGTAATGGAGCGTCCAGAATATTAGAACCAGCACCCACTATAATATCTTCACATTCTTTGGCAAACCAAAAACAATGGGCAGCGGTAAGAATAAAGCGTTCATTCAAAATACTTCCTCCACACAAATCATTTGGTATCTTTAAACTCACAATGAAAGGAATGTGTTCATTTACTGGTTCCCCATTATAAATCTTGAGAGAACCATGAACAATAGAAATGAGAAATGCACAAATCAACCACAAAGTGATTGGTTTCATTTTTTTGACATATGAATGAATGAGAATGAAGACAACAAGAATAAGGAATTGGTATTGTTTTCTTTTTTGCAAACGTTATTAAAAGTATCGGATTTCCTGGTTAAATAGTTATTTACAAGATGGGATTTTTTCTTTTCAATTTGTCATCACGTTTCTCAGAAACGTTATTAATTCTATTGTAAAAAATGTCCAAACAACAAACCATTGATGAGCATCTTAAAGACATTCATATTAGCAAAGAAATAATCAGTACATGTGCCATACTTTCTGATTGTTGTTACTCACAAGACCCTGTTGAACATATTGGCAATTATTCTGGTTGCAATGTAATAGTTGATCAACTTGTTAAATCAACTGACATGAATATTCACCCCTTTCTAATGGCTGAATCATCAGATCCCAAAATTTTGTACGTAGCATTCAAGGGTAGTGAAACTGTTTCAGACATTTTGGCAAATTTAAATTGCTTTCCGACCTCTTTGGAGGAAAGCAATGGATCTTACCATAGAGGCTTTAGTGCAAAAATAAGTGCTATGCAAATGAATTTTTTCATTGATTATTTAGATAAAGGCTACAAGGTAGTATTTTGCGGACATTCAATTGGTAAGTGTTGTCTCCTCCAATGTAAATTATGACATAACTAATTCAGGAGGTTCTCTAGCTGGATTGGCTGCTATTAGAGTGCTCCACTCAAAGCCTAAAAAGAAAGAACATGTCTATTGTGTGGGATTTGGAGCTCCACTTTTTGCATCTAGTGTGGTCAAGGAAGAAATTTCCAAATACTCAAAACAATTTCTATGGTTTCTCTACGAAAAAGATTTGGTACAACCTTGTTTACTAGCACTTCAACAAATAGCAAACTATTCTGAAAAACCTACCAAACACTCATCTCCTATCAAGGTAGATCAAGTTAATTTTGTAAAGTTGTTGGTGGATGGAGTTTCCACTTTTGATACTCTAGTTGACTCGTTTAAACAGATTTCAGATTACGTAAACGATGATTTGTTCACTTTCTCTGGATTATTTTGGAAATTAGTTACAATGGCTACTCCCAAGCTAAAGTCAAACTTCCCGACAATAGCAACCAAAATAATTGAATGGTTAACATACTCAAAGATTGGAGTATTCTATACATTCAGTACTAGTGAAATTGTCTCTTTCAATGTAGATGCGATTAGTGCATCAACAGGTGAGATTACTGATACTACCTTTTTAGAAAGGAGTAAAATGATTAGTTACATCAATGCGTTTCATTCCCTCTTTGTAATATCAACACCCAACCATAGAAAAGTTAAAAGTATGATGTTTGATATTTGTGAGATCGAACCTTGCCTTACAAGAATTGCTTCTATCAATGAAAACAGCAAGATGATTGAGAAACAATTAGGTAAATCTACTTATTTTGTTTCAGATATGAAAGATCGTTCATTTAAAATCCACATTTCAGATAGAAATGGTATTTTCAAAACAATTTTAAATATGACCAGCTCTAAAACCAATATCTCCATTTCAACGCCAGTAATTAACTCTGATAATATATGTTTTACAATCAAATCAGACGAAAAACTTGAGGACAGTATAAGCATTCAGTTTGAGGTGAATTATTGGTTTGGAAAAACATCATTTGTGTTCGCAGTATACTTTGCTAGACCTAGCCCAAATAGTAAACAAGAAGTGGTAGTTTCCAGTATGGATCCAGTTAACCTATTGTTTATGGTTGTGAAGCATCTTCACACTGGCAGATTGTCAAAAAGTTCCTTAAGTTCGGATTACCTAAAAAAGATGCTTGATATTGATTTCACAACTCTTCAAGATGAAGATTTTGATATTGACAAAGGTACACTTTTGATGAAAATAGATAATTTCATTCAAAAGATATCCTCCTCGGAAGACAGCTCACTGCTTTCCTATGCACTGTATGGAATTATTGGCCTAGTTGGATTGGGAGTGGCAGCTTACGGTTCTTTCCATTTGTATAAGTATCTCTCAATAAGTTCAATACCAAGGGCAGGTAATTCACTAAGAGGTGCAAGCGAAAGTATTGGAAAAGGCTTGAGCATAAAGAGTATTCTTACCACCATGTGTGTTGGAATTGGTTCTTCAAGTTATATCAATCTAGCCATCTCTCAAAAACATTCACACACCATCCAATCATATCTTGATCTTTGCAAGAGATTATTCTATTTAACAAAAGAAAATTTGTCACCATTTCAACAACAAATTGTGAATTACCGATTGATAGAAGAAACGATTGAAAAAAATTCATTACATTTGAAAGCAAATGAAAAGAATACTAATGCTGTTACCATGATAAGCCGCTTTAATGAAATCCGAAAGGAACTTACCAAACAAAAAGTCACTATTGCAATTCATGCAGAAAATGATATTGCTGAAGTACTCGTAAATTTCATTCAATTATCACCTCTTGGCGATCTTTGTTCAGTGGATGTTATATCAGACACATCAAGGAAAGTAAAACTGTCCTTTTATGACCTCATTATTTTGATTGTAGAAGAAGATAGAATGTATGAGGAGGAATGGAACATAATGGCTGCCAGTTTGGCTCTCTTAATAGAGGGAGTTGATGATTGTTTGGTATGTGTCAGCAAAAGCCAGTCCAAAATCTTTGATTTTCACTGGAAGCACAAGCTAGAAGCATTCCAATCTAGTCCATCAATGGCAATGGAGATAGATGCGAAACACTTTGGTTCAGATTTTGAAATTATTTATTCCTACATTTTGGACAGATTTTCAGAAGAAACGTGCAACAAGAACAAGTTGTCATTCATTTCCATACAATTCGATTGCGAACAATTTAAACAAAGCTTTAAAGTTCCTCTAAGAAACAAAGGGGACATACTGACTTTTTGCCAAAAATTTAGTAATGTAGATTGTATTTATGATGAATTGTCCATGGATTTATTAAGTGAAAAAGACGAGCTGAAAGCTGGTGGGATGTATGTTGTATCAACAAAAAAACACCACCAAGAAATTTTGCAAAAATTAGCTAAACCTATTTCAATATCAGAAAGCAGCATTAAGTTGTAAATTGAAAATACTTTTCGTTTAATTATTTCTAGTATTCAAAAGTATGGCAAATAAAAATGTCAAAAGTTAATGATGAACTAGATTGTAATGAAATTATTCCACGATTATTTCTCGGAAGTGAAGATGCTGCCTATGCAGATATCAATATATTAAAAGGAGAACCCTATAAATTCACTCATATTTGTGTATGTGGTTTCGGGCTCATTAAGAAACATGAGAAAACATCTCAAATTGAATATTATCATATCAAGGCTGTCGATTTACCAGTTTATAACATTACAAAAGATGTTAAATCATGTGCAGAGTTTATTGACAATGCACTGAATGGAGATGAAAATAATAGAGTACTTGTTCATGTAGGTTTGTTCTGATTAAAATTCAAATAGAAATATATTAACTACAAACAATATCTAAATAATCATCATTGTAATTATATTAAATTATATTAAATTATTATTAAAAGTGTTCAAGAGGAGTGAGTAGAAGTGCCTCCATAGTAACAGCCTACTTGATGTTGAAGAAGGGAATGACATTTGAAGAAGCATACTATGGTAATGTAAAGAAGAAACGTTCCATTGTTTGTCTCAATCAAGGATTTGCAGAACAATTAAAAGGCTTGTAAATTATACTACTAAAGAACCATATGAATATTGTGGTGATGTAATCAAAATTGAAACAAGCCATCCATCACTCTCATTATCACTGTTGTTGGTTTGTCTCATAGCAACGTTGATGATGTTGGTGTACAACAAGCAGATTAATTACCATCATGATACCACAATGAACCCTTTATCCGTAAATCATCATTGATTCCAATATTTCAGCAACAATATTTGCGCAATCAGGCATGTTCACAACAAAATGATTGATGGTGATGAGATTGCCAGTAGGGAACAATTGTGTTTTCTTCCTCTTGTTGCAAAGTTTTTTAGCGGGTTTTTCCAAGTGAAAGAAGAAAACTTTGTTGTTAAAAAAACGAATCACAAAAATATTAGCGAACAAGTTGTTTGCCGCGCTTTTTGATTTTTTCAAAAGTAAAAAAACGATAAAGATTACCATCGCTCCGGTTTTCGTCATCACACAGCAGTAATTTATATAGAGTCATCATCATTTTGAGTCGACACTATAGTAGAAATTTTTATATTTGAGATTATTCAGTCTTTTTGAAAGTATTTGATTTTTCACGTTAAATCGTGTAGTATAATGAAATGATGTTATCAGTTCAAGAAATGGATATCAAGTCAATAGAGGATGCAGCAAACTTATTGATTTCACTCACCAAAAAGAGGAAATTAGAGGAAAGCTATGAGTCATCGGAAGAATACTCATCTAATGAATCATCAGAGGGAGAACACTCAGATGGAGAAGAAGAAGTTTCATATGATGATAATTATAGGAGTAGTACAAGTAGTAGCACCAATAATAATAATAATAATAATATATCGAGAGTGAAGAATGAGAATACTAAAAAACGAAAAACCAAACCATTTAATTCTGGAGATTCTGGTAATTATCTGGTTCAGATTACCAATAGAAAGGGATTTGAAGAAAATACCCTTCTGACCAATATTCTCAATATTGAAATCGATTGGAGAGAAGAAAAGACCATATACATGATTATTGATATTAAATTCAGAGATGAAACCGTACAACAAATTACCACTCATATTGAATCATCCGATGGGAAACTACAATCATGCAAACGTTTCAGAAATTCTGTTGAAACTTTCTATGAACAAACAAGTAGAAAGGGTGGTAAATCTCAAAATGAATTATCCCAAGCTGAAATTTGTTTCCAATTCACAGATAGTTCCTTTACACGAGCCTACTCAAAGAAGGTCAAAGTTGAAAAGAGCAAGAATAATAGAGGAGGTTCAAAACCACACGGATTTGTTGATATCACAGATAGTCTAATTGGAAAGATGGCATTCAGTAGCAATCCATACCCTACAGAAGAGTAGTATTAATCCACTTTTATCATTGATAATTTTCCTTTTCATACCCTTCATACCCAATAATTCCCAAATTTGATTTCATCATGAACCTTCCTCTACAAAAAGTTCCACGCTCTTTATTCAACAACAAACCCTACTACAATCATCATCATCATCTTGTACTTCCTTGTATTGTATCACTTAACTTATATAATAATCTATTGAAGATGAATAAATTATTACTAGGACACTTTATTAAAATGTTCATTTCTCGTGACATGTTGTCCAAAGGAGGTAAAGATTAAATAACACCTACTAAATATTAACATTGGGAATCTAATTATTGAACAACAATTAGCCATTTGTGTTGAAGTTAGTTATGAGAGTTTCAGCAAGGTTGGATAAACGTATGAAAAATAATAGGTATCAACATATAGAAAGAGCTAGTTTTCAGTTACTAACATGAAATCGGGTGTGGTATAGTGGTAGCATTCCAGACTGTCACTCTGGCGACCCGGGTTCAATTCCCGGCACTCGAGATTAATTTTTAGCTTTATCTTTTAGTTTTGAGTATTAATTTTTCAATCATATGAAGAAATATATGTACTATACACAGGTACCAAATTTCAAAATTTCATCTCTTAAAACCATAGAAAGAATAATCTCAGTTTAGACACTTTTTTTTTTCCATGTAATTCTGTTAAATGAGCCAATCTACATATTCACAAATATTCCATTCACAACCCATGGCTGGTAAGAATAGGGGTTCCCGAGTGGTCAAAGGGCAAGCTTCGCTATTTCAAATCCCACCTTCTGCAGATTTTATTTCCATATTTTTCGATTGAAATATATTTCCTAATACGTTTTTATCACAATCTGCAAAGTTGGTATTCAGATGAAAATTTCATCAATTATTCCCCTATGAATATAATATTTATTAACAATTTTTAATTGAATTAATAGAACGGTTTCTGCTATTTCAAAATCTCGAGAATAATAATTGAGAATCTCAAATTGTGTATTCTCACTCATCATCACATTGTAACTCGTGATAATTGTTTCCCTTCAGTTCCATAAATTAAAAAAAATGTCAAACTTTGTTGATCTACCATCCGAGTTGCAAATTGAAATATTTTCCAATCTCTCTGTTAAACATTTAAAAAACATTCTTTCTATTAACAAATCAACTCATGAGCAATTGGTTCAATCAGAAACTTTTTGGAGAACCTTGATCAAGAATTATTCGAAATTGTTAGGAAGTGATTCTAGAGTTGAAAAATCAGTACAAGAATTATTAGAAATTGCAGAAATCAAGAAAAAATTCATTGAATTGATAGAAATGAAAAAGAGAAACACTGAAGAATTCCAAATGACATCTCTGAAATTAAAATACATGTTGAGAGAATTAGAAATGGATCAGAGAGAAATGCAAGCACGAAATGAAAGTGTTTTGCTATTAGGAGGAACCATCAGCGATCAGCTCAATATTGGAATGGAAAGAATGAAACAAGAATGTGAAAATGTGAAAAAGGAAAAGGAAGAAATTGAAGAAAAGTTAAGGAAATTGATTATTGATTAATACAATTTCAAATAAATATTTAACAAAATATCCTTCCATGCCAGAAGAATGAAAAATACAAAATTTATGTACAAGGATTATCTCGTGCTGCATCTTCATTGTCTTCATCATCTTCATTCTTATCGAACATGTACTCGAATGCACAATCTATCTTAACCGTTTTCCATTTAGAACGCAGTGATATATATATGCTTGCAATTGTTTTTCTGTTAATCGTTCACCTTCAGGCAAGTTTTGTCCTTCGAGTTGTTTCAATTCAATTGTTTGTAATGAGATGGCATCACTAATTTCATTTGAACATTTCTTATCTTCCTCAGCAACTAATGTAATTCCAAATTCCTCAACTTGTCTTTTTTTGTTCGTTTCTCCCAAGCTTTTATCAACTATTACATCCTCTTGTTGCTCTCTGTCAAAGTCTCCTTCAAAGTTTAAATGAGTTGAATTAATGTCTTTAAAAAACCAAGGAAGAGTTCCTTTCTTGTTATTACCTGACATTTCGAATAATTATTTCAAATTCTTAAAGTGCGAACAGACAAAGTGGACATTTCAGTTTCCAGCGCCTCTATTGTGCTATGAGTTTGAGAGAAACATTTTTCTCTTTTTTCTCAACTTTAATTATAAATTATATAAAATAATAATTTGTAAATAAAAAACATAAGTATTTTGTTGAATAAATGAATAGTTTAGTATGAATAAGGTTGAAAATTGAATACAATCCAAACATAGGTGAATGATCCAACAATAACACAAAACGAGACAAACATGATAATGATTTGAATAATGAATCCCAACCATTTCTTTTCCTTCTTAATCATACATAAAATTGTAATGAATGCAAATGAAGTGATCAAGTAAGCAATTGTAATGCAAATAAAATAACCTCTTGAAATGGAAATTATTTTGAATGCCATGACAATTCCACACAATCCTTCAAATATAGCAAGTAATATTAAATAACCAATGAGTAGAAATATGGCATTCAATCTATAAACATGTTCTTGATTAACTAAATTGTTGTCACCTGTCTCTTCATTATTCACCTGTTCTTGATTCGAATTGTTTTGAGGAGTATAACTCATGTCAAGTTTAGAATTAAATAAAGTTTGCTTGATGGTGTGTAAGTGCTTTCTCAGTTTTACAGAGATTGTCTCTTTGAAAGTAATCATCTCTTGATTCGATTTCTTCTTTCCATTCTTTTTTTCCTTAATCCATAAAAGTAATTTTTCACCAAGAGTAATTTTAGGAACATTCGAATACAGAGCTCTATAGAATGGCATTATAAATTCCAATAAAGAAAGTAAAAGTAATGAAGAAATCAATGGTTGAAAGAAATTGAAAATATTCCACTTTCCAAATGTCTTTTCATACTTTACAATAATTGGAATTAAATAAAGTAAATGTGATAAAAGTGTTAATACTGAAATAGTTAACATTCTTCCAAGTGATTTCGTATTTCTAATTAAATCTAAAGCAATATCTGCAACATTTTGTAAAATATTGATTAGAATGAGTGGAAGAAATGGTTGAATAAAATATGAATAAACAACACCCAAATCAAATCTCTTCAATTCTATTAGTGAAGTCAATCCTTCAACCATCAATTCACTCACTAGACAATATTCTGAATCGTAATTTAAACAAATATTCGAAAGTTTCATGTTAAATTTTTCACAATTTTCAAAATCCCACATTCCTGTTTTGTAACATAATTCAGGACATGCCAATTCAATGACATGTTTCATATTATCATTCATACTTCTATTTAAATTCGAAACTGTTAGAAACATATTAGATTGAAATATTGATCCTCTCAAATTCAATGATTTTCCATCATAAACAGTACAATTCAATGATTTTCCACATTCATTATAAATAATTGAAGCAGCTCCACAATCAGCTTCATCGACAGTTGACAGAGCAGCAGAAAATAATGAACCACCAATTAATACACAAATAAACATCCATAAACAAGCTAATAAATATACGAAATTAGTTAATTTTCTCTCATTTGAAATTAAAGTAATTAATTGACAGCAAATAATCTTTTTATATTCATCTTTTACTCTTGATGGATATTTTTCAATGAATGAATTATTTCCTAAATTAATAAAAAGAGTTTCTTCTGAATCAGGAGTTTCATGATTATCAGTACTATGAGAATTAGTTTGTGAAAAATTTAGATCGTTATTGGGTGAATTAAGATTTGTTTGTATTTCGTCTTGATTATTCTCATTCCGATCATTATTAGAAAGTAAATGTTGTGATTCACCTTCCTCATTGTTTGACATTTTTTTTAAAGAGATTCTTACAATCTTCCAAAACATTTCCATTTCATATTTTGAAATTGATTTCACACCACCTAATAATATATTTAATTGAATAAAAATTATATTAATTTAATAAAAAAAATGAGTAAACCAAGTAGTGATAATAATAATTTCATCACATTCAGAGCAGCAACGGAACAAGATGGACCACAAATTCTAGAAATGGTCACTCAAATTCTTACTAAATATGGTCTTAAACAAATTCAAGATCCTTCCGATAATATTGATGATGATTTATTAAATATTGAAAAGTATTACTTTACAAATAATGGTTATTTAGAAATAGTTGAATTAAATTCCAATTCTTCATCCATTGAATCAAAAATTATTGCCAGTTGTGGAATTTATAAATTATCCGAAAGTAAATGTGAATTGAGAAAAATGTATTTGAGAGAGGAATATAGAGGAAAGGGATTAGGTAGAAAATTATTGGAAAGAGCCATAGAAAAAGCTAAGGAAATGAATTATAAACAAATGGAATTGGAAACTGCTTCTGTTTTAGTGGAGGCACTTGCATTGTATGAAAAATTTGGATTTTCAAGAGTTATTGATTGTGAGGATAAACATTTATGTTCAAGATGTGATATTATTATGATTAAGGATTTAGTTTAATGAAAAATATTTTCTTTTTTTTATATGTAAATCTTCTTAAAAATGTTATTTTAAAACCAATCATTTAAATCCAAAAAGGAATTGTTCAATCAGCAAAAAAATTTCATGGCTCGCCACGTTACCGTCTCGGGAGGAATCGAACCTCCGTCAATGGATTCAAAGTCCACTATGCTACCATTACACCACGAGACGAGCACATTCATTATAAAAGTATTTCACATTTCACTACCTCTTTCATTTAAGCTTGTATCAAAAAGTCATCTATTGTTGCTTAAAATTATGATGAATTCTTGGAATACATGATAAACAATGTTATGATTCAAATAATTTCAAACTAGGAAAATAATAAAAATTAATGGCGTTTCATTTTAGGTACAATATTTCAATATATTATTGTGATTGAGCTCCACACCAACTTCCAATCAATCCACTAGCAACAGTATATGCAATCAGAGAAATCCATTCTCCAAATTCATCATCCGAAGTAAACATCATCATACCCAAACTATTCAATGTAATTGCACATGTACATCCCAATCCAGTTGGCCATCCGATTCCCCATTCCCATTGATAGGCAGCACTAAAGAAAAAACCCAAAGATGCACTCGTCACTGGACAAATTAGTAATGGAGATTGTTTGAAATATTTACATGCTAATAGGAATGTTGGTGCTGATAAAACAAACCCACAAATTAAACCAAAAAGAAATACATCACTAGACTTGGCGCGAGACATTTTTTATAGTGGATATCCAACCAAATTGAATACTTTCTATCCAAACAAAATTTCAGACGCAGACTGCAGGATTCGAACCTACGAAGGTTTCCCCAACAGATTTCAAGTCTGTCGCCTTAACCACTCGGCCAAGTCTGCTACGAGAGTTGCCTTAAACATCCAAAAATTGTGCAAAGTGGAGAAGAAAAGTTATTGTTGCGGCCTTGTTATTAAAAAATATCATGATGTGAATTGATTGGTTAGAGTACGAATAAGTTCCAATTGTTACATTTTCAAGAATTTAGAAGAATGCTTTTTCTTCCTAATCTGAAGATTTTTTATTAGTTTCGGTAGTATACTAAAATTTTCATCACACACAAAAAGAATGCCTCCAAGAACTGGAAAAAAGCGAGCCACTAAATATGTTGACTATTCATCAGATGAATCCGTCGATTCAGTGTTGAGTGATGTTGATGACTCTGTAACATCATCGGAAGAGAAAGTAAATGAATCACCACAACCACTACGTGCTCCTAAAAAGAAATTAAAAAAGAGTACAGAAGAAAGAATTAAAGAAGTAGTTGGGGATGATTCACAAAATGTTGAAGAAGAGGGAAATGATGATAATATGGTTGATGAGGATGGTGAGCAATCAGTATCTGTTATTGGTATTTTTAATACTAAACGTTTATTGGATGCTAGAAGTAAAAAAGTCAAAAGAATGGATTGGGTAAGTTTTTATTCTAAAGCCTTGATATTAATTGATTTTATTGGATAGGAACAAGGATTTTTCTATTTACCTAAATTTGATTGTTATTTACCTAGACATATTCTCCACATGATACTTGAATATGTTCCTCCATTTCCATACTTTTTAAATATTAGATGTATTTCACAACAGTGGTTAGATGATTTTGATACAGTCATTTGTCAAAATGTGAAGGAACTTGACTTGATTCAAAGAAATGATATCGATTATGAATTAGTGAAATATAATTTCCCTTGGTATGATTCATATTGTGATATTAGAACAAATAATGATTGCATTAGATTATTGGCACTTTTATTCCCAAATGTTGAAAAGTTAATTGTACCAGGTTTTGGTACCAGAGTTAATGTACCAAATAACATGTTGACTCTTTTTCACAAATTACAAACTATGGAGATATTTTATGTTGGCCCACTCACTGTGGATACTCGTAGAAATTATCCTTTAGAAATGAATATCACTTACAGACAAGATATTACAAATATTCAATCCATTACTAATAAGAAATATTTGACTCAATTTAGCTCTATTGTCAAGGCAATGAATATAGATAACTCAACACTTATAACAGTAACAAATTGCCTTATTCCTGAAAATGTAATTAATTTATTCAAATACCTTGTTAAGGAACAACACTTCTCTCTTAAGAGATTGAACATTCTATTATTACCAGGACCTCTTTATAGCAAAGCATTGATTGACTTTATTTTAGAAGAGAATGTAAAACATGTGGAAAGAGGCTATGGTACACCTCTACTTGCTTCTTACTCTCAAATTCTTTATATAGAAAATGATGAAATCATTGATTACATGTATGAAAAACAATTTTTCAAAAATCTACTATCTCCAATGGATATTGATTGGAATATTATTTCTCAAGTATTATCTCGTACTTCCAGTCCTAAAATGTTTAAAATATTATTTGAACAATCTAATTTTCCACTTGTATGTGATGAAGAAATCAATCCATTATTATTGTTCATTAAGAGAAGTAAATCCACTCATCAACCAGAAATTATTGAATTTTTATGTACTCTTAATCCATCTATTATTACATTAGGTGATGTAAAAGGTATTGTGAATGGAGATGAAATGAATTTAAACATTTTACATTCATATTTGACAGGTGCTAGCAATAATGAATACACTATTGATGAAAATATTATTTCATCCTTGATTAAGGCTGGTTGTGATGTCAAGTTTGTTTGTCCAACAACAGGAAATAATCTCATTCATATACATCCTTGTTCTCCATGTAAGTAGTTTATTCTTTTTTTAAATATTTAACACTCCTGATAGCTCTTATTGATGCAGTACCAGTAGAATATTTTCAAATGAAAAATAATAAGGGTTATAATCCTTTAGAACGTTTAATCAAAAGAATTGAAATTGAAAGAAATATTGAGAATAATGAATTATTAACCACAATTGATGCATTTGGAAAAGCGTATTCAAAATATGGTTTATCAATTAATGAATTGAAATTTGAAAAGAATCAAAACTTGCTGCACAAATTAATCAATTTGTGCTCTAAAGCAAGAGGAATAGTTAGCAAATTAATCCAGTTAGGAGTTGATGCTAATGCTATTGATGAAGATGAAAATCTTCCTTTGTTTTACTTTTTAGGTCACTTTAACTCAGATACTGACGTTACAGCACTTATTGACTCAATTTCAGAAGAAACATTGACAAAACGCTATAACAACAAAAGCTTCCTTACCAACGTAATAGAAAGACTCGATTCAGATGAACCAAATTCACATTTCTATTTTGGCTGTGATGAAAAGATTTCTACACTTGATTTACTAGAAAATCTACTTGTTAGAGGATGTAATTTAAATGAGACTCTTTCAGAATTGTCTGATACATATTATGAGAAGGGTAATCTTGATCGCAACAGAGCTTTATTGTTAATGCAACTATTTAATTCTATTATCAATCCAAACTTGGAAAACTTAAGAACAATCTTCAAATATTTTGATAATTTTGAAGATACACTGACCAAGATTTGTATTGTTAAGGGTACTCCCATTTCACCACTCTTATATTTATTATCATTGTGCTCCCATCATAGACATAATTCCCATTCTGATATTCATGAAATCTTCTACTCAGATAATCCTCTCATCCCTGCAAAACTACTGGAAAATATTATTGATATTCCAAACAAAAAAACAGATGCACTCTATTACTCAGTCATTTCAAGCAAATCCTCCGAGGCATTAGATTTTTCATATTTAAAAGGTATTCTTGGTATTAAACTTGATCACTCCCTAACAGCATTTCGGTACCAACCACCAAATTTTACAGATATTGCCACAATTATTGCTTCATTCAGACATGAAGATGAATTTTATGGCAATCTTAATATTGTCCAACTAGCAGTAATTATGGAAACCACTGAAATTCTTAAACAAATTCATCAAATCTTCTCCGATGAATCTTCTCTTAGTATTTTAGATAATCTCTATAGTGAGCCATTCAAAGATGGTACATCCATTTTGGATGAGTTGGCAAAAAGAGGACTTTTTGATGCAGGAAATATGTATATTACCACAAAACAAGAATGGAGTATCAAACATTTTCGGTTAGCATTTGAATCAAACCATTTTAACATTTGTTATTTTATTATTTCTGATAATTCATATACACATGACTTTACAAAGGAAGAGATTTTGCAAATACTAATTGGTGTAATTGTTGAAAGAAAACATAGATTTGGGAATAAGGATGGACAAATTGAAATGGCAGAAACAATTGCATCTCTTTTTTCTGATTTAACTCTTGAGGAGAGGTTTAAGATGTTTAGTACACGTTTCAAGATTGCTATAAACAATGAAGAAAAAATTAAAGACACACCAAACTGTTGCCACAATAATGGTTGGCTAAACATTTTAGAGGAAACTGTGTTTCAAGCCAAGTTAGCTTGGTCCAAACAAAACACTCCAAGGAAACAAAACCACAAGCACCACCACTTCAGTCTATTAGATATATGCTATTGGAAAGGATTAATGTATCTATTGTTTTATATTGTACTTGAAGATACAACAGGAAGAAAGAAAAAGAATATTCTCATTAATTCAGATTTGAGCAAAGATATTTTGATTCCTTGGATTACAACCAAATGTGACGATACAGGAAAAACTCTTATTCACTTTGCATGTCAAAAACCTAATTACTATCCCGACAAAGATGTCATAGTGAAAGATTTGATTAATTATCTTTCAACAGTTAACAGACAAGATGCACTAAATGCTCAAGACAATGAACTGAAAACAGCAGCCTTTTATGCTTTAGAATCACGCAGCTGTGATTTTATTTTCGAAGTAATAGATCTATCTCTAAAAAATAATAAGGGTGAAACTGTTCAAGATCTTATGAGTGATGATAACAAGATTCAGTATGCAAAATTCTTTGAAAAGAAGGAAACATCAAAAAAGGAAACTACCACTCGAAGAAGAAAGAAACAAGAAAGTTTTGATGATACTAGTAGTGATGAAGAAGAGAAACCACGAAAGACACGATCATCAACCAGAAATAAGAAATAGCCAAGTTAAGATAAAAATTATATTATTATTTATCTGAAACTTCTTGAGATGTCTTAAAAATCATCCCTTATATATCTAAGAATTTGTTTTCCCATTGCCAATAAAAAAATTATTACGCTCGCCACGTTTACCGTCTCGGGAGGAATCGAACCTCCGTCAATGGATTCAAAGTCCACTATGCTACCATTACACCACGAGACGAGCACATTCATTATAAAAGTATTTCACATTTACCTACCTCCTCCAATTAAGGTTCTTTTATTTATAAATGATTGAGACAGCATTGACAAAGTCATCAGTTTGCTTAAAATAATTATGCACTTCTATCAATGATTGAACAACTTCATGTTCACACTTTTCAAATAAATCAACTGGTAAAATATCAAGAATCTGATAATCATCTTCCTTATTATTAAACTGATCTATTTGATGAATCAAATCATCATAATTAATTTGATTCATGTTAATTCCCATATCATAATTCATATCCATACATTCTAATAATTCAAATGCAACTTGTTGTTTCATATATTCAACTTCCTTAAGAAACTTTTCATTCTGATTGACTTGTTTCAAAGTAAGAGCATTTGGCTTTTCTATTAATTCGCCTCCCTTTAGAATATCTTGAGTAATTTCGAATGTTCTCATTTGTAATTCCAAGGATCTTTTACAGAGCTGTGAATAATCTCTGGTTTTGGATATGAAATTGAATTGACGTTCTCTACCTGCACTCATACAGAATTTTTCAAACAAAGGTCTTAGGTTTTGACTCTCCATTGTTTCGAATAGTAAAATAGTATTTGCTTTGAAAAGTTTCTTTTCATCTTTGCTTGAACTAATCAACCCAATTAGGAAAATTAAAACAGCAAATGGAATGACAAGGGCTATCGAAGCACAAATCAAAACTAAACATGCAATGAGTGTACTTCTGGCTAAATTATGAGAATCCCAACATAATTGTATCAATTGACCAAGAAAATGATCAAAATTATTCGTATTTTCTTTTTCACTAATAATAAATGCTTCAGATTCTAATAATTTTTGAGCTGCTAACAATTCAGTAGTATTCACTGAATTTGTCATTGATCCAGAATTTGTTGAATTTCTTGATGGTTGTGGATTTACTGGACTAGTTCCATTACCTGTTGGAGGTTGACCACCACCACCTCCTGTACTTGAAGAACTAATCAAATTCAATACAGTTTCCCATAACTTTGAATTAGGTACTGTTGTAAAATTCGAATCAACAATCGAATTTAACATTTTCAATTCATTTGGTGGCAAAATCTTTGTAAAATTTTTCAAATCATTTAACAAAGTTGATTTTGAAGAGGTGTAAAATGATCTGACAACTGAGGAAGGTACATATCCATAGATATTATAGGATACTTCTCTCACTCTAGAACCCATTGTTGTATGCATGTTAGTGGCCTCAGTTACAAGTGACATTACGTCAACAACTTTGACTGATTGATAACTGACATTTGAAGCTATTGATAAACCAATGATTGCTAATAGAGATGCAATATTAAGAAGTAGGGCTAACATGGATAAACAAGAAATACAACTAAATTGAGTTGAACAACAAGTACTTGTTTTTCTATCCAAGCCAAACATTACCTTTTTTAGAAATTTGTTTTTTGATTTGGAAATTTGTGGATGGCTTATTGGTTCTTCTATTTGATTATCTATTGGTTGATTGAATGCCATATCATCGAAAATATCTGCAATTACACTGTCATTGTCATCTTCATGAGGATTTGAGGTGGCATCTGACAGAACTCCACTAATATCTACATTCTTTTCTATCAATTCAATGTTTGTTGTAGATGGAGATATGACATTAAGACTTATTGGCTGTGGACTAGCAGTTGTACTTGATTCTGACATTTTTTTGAGTAGTGACAACAGTTGAACTCCAAGTCTACGAGGACTTATTTGTCCGGCATTATCCATTACTTCGCTTAACGCAGTTATTGATTCCTCTCCACCAACTATCTATTTGTAATAAATTCGGCAACAATCAAATCTAACAAAGTTTAACGTCACTAATCAAATAATTAATAAAGTTAGACTTGCCTAACAGTTTATAGACCTTCTGTTTAAAAAACAAGTTTAATATCTTGTATCAATACCTTTCATGTAGCTCTTTACCAAAATCTTATTATAATTGCCGATTAAGAATTGGATTGCGTCCATGCTTTACATCATTCTGTCATCTCTCAATAATAATGTCATATCAGATGCAAATTATTCTATTAAACAAATTAAAAAACAAAGAAAAAATGTCATCATTTGATAAGATATCTACTCAACCACTTGACAAGTCAACTGCCACCTGTCAACAAGAAGTAAAACCTCCTCAACATATTAAAAGTACAATTACAAGTATCAAGTCACCAAAATCTAATACTACTAAAATATCCAAATCCATAAATAGCAAGTCATTTGTTAGTACCATCCAAATAAGGACATGTTTTGGTACAGTATTAGAATGTGATTGTGTAAGATTATTATTATTATTAGGAATGATAATTAATATTATTTCTTTTATTGTAATTGGAAGTATGACTATTTATTCATATACAGTTGTGAATAAACCAATTATGGAAACTCTAGTTTCGTATAATGATATGAGTTATCAATATCAATTAACAACTAATGATATTAATTTAGGTGTAATTGGTTCACATAATGCAAGTATTCATGATTGGGTAACTAGAAAGGATATATTTAAACAAAGTATTGGAAAATTACTAAATTTGGTAGATTCTGATATTTCCAATACAATTCAAAATGAATATAATATAACTGCTCAGAATATTTCCTTATTAAATTTACATCAAGAAATAGTAGATATATTTTTGGAGGGAAATTTATCAGCTGCTTCTTCATTACTCCTGTCAGCAAATGTGAATTCTGCCATACGTCAATTTGCAAATGGTTGGAATTACATGTTAACTAAAATCAAAGCAAACATTCAAAATAATTTAAATATTTCTCAACAAGCTTCCACTACAAGTTTAACAATTATTGGAGTTTGTTTGTTAATAGCAATTCCAATTGTGGTATTGACATTTACTTTAATGATTAAAAAGGATATTTCAATGAGTAGAAAATTGAGAAAAACACAAATAGTACTAGTTTTGAATACTATGAATGATACACTTTCTAGAAAATCATTTAAAAATTATTTGGTCAATTCAAAAAGTGCAAAATTCCATCATTTATTGGAATTGATTCAAAGATTTAAGGAAATTTCAAATACTTTGGCATATGTTTCCAAGTTGATTGCTAATAACAATAATAGTAGTGTAAATACATCTCTAAATGGTTCACTTAATAGTTTGACTGATGACAGTGACACTTCAAGTATGTCATCATCAATTGTTGATTTGAATACAAGTACTTCAACAAGTTCTATGATTACTTATAATACTTTACAATCAATAGAACAAGAAGAAATTAATTTAAAGCAAGAACTGAATCAGATAGTAATAGAAATTACCAAATTGATTTCTTCTCACAAGGAATATTCGCAACTTTGTAAATTATCAGAAGAATCTATTGGAAAGGTAATTCAACCATCAATATTTGATGAATTGGAAAAGTATCTTGCCGAAAAACTTATTCGAAAACATGACAATTTTAAATCACATCATGATATTCCACTTCAAACAAGATATGAAATGTTGAGAAATTTCAGATTTGACTTTAAAAGACAATACAATAGATTTAAATAAAGGTAATTATTGTAATTGAGTGATGGAAAGGTAATAGAGGTGAAATTTTTCTTTCAGGTTTTGGGGTGAGTAGCTCAGAGGGAGAGCATGGACCTCCAAACGTGTTAATCTCTTACAGGTTACACGGATGCCCCATGGACGTTGGATCGAAACCAACCTCATCTCATTAACTTTTTATTTCCAATTTCATATAAATAATTATTGATATGAAATTGTTGTTTTAATATTTCAAATTAATTTACAAGTAGAAAGCAAAATTTAACAAATCAAAAAGAGCAGAGATTTCTACCGTTGTATAAACTTGCTCACATGACTTGTTTCCAAACATCTCTTGATAAACAGCAATTGTCATTGTTTGCTTAACGATTTTTGAAAACTTTTTGCTTGTCTTCATCTCCTCTTCATCAACTTTGATGTTTGGATTCTGTTTATCCAAAATTGAAATTAATAATTTTGAATAATCAGTTTGACACTTTCTTTGAATAAAGTTCACAATAGCGTCCTTATTCGATGTCTCTTCCTCGTTATTACTATAATACTTTCCCTTGATGTCAGATGCTATCTCCTTAGTGATGGAAATCAACTTGTCATATTGTGATTTAACACTTGTATGTATCTCTTCCAGGTTTGGATAGTAAGCCAAAAACTCTGATGATTCATTACTTCGAACAATTTGCAACATTTTTCTCTTCTTTGATTGAATTTGGGATGGAGAATCTTGAGTTTCTGAATCATCTTCATCATCCTTATTCACTAAATGGGCAAGTGCAACATATTGTGGACTCTTAATCTTGATTCTATTGAAATTGGAATCGCAAACAACAAATCCTTCATATTTGGATGGATCCAAATTTCTGGCTGCATCGAAAACCATTCCTACAGAAGTATAGAGTGGGTAAGATTGTACACATTCCCATTTCATTTGCTCTGCAATTGGTACAGGATCTTCCTCTTTCAATGTTGTTAAATCCCTCACTCCCAATAACACGATTCTATCTCTATCTGGCTTTACAATGATTGTATGTTCATTCGAAAAGAGTTCAAACATGTAAATCTTATTCTCCTTAGGATCTGGGAATTGATAACCCAATTTTTTCCATAAATCCCAAAAGAGTTTGTCAAATGTTCTTTTTTGATTGTGGAGATAGCCATTACCACTGGCAGTTCCTGTTGTTGAAATCCACCACATATCACTTACAAATTTAGAAATTGCAAATATAGCAAGCTACTCACCCATAATAATAAAGTGTACATAAACTTCCATCAATTTTTTCATAAACTCTAGCTTCCTTCCAATTGATATCTTTTGAGGCATTGTACTTTTCTCCATAATTAAAGAACTTTTTGAAAGGATAGCAAACAACCTTATAATTATTATCCTTATCTAAAACTAATCCTCTGCATTCCTGTACAATATCAGTAGAGAATGGACTCTTCAGCATGTCATATTTCAATGAAAATAAATTAGAGAAGTGTGAATGTTTCTTAACTTTCAAATGATAATTTGTTACTAATTTTTCCAATCCCTTCTCACCATTTGATCTCAAAAATCTAACAGTAGCCAATTGAGATGAAACATCATTTTCCTTTGAATCCAATTTTACATTCTTTGACAATTCCGTAACTAGTCTAGAATTCTTTGATTTTGTTGGTTTTTGAACTTCCTCTTCAGAATTTGAATCTTCAGAATCTTCTTCCACAACTGGCTGTTTAGCAATTTGTTTGTTCTTTTTTTCCTCCTTCTTTGATTGTTTCTTTTTATCCTTCTTTGAACTTGATGTAATTGATGATGAATTATTATTCTTTACTTTGGTATTTTCTTCATCATCATTTTCCTTGTTTCGGAGCGATCTTTTAGTCACCATTGTTAATAAATTATTTTGATTGTTGTAGAAAACTCGAGTATGTTGTTGTGATGAAAAGCAAAGCCTTTGATTTTTGCTTATTTTTTTGTAATGAACTTTGTTTAGCATCAAGATGGAAATTTAACTGGGTGAAAAGGTTCAACTCCTAAATTGAGTTTCCAATAATTGTGTCTTTATTTTCTTCCAAGAAAGTGTTAGAAAATCAGAATCCGATAACACTATTGAGGCTAAACTTATTTTTTCCTTAAAAACAAACGAATCATTTTGATACTTTGAGGAACTGACCAAACAGATTGAGAAGCTGCAAGCACGACAAACAAAAAGAAGTCAACCTTATTACCAATTCCATTAATACCATCCCAACCACCATGTTCAACAAAATATTGAAAACAACATTTTCAAGATTGATTCGAATCGAACTCCAACTAACCGGACTCAAGTTTCTCGGAATGTTACATTCAATTAATTTTCTTCATAATTGTTCTTTGAAAAATGTTCGTTAGAGTTTTGCCAAGGTACCACCTCCATTCCTTCTATTACAACAATAATGCAACGAATTAAAAACAACAACAACAGTAATTCATTCAAATCTTCCTACAATCCAATTGAGAGCATCGGAATGTTTTGCATGAACAACAGCAGCAGATGTTGTTACAACTATTGAGGCAACTACAGTTAAAAACCCCTTTCCCGATTGTTGTCTGATTAATTGTACACTCGCCAACAGTAGTAACTGCCACTTTAACAAGTGAAAAACAATGGTACAGAATTGGCAGCTTTTATTTGATTCGGAGTTGAAAGAGCTTTTTAACGAAAATCAAAGCCATCGTTGTATACTCCTGTCAGCTTTCTTCCATGTTGAAAAGGTCTTAATGAAGTTAAAAAAAGATCACATGAATTTCATTCGTGTTCCTATTCAACACACAACATGTAAAGAACGAATTGCAATGACACGTAATTTACAAAATTATGGGAATCTTCACCAAAACTCTTAACCATTCACTTGCCTAGTTTACAATATTGACAATAACAGTTTGGAGAGAAGAACATAATAGTGCTCTTTTGAGGGTTCTTCACTTGTGAAAATCAAGGATTTGAGGAGATACAATCCATTCAAACTGAATAAGGACTGCATTGTGTGAAAGTCCTTAATTATACAAAATTCAAAGCCCGGCAACCTTAACCATTTTTAAGAACAGTAGTCAATTAATATTACTGTGATTTATCAGTGCCTCACCACCACACCAACCATCAGATTAAGGAAATCACAAGTTCTTCATATTCACATTAAACAGAGTAAAATGCAAAATATTATTTGATTCAATTAATTATTGACTAGGGAGAGATATATTCAACAAAGCTCTTAAATCTCATCTTTTCAAATCTGTCAATTTGCATCAAATGAAAATCTATTGTGACGCTTCGCAATTTTTGTTTTCCGTATTTGCATCGAGCTCATTTGAACGCAACTGGTGCCAAGCAAGAGACATGAAAAATCATTCATCACAACTCACAACGTGCCTTTTTTTCACAGCTGTACAATAAGAAGCCAACAAGAAACTCGCAGCAACACGCCGCTAACAAGCCTCTTGTGTGTGAGGAGAGGTCGTGTTGCAGCTGGCAGTGGGTGGAATTGTTCTCAGAGGGTTCATACCTCATTTTCCACTAAAAAAAAACCAACCAACAACATCAGCCAATACTCTCTGTGGTGTGTGGCCTAATAATATATATTGAAAATAACACATTGTCACGACACAATTTACAAAACAATAATACAGCCTTGTTGCTGCAACCTTCCTTGCAAGACACAACAGTTTTTGTGGTAATTGATATTACGAGACTACGTTAAATCATTGTCAACCTTCATATCTGTTGTTGTATCCACACTCGAGACCTCCCTATCAGCATTCGTTATAATATTGTTCTGTCTGACTATTTATTCAACTGTTTTTGAAACAAGCCTTTATCACTACTTTGGATTAACTTGTAAATTCTACCTTCCCTGTACTACTCTACCTTTCAATCACATAACAGTTAATATTGTTGCAATTCTTCACATCAATATTCATCAATTCCTCACTGTCAAATTGACTCGATACATTACTTCATATTCCACCACTACCACTACTCGCACACTACTATTGAACTTTAGTGCAACAACATTTCACACCCTCCTTGCGTTCGTCGTTTAATCAAACTACTTTTTGTACAAATTTGTCATATCACTATTGCTATTGTTGACCTAATTTAGAAAATATTCAACCATCCCTCTCTCCTCTATTACAATATCTTACCTGTATCATATATTTAACCATGACTCATCATTCACCTTCTACTTGTTCACCACAACCAGGCGATAAAGTCTGTTGGAATTGCAAAACAACTCAATCTCCATTATGGAGAAAGTTTTCCCCAACTGTTGAAACACCAGAAGCTTGTACTCCATCCACCCCTTCAACAACATATTTGTGTAATAAGTGTGGTCTCTTCTTTAAGAGAAATAAGAAGCAAAGACCTCTTGAATTAGATGGCATTTCAAGTGGTGATTCATCACCATCAATTATTTCTTCTCCAAAAAAGAAGAAGTCTCAAACCACAACTACTACTACCACCACTGTTGCAACACAACCAAAGAGAAAACAATCAACTTGTGAACTTCCAACCTCTCTTCCTTCACCTCTTCCTTCACCAAAAGTTGAAGAAAAGAAGAAGAGAAAGAGAACTACAACTAATGCATCTGTTTCAAGTTTACCTGCAACCCTTTCTGCATTAGTTGATAAACCTTCCTCTCACAACAACAACAACAACCAACCATTAACTCATCTGTACCACCACAACCACAACATACTTTATCCAACCAATATTTACCACAACCTGCAAAGAGACGTCTTTTGAGTCCACCAGAGAATATTTCCACTCAACCAACTTTAGAAAACTTGTATTCTACCTCTACTCCAATCAATACTTGTAACATAATTACAAATACACCAGTTGGCATCTGCAGTGAAGATTTAGATGCTCTCATTAGTGAACCATCAAAGAAGACTAAACAAGCAAATAATAGCACATACCGCGGTTTTGGTAGTCCAATTATTAGTTCCTACTCAACCAATTCTGCTTTTAACACAACCTCAGCTCCTGCTACTTTTAACACTCCTTTAACTTACTCTGATGCTAATGCCTTAGCACAATTTTTCAACTTGTACTTCCAACAACCTCACCAAACAGTCAATTACTCAACCCCTTCAACACACTTGTATAACACATTCGCTTTTGGAGCTGATATTGCAACTGAATCCACAAATAATACATACCCTCACCATATTGTGGATTGGTACTCTAATGAAAACGAAGCTTGTACAATGAATCCTTTTGGCGATTCTGATTTTTTGAACAATGACCAATTTTTGAGTGAACAAGATTTGTTCGGTGAAGAACCAAACAAAATGTAAATAGCTGTATTATAATAAAGTACACTACAATCACTTTACTTGCTTTTTTGTTTCTTTCTTTGGTTCTGGTGTTTGTCTGTTGGCTTTGGAATTTGAGCGAGGGGTTCTTTGCTTGTGAACTTTTTCAAACTTATTTGGATCAATGTTTTCATTCTCTTTTGGATTCTTTTTTGATTTTTGTTTTGATGGACTGTATGTAACAGTTAAATCTGCAGAATCACTCTTAACTGGAATATCACCTGGTATTTCCATGTGTTGAGAATTTCTTATTGGTGTGATATTATTTGGATTGATATTTCCAGAATGAGCAGCTGCTAACATACTACTTCCCAATTGAGCTATTGATGATCCACTATTTCTGTGCATCAATGAAAGGTTTCTTGTGTAGATTGCAGAACTGTTCAATGGACTTAAAGGTGAAGCAATAAAATTACTGAATGAATTACTTCTCTTTGGTGGTGTTGTAGGGACTGGAATGCTTTTTGTTGGTGTTGTTTCTATAGGTTGTGAACTCGTTGAGGATACAGATGATTCTACAGATCTATTGTTGGCATTTGGTGATGCATTGATACCTAGTAAACTGTGTGCAGTTTCCAAACAATTTCTGCAATCTTCCAATTTAGAGTCAAATACACTAGCACTATCCTCTACCTTTATAATTGTTTCCTTATCATGTTGTTGAATAAATGATGGAAGATCTGTAATATATTTTTCAACTACATTCTTAAAGAATAATTTCAAAATTTTTTCTGACTCCATTAAATCATTTGAAATCAAAATGTCAGTAATTGTCTTTGAGCCTTTTTTAATTGCTCTCCGTATTCTAAGAAAATTATTGTAATTCACACTCCTTCCTAAATTGTTAAAATCTCTCAAAGGATCTACAATATTTAAATTTTTGATCGTAAATGTCTTGGAGGAGTCAACTGTTCCATATTTGGATTTGCATGATTGAAGGAATGAACTCGTGAGAGAGTCGTGTCTTTCAGGTGGTAAATTTTCGTAATAAAAATCTTCAAAATGTTTTAATAATTCCATATAAGTAATTATGCATACCTTCAATACTTTTGTGATCGTTAATAGCTCCTAAAGGTATTGGACCATAAATACTAATACCAAAATTAGTCCAATCAAAGGTACTATAATAATTTAAAAATCTATAAAGTGCCTATAATTAACATTTCATATTTAAAAATGAAATAATAAATTACTCACCTGAAGTGGTGTTTCAATTTTGTACAAACGGAACATATACATTAACAAGACAGTTAATCCATATGTTGATACTAAACCATGATGAGATCCCAGAATTCTGCTTTCATAGTAAGACCATGATTTCATTAAAATGATACTCCTCTTAAATAGATGATTATCAGCAATCTTATCATCAACTTCATGCAAAAAACATAAAGTGGATAAACCTCCAATTTGACCTGATGACATATCAATAGGAATGTTGTTAACCGTACATTTGATTAATTTAACTTCAGCATTAATAAATGTCATATCCTCAATATAAGCAAGATTATTTCTCTGAATTTCTGAAAATAAACTTCTTGCCTTGTTGTACCATGGTATTGATGGGTCTGCTAATTGTTGTTTTAATCCAATATGCATATTCTTTAATAAAACATTATGAACATAAGAAATTGTTGAATCATTAACTTGAGGTTGATGACTTAACAAATTATTTACATTCTGTGATGAAAGCTCCAAGTATTCTTCATTACTCACAAACACACTTAAATCTATATCTCCATCAGGTAAATAAGTTTTAAAAGCTACTGATCCATATAAATATGTCTAATTTAAAATTCATTAATTAAAATGTAAATAAATTTGATATTTACTTTCAGGTTGGCTAACTCTAGCACTGCAGCAATAATATCAAACACTTCTTTTCTGTGTTTTTCAGACTCGGAAGAAGGTTGAATTCTATATAACAATTGTTGAATAAGAGAATTACATCTCCGAAAACAACTTGTTGATTCATCAATAGGTTCGGAAGTTCCTATATGACTATTTAGTCTACAACTAGTACTACTACTATTATTTACAACTTCATTCAATTCAGAAGAATTAATTTCAGAATAATTATTTAATGAAGAAGACAATAATGAAGCTGTAAAATTAGCTTGACTACTTTTTTCATTCTCCCCAGCAGAGAGTAATGCATTATTTTCACTACTATTTTGTTTTGAGGAAGAGCAAGCAGAGGAATCAAAGTGTAAAATTTCTTCTTCTTCTTCTGGTTGATGATGAAGACTTGCACTGTAATTATCCGAATGATTAATTCCTGATGAAAGTACAGCAGAATTTGTCGTAGCTGAACATTTACCTTCTACACTACTTGCATTACTCGATGAGTCCAATGCTGAACAATTTTCCATTGTTGTGGTATTGTTGTTTGTCGTATTGTTCTTATGAGAAGAATTTGGCAACAGCGTATTTTGTTGCATTTTTTACAAACAATTTTCAAAGCCTTTTTCTACTTGATTCTCGGTGAGGTGTTCGTTTATGTGATTCTGATTATCATCTTCCATCATACTTCTCATCATTAGATTAACAAGAATCGAGTTTGGGCTGTTATTATAATCAGCATGATGGTAAAATGGTTGGTAAGATTGCTCCGATTTATTCTGATGGGTAATATGCTGAAATTCATGAAGTGGAACAAAGGCTCATCTCGACTTGGTGTTTCATTCAATAATTCACAATATCATATGGTAGCTTTCTAAAATCCATTATCATCAACCTTTTGTTATTAATCCCTTAATATTTCTTTAAGAATGAATTGGTTCATTAATCTTGATTACCAAGATACAACCTCATTGCCTAAATTAAGAATATATATTAATTATTCATCATTAGGCTTTCTAATCTTCATTGAAGAAAATAACTTCTCTGTTGAATTCAATCACCAAAATTACTTCTATTAATTCTTTCTTTCATGAGCCAAAATTAAATGTAAAACTCAGATTGCTTCCATTGTTCTCTTCTCAACCACCTTGTTTATGATGCGAAGAATCTTGAAGCAAACATTTTTAAAAATAAAATAAAAAATATTTTGTAAATTTTTTTTGACTTGAAAAAATATTCTCATCATCACGGTGCTTTTTGTTGCCTTGCTATTTGCCGAATATTAATCACACCATCATCATATACAAAAGATGCAAGGAAGCACAAGCTGTCTTCTCATCAACGAGAAAAACAATGGTACAACCACTTCTACTTATAAACTCCATCCTTTGGTAATGTTGAATATTTTGGATCATTATCAAAGAGTTGCTTTTAATTCAAAGACTGATATTATTGGATGTTTATTTGGAGAGTTCAGAGAAGGAGGATACTTTGAAATTAAGAATACTATTCCTTTGAAATTTACTGAAAATACTACCGATATTGATGTTTCCTATTACAAAAAGATGGAAAGCCTTCATCATCGTGTCTACTCTAATGATACACTTATAGGTTTCTACACCATTTCAACATCGAAAACAACAGTTGATAAACAAATCTATCAATCTTTCAGTGATAACATCATGAAGAGCCCACTCGTCCTTGATTGTACTATCAATGTTCCACAAGGTAACGAAACAGTCACCGGAAGATTAATAGATTTCAAAGGATACATGAATAGAGAATTGAAATTCAAGGACAAAGTTGTTGGTACATTGTTTGAACAAGTTAGAGTTGAATACATTATGACTGATAATGAAAAGTTGTCAATGAACTACCTCCAAACCAACAAGTATTTGCAAAGCAATATTGTTTTACAACAAACTATCCAACAATTGAAGAAGGATTTGGAAGAAATTGGCAAGTATTTGCAATCTTCGAACAAGAAGAACTTTGAATTGTACCACTTTTTGTTGTCTTCATTCCAACTCTTGAAGCCAGTTGATGACTTTGATAAGACTATTGGTCAACACAACAAGGACTTGCAAATGATTGTCTATTTATCACACCTCTTGCAACAAAACTTGAAGATTAACGAACAATTGACCACCACTTCACACGAGTTGTAAACAAGTAAAAAAATATATTATTTAATAATAATTAATATTTACTATTTGTTCTCATCAAACTGTACATAATATTCAACAATCGCCTTATCGCAATAATAGCTATTTAAAGATTAAACTTTCAATGTAATAATTGAACTCAAAAAAAATGGGTAAACAACAAAAACATAACAATAATAATCGTAAAGCATCTTCTAAAGGACCTAAAATTGATGAGAGTGCTCTTCTTGAACGTATTGAAGAGTACATGGAATCACATGATAAAACATCAATTGGGGAAAAGGAAATATTACCACTCTGTACATACTTGAGAAAATCACATGAAAAGGATTATAAACAAATTCCTTTATTGGATTTTAAAGAAATTTGTCTAGTAGCAATTGATAGACTTCTCGGAGAAGATGAATCATCATCATCGGAAGAAGAACAAATTTCAAAAGAAGAATTAGAAAAGAGAATGCAAAAAGTTGCCAAACTCAAGGAAGTTATTAATAATGAAAAGACTTCAATGAATTACCAATTACAAAATGTCTATAAGGAACAATCAACTAACATTTCTCTTGAAAATAATGAAAATGACTTGAAGAGAAAGAGAGAACAACCAAATTCTTCTTCAACTACTACCAATACTACTCCTTCCAATTCTCAATCTTCTTCCTCTAATAATACTTCTGCTTCATCCAATTCGAATACTGCTTCATCCAGTTCATCATCAAAGGAAGTGAAAGAAGCTCCACCTCAGAAAAAGACCAAATCGGATCCAAGTAGTGGCTCCTCCAAAAAACCAAAGATTATTGTTGAAACACCAAATATTAGATTTAGTGATATTGGAGGTATTGATAATATTTTACAAGATATTCGTGAATTGATTGAATATCCAATTTTGCATCCAGAAATTTACTCAACATTGGGTGTTGAACCACCACGTGGTATTTTACTTCATGGTCCACCTGGTTGTGGTAAAACCATGTTGGCTAATGCAATTGCTGGTGAATTACAAATTCCATTCCTTAAAGTTTCAGCTCCTGAAATTGTTAGTGGTATGAGTGGTGAATCTGAGGCCAAGATTCGTCAAATTTTCCGTGATGCAATTTCCAATGCACCAAGTATTATTTTCATTGACGAAATTGATGCAATTTTAAGTAAGAGAGATAATGCTTCAAAGGAAATGGAAAAACGTATCGTTGCTCAATTGATTACTTGTTTGGATGATTTAACATTGGAAAAAACTGGAGGTAAAACAGTAATTATAATTGGTGCCACAAATAGACCTGATTCATTAGATGATGCTTTGAGAAGAGCTGGAAGATTTGATAGAGAAATTTCACTTGGTATTCCAGATGAGAAGGCCAGAATGAAAATTCTCAACATTCTCACTAGAAAATTAAAATTGGATGGTGGACATGATACTTTTGATTTTAAAACCATTGCACACAATACTCCTGGTTATGTTGGTGCTGATTTGAAAGCTCTTGTTAATGAAGCTGCTATTGCTGCAATTCACAGAATATTTGGTGATATTGTCTTTGGAACTGAGCAACAACAAGGGGATGATCCAATGGCAGTTGATACAGCTGCTTCACCTACTACTCCTGTCACTTCAACTGTTTCACATGATTCACCAGAGGATATTAAGCGTAGAAATATCATTTCTGAAACTCTTCGTTCCATGAAGGAACCATTAACAGAACAACAATTAGCCAATCTTTATGTAACATTTAACGATTTTGAAAAGGCCATTAAGAAGGTTCAACCAAGTGCTAAACGTGAAGGTTTTGCAACAGTTCCAAATGTTACTTGGGATGATATTGGTGCTTTGGAAGAAGTTCGTGAAGAATTGAGAATGGCCATTATGGAACCAATTAAGAATCCAGATCATTATAAGAAACTTGGACTTACAGCTCCAGCTGGTGTTTTACTTTATGGTCCACCTGGTTGTGGTAAGACATTGTTGGCTAAGGCCATTTCAAACGACAGTGGTGCTAACTTTATTTCAATTAAGGGACCTGAACTTTTGAACAAATATGTTGGTGAATCTGAAAGAGCTGTCAGACAAGTTTTCAGTCGTGCTGCTGCTTCATCACCTTGTGTAATTTTCTTTGATGAAATGGATGCCTTGTGTCCAAAGAGAGATAATGAATCTAGCTCACAAAGTTCTGAACGTGTTGTAAATCAATTATTGACTGCCATGGATGGTTTAGAATCGAGAGGAATGGTATTTGTCATTGCAGCAACCAACAGACCTGACATGATCGATTCAGCCATGTTACGTCCAGGTCGTTTGGACAAACTTCTCTACGTTAAATTACCAAACGAACAAGAACGTATCAGTGTCTTGAAAACCATTGCTAGAAAGACACCTCTTGCTTCAGATGTAAACTTGGAAGAAATTGCCAAATTGTGTGAAAACTTTTCAGGCGCTGATTTGGCTGCTTTGGTTAGAGAAGCTGCAACATCATGTTTGAAAGAACATTTATTGAAAGGAAGATCTAATACTAATACTCCAAATAAGGCAATTGGTGAAATGATTGTAACGAGAGAACATTTCAAGATTGCCTTAAAGAAGATTCCACCTTCAGTTTCTTCTAAGGATTTGAAGATTTATGAAAAGATTGCAAGTAGTTTGAGAACTAGTAGAAATCACATTAATATGGACGAACCAAATACTCCAATTCCACAATCAGATGTTGAAAAAAGTGAATCATCTGCTCCACAAACTAAACATTTAAAAGTTGATACAAATAGTGGAAAGAAAGATCAAAAATCAAATGTTGATCCAAAGAAGAAGAATAAGAAGTAAATGAATTAAAAGTTCGAAAATAAATTGTAAATACAAGTTCATCAATGAGTTATGATAAGTTGGAATCCATTAGTCTCTCAATTCATCATCAATAGTTTAAGAATAGTAATAAACGTACAATTACATTAGTGTATGTCACTTGTCTGACCTGGCAATCGAAGAGTCAAAAAAAATGTCAAACCAACAAGGAAGTAAAAAGAACCAACAAGAAACAATTCTTCCAACAACAGTTAACAGTACGAAGTTTCGAAAAACCTTCAAGAATAATTTACTTTCTTTGAAAAGAATTAAAAATGTTCATCATATAAAATATTCTAATGAAAACGATTCGAATAGTTTTGAATTATTTGGAAATTCTAAAAAATTAACTCAATTCTCGGAAGAATTAATAGAAAAATCCATACATTTAGATAATCATGATGACAATAATTTAAATGTCATGGATCCATCCTCCTCAGCTCAGACACCTGACAGTCAATCAGTTTTAATTCACAAAAGTCTTCGATTTAAAATAACAATTATTCTAATCTTATTATTTCTCCTCTTGATGGCAACTTGTTTAGCAATTTTATTGACAGCCTTTAATATTTCCTTTTTAAGTGTGGAAAATTCAATGGCCATGGAATCAGCCAAACGAACAAGTAGAACTTTATTTGATGATTTTTACTTTCTAACATCACGTCTATTCGAATATGGTGCATTCAAAGATGCAATTGATGTTGTAACGAATACGAATTCTAATGCAACTGTTTTGGCAAATCAATTTTTAAATTATTATTTGCATTGTCAATATCAATTGACAAGTAGAGTTAATTTTGCATTGATTTATTATATGAATGGAACTTATTTGAGTGGATTGGGATGTTTTGATGGATATAGACTAGATAAGATTCCAAATGATTTGATAAATCTTCAAGCTAGCTCAATAGGAAGAGTTTTGATGGATGGTATGTCAAATCCATCAACTAGAAATGTTGGATTTTATTCACCTTCAGAGAGTTTATTTGATTTAATTGTTTCGAATATAACAGTTTCAGGATTGAATCAAAATTTCAACATTACCACTCAGACTAAACTGTTAAATTTATTGCTATTATCTGCAATGCCAATTCAAGATACAGATTATCAAAAGACTTATGGAATTATGATATTTGGAAGATATCAAACTAGAGAATTTTTTACTGACATGTCAGACAGAAGTCAATATTGTTTAACACCATATAATTTGAGGAGTAGTAGAGACAGATATTTATTTGCCAAGTCTCTGTCAAGTGATAAATCAAAAACAGAGTTGACTAGTCAGCAGACTTCGAAAATAATTTCAGAAAAAACCTCATCCTGGACTCAAACTTTAATTGAGGGAGTTTCTTCACAGAGTTTGTGGTCGAATAATACTGGACAGTTTATTCAACAATTTTCTGTTGATGAGAATGATCTCAATCTACCATTATTCGAGAATAGACTCTGTTCCAATAAGGCCATTCTATACGGAAGTAAGATTTCAATATTTCAAGAGTATTATGATTTGATTAGTGATGGATCGATGGTTATAAGAACAGATTTTGATAGAGAGGTCTATACTCTTGGTATTACATCATTTCTAATTACTTGGTCTGTAATGACAGTAATGATTATTCTCCTCTCTATTGGATTAATTATATTTTTGGAAATTGTAGTGTTGAAAAGATTGTTAAAATTGACAAATGCTGTAAGAATTATAACCAATTCGACAAATATCAAGGAAAGAGTTCCAAATGTTGGTTCTGATGAATTGGGAATGCTATGTGAAGATGTCAATAACATGTTGGATGCCCTCGATGCCACCCAGACCATTCTCAGTGAGGACAATGAACTCATGCAACGATTATTGGAAAAGACATCACTATCTGAGCAAAAATCTAGAGTTATCATGAACTCTATCGATGATTTCATATTCTCTGTCGATTCAAAGACCGCCCAAATTGTGAATTTCAATACAATATTTGAGAGTAGAATTTTAAAGAAACAATTCAATTTGGTGAGCCAGTATTTACAGAAAGCACCTCTGATGGATTCACAAAATAATGGTAGTGATATGGCGTTTCTATACAATTCCATTGAAAATCCAAATCATCTCAATGATGAAATTCTGAAATATTTGGAAAATATGGCAGAGACCAAGTCTAGATGGGACACCACCATACTCTCCAATCTTGGCTCAGAAATTCCAGTGAGTGTATCGACCAGTAAAGTGGATATCATGTTGGACGAGGGAAATATTCATCAGGTTTATGTTATTGTGGCCAGAAATATGAGTGAACAAGTGGAACTGAGACAAGCCGTGAAAGTTCAAGAGCAACGAATGCAAGATTTCAAGTTGGGTATGGAATTTGAAAGGGTAATGATGAATTCGAACGGAAGAGAAATGTTTAAGGTAAGTCCTGTTTATTAATTTGTAAAATCTGAACATGATGAAAGAAATTCTGTGAAAAGGAATGTTCTGAAGAGAATATTCTCTTTTTGGAAGATATATTACTATACAAGTCGATTAAGAAAACATCAGATAGAGCAAAGAAGCAAGCAGAGATTCTCAACAAGTATTTGTGTGATAATTCACCTTATGCAATCAACATTTCTCAAAAAGTCAGAGAAAAGGAAGTTAAAAACATTGCAGAAGGTTACGGACAAATAGATCTTTTCATAAGCATAGAAAAGGTTGTAAAATCCATGCTCTTAAAAGATACATTCCTTCGATTTTCACTTCAATATGATTTATCCAATGATCAGACCTTACTGAGCTCTTGTCATGACAATTCAGAGTTATCAAGTAGTATTGAATCATCATTGGATTCTCCATCCATTCTTTCCTCAGCTTCTCTAATTTCATCAACGAGAGGTAACTCAATAATAGGATCGAGCAATTCCTTCAATGACAGTTCCCCAACGTTACCAACAAGTAGAGTTGCTCCATTGAACATTTCGTCTTCTCTCTCCTCAAGAATATTGGAATCATCACAACAGGAACAAAATGATAATTCAGATAATGTTAATTCTCCCAATTCTATAGTTATTCATGTTTAGTGCTGTGTTTATAAAGTTGGATTTTTGACTGATTATTCTATCGGGACAAACAGTGAATGAACTATCAATACATGGATGATATGTGGAAGATAACAATTCATATGAGAGTGCGAGGAAAAGTGCAGGAGGAGAAGAAATTAACAGGTACACCTTAATTAAGCTGTTGAATTGTTGTATATAAATTTTTTGAAATGTTTGGTTTGATTTTCCATACTTTCAATGATTGTATATGCAAAGATAATATCCTTATTTGCAAAAACATACCAATTTGATAGTGTTAGACGTATTAAGGTTCTTCCAACGACTACTTGTTGAAGTGAGCCACATGTTAAGCATTCATTTTGGTACATGTTTACTATTAAGGACGCATCAGCATCTTCAAGCGTCTCCGATTGGTTGAGTCACAATCAACAAGCATGTTCATTACAGTAACAAGGAGGTTAATTGATGGCGCCTTGATGTTGATGTATTCTTGAACAGGAGGGAAACCACGCTTTCAACTCTCAATCTCATGCGTATCTTATTGAACATCTTCATCTTAAAAAATCGATTTACATTCCTCCCTACCTCTTTTCTTTATATTTGCAACTTGAGTATTCTTCCTTCTAGACTTCAGAATTCGGTTGTAAAACAAAGCACTTCCTTAATCCACCACTCTTTAATCTTCTTTTAAAAGATCTTTGAGAGATAAAACAATTTTGCAGAATCTTCACCAACAAACAACAGTTTCATTATTAATATGGATCAATCGACATTATATTTCCAAGCAGAGATCATCGGATCGACTAGTCCTCCAAGATTTCATTCTCTATGGAAGAATGATGAATTACCACAAGTTGATTCCAATACCTCTTCAACTTGTTCTTCACCAGTAACAACCCCTAGATCACATCATAAGCGCCTTAATGCCATTCATGGAGGTTTAATGAGCCCCACCTCACCAAATACTTCTTCCTACCACCATAAGAATGACACTTTCATACAATCCTCTCCACCAAAGCATTTTGAAATCAACTCTAAAGATAACTGTGGTCCTGATCTTTCGCATAGAAAAGAAATGTTGAAAAAAGGAACCAGAATTCCACTTTCTCTTTTGGCTTCATTTGATAATTATGATAATCTTAAAAGAAGACGATCATCAAGCTTGGCTGCAGAGGCTAAAAACAACATTACAGAATGTAAAACACCAAAATCCATTTCAATGCCTTCTTCACCTTTCCAAATTCACTCTGTGGATTTTAATTCCATTGACCATGCTGAAACAACAAGTCATTATTCCATAACAGTTACCAATAGCAATTCAATTCCATCTTCCCCATCAACACCACCAAGACCACAATTTGCCAAGTCCTACTCTGCTTCCTTCCTTGACTTTAGAGTTAATTCTCCTCCTGCACATTGTAAAAAGAGACCATCTGCAGTTAAGGTTGAAACACTTAGTCCAAACAGAACAAAACTGAAACCAGTCTTTGAATCAAGTCTCAGTTCTCCAAACATTTTTTGTAAATCTCCATCGTCATTCCAAAGCAATGTTAAAGCATTTAAAAGCAAACTGAACGCCTCTCAAAACTCCCACGAGAGAGATTTACTTCAAATACATGACTATAAATCGCCACTTTTTGTTTAAGGTCTCTAGAACAAACACATTCTTTCCTTCACAAATCACAACCTTCGTAGTAAATGGAGGACAAAACAGTGAATTCAGTTATTCTGTTTTGTCCTCGATTAACTGAATAACTCCTCGCTTATTTCAAAACAAAAAAAAATACCATACGTCATTATTATCTCTCTCCCAAAATTTTGAATATTCGAATATTTGTTTTGTTATAGCTTTGTTAGTAGAGAATAGTGCGACTAATTTTTATTCAATTTAAACATGCAAAAACCATCAGAGGAAGAACAGAAGAAGGCTCTCTCTGTTTGTCCATTTCATCAGCAACAACAACAGGAGGAAAACTCTCATGTAAGCGAGTTGAGTGCAGTGGGGGGAGAATCCTCTCAATACTGCCCGCATGCATCTTCCATGATGCCAGTATCCAATAATATTAACAGAGAATCCCAAAACTCCAACAGTGATGACCATGCTGCCTCTGATAATCCTTCAATACTGTGTTGGAAGAGAAGCAAGTTAATAAGTGTCCTTTTCATCACACAACTACAACAACCACATCTTCATCTGTAACATCAATGCATGCATCCACTACTGATCCTTCCAACAACAAGCCAAAATCATTGTTTTCAAAAGGGACATTAAGAATACCAAAGAATTATGAATCTCTACTTAAAGGAATTCAAGAAAGGCCACCTGTAAATGCTCTTCCAAATGCAAATATTATAATGGATCACAGAAATACTGATCAACCACAAGGTGACATTTGCTATTTTTTTGATTCTGCCATAAACGGAAATCTTGAAAAGATGAAAGAATTAGTGGAAGTGAAGTTTTTCAATGTCGACACAATTGACAGATTTGGAGTAAGTATGCATTTTGATGATCACTTATTTCTTACATGTAATAGTATAATTGTTCTGCTTTGCAATTTGCTGTAAATGGAGGAAAACTTGAAATTGTAAAGTATTTAATCTCAAAGAATGCAAATGTAAATTTAATTGATGTGGTATGTATTCCATTTAAATTCATAGATACTAACTTGGAAAGTCTGGAGAAACAGCACTTCATAAGGCGTGTAAAAAAGGGAATTTGGAAATGGTTAAATTATTATTGAAAGCTGGAATTCAAAAAGATTATGTAAATAAGGTTTGTTTTTAATATTTTAATATTTATTGGAATTTCAAAAAGCTTGGAAAATCACCAATTAATATTTTGACTGAAAAAGGTTTTACTGAAATTTCTCATTATCTTTCAAATTTTGATTATTTATTTTACCTTGCGAGAAGGAAATCAAACTCTTTCCTCAAATCCAATCTCAAACATTGTACTTCCAAAACCACTATCCTTACGGACTGTATCATAGCCACTTTCGAATCTCCTTCCCTTAGTAGTGAACATGCAAATTCAGAGCCATCATCTTCCAACATTAGCACATCGAGTACTCATCATTCAAATTCCTCAAATAGAGTATGTCCCTTCCATCACATGCTCAATTCGAATTCCAATCAAGGTGAAGCATCCTCTTCTGCCTATGAATCACCAAACAAAAAACAAAAATTATAAAAAATGCTTGAAAAGATTATTTATTACTCTGCAAAGCCACTTCATTTGGTTAGTTTTGTCTTGCAAAAAGCACAAATCGGAAAGAAATCAATAATGAATGATGTCATGTATATTGTTCCATTCTTTTTTGGTGTCGGATTTTCAATGGAAGTTTTCATGGTAAAAACTGGATTTTGTACGTGTTTTAATTCTTGTGATGATTATTAAATAATAATTTATTTATTGGATTGGATGGTAAATGTTCATTTGCATGATAATATTTATTAAATAATTAAATAATTGATGATAATTAAATAGATGAATATAGAAAGAGAAAGGAATCGGAAACTTTAACAGCCAAAGCTGCTGAATTCATGTTAGCAAAAGAAAGAATTATCGAGAAATTTGCAGAAGTCTACATCAAGGAAAAGCAACTCTAATAATTTAAACTCTTGGAGAAATATCACTCTCAAATTGAAGGAAGGTAATATTGAAATTTACACAAGGATGTTTGTTGGAAACAATTTCGATTCAAACAATTTGAAATCATTTAAATTATAAATTTGAATGTTTTATTATCATCTCTCACTTATTTTGTAATAGAAATCAATTGAATTCAAAAGATTATTCGCAGTGTAATCTGGAGTTTTAGTGGAGGTCGTGGTTAAACCAAATTCAATTGGTCTCTTCTTTGAATTTGTCAGTTAGAGCAGGTAAACAACATTGAAAGAGAAGATGATTTACTAAGCACCATTTAGATGAAAAGTAGTGGTGTGAATACCTACACACAATCAAGTGAAATATTTAAAATTAAACTTCTCAAGTATTAAGAGAGTAATGAATATTTACAATTATTTGTAAATTTTCTAGCGTAAGACTTCACTCAATGGTTTTCGTAAATTTTGTGGTGGTTAACGTTTCTTTTTGACTTCCCGCCAAATTTTAAATTACAACTAAAATCTACTGTATTTTCGTTACTGAGGGAAAAACAAAATAGAAAAAAATGTTCAAAAATACATTTCAAAGTGGATTTCTCTCTATATTGTATTCAATAGGGTATGTATTAATTGCAAATGGGTGATGATTTTAATACAACAACAAATTGTTCTTGTTTTACCTGAGTAGAAGTAAACCCTTACAAATTTGGGACAAACAGGTAAAGAATGGACACATTAAACGTATTACCGATCAAGATATTCAATCCTCTGTTCTTGAACTTATCGGGACAAATGTTAGCACAACATATATTACTTGCCCAGCCAGCGCAAAGAAAACTCTAGGAATCAAATTACCTTTCCTTGTCATGGTTATTAAAAATGTAAGTAAGAATCGGATGATGAATAAGGATACATCAACAATAATTAGTTGAAAAAGTATTTTACTTTCGAAGTTCAAGTTTTGGATGATAAAAATATTAAAAGAAGATTTAGAGCATCGAACTATCAGAGTACAACAAGAGTGAAACCATTTATTTGTACAATGCCAATGCGTTTGGATGAAGGTTGGAATCAAATTCAGTTCAATCTTGCCGACTTTACGAGAAGAGCTTACGGAACAAATTATATAGAGACATTAAGAGTTCAAATCCATGCCAACTGTAGAATTAGAAGAATTTACTTCTCCGACAGACTGTATTCAGAATCTGATCTTCCAGATGAGTTCAGACTTTTCTTGCCAATCCAAGTAAGTAATTGAGATTTTGATCAATATTAATTGACCATTAACTTTTCCCTTACAACAGAAAAACTAAGCCAATAAAAAATTGTAGATATCATTTTTGTAAAAATTGCCTTATTAAATACTTAATAATTGCTATGAATCAATATTCTTTATGTATGAGTTCTTGTCTTGAGACTTTCTCAATTACTAATAACATATTAGTTCTATCAATGAACTAAAGCAATAGTTTGTAAAATTACGAAGATGGAGACAATACAATGAATAACCCAAACATAATTGATTTTGCAGAATCATTGTTTCCAGTAAATAGTCGAATGACTTGTAACGAAAATCAGCATGAATCTGATTCATTCTGAACTGCCATCCATTTGCATTCTGTTATTGTATTCCATCATACCTTACAACTTGAGGTTAAATGAAATTTAAGAGCAAAAGGAGGGAAACTTAAACTGGATATTCAACCTTTTTAGTAGTGAGAGAGAATGGAGCATCTTTGTTGTTTTTACTTATTGCAGTTTGACCAACATGTTATTCTTCTCAATGAAACTTCATAACCCAGACAACTTCTTTTTGAAATATTATGTAAACAGTTGACAGCCACGTACACAATTCAAATTTCTCAGGTAACAAGCGAATTGTAAATGGATTCTTTAATCCACTTCGCTGTCCATTGTTCAAGAAATCTTTGATGCGTATCAAAGCGAATTTAAATGCCGAACTGTACGAAAAAAAAGCAAAAATAGAAGAAAGCCTTTTAGCCTTTTCATCAAGACAACAACAAACGATCTAAAGAAGACGTCATCATTTTGACTCTCATAATAGCATCATCATCATAGAGGATTTTTTCAAAATCTAAATATCAACTATAATAATAATGGCATCTCAACCCTTGTTGATTTGTTATGGATCGGAGACTGGTAATTCTAAAGCAATTGCAACCCGTATTTTCAAGGAATGTGTGGACCAACAATTTGCCAAAGATACCCAACTCCTCTCTTTAAACGAATTTTCAGTCAATTTTAAGCTTCGTGATCGTGCTAAAACTTTAAAACAATCACCAAGTTCAAATAATTTGCAAGCTATGGATAACACTACAACTACAACCAATGGTCATATTTTGGATTCTAAAGCTAATATGATCATTATTTGTTCAACAACAGGAAATGGTGATGTCCCACAAAATGGTGATAACTTTTATCGTTTCATCAAGTTAAAATCAACACCAGCAAACTTTTTCTCTAATCTCTCCTACACTATTCTTGGTTTAGGTGATAGTAATTATGATATGTTTTGTAATGCTGCAAGAAATATTGATAAGAGATTAACTGAATTGGGAGCTGATAGATTTTCAAATAGAGGTGAAGCTGATGAAGTTGTAGGTTTAGAAGTTGCTGTAGAGCCTTTCATTGCACAAACATTCCAATCATTAAGAAAGATTTATGCTTCACTCGCTACTCCTCAAACAACATCTACTGTTGTTGAAAATATTCCTGTTGCAAATCCTATTGCTGAACCACCTGTTTCTGAGCCATCTAGTGCTCAAAGTATCCCTCAAGGGATCCCTCAACCATCCAATCCAACCCCTGTTAATCCTACAATTCCAACCACCCTTCCTTCTCCTGTATCAGAAAAGCAAGAATCCAATTTACCAAATAATAATCATATGAGTGGTGCTGGCCGCTCCTCCATTACTTCATCTTCACACAATGGAAATACTGAGCCAACGGATGTCACCCCAATTAGAAAGCTTTCTGCTGCTGGGGGATTACAACAATTAGATGCTCTATCTTCACTTGTTTCTGCTTCTCAATCATCAGCTAATCAATACTTGACCATCATTCGTTTAGAAAACGATAACAAGTTCAAACCAGTTGATAACATGACCTATTACAACAATAGATTGAAGAGTATGTATGGAGACTGTTGTGAAGCTGTTTGTGACGAGGAGTCAAACGAAGAATCAAACGAAAAGAAAGCTCCAGAATGTCCTAGTGTTTTCTCTGCAGCCGTTCATGGTGCTCGTTACCTTACCACAACTGAATCCTCTAAGCAAGTTCTCCACTTGGAATTTGATATCAACTCTGCTCCAATCAGTGATGATGCCACATTCAAATATGAGCCAGGTGATTCATTGGGTGTTTTCTGTGAAAACGACCAAGACCAAGTTGATGCTCTCTTGGAAAAGTTGAAAGAAATTGGCTCATTGAAACACTATGAAGTTCCAAATGGAAAGAAGGGAATTCAAAGTGAACCTCTCAGAGAAAATGACTTGATTTCTATCAAGTGCATTGATGAATCAAAGAAGTGTTTATTCCCAAATCATTTCTTGGCTGGTGAAGATGAAGCTATTAGATTGAGAACAATCTTTACTAAGCGCGTAGATATCATGTCACCTGTTACTATTCCAATGCTCCAAATGTTAGCCAAATACTGTACCAACTTTTTGGAAAAGTCAGCATTGTTAAAATTGACTTTTGATACCAATATGTATAATACCCAGATTGTAAAGCAAAGAGCTAATCTATATGACATTTTGTGCTGGTATCCATCATGTAAACCACCATTGAATCACTTGTTACAAGAAATGTCACCTCTTCAACCACGTTTCTACTCAATTTCATCCTCTCCAATCAAACACCCTGATGAAGTACATATTGCTTTCAGTGTTGTAAAATTCGAAACTCCACCTCCACACCGTACAACTCGTGTTGGATGTTGTACTCACTGGTTACAAAATAAGGCAAAGAAGTTCTGGTCTAGTGAAGAACAAGTCAACATTCCAGTATTTATCAAACCATCTCCATCATTCAAACTTCCAAAATCATTGAATACTCCAATTATCATGATTGGTCCAGGTACTGGTGTTGTTCCATTCAGATCTTTCTTGCAACATCGTGAATGTCAACTTGATAAGAAGCAATCTGATGGTACTAACTGGCTCTTCTTTGGATGTAGAAGTATTAGATCAGACTTTTTATATCGTGATGATTTGAGAGATTTTGAAACTGAAAGTTTTGTAAACTTGAATTTACTTGTTGCTTGTAGTAGAGAAGCAAACTCTGGAGGAGGTGTTTGGTATGGAGGCAGCTATGTTCAAGATTATCTCAAAGAATATTCATCTAACATTGCTGAAATTATGATTATGAAGAAGGGTTGTTTATATGTTTGTGGTGATGCTCAAGGTATGGCTACACAAGTTAACAGAGTACTTCATCAAATTATAGAAGAAGAATGTGGTTATTCATCAGAAGAAGCAAAGAAAGTTGTTCAACAATGGCAATCAGAAGGCAGATATTTGAAAGAAGTTTGGAGCTAAATAAATTACTTCATTATTATTAATGATATTATTCATCAAAAAAAGTCTATTAATTTATTTTCAAATTCAAAAAGATGAACAGAGCCTAGTTTAATATTTTATAAATTTAATTATTGTGATTCTTCAGTTCTTGGAGCTCTTTCTACATATTCTCTAACTTTGATTTGTCTACCTTCGAAGTCGCTTCCGTTCAAAGTCTTGATGGCGTGTTCGGCTTCTTCTGGCTTTTCGAAAGTAACAACACCCATACCCTTTGGCTTTTGAGTAGCTTGGTCAACAATGAGTTTGACGAAGGTAACGTTACCAGATTGAGAGAAGTGAGTCTTAACAGCTTGCCATTTAGCAGTGTAAGTGAGATTGGAGACGAAGACTCTAGCGAGTTTGTTGAATGAAGACATTGTTGTTGAGAATTTTTTTTCAGCAAAATTACAAAGTCTGCGGTTATCGTTTTGATTGAATAAAAAATATTCGCTTTTGATGTGGGCAAATCGGTCAAAATTATTTATTTTGCTTGTGTTATCTATTTGATTGGGTGATTCAATAAAATATTGTTTGTTTCGGTTGAATTTTGTTTTGATTTGAAATTAATAATTGATGAATTTTTAATATATGAATTTATTGAACAATATCTTATTGCATGGTAATTCTCCCATCAAAATTACTAGAACGGATAGGTTGTTTTCAACAGAATTGGGAAAACCCTTAAAATTTCAAATCAAAATTGCTGCCATAGTAAATGGACTGAATACAGAAATGAATCTATAAACTGAACTTAATTCAGAGTAAATTAGACTTTCATCAAAATATTTAAATGGATAATAATATTAGACAAGACGTTTCTTCCTTTTCAGAGAAGATGCTTCACATCCAAAACAGATGGGATACAATTCAGTGTCTTGAACCTTTGAAATATATTAGGGCTTTTCTGGTTTCGGTTAAGCACAACTTTTCAGATAAAATAGCCCAGCGTTTTGTTATAGAGCTCTTGAATGAATCATTCAAAATAGTATTGGTGAGATAATGTAGTCAATCCATGAATATATCCTTAATAAAATACACTTTTTAATATGTCTTGGATTACAAGATGGCCTTTTGTCTGGATTGTAATGTAACATATCTTTGAGAATAAGAACAAGCACTTTCCATCAAAATAATCCTCCAAATTTCTCTTCTCTATAAAAATTTTCACATTTCCATACTACAAATCAATTTTGCAATCATGTAAATGTTACACATTATAATATTTTGTAATATGGACCAGTTATTCCTTCGCCTTTACATTTAACGGAAAGATGACATGTTGATAGCATTGAACCACTGTTTTGAAACCAATGCACAATTCATTACAATAAATTTAAAATCATCATGATGAAATGATAAAATTTCATAAATTACATCGTTCGAAATAAGTCACAACTCACTTATTATCTTTCGTGGATATCATTGCACTCGTTACAAACATTTTCCAGGAAACCATCTTTAGGAGAACCAACAACCATTTAAATGAAAGGGAATTGAAAGTGCCATTATCATTGTTGGGAATATGATGTTTCACCTTCCTGATGATGTATTATTTAAACCATTCCGAGAATCACAATTGTTGTTGAGTATTTTTTTCCAGCCTTTGATAAAAACCGCTCTAAAATTAGACGTTCATTTATTGTAAAACGCGTGGCGACAAGAGCCTTAAAAAATATCCCAACCATCCCTCTGTTTTTTCCTCCAAAAATTATCACCCAGTTTTTGTTGACGGAAAAGAAGAAAATGAACAATAACAAATCATTGCAAATGGAAGAGGATAGAGGCAGAAGCACTTTTGATGATCACAACAATAAGGAGAGCAATCACTCCAGAAGAAATTATCATGGTGACTATAATGATAGAAGGTCTCGAGACGATGTAGATAACCGAGAGAGACGACACAGTGGTGGAAGAAGTAATTATAATAACTATAACTCCTCTGCAAATGGATCTACATCATCAGGTGGTAATTCTACAAATAACTATCACTCTAGTAAACATCATTCTTCTAGCAGTAATTCTAACGCTAGCAGCAGTAGTAACTCTTCGTATCATCACCACAGAAGCAATAATAGTACCACTCATCACAATAGTACATCATCATCATCAAATAATACATCATCATCTACTCAGAATGGAGAAAGAAGACCTCCTCCACCAACAACAACAACTACAACAACAAAGGATTCATCTTCTCATCCTCCACCTCCTCCAGTAGTTTTAAATGGTACTCAAAAGCCTCATCCAACCGATAATACAACAACACGTGTACAAAATAATAATAATAATACTACAACTATTAAACCTAACAACAATAACTTTACTAGACCAAATCCTCCTAGAAATCCACTCGCTGAAAGGTTTCAACATATTGAAAAAGAGTAAGTGTTCTTTTTGTCTCAACATGTTCGCTAACGTTTTTCTGTTCAATCTGTTTTATCATCATCATCTAACTTTATAATAACATTAGTATTGATACCTACTACAATAGTGAAGGTAAAGTAGGAGAAGGCACTTATGGTGAAGTATTCAAAGCTGTTGATAAGCGTGATAACAGTTTGGTAGCTATTAAAAAGATTAGAATTGATCCACAAAGAGAGAAGGAAGGTTTTCCAATCACATCCATTCGTGAAATTAGAATTTTGAAGGAAATTGAACATAAAAACATTGTAAAATTGCTTGATGTTACGTGGAATTCAAAAGGTACCTTCTTCCTGGTTTTTGAATACGTGGATCATGATTTGGCAGGATTGAATGCTAAAGGACACAGATTCGATGAAGACGAACTTCGTTCTATCATGTATCAACTCCTAAATGCTCTTCATTGCTGCCATTCTCGAGATATTATGCACAGAGATTTAAAGGCATCAAATGTTCTCATCAAGAAGGATGGTACTTTGAAGCTTGCCGATTTGTAAGTTTGAATTTCAATTTTTAATTATAACAATATCAAATCCATATTGTTTGAACCATTTCAACCAACAATTATTTTTTTTAAATCATACTCTCCTATTTCCTGCCGCTCAACACCTTACCATTTAAACAATGACCAATGACACTTGTTAGTGGTTTATCAAGAATTGCACAGAAAAACAAACAAGAATATACTAATAGAGTTGTAACTCGTTGGTATCGTCCACCTGAATTACTGTTAGGAGCAACAACTTATGATTATGCTGTTGATATGTGGTCAGTGGGATGTATTCTTGGTGAAATGCTTTTACCTTTTGCTGGTGAAAAGGAACCAAAAGCACTCTTTCCTGGTTCAGATGATGTGAATCAGCTTGAAAAGATATTTGAATGGTGTGGTACTCCTTCAACGGAAGAATGGGCTGAGGTTGAAAATCTTGCTCATTGGAATGCTCTTAAACCAAAAGAATCAAAGAAGAGAAGACTCTTGGAAAGATTTGCAAACTTGAAATCATGCTCAAAGAAGGTTTTAGATTTACTTGATAAGCTTCTTGTGCTTAATCCTGCCAAACGATTAACAACCAATGAATGCTTAAATCACGACTGGTTCTGGGAAAAGGGTTCCACAACCAATATCAAACTCAAAAATCTTCCTTCAACAGCTACTAATGAATTCCTTACAAGAAAGAAGGGTGATAACAAACCAAATGCACCTTCACATCAATTACCAGGTTCTACCAGTGTCCAACAGTTGCCACACAATATTAATCAGAGCTATGGTGTTTCATCTACATCATCCTCTCATCCACCATTTGGTAGTAGTAATGGTAACAGACATTCCTATAATCCCTCTCACCATCATCAATCGTCACACCATAGCAGTCATCATTCGAACACTAGCTCCTCTCACCATAATGGTAGCTCACATCATAATAGTCACCACCATCACCAATCATCACATCACCACTCTAGTAGCTCACATCATGGCTCAACTGGTTCAGGTCATTCCAATAATTATCATCGTGACAATAGGCATCACCATGATCCTCCTCAAAGAAATAACCAATTAGCACCTCCAAATAAGAAGGTTAAATATTAATAAATGAGTTATTTAAAGGAAAAAAATGGCACAGACTTTTTTATGAATTATAATAATGCAATAATGATTTGTGTTTAATATTATTTTGCATGACGATAATGATTTATTATTCAATGTGAATGAAGGACATTGTGGAAAATGGATCACCAAAAGGACATCCCAATTGTTGGTTTTGATTTATCGGAACTCTTTTTCTCTCTCCATTCCAAATCATTAAATTGCTTGCAATTTCTATTGTCTTGGATTGCATATTTAGAGGAGCCCAGGATAATATTTCAAGTTGTGGGTCATGTTGGTGGTTGTGATTAAAGTTATTTGGTTTGTACAGGAGGGCTGATTTGTACTTAATCCAGAAAGCTCTATCAAACGCCTTTAGTAATTCATAGGTTTGTGGATTGGTACGTGGAAAGATTGGATCTTTGGTGAGCAACAAATTTACAAACAAATCCAATTGTTCATGGGTGTTGAAAGTAATGCAATAATTTTGAATTTCAATGAATGCCATTGGATTAGTTTCAACTTCTCGTGGAACACCTTCACTCTTACTTCTTTTCCTTGATGTCTGCTGCACTGCTTCTGTAGTCAGCATATTATCTGGGACTGAGTGAACAGATTTAACCTCACTGCTGAGAGGGTTTTTTGGAGTGAGCATTTCCTTGATATTATTAAAGGAATTATTCTCCAAACCAAACTTTTGTAAAAATTGATCATCCAATTTAATAGTAAGATTACTGTCACCCTTATTTCTCAAATTTCGAAGGAATTGATGCATAGATTCTGAAAATACCGGTGTTGCTTCAAGATTATCCAAGATTTCATCAACTATATAGAAAATATAGAAAATATTCTAAAATGATAATTCACTTACCAAAATCTTGACAGTTTCCATTTGTTTTAGGATCCTTATTTTGTGCTGAGTGCTGAGAATGGAAAGAATGACTAAACCTTTCACCATTATTTGATTTACCTGAATCAGCACCAAGACCTGATGAAGATCCTGAACCGAATGTTTGAGCTACAGCTGTCAGAGTAGCACTACCACCAATTGGAGGACTCAAACAAACACAATCAGGAGTTGTTGGAGTACCATATGGGGATCCGTATAGGGCATCAGAATATCTTCTTTGCCCTTCAATTGCTAATTGGGATGATGGACTTGAAAAAATAACCGAATCTCTTCTAGTACTACTTCTAGAATAGGTGACTTGAGTGTTATATCTGCAGACTACTTTTGCAATTCTATTTACAGCTTGTTGAATGTTATCCCAACCCTTAATTTCACTAATGTCTATTGAGAGAAGAGCCATCTTACTCGTTATTTTTCTTGGAATACACAGACCGCAGTCTGTAAATTCTAAAATCCATGGTCCAAAACTAATAGAAGAATGGAAAATACCATGGTTTGGTAACTTGTCCATCTTTGCCAAAATTGGAGAAATGAATTGTCTCATATTCTTTTGAGTGTCACTCTTCAAAGTATCCACCAAAATCAATTTGATTTTGAATGTAATATCTTGCATTGGATCTAATTCCTGTTCTTGCTTAGTTTCACTGGAAAGAATATTATTGACATCACCAACTGTCAAGGTATTGCCTGCAGAGAAAGTATCTATAGTATAAGGTCCAGCCGGATTTGAGAATATATCTTGACTAGAAGAAGCTTCAGAACCAATAGACCTTCCAATTGATTTTCTAAAAGCTCTATACAAATTTGTTGCTTTTGCTACAACAGTTGGCTCAACTTCCTCATCATCATCCTGATCTGCATCTCCAGTTGATTCTGATGCTTCTGCTTCTGATCCTCGGGAAGTGGTAGGAACAATAGGAGGTGACACACTTATCCCAGGTATTGATGAAGCTCTCTGATACATTCTAGCTCTATTCAATGAATTTAAATCCTGTTGTTTTCTATAGTATTCTCGCTCTAGATATTGTTGTACGAATTCCATATTGAGGAAATTTCGTTTCAATTCATCTTCAAATGCCAGTTGTCTAGCAAAAGCTTCCTTTTCCGATTGTTTCTTAAATTTAGATGAAATTAATTTGCTAGCCTCAATCTTTCCTAGAACAATAGTATCAGGCGTCAAGTCTTTTTTCTTACTCGCATCACTCTTTCTATTATTGGTATTTGGAGGTTGGGGCTGCTGAGTTTGAGCAGAATCAAACTCAGTCAATCGACTTGAACTAAGATTTCCCATCACTCAACCTTCTTATAATCACTTTAAAATACCCGGTAATTATTTAATTTACTATTCAAATAGTCTTATAATCAACTACTACTACTAAACCTCTTATCTACAAGGTAGTAATGTATAAGGTGTTGTTTCTTTTTTTTTATAAATTGAGGCGCGATGATGGATTGAGGTGTCTTGATGAGAAAGCCTTTGTGATGGTAAAGTGAGGGAACAATAACGCTACAATATCATCTAATATTAAAATGTGAAGTTTATTCAGTTGGGACTAGTGTTGATGGATGAAACTGAGAAATTACATTTTAATGAAGAATTACAAGCTGCTTGTAATCTAGATTCTAATAAGGATTTGATTTTTCTAAATAACTCTACGCGATGGTGATTGTACTGAAGAAACAGTTCAGAAAATATGTACAAAACTAATGCAATTGTAACTAGGTTCTTTCCTGTATTCTTCCATGCCGAGCACAATAATTACGAACGTTCTTTCCTAATGCAACACCTTTAAATTCGAATATTAGGTGATTGGTTGGATAGAGGAACACAAGGGAATACAGGTAGTAACACAGTAATTACACAGACGCCGAGATCTTAAAGAGTTAAGATACAAATTATTTAAAAATTACCTTAACAACAAAAATTGATGAAAGATATTGTTAGTATTTGTATAGGAGGATGTGGTAATAGAATCGGGTCATCATTTTGGAAACATTTAATGAGGGAACATCACCTCAATATATTTACAGGAGAGAAGATTGATTCAGCAACCTCATCCGATCAATTAAAAGCTATAGCTGAAGAACATTGTAATATTTTCCTTCATGAGAAAGAGGATGGTAAATTTGTGCCGAGAGTGGTGATGAGCTGATTTGGAGAGTGAGGCAATCAATTCGATACTGCTGTCTAATGAGAAGTTATTGGAATCAAAGTTTGCAACCTTTGGTAATTGTGGGAATGGAAATTCATTTGGAAATGGATATTACACTGATGGATCCTTACTTGAGCCGAAAATTATGGATCAAGTAAGAAGGAGAATTGAACAATGTGATTACTTGGATGGATTTCAGGTTTTTCATTCAATAATTGGTGGATCTGGATCAGGACTCGGTTCAAAAATTCTTACTCACCTCTCTGATGATTATCCATCAAAGTTTATAGGCACAACTTCAGTTTTGCCATCAGAAGAATGTTTTGGAGGTAGATCCCTTTCCTATTATAATTCTGTACTTTCAGTTCAATCATTATTGGCTTCAACTTTTGTTACTTTATTTGATAATCAGGCTTTGGAACAGTATTGTAGGAAGGAAGTTAAACTGGAGAGTTGTGGCTATGAGAATTTGAATGATTTAATAGCACAATCGGTGTGTGAGTACACGAGTCCTTTTAGATTTTCTCAGAGTCTTAATTCTTCATACAGAAAATTGGCAACAAATCTGGTTACGTATCCTAGGCTTCACTTTTTCTCAATATCTAGATCACAAATGGAAGTGAATGTGAAAAATGGAATCAAGTCGACTCTGGAAACCTTAACCAGAAATCTGTTTGATTCATCAAATAATCTCCTTACTCTCAATTCACAACAAGGTAAATACTTGACTAGCAATATTTGTTATAGAGGTACCATTTCGAATATTTCAATGATAGAAGAATGTGCTGGAAAAATCAAAATACAGAATGAATCTCAATTCTCCAAATGGATACATAGCAGTATTCATACATCCTTATGTGAAACAATTTCACCTGTCTGTAAATTCAACAGCTCTGCTTCAATGATTTCAAATGCTACTTTCATAACTCAGGCTTTCAAAAGAATTAGAGACACATTTAAAAACCAATTAAAAAGAAAGGCATATCTTTCACACTTCCTTAATGAAGGAATGGACGAAATGGAAATGGATGAGGCTGAGTGGAATTTCGAAGATTTAATTCTTGAATATGAACAATATGAAACCGTTTGTGGATATGAAGACACCAGTTCTGATGTAGAAGACGAAGATGATGAATAAATTATTGTAAAGGACTGTTGTGATTGGTTGAATTCTCAGTACTGTTTATTTTGAATACTTGGCTTGAATTTGTTCAATCTTCTTCTCAAGATGTGAAATGTGAGGTATCAAATTCTTATTTCCATTTTCCTTGTGAGATTTTTGAAGAGGTGTCAATAATTTTTGATATTCTTCGATACACTTGTGTAATGCAACTGTTTGATCTTTTGATTGTTCGATGAGAGCTTCATGGGCAAATAACCATGAGTATCTCAATTCCAAATCATAGGCCATTCCTCTGACATATGGTTCAATCTTTGTGATTGCTTCCTTGGCTTGGGAAGAATTAATAAGAGATAAATTCATGATGATTACGCTATCTCTAATTTGGTCTTCGGTTAATTTAAATTTGATTGACAACAATTGCTCAACTGTGGCAACTGCATTGGTGTAATCTTCCAAACTGTAATATAATCTAGCTCTATTAAAAAGATTCAAAATATTGTAAGGAAGTTTGATGAACTTGTCTGATAAGTCATAAAATTCCTTTGATTTCTTGATGAGTTCTCCATAAGATTTGCTTTCCTTATTGACAAGTGAAGCAGCATGTAATAAAATACTGGCTTTTACATTGGTATCAGCTGAGAATAGAGGAATTTCAGAAGTAGGCAACTCTCCTCCTATTTCCTTATTTCTCATAGTATCAAGGACACGATTAAATCTTGTGATGGTATTGTTAATTTCTTGGAGACTTTCCAACTTTTCTGGATATAAATTCAAAGTACATTCCCTCAATAAGAGTCCACTTGCATGAACATTGTTTGGATCAATTTCAATTGCTCTATTAAGTGACTTTTCAGCTTCTCTCAAGTTTCCTTCACAGACATAAATAGATCCTCTGACAACTTCCATACAAGAGTCGAGCTTGAGTTCGAGTCCAGTTTCCAAATCAGTTATTGTTACATCCTTATTGATTCCTTTCCATGCATCGTATTGTTCACAAATCTTCTTCATGTGATTTAATGAGTTTTCTTCCACAACAAATGAGTTCACATTGGCAACATAATAAGCCCAATAGAATACAGATTCGAAAAATTCCTTTTCAACAATAACTTGATCTTCATATTCCAATTCAGTATTTCCAATCATGTTCATATTTAATGAAACATATTCAGACAAGTATTGTTGAAGGAATTGACACAAATTGATATTTGAAGCATATGCAATAAGAACTGGGTTTGTTTTGAATGCATTGAACGTGTAATCAAAGAGCCAATCTTCATTCTCAACAATTACATCTTGTTCTGTAATTTCTCTCTTAATAAATTCAACAACAAAGTGAGGAACTGCTGGTGAAGGATCTTTGATTTCAGTCAATCTTTCTCTTTCCCTAATCAAGAATGCCAAAAAGTCATCAGTTGTTTCAAGATTAATAAAACCTTTCAATGAACATTTGACACACAATCTAACAGCTCTAATATAATTCAAATAAAATTGAGCAGAATTTTCTCCTGATTGTGCAACTTGATTTATCTTCCCGAGAAGTAAATAAACTTCATTTCCAATTTGTTTCTTTTGTTTTATCAACAAATCATCAGAATTGTTAGCCAAAGAAGCAACTACCAATTGTGAAACCTTTTCTTCAAGACTTTCCAATTTTTCAGTACATTCTTGTTGTAGATTCTTTAGAGAAATTCTATTGGTGTGATAATTTGACCTAATCAAATTTCCACAACAAGTTGAACCAAAATGATTGAATAAACTTCCACTTGCACTATTATTTGATGTCATTCCGAATGGAAGTACTAATCTTGTTGAACGTAATGAACAACTTGTCTTGGCTAACAAATTACCAGTGGTAGTTGATGATTGAAGTGTTTGTCTGATGAGTTTGCGCATTTTTTTTGATAAATTGTGTTCAATAATGTTAATTTATTGAAAGTGACTAATTTGGAAAAATGGTTTACAACTCGAGTTACTAAAGTGAATAAATAAATGCCAATATTTACAATATCTTAGACATCTAAAAAGCATCCAACAGTATGTGGATCTCCAAATGGACAGACATAATTTTCATGAAAAATTATGGAATGCACAAAAGAAGAGCATACAATTGTTTCAGTTTCAGCAGTTTCCTCAACATCAGGAAGTTTTTCAATTTCCTCTTTCTCTTCTTGTTTGATGAGAGGAAGAAATATTTCATTCCACGTATAATGAAGTCCTTCTGCTTGTTTGAGTTTTTCATGTTTGTCTTTGAGATGTCCCATCCAGAATCCTCTATCAAACGCTTTCAATAACTCAAAATCATAGGGATGCTCTTCTTTGAAAGATGGGTGTTTTGTTAACAGATCGATCACATATTCATCTAATTGTTTGTGAGTATTAAACAGCACTCTTTCTTGAGTGATAGGATTACAGAATTCTCTTTCTGTAAGTAATTTTCCATTTCTTATTCTCCTTAGATAATTTCCAAGTTGTCCTTTCATTATTGAAGAGAAATTCAAATCCAATGCACTGATGCAATCTCTAACAAAATGATGACAATTACAATTCCTATTATTATACACCATCTTGGTGTTATATTCTGAAATCACAAAGCATAATTGTTTAATCTTCTCCTGATCCTTTTTTTCTTCAATATCCAGCTCTCCAACTTCAACAGCAAGATTTGGATGTGAGGATTTAATAGGAGTCAGATGAACCAATCCGTCATCAAACCAATGAATAATGTATTGTCCCAACAGAATTGCAACATGAACCAAACCAAATCCCAATTTCTTTCTCTCTGTAACTCGTAATACATTGGCAACAAGTCTCGTTTTTAATCGACTCTCACACCACTTTTGAATATTGATAACAGCTAGATTAACTTTGAGTTTTCTCACCTCTCCATTATTATCCAATAGCTTTTCATATAATGTTTCAAAATCAAAGAAACATTCCTCCAATAGTTTCGGAGATGAATATAAATTAAAAAATTGAGTAATTTCCTCGGGTGAAACAAGATTTCCAAGTGAGGCTTCTAATGATTTTTGAAGCTATTTAATTATGATTTTCCAAATTTCCAAAAGTAAAATACTTACATCCTTTTGTTTCTTCTTTTTAACCTTCTTTTTAATCTTCTTATCTTCCTTACTTGTCGGTTGATGAGAGATTGCGCTTCCCATCTTTTTTTCATAATAATGTACAATGATTGATGATACCTTTGATAGACTAAAAAAATATCAAGCCGAGTTGTGTTGATGGTTGTGATAACTATATCTCCCAACAGACAGCACGATAATTATTATTTATGTGAGAGCGAGCGAATGAACCTTTTTTTTTGCCAAGTTCAAAGGTTGATTCGTGGTTTATATTGGCAATAAGAAATCTTAAGAGAATATTTGCGTTGGAAAAGCAGTTGTATATATTAATAAGGAAATGATACAACTTTGGATGAATTCACGGGCGAATAATACTGCATGTAATATTCCATAGCCAGATTCTTCTAATGCAGAATGGGGTGTATTAACCAAAGGTGAGGAATGCTTTATTAAGATTTCGATAACAACTGTTATCATCACTCCATGAAGTTTTATCTCACACCAATGGCAACATGCAAAATGACAAGATAAATATTACTAATCAATAATGAAAGAAGCATGCATGGGAAGCCGTATTTCATGAACTGAACGAAACCCATTTTGTGTCCACTATTTTCACAAATACCTGCTGCAACAACGTTGGCACTAGCTCCAATAATGGTACCATTACCGCCTAAGCATGTACCTAAGGCAAGAGCCCACAAGATTGGTCTAACAGGTAAATTGGTTGGTTCTTCAGCTAATTTCAAAACAATTGGAATCATTGCTGAGGCGTATGGTAAGTTATCGATAAAGGCAGAAACTATTCCTGAAACCCATACAAGCACAGTAATGGCAACAAATAATCTCAAATCTCCAGCAGGTACAAGTGAGATAACATATGAAGTCCAAGTGCCAATAAAATCAATCAATCCAAGTTTAGTTAATCCTTCCATGAGAATGAAGAGTGATCCAAAGAATAGTAAAGTTGTCCATTCGACCTTTTCAATTACTTCTTCAAGATCGTCTATTCCAGAAAGCAATAACATTGTAATAGCTCCAATAATGGCAACCTCAGCCAAGCTAGTTTGAACATAATGGTGAATAAAACTTTCCAAGAAGAAGAAAATAATGCAAATAATCAAAATGGCACTGCAGATAATGAATAAACGAGGATTGTGAATAAAGTATTGTTCACTTAATTCCTTCATCTCCTTGGCACCTAGCTTTCCATTATTGACATTGGATCCTCTTGATGTTAAATATTCTTCCAACTGACTTTTCAAGTTGACAATGTGAAGTTGCAAGCTTTCTTTAACTTTCATTTCTTCAATGCCGTTTCCTCTAGTCTTTCTCAAAGTTTGTTCCCAAATTTCAATTTCCTTTTCTCTTTGAAGCTTTTCATTATCAATATCTGGCTTTGTCTTGAAAAGGTTCCAGTTCAATAAACGAATTGGAAGAATAGTACAGGCACCAATAATGACAGCACATGGAGCCAAATAAATAGAAATATCCAAAAATCCAATATTTAGAGCCTTAATGGCAGGATGGTTTACAATAATGACAATTGGAGGGTCACCGACAGCTGTTGCTACACCACCAATATTACTGAAAATTACTTCGCTAATAACGATTGGAATTGGAGAAACATTTACAACACTGCACAACCTCAAAGTAACTGGAACTACAAGCAAAATTGTTGTGACATTGTCGAGGAAAGCTGAAACAACAGCAGTGAATAAACACAAAATGACTGTCAATCTCCAAACGCTTCCCTTTGATAATTTGTAGGCCACAAGGGCTATCCATTCAAAGAACCCAGTATTGGCAAAGATACCAACCATGATCATCATACCAAACAACAAGGTAAGAGTATCATATTCCATCCATTCACAAATTTCCTTCAAAGTTGGTCTTTGATTGATAAAAGCCATAACAGCCAAAACTATAAACGAACCAAGCATGGAAGCAACAGTTCTGTGAACCAATTCGAAAATAATCAAAATATAGACAAACACCAACACCAATGCAGCATAAATAACCTTATACTTGGCATAGTCAGGTTGTTGCTTGAAATTTACCTTGATTGCAAATGAGTTGGTATAATTTTGTGGGAATGAGGTGGTAATAAGCAATCTGTAGGTAACATTTTTCTTTTCCTCTTGATTGAGAGTGGATAAATCAGTGCTGAATGTGTAAGATCCCTTGATAGCTTGAATTTCAGATTCCTCTTCATCAACATTTTCTTGTTCTGGCTCATGTGGTTCAGTATGATTACTTGTGTGATGATCAGTTTGATTCACTTCTGTATGATTCACACTTGGGAAATTTGGAAGGAAATCAATTGTATAATTTTGATCAGACAAGTTAATAAATTCACTGTCAAACATTGATTTTTGAATTTGAAAAACTAAATTCCAATCATGATTTTCCTCATTATGTGTGGCTTGTTTTCTCAAATTATAAATTACATCGTTACCAACAATTGGCACTTCAACTTCAATACTCAAAATATCACGAGGTTGACTTGTACTGAATTCAATATATTTTGGTTCTGCTTCTCCAATAGAAACGAAATGAAGAGTATCTTCCACTGGATTTCTATGAAAAACACTATAAACAACTCCGAATACCACAAATAAAACAGATAATATCAAAATCTTTGAAGTTCTCAACGATAATTTGGCCACCTCCTTCTTACTCATCTGTGAAAAATTAGGTAAAAGTGGTTTTTTAATTGGCTTTCCGTGTCGATAGGTTACCATATCATCAACATCAACTTCATGTTGTGTATCGTCATCATCGTTATTATAGTGATGATGTGAATTTTCCAAAACATCTCGAGAATTACTAATACCGACCAAACTTTCACTGCGGTCCTGACTACTCAGCACTGTCTTGGCTAGGAGGTGAATATCCTCACCAGATTGTTGTTGATCCATTTTTTCACAATGTGTTCAGTTGGTTGTGTGAGAAGTGTGACCTGAACTCCTGTATGATTTTACGGAGTTTTGAACCATTGAGTGTTAACTCAAACGTTCTTTGACAAACTGTAAAGACAAATGTTCAATTTTTACAAGTATTTGAGTAATGCAAGAGTTGAAAGGTAAAAATTTGGTTTAGTTTGTTGTGGAATATGAAATTGTCTTTTTGGAAGATACAATTAATTTGAATTTCTCATAGTATTCAGTAAGGAAATGATACATTTGAGATTGGAGGAATTTTTGGATATTTTCATCGGTTGGTACAGTTCCAGAATTGATTTGTTGAAAGTATTCATGAGCAGTAAGGTATTGACCATCTAATATTTTGTAAGGCATTTGATAGTAGTGAATCAAAGAAACAGAAAGGGCTGCACTTTTCGATATCTTGTAGAACTCTCTCAGGAATCGTGAAATGGTTTGGAGAGTGGCAGAGGAGATTTTTTCCTGAACTTGTTTCCATTTAGTTTGTGTAAAACTCTTGGTTTTAACATTCTTGACTTGGTTTGATTTAAAACAACAAATGAATAACAAGCCTATAGGATATTCTGCTCTGCACTTCATATAAAAGAATGGATCAATATCATACATGAATTCAAATGAATCAATATCCAATTTTTCCAAAGATTGCACATTCGACAAGCGTACAAAATTCAAAACCACAAATCCAGCCAAAATATTACTCTGTCCAGCATACTTTTGACAAATCTTCAAAATCTCCAATCTATCCTTACCACTATTGAAAATAATTTCCTTAAGCCTTTTCTGTTTTCTATAAGTTACTTGTTGTTTCAAAACTCTCAACATGATCTGACTTCTCAATTCCGAGCCTTTTTCAACCTTTTCAAAGGCCTTGTTTTTATATTTAATTTTCTCTCTCTCCTCCAATCGATCTAAATTCTCTTGCCAGATAATCTCGGATTGATTCAATACTACACTCTGCATATCCTTATTCAATAATTGTACTCCCAAGAGAATACTTTCCAGAGAGCAATAACTAAATATTTTCAAGGTGACATCACGGTATGGAAATGGTGTTGATATCAATGTTATTTCTGATGATATTGATTCGATTTTCTGCTTCTGCTCCGAAATTGCACTTTCTTGTGATTCCATTTTTTTGTAATAATATAAAGCTAAATCACACTAATTTGCTTGTAAATTGAAAATGTATCAATTCCATCGCTTCTTGCATTCTTTACAATACGAAATTGTACAGTGCTTAGTAGCAATTCAAATCAAACAATAAGATGAATTTTCATTCTTCTTGGATTAGAATATTTGGAGAATTTACTTTTTACAGAAATCAGAATGTTTGTGATATACTTTGAAAATATCAACCATACCATCCATATGATGGTTATCAATGTGACAGTGGAATAACCAATTTCCAGGATTATCAACATCCATATCCAAAGCTCTTGCAATTCCAGGGCCTACAAAGACAGTGTCGACCAATCTGATGCCATCTTCGAGTCCAACGTTACCATGCCAATGGACAGGATGCAAATCAACATTACCAATTGTACCAACATACCATCTAACTCTTTCACCTTGACACATGTCAAATCCTCCAATATTATTGACACTCATGTAGCCATTGATGGAATCCTTTTGATTACTAGCAGTTAAACCACCTGCCTTAAATGCCTTATATTGAGCTTCAGTCAATTGACCACTTGCATTCAAATACTTTTGAATGTTTTGATCTAAAAAGAAACTTGTTTGTTCATCAAATATTTTAGGCATGACAAAGAATTCTCTGTCAACATCCTTTGGAGAACCATTCTTTCTAGCAAATCCCTTTCTAGTAATGACAATGAAACCAATCAAGCCAGCTTGAGTTTCTGCTGGTTCATCCAAAGCATGGGAGTGATACATCCACGGAATGGAGCTTAATGGACTATTATCAAGAGGACCTGCACGATCTGGTACATTGAAAATATATTCGAAAGTTGCTCCGGCAGCTACAGCATCACCACTTCCAGGAGTTGCAAATGACATGTCCTTATCGTTATCTACATAGGCAGCTCCTTCAGATTGTTTATCATAATGAACTCCGTGTGGATGGATACCTGCTGGGAATTCCAAAGCATTCTTGAAGAGAATTCTAATTTGTTCACCAACTTCAGCTCTTATAATTGGACCAACAATTCCCAAATGTGGAGCTTGAGCTTTCTTTGTGGAGAAAGTCTTGTCAGTATATTCGATATACTTTGCTTTGAGATATTTGAGACCAATGGTAGTGTTGGATGGACGATTGTCTGCTGAAAAATCCATTCCCATGAACATGTCCTTTCCATAAGGTCCATAATTCCACTCAACCTTCTCAGCTTGAATATAGTAACGTCTAATACGAGTTGGCTTGAAATGGAAATACTTGGAAGGAAGATTATTCTCTGCAGGTAGATTTGGTTTTGGGAGTGAATGATCTTCACCATTGTGAGCAAGAATCAAAACACTGCTCAATGAAAGAATCAATAAAACAGCAATGTTTGAAACAAGTGCTTTGAATTGCGACATTTTTTAGTGTTCTTGTTGAACACAGATCAATTTCTATTGATGGTTTTATGGTATGAACCATTATTGGTCGATGTGACTTGAATGGATTGATAAATGAAATGAAAGTGTGTTTAAAATTCCTTTTATTAATCCGCCAATGAGTTTGAGAGTGTATTATGTTGTTTTGGGAAATTAATTGATTTAACAAAAACCATAATTGGAATGTTGAGCGAAGTCCAAAATTGATTCATGTTCAAACTACAGTCTAATGTTGATTCATTTAAAATGAATCTAACAAGGGCTTTCCATATCCAAGTAGTCAACTAATACGAAAGCAGTATACGATTCAAAGATCTTTAATTTTAGCAAGGTATTGAGTCTCATGATTCCCATTTCACCAAAATAGAGATGGATTCAATAGGTCACAGTAAATTGACCTTACATACAGGCCTTTTCCATTTGATTGGAATAATGTTCATAGTGTCAGTCATGATTTTGACAATTTTAATGGTAGATCACATACGAGATTGGCCAAGCCTTAAAATACGAATTTTTCTATCCACTCGTTGGTAAATAGATTGCACCAATGGATGAGATACTATTTCGTGTTGCTCATACTCTACCCTTATTCTAAAAGGAGGCACTTCCATTAATTTCTCTAAAAATATTTTCAATTATTTTTTTTAAAATAAAATTTGGTGGGATAATGTTGACCATGAAATCAAGGTTTATTTACCTGAACTGCCTTCTTGTGTAGCTTGTGGAGCACCAAGAATCCAATTATTTGAAACAAAAAAGTCGTGAATTTTTGAAATAACGTCCTTTTCAAAATCAGTAAATAATTTACAAGCTGTTGCCTTTGAGACAAATCCTAATTGCACCGATTCTCTTATCAAAACATCCTTAATAAGTATGTAATGCTTTGGATAGAGTTGTAAACCAACACAGAAACTACGTTCCCTCTTTGACAACATTTCAATACCAACCATGTTTGGATCTTTTGGTGTACCAGTAATTACCTCTGCATTTCTCTTAATTGAAGGAGATTTGATATTACCCTCTCTAGCTTTCTTCAGGTCAAAATCTGCTTCTCTCTTTTTGTTTTCAGATTCAAACAAGTCACATTGTTCCAAAGATGTTAAACCATTAGCTCTATATTCTTTAAGTTGTTGAATTCTATTTCTTATCTTAGTCTCTTGAATAACCCCAGCCATGAAAGAGTCAAACTCATCTTGATCGTCCAGGAATCTGGCAAATGGTCTATATCGTTGATACAATTCTTTTTCCATCTTGTTTCTCTTCTTTTCAACAGCACTGATTCTCTTCCAATCGAATAAACCCCTTTCAACAGCAAACTTTTTTCTTCGTTCTCTTTCACTTAATCTAAATTCGTATAATCTCAAATAATCTAGTTTCTTTTCCTTTTCTTCAGGTGTGTCAGTAGGGAGAATTTCCAACTCTGCAATGATATCTTCAGCACAGTAATCGAAATCTGTCTCAAAATCTGCTCTCAGAGGCAGATAACCTATATCTTGACCCAATTGCTGAACATTCTTTCTATTACCAACAATAATTGGCTCCCTAGAAAGGAGAGTTCCCATCACAAACTTGGCACATTCTGGATGCGCCTTTACATTCTCATTGAAAATAGTTTGCATATTCACTGGTGGAAGGGATAACTCCTTTCTTACAGACCAAATGATACCATCATCATCTTTTTTCAGATCCTTCTTGGAAATGTTCATCTTTTCATTTTGAATTGGAGCTTTAGTATCTGGAACAGGTACATAAATTTCAGTGTCTTCACTTGATGAACCCGTTGAATCATCAACAACTTTCTGAGTTTTAATCTTCTCCAATAAGGCTCTTCTCTTTGCAATTGGCCTATCTACATAGAGTGTCCAATAGTGATATTCACATTCATATTTTGATTTTTGCTTGCCTATGTGTTCGGCAATATCTAACCAATTTCCTAGACCCTTCTGGGAGATTCCTTCAAGGAGTTGTAATTCTTCATCAGCTGTCCATGTTGTAGATAGGAGAGGAGCTTGCAAATATTCCATCACCCGATAGGCATGATCATTCTTATGTTCTTTTGTTTCTACACCAACAAAAAAGCAATCAGCACACAAATCAAATTCATCACACTCAGCACAACGTATTCTCAACGATGATGAAATGTCCTTCTTGCAATAATCGCAGTGGAAACGATCTGTCTCCAGGTCGTCCTTCTGAAAAATTGAATTTTTAGCTTTCTTTGAATAGTGTTCGAAAATATCATAGTTTGTTACATGTTGATCAGGAACACGATGACCATCATCTTCAACTGGGGTTGGTGTTACAATAGTTGCTTGATGTTTTCGTTTCATAATTATATGATGACGATATAAGAAGTGTTATTTAACCTAGGTTGCCGTTATCAAAAAATTTCGCCAAGTTGATGATTTTTTGGCGGTTGATAAATATTTTAATTTTTCTTCTTGATGGATTTTGCTGGCATCCGAAAGAAATTGCTATGACAACAAATAATAATAATTAGATTACACTAATAGCAACAACACAGCAGAAAGATGGAACAAATACTCTGTGCCATACAATATTCATCATTATTAGAAAAATATTATTAGTTCTGATTCTTCACTGCAAAAAACAGTGAGTTTACGGCAGCGCCAGTTTCAGAAAGCAAATTGCCCTCACCTTTAAAAAAATGTCTGTTACTGAAAGTGAGGTTACTTCTGCAGTCGACGAACCAAGGGCTGACTTGGTCAAATATTGTAGATTTAGGCCTTTTATTAAGTTTGAAATGAGTGATGAAACTGATAAAAAGGCCCAATGTAGTGTAGCCTTCCACAAGTCTTTGAAGAATGTTCTCTTGAAGGTGAGTTGGAAATTAAGGCTAATTGTTAATCAAATGTAAAGTACGGAGTGGATAAACCTGTAAAGTTTGATTTTGATAAGGTTTTCCCAATGAGTACAACTCCAGAACAAATATTTGATGCCATTGGATCTTCAATTGTTGCAGGTAAGTACTAAGTTACCTTAACACTTAATGTTATCGAACAATATAGATATTCTATCCGGATGCAGCAATGTAGTTGTGAGTTGTGGTGCAAAATACAGTGGAAAATCATTCTCAATTATTGGAACGAGAAATTGGGATTCGGAAGAAATTGGACCAAATGATGCTCTCCTCTACAGGTGTTTCAAACATATTATTGACCAAGTGATGCTAGGAACAACTTTGAGACTTTTAGTCATTAAAGTAAAACAAAATGGTTTGGTGGAATTATCAAAGAGTAAGTTTTAATAAGGATTTGGGATATGAACACAATATCAGATAATAGTGTTATTCGTAATATGAAGGACCTGAATGAAGCAATGAAAATTGTTTTGAAAGAAGACCAACAAGATGCCTCTCCAGGAACACTAATTTATACTTTCAGATTAGAAGGAGTTATCACTTCAAACTTGTCTTTTGTAGATGTTGGATTGGAAGAAATGGTTCCATTATCAGATTATTTAAAGGGAATCAGAAATGATGCCAATACCTTATTCTCGACAGTATTTTCTCAATTATTAACTGATGACTTTAGAGCAATCATACTTGCCAACTGTTCTCCACATGTTTCGGCAGCAGAAGCAGCCAAGAAAACAATGGAACAAACTTCGTCTTGTATTTTGAAAAAGATTCCTCAACCAAAATCACAAACAACCGCCCAACTAGTTCAACAACCACAACAACCAGCAACTGTCACACCACAACCATCAAAACCATCAGAGGTTCCTCCAGTCCAGCAACCCCAAATTGACACACAAGAGATTGAGAAGTTGAAACAAGCCTATGAAACAATAATTTTCAAGCTTAAATCCAATAATGAATCTGTTAAATCAAAGCTGTTAAAAGTATCCAAGGAATTCAAAGACTTGAAGAAAAATCAAGTAGACATCAGAACGGAATATTTGGAACAAATTCAAAAGACTGGATCTACCTTAGGATCGTTCACTTCCACAGAAATTGGAAAAATATCATCACATTTGATTGAGGAAAGAAATAAGATTGTTACTGAGTTTAAATCACAATTAAATGAAAAGATGCATCAAATGGAAACCCTTCAAACCAGTTTGAATGTAACAACAGAAAGAGAGAAACAATTAAAACAAGATTTAGAAAACTTACGTGATCAACACGAAAAGGAGAAGAATGATATGGTTAAATCTGAAGAGGTTCTTAAATCTTCAGAAGAGGAATATCAAAAAATCATTGAAGATCTAACCATTAAACATGCTAGCCAAATGGAAGAGCTTTTAGATAGTATCGAGGTTGAAAAGAAAAAGAGAGCGGATTTGGAGCGTAAACTTCAAAAAGAAGTACACCACTTACAGGATGAAAAGGCCTCTTTCGAATCACAATTACAAAATACTAACAACATAATGGCTGAAAAACAAACCTTACTCGAGCAGACATTAGAAAAGCAACATTCCTTGGAAAAGGAATGCAAAGATTTAGCTGATAAGTTAAAGGTTGAACATTCAGGAAAGTCAGAACTTGGAGAGCATAACAATTTAATGAGAGAGCAAATTTCTCTTCTTGAACAAACTCTAATTGAATCAAAGAACAATGAAGATGCAACATTAGAAAAACTAAAAGAAACAAATAATCAAAATATGCAATTACAAGATTCAATCATTACCCTCAAAGAAACTTTGAAAGAGGATCAAACAAAGTTGCTGAATTCTCAAAAAGAAAAAGAACTGTTAGAAAAGAAAATGGTAAGAACAAAGGATGATTTGGAGCATCAAATCGAAAGTTTGAAGAAAGAGATGGCTCAATATAATCAAACTTTTTCTCTCGAAAGAGAAAATTACAAGTCTAAAATAGCCGATCTTAAAAACACATTTTCTCTAAACCACGAGCAAACAGAAACAAAACTTTTATCTCAAATAGAGGAAGAAAGATCATTGAAACAATCTTTCCAAAATGAATTCAATATCTTTAAAGAAAAATCAACAGCTTCTGAAGAAGACCTTAAACAAAGATTGACAGAAATTGAAAAACAACTCCAGCAAACAGAATTAGAACATAATAAGAAATTGGCAGAGGTTGAAGATCGAATTAAGACGAAGGAAAAAGAAGTTGAGGGAAAGGAATCCCAAATTCAACAACTTTCAATTTCAGAGTCTGAATTGAAGGTTTCAATTCATGAAATTTCCCAAGATTTGCATTCAGAAAGAGAAAAATCCTTAAAATTAACATCAGAAATTGACCGATTGACAAATATTGTCAATCAAAATCAAATAGATATGAACAAGAGCTCCAATGACGTGCAACAAATGGTTAAAGAATCTGAAGAGAAGTATGAAAAGATATCCTCACAGTTTGCTGAATTGCAATCCACACTTTCAGAAAGAAGTAATACTATTTTGGACCTCACTAACGAATTGCATTCTGAAAATGAAACTGTTGCTAATCTTAAAAAATTGATTGAATCCAATTACATGTCTTCAGAAAAACAAATAGAAGAACTTAAACTTGCGCTAAATGAACATAAGAATCAATTGGAGGAGAGAATTAAAGAGCTTGAAGACTTGAGATCAATTATTACATCTAAAGATGAAGTAATTACAACAAAAGATGATCAAATCTCTCATTTAACACAAAAAAAGAATAATGTTGAATCTCTTTTGGAGAAAATGAAGCATGATGCCTCCTCCAACCACGAGACTTTGGTTGTTGAAAATAACAAGCTTGAAGAAGAGAAGAATAGACTTGACAACAATTACCAACAAGCTCTAGAAACCATCAAGAAAATTCAAGATGAGTTGAGAAACTCGAATGAAACTGTGATTTCCCTGCAACTTCAATTAGAGGCAAAACAAAAAGAACACTCTTCCCTCAATTCAAAATTCAATGATTTGCAAGAAAAGTTCGAAGATGTATCCAAAACTTTACAAGAAACCAAGTCCGATCTTACTCAACAGTTAACAGATAAAGAAAGTCTCTTGAAAACTCTTTTGCAAAAGACTGATGATATGACCAAAGAATTGGCTGAATATAATAAGGAGAAAGAGGCCCAAATTACTTTAGAGGAAGAAAGCAAAAAATTGAACGAGAAATTGAATACCACCAATCAAGAACTTTCTAAATTAAAAGAGGAATTACAAAACACAACACAAGATAGGGATTCTACAAGATCAGAATTGGAAAATACTCTTAAAATTGTATATAACTTGAATAATACTGTTAATTCCCTAACTGAAGAAAAAGATAATTTGCATGAACAATTACATACAGAAATGGAAAACAAATCTCAGTTGGAAAACACCTTGCTTTCAAACTTGGATAAAACAACATTAGAACAAAGAAGTGAAATTCAAAAACTTAAGGAAATATATGAAAGTGAAATCAAGAAACTCCAAGAAGCAAGCAAAACAGAAATCATTAATCAAAAGGAAAAATACGAATTTGATTTGAATGAACTAAAAACGAGATATGAAAGAGAAATGGAAAGTGTTAAAAAATCCTATCAAGATGAAATTGGAGTAATGAAGGAAAGTTGTGAAACTGAGCTTAATATTCTAAAAGAAAAATCTGAAGAGGAAATTTCACAACTAAACTCTCAAACAAGTAATCAATCATCCAAGATTAAACAATTATCTGAAGATCTGAGGAAGAGTAAGGATAGTATTGAGAAGGAAATTTCCAGGAGAAGCTCTATTGAAAAGGAACTCCACGACTTGCAAAAACAACACAAATCTCTAGAAAAGGAATCCCAAGAAAAGAAAGATACTCTTGAAAAGTCTCTTAAAACACTCAAGGAAAAGGAAGCCGAGTTGAAGGAAATCAAGAGGGATGCAATTGATCTCTCTAAAAAGTGTAAATCTTGGGAGGTTACATCTCAAGAAAAAGATAAGGAAATTATTAAACTGAAGAAGGAATTGGAAAAGAAGACAATTGCTTTATTAGAAAAAACAGCTAAGCAAGAGCCTGCAATAGATAACGAACTTGTAAAACGATTACAAAAGGAGAAGGAAACCTTAGAACAACAAGTTAAGGAATTGACGGAAGCCCCAGCTGCAAGTGAAACACCTTCAATCGAAGTTTCAATGATGAAGAATGAACTCGAAATGGGTAAGGCAGAAATTTCTGACCTCAGAGAAAAGCTCAATGAATTGCAACAAGAAAAGAAGAAGAATCAAATTATTTCTGATATTGGTGTCAAACCATCAAAGGACAAGATTCTATCCCATATTCAAACATTAATCTATGCTATTGAGAAGGCAAAGCAAGAAAAGTATCATTACAAGAAGACTTGCAAATTACTTGAACAAGAATTAGAATTATGGAAGTGTGCTGTTCCTTCAGTCAAACAACAAAAGGATACAGTAAGCAAATTCACAAAGTGTGAAGAAATAATCAAGGAAATGAAATCTAGTATCAAACAACTAAGAAGTATTCAAGAGTAATAAATCTAAGGAATTTTATTTGTACCCAGTCTGTAATTTCCCTGTGACTTTTGGTTTACCTATTCCTTATCATTAGCTCGATTGATTTGAGAGAAACTCTTTTGAATGAAGAAGATGTTTCAAGCAGAGGATGATTTTGATGTAAGTCTCTGTCCATAATTGAAGCCTTCAAAGAGTTTGGATTCTTCTCAATACCTTGAATTCTTGAGCATATTTCAGCGATTGCATTATTGAACTTTACATGAGTTGTGGCCATTAAAATAAGAGAAACTCTACAAGCTCCATCTACTTCGTTAACATTTGGTAGCATAGCACTATCGAATACTTGGCAGGTTTGTTCTTTGGAAGGGAGTAATTCCAAGTCATTCTCTGATTGCAAAACTTTTAATTTCTTTGGATAGACTGAAATATGAGTACCTGAAGGATCTCTAAACATTATGCAAAATCTAACAGACTTTGAATGTCTGTTTTGTACATTGAGAGCAAATTGTTCTCCTCTCACTAAACTTGGAATATTAAAGCATGGATCAATTCTGATTGAATTTCTATTGCATACATTTTGAATGGAGAAAACAATGCTACTATCAAGTAAATGGTGGTGATCTAACGTGAAAATATCAACCATTGCAGGAAGATTTTGTTCAATGGAAAGATACAACTTTTTATCCTTCTCTTCGGTTGGGTCAACCTTCTTATTCTCATTATGTACATCTTGTTGGTGGTTAATCATCTTCTTGAGAGGGAGGAGAGAATAAGACGACTCTTCTTCATCATCACTTAGGATAATACCAGAAGTTATTGGTGTCGAGGAGGAAGGACTTGATGGTTTAGTGGAAGTTGGATAATTTACAGGAGAAGAGGAAGTAACAGAAGGAGAAAGTGTATCAATCATATCAACTGAACGAAATTCATCATCCATCATCATTACATCTGCTTGTTGTTCTTCAAACAGGGAATTGTTTAATCCCCTGATAAAGTCAAAAATTGGTGGCGTACTAGCCTTCTTAACCACCAATCGACTCCTAATGTCTTCATCAAGTTGTAAGAGAGAGAAGGGTGTTCTATATTGATAATTCAAAATGTTGATAGAAGAATCTGAATGTTTAGAAGGTGATAATCTGTTTTTAAGTTCTGAAGAGGAGGAGGAACCACCTAAATTCAAATCCTTTGTCTTCCTTTGCTTTGTAATGACACTCTTCATTGAATCTTTACGTATATTGTCATTCTTTTGTTGAACAAATTGCATTGATCGTTGGGCCAATCCTAAAGGCATATTCATCATCATGTTATTAGCATCGGTATTACCAGAAGAATTATTGACACGGCAACTCGTTAAACCTTGGCTGTTTCCCATACTGCTACTACTCGAAGCAATACCTGAACAGCTGCTGGTTGATGATGGCATCAGGGGAGCAGAGGAAAGATGGGAAGAAGTTGATGTAAAACTTCCGCAAGGTTGGACGTTTCTGCGCTGATCCATTTTTTTGTTTGCTGAATTTAAGAATAGCTTGTGTTGGTTTGCTATGGAAAAGTTTCTATCGTCAATTGGATCGGATAGTGGTTTTTGATTGGATTTTAAAGAAAGGATAGGGAAGTAATAATGGGGAATGTTCAAAATCTCTGTGTGTCTTGGTGAGTGGATTATATATCTGAATGAAAAAACACCAATCGAGTTATGAACAAGTAAGAGAGGAGAAGCCAAGTTTTGCCAAATGAACTCTGATTTTTGTTCAGTGTTTAAAAGTGAGCGAGGAGGTAAAATTACACAAATATTGATATCAGAATAGACCGGATGAATATTCTAGAACAAGTTTTGTTTTGCTCTTCTATGGTAGTGTAGAAAAACAGGCTGGATAATAAGGGACGAACCACAACTTATTTGGACAAAAAAAATTGGCGCCAAGTAGCGGTGTTGGAATCGGTTCAATCAAAAAGAAAACTCACAAAATGAGGTTGTATGGGATTTTGACTGAGGTGCAGGATTTTGATTGAATGAAAGATCAAAATCAATACTCTGGAGGATGACCAAAAAGCTTTTGAGATTTGGGTTGGTTATTAGATTGGGTTGGATTGAGGGAGGATTAGAAATTGAATTAATATTGTCTGTTAGATAATAATATTAGGCTTTGGATTTGATTCTTTGTAGTGTTGGTACAATGGAGGAATATGAGGCAAATAATTATATTGGTTAGAATATGATTGATTGTGCTGCCAGGCAATATTATTGATGTTGTGTAATAACAATTAATATTAATATTTAGGTTGATGAACAATTTAGAGGCAAAATACTATCACTAGATTAATAATACTATTTAAATACTATTAGGATAATACTATTTATATAATAATGGGAATGTAAAAAACACAAATCCGAGGATGATCAAAAGATAATGAATTTGATAATGATTGTGAATGTCGGCAGCACAACCAATACTATTGATTTGTTTTTTTGTTTCGAGAATCCACATTGTTAAGAATTTTGTGGGATTCTTATGCGCACTACACGAATTAATCTTGAATGAGGCCACAGCTTTTTTACATAGAATTAACCTGGAATATTGATTAATTGTGATTTTACAATCAAGTTTTCCCTCTTGTTGATTTTGATATGATGTTTTTATGACTAAGGTATATTGAACTCGATTTACAGTTACTCAACCTGTGGCTTGGTTGTGCAGTAGACCATTTCCTTTTCCTAATCCAACAAAACAAACAGGCAACATTTAGGCGGATAAAACAATTCTGTTAGAAAAATTAACACTATTAGAATAGTAGAATAACGAATCATGGTTGGCGATGCAAAATTTCGTGATGAAAAATTAAAATAACAACAAAAAACTCACTTAACTGTTTATTCCAATATTCTCAAATATTTGAGATTGGGCGCTAAAAAGATTCAAACAAAAAGATTCCTTTTAACAATTAACCACGTATTTTAGATTCAATCTTGAAGAACAAAGTCTTGCTTGTTTTTCCAAAAAAAACACTATAAACAAATCCACCCGTGAAATAGATCATTTCCAACGCAAATAAATACCGTCATCAACAATTGATCAATAATATTTCAATCTTTGTGTCTGAACAACCATAACAACAAAATACCTTTACAATAACAACCAAATCTTCACAAATATGGAAGGAATGGAAACAATAACAAATCTGCCTCCAACTGAACCTTCCAATCAACAACAACAAGATGAAGAAAATAATTACATGACCTTCTTCACTAAAGGGAATACTCTATTTGAAAGTGGATCTTTTCCTGAAGCCTATGAGGAAATTGAAAAGGCAATCCAAATACTCGTAGAACAAGCTCAATCCAAAGCCATGAAAACCATGATCAAAGAAGAGGAAGAAACAACCGATTTAACTCTCAAGAGGGTCAATCAACAACAAACATTCTTTCAACGAAGAATTGTTAAATATAGTAAATTTCTATACAGAGAATTACAATCAACAGATAGTCCAAGTGATTCTTCCAATACTAATGATTCGATTGGTCCACATTATGTCTATGAACATTTAAAGATGGCCTTAAATTGTAGAGCCAAAATATTAATTGCTTTAGGATATCCAGCAATGGCACTTTTGGATTCGTTTTTTGTTTTGGAAAAGCTGGAATTCCCACAAAGTTTGGAACAAGGTGATGATGCAGTTGATGGAATGATTAATGCCTTTATAGCAATGAAAAATTATACACTTGCTCTTCAAAACATCAATGTTCAAATTCAAAATTATCAAATCCAATCGATTGAGAATGAAAAAACAAAACAATTGAACGAAAAGAAAGATTGGATACTCAATGAAATTAAAACAAATCAAAATGATCAAACACCATCTCAACCTCTTGATTTTAAATTTCCAATTCCAACTTTCAAAAGAAAATTAGAAAACATTCTTGGCAATCGAACTGAAACAGACGACCAAGTTGTACAAGGTCTATTGAAAGAGTGCTCACCCCTCCATGCACATGTTATAACTACTGAACAATATGGCAGAGGCATGTATGCATCGAGTGAATTGAAATCTGGGCAAGTAGTTCTTTCTGAGAAACCATTTCTATGTGTTACATTGGACACTGAAAATACTTGCAATAATTGCTTGAATAAGCTTAAAAAGAAAATACCATGCAAAAACAATTGTGGAATGGAATATTATTGTTCAATGGAATGTAGAAGTGAAGCATGGGATAAATATCATAGAAAATTGTGTGGCTTTGATATGAGGAATATAAACAAGATGATTGTCAGTGGCAGCACTAATTCAGCAAAGAATCATTTGTATGCTATCAAGTTTTTGGGGATGTTATTGCAGATAGTTTATCCACAAGGTGAATTAAAACAACAAGAGATTAGATATGTTCAGTTTATTGAAAAATTAGAAGAAAATAATTCAAGTTTTAAATGCTTAATTGCTTGGCCAAATATTTTAAATGATTTAATTGGAAAACTGAGCTATCATGTATCATTGGATAAGATTGGAAATAACAGTTTTAAATATGGTGATGCAATGTCTAATGGTGTTGCTCTTAGTTCAACACTTCCAAAAACAATTGTATACACGAATCACAGTTGTGTTCCAAATGTGGAATATAGATACGAAAATGGAAAATGCTCTTTGGTAGCTTTGAGAAAGATTAAGAAAGGTGAACAATTGTTTATTTCCTATGTGAATCCTTCACTGAGTGCCCAGAAGAGAGCAGAGTCTATTCTTCCCTATATTTTTGTTTGTGAATGTGAAAAGTGTGAAAAGGATGGTTGTAACAAAATACAGACAAAGTTGATGCAAAACTACAAGAAAAAGTAGAGTAAAAAGTATTTAAGTTTTTTCATTTTGGAATATTTCACCTTTCTTAATCTTTGAAACCAATCACCTACGAACACTAATATCATTATTCTTCATTCAGTTCAGTTGCTCTATAAAATACAATATTCTGAATACTTCACTTTTCAAATTGATCAGCTTGAGATGAGATAAAAAATTGATGAGTGTGGGATTTGAACCCACGCCCTTGCGGAACACGGTATTAGGCATACCTTAACGTGTCGTCTTAGACCACTCGACCAACTCACCATCTGGTTAATAAAATTTAAACAACATATGATTGAATATTTTCGGGTGGTTTTGAAGCAAAGATATTTGTAGCAAGATACCATCCGTCGCAAAAAAACTTGCTTCAAGCAAAAGTGGGTGAAAATATTTTGCATTAAGCTATTATTAACACACGATCAGATAGCTGTATTTCACAACAAAAAAAAACAACCAAACAATAATATATTTCACACAACAACAACCAAAATGCAAGCCCAAGTCAATTTTAATCAAATCAAGTCAGCAATTTTCGTTCCTTTGGATAAGAAGAAATCTGATCAACATTGTTCTCTCCTTTTCAGCAATCTAATTGGTAACGATTTACAATTCAGAGACAACAAGTACACATACTGTGGATCATATGATCTTTCACAGTGGTTGGTTCTCTGCTTTAATACTATGGTCAAAGAAGACGAAAAGTTATTTGCAGAGATTGTAATTCCTTTGGTTGCATACATTTCCATTGTTGATGATGCATGTGACGAGAAGATTACAGACATTTCTATTGAAGAGATGAAATCACATTGCAAGATATTCAGAGGTGAATCAGTACAAGCAACAAATCCTGCTCATAAGATGGGGACGCTCGTCTATAATCTGATCAAAGACAGTAGATTCGATGGTATCAGAGGAAAGGTTTTGGAATTCTTGACTATTGGAACCAATCTCATAGAGAAGGCAAAGAATGAATGTGAAAATAATGGACTAGTCTCAGAAGAAACCTTACTTGCCTTTTTGGAAGAGAGAAGAGTCGACTCAATGTCCTCTCTTTTCTTTACAATTAATAATTTCTTTAAAGGCATTCCAGAAATCGACACATGTGATCATGTAATCGAATATAACCACTTGGCTTGTGACATTATCAGTTTGTTCAATGATGTTGCCTCAATCGCTAAAGATGCCAAGAAGGTAGTTAACAATTTTATCATTTTGAATAAGGGATTCAAGGAGGGCTTGTCATACAGCCAACTAAAAGAACTCCCAGTTGAAGATTTTGAGTCATCCCTCAATGAAGTATTGGAATTAATCAAAGAGAAATTGCAGCGAATGGAAACAATCAAATCTTCCAACCCAGACAATTCCAAACAATTTGAATCCATCGATGAAGTAATGAATGGATATTGTACTTGGTGCATCATTTCAAAGAGATTTCAACATTCCAACCACCTCCTTCCTGAATACCACTCCAAGAAATCAGTAATCAAGACAATGATTGAAACTGTGTTAATGCCATTCCTCAAACCTTGGTCTGATAATGATATGCTCACCTATCTTGATGATATTGAAAATTCCATGAAGAAATCCTCCTTTTCATGCATATTGGACTCATTTGCTTACTCGATCTGCAAATTTTGCACTTTTTCACTCACTAATTAGTTGTAAATAAATTCATGTAAATTCCTCACAAAATTAAATAACAATATGAATGGAAGTAGTACCTTTTAATAACTTTTATCAATACTTCTTCTTCCTTTGTCTTTGTAATGTCAATTCAGTAACATTTCAATTTTGAATGTCAATTTTTGGTTGACTTGTGATTTGGAACTTGGTTAAACAACACACTGAAAAAAAATATGCCCATCACATTTACTGTCTCCACAAAGAAACCAAACGAAGTTTCCCTTCCAGCTTTTGAGATCAAGCAGATTCTTCCCGATCCAACAAAAACCAAGGAAAAATTCACCTTGGTAAAATCAAGCTGTAGCTCAAGTCCTGATTTCCTGACAGTTGGAAATAATTCATTTATTCACTCAGCAATTTTGGCATATTCAGAACATCATAATTTAGTCATTAGACCTGATGATGTTTGGATTGCAATTGCAACTCAATTTGCTAATTATGTCAACTCAAAATCAGAAGAATTGAGAAGCAAATTTGTTGACTTTGATGGTAAAAAGGAATTGGTTGTTGTGGGAGGTGGAACTCTCTTCACTGCCGATTGTGCGGATTTAACTTTGAGAATGACTGAACAAATTGCAAAGAATATCAAAGATCCATCAGTGAGAGATTGGATCATGCCAGATTTTTCTACCACAACAAATTTGGAAAAAATGGTTGGTGCTGTTGTGTTAATGTCAACAACCAAGAACTACTTTGATTACAAGTATGTTTTGCGTTGTGGCTTACCAAGTGTAACCTTATTGGGAGAGAAAGAAGATTGGCAAAATTTGTACGAAAGGGCAAAGAGATTAATTGAATTTGATACAAAGGCCAAACTTATGAAAAAGTGGTCTGACATGTTGCTTCCTGTTTTGGAGCAATTTGTTAAAAGTGCCTCTGGTAATCCAGATACCAAGTGGTGGAACAGAATTGCTCATGTATTTGGAGGAGGATCAGGACCAACCTATATCAGTGGATGGATTGGAGTTTTTTCTGCATTTTCTGATGCTGGTGTTTGGAGAGGAGATGTAAAATCAGCTAAAGATGTTAAAAGTGAGTGGCCAATCATGGACATGCAAGATATTTCAAGAGGTTACGTATCTGTTCCTGTAACTGTTGATGATAATGGAACAATTTACAAGACTGAATTGTATGCAGGACATATGTGTGCCAGATTGCACAATAACTCAAATGACAGCATCATTCCAAGAGTTGATTGGGCACTTTTTGTAAAGCAATAAATTCTTCTTAGAATAGTTTACACTTTTTAATTTACATCTTTTTCGATTTGGCAATCTTCATATTTATGGAGATTCACAAACTTTTTCTCATTCAATTCAAACAAATAAATCAATTTTCCAAATAGTAATGCAGTAAGTGTATAATCATTCTTGAGAATATTCGCACCAGATGGAATTATTGCACTAGTTCCTCCTGCAGGGAAATTCACTTCTAGACAAGGTTCCAATTTGAGTGAATTGATACTTATCTAACATTAACATGAATCCACCAACAAAACCAATACCTTCATGATTATGACTTGTTGTGTAAATCTTCAAATCATGATTCAAATTGAATTCACTCACTCCTTTCCACATAAAACAAGCACAGTCAACAGAACATCCCGAAGAACTCCTTCTCGTATAACAATCTGCAGCTGCTCTGATTGGTCTTCAATCAAATTAATTTATTGTAAAAAATTCATGTTCAAGTGCTCTTAATGGATCAATTCTGACCTCCTTATATTTCGAAAGCATTTTCAAAATCAAAGCATCTGCTAATTGACCTGATTCTCTTGTCTTTTCATAATAATTAGATTTAACAATATTTCGAAAAATAATTCCAACACTGTACATATCAGAGGATGGTCCTACAGTGCCGTAATTCTCTTTTTCAGGAGCTTTGTAAAATGGATTTCCAATATTAAATCGTCCAGCAACATGTCTACAATATTCAACATCAATTATTTTCAGCACTGAATCATTTCTATCATAAACGATATTATCAGGTTTCAAATTGTGATGAGTTACAAAATTATGTCTCATGTAGGCACATGCATTCAATAATTGACTCATGTAACTTTGAATATCTTTAAAATTCTTTGGTGTATAACCAGTTCCATTCTTGTATTCCATGACCAGAGTAATTTCATCCTTTTTTAAACTAATATGGTACTATATATTTGGATGACTATACTTTCTATGAAATTCTAGCTCATTAATCACATACTCATAACTTTTCTCAAAGGAATATTTCTTAATAACCAAATCTGTCTTTCCATGTGAAAATTGATTTGGACTTGCTGAAACACTATGAACGAAAGGAAGTTCTTTTTGCAATACAGAAACAATTGGGCATGTACTATACTTATCAAAGGAAATGTATCTCTCTGCAATATCTGAATACATGCTAATGTGTTCGTCAGTAATTCCAAATCTAGGACAGTGCTCATTTAGATAATCCATTTCTTCCCTATTCAATTCATGGAACTTTAAGAAAGTAATAGTGATAGGAAATGAACTTTCATTCTCTATTAAAAAGTATAAAGCAAATAACGCCTCTGCTAAATAATCTTGTTCAACAAAATTGTTAAGGAATCGGTTGTAAGGGCGAATGGATTGTTCTTAATGGATTTCTTAAATTCAAATACTTGCATTTTTTTAGAGTTTAATGTGGTAGTTTATTGGTTTTCAATCGAATAAATAGTTTTTGTGTAGAGTTTCATGTGGTCAAGGAACATGCAAAGAACAGTAAATAATTAATGTGCTGTAAAAAGTACAAAAAAGATAGAAGTGGAGATGCGGGGTATCGATCCCCGTACCTCTTCCATGCTAAAGAAGCGCTCTACCATGTGAGCTACATCCCCATTATATTCAAAGTAAATATACACTATTCATGAATGTTTCAGGAAATTATTTTAAAATATTTTTTACATAGCTATCAATAGTATTAATTCAAGTATTAAATGAATAAAAACCAAGACTAATTTCACAAAAGTCAAAATGAATATAAAAAGACTAGAGCACCACAGGTTCCCAAGTTGTCTCCAACCTCAGTACTGATGTGGCTCGACGATGCTTAACTTCTCAAATCGGACGGGATGAGGTGCATTCATCGTGATATGGCCGTAGCCATTCAGTTACTTACAATGTGAAATATGAACAATTTTCCCTTAATACAATGAATATAAAGAATATTCCTTTATCGCAATAGGAACGAATTTCTAAAGATATTGTTAAACTGAAAAGCGTCCAAAATAGTATTCCCAATAGAAATATGCAAAGTCTCAAAAATATCACTAGAATTCCAATAGAAAGTTAATATTCCTCTTCTTTGAATTCCTTTTGTACATTACATAAATATCTGAACAATTTCAAAAAACCCAATTAATATTTTCGATTCTAATGGTATTTCAAGAAATGGCTATACCAGGAAAGTAAAAAAATAGTTATCGTCCACATGCAAAATTCGTATGGCTCGCCACGTTTACCGTCTCGGGAGGAATCGAACCTCCGTCAATGGATTCAAAGTCCACTATGCTACCATTACACCACGAGACGAGCACATTATTGTAAAAAGGCAGTAAATCTTACATCAATTAAGGTTAGGCTTGGTTTTGGCTCGCTGCTATTGCGAAAGAGTCGATTTGTTTTTACAATAAAAAAAATGAAACGATTACGAGAAACAGGAATTGATCCCAACTTCACAGAAGAGAATAACCAAGTAATAATCAGTCATCAGCATGAAATTAAAGAATTTCCCGATGACATTTGTTTTGAAATTATTTCCTTTCTTATAGGAGGTAAATATTCAAATTGGTTTGTTTTGAAAAATTACACTCGTATATCAAGACAATGGATGAGAGTAATCAAGGAACGTTCGGAAATTTATTTGAAATTTAAACAGCCCATTGATGAGGAAAGAATTAAATTAATGGAAAGGAGCCAATTTTTGGAATGTATTTGTGGAGTGCACTTTACGGAGGAATCGAAAATATGTAATGAAAGTTTAAAGGTATTTGGGAAGTTTAAGAATTTGCAAACTCTGGTATTTGATTCCTATTTAATTGATGATGATGGTGCTAAAATTATTAGTAAGATGGACCAATTGAAGAAACTTGATCTGATAAGTAATGTGATTAGTTCGGAAGCAACTCAATCAATTGGTAATTTGATTAATCTTACGGAATTGAGTATTGGCTATAATGATATTGGTTATAAGGCTGTTGAATATTTATCAAAACTTGAAAAACTGACTATTCTAAATATTAGTAAGTGTAAGATCACAAACTTGGGTATTGAATCAATGATTGGAATGAAACAATTGACAAGCCTTGAAATAAGTGAAAATGGTATTGATGATAGTGGTGTAAAATCTTTGATAGAACTAAGTCAACTAACAAAACTTGACATAGATCATAACGAAATAAGGACAGAAGGATGCAAATGTATTAGTCAAATGAAAAATTTGACTGATCTGAGTGTTGGATTAAATGGAATTGATGAGGAAGGAATTAAGTTTATATGTGAATTGAAACAATTAACTAATTTGTCAGCTCATGCAATACAAATTGTTTCAGTTGATGGAGTCCAATCAATAACCTCTTTGAAACAACTGATCAGTCTGAATATTGGTGACAACTGGATTGGTGACGCTGGTGCAAAGGTAATAAGTGAAATGAAACAATTGAAAACACTTTATATGCACTCAACTTTAATAGGAATAGATGGCACCAAATCAATTAGTGAAATGACAAATTTAACTTTTTTAGATATATCAGCTAATAATTTAGGAGATGAGGGGGCAAAACTAATAAGTGGATTGAATCAATTGATTAAACTTTGGATTTCTGAAATTTCAATTGGAAATGAAGGAGCTGAATCTATAAGCAAGCTGGAAAAATTGACTGAACTTGATGTTCATAGAAATAGTATTGAAACTGAAGGTGCTAAATCCTTATCTAAATTGAAACACTTAACACGTCTGGATATTTCTGAGAATTTTATTGAAGATTCAGGAGTGAAATACCTATCCAAAATGAAGAAATTAAAACATTTAAATGTATATGATAATGGAATAGACAATGGAAACAAGTATCTGAAACGTATGAAAAAGCAACTGAAAAAGAAAAATTATGGTTTTATTGAGTGACCAAAAGAGAAATTATTCATTGTAAAAAGAATAAGAAAGGCCCAACACGATAGAGCAGGTAAATTACTTTTCTTGCAAGAAACAGAATCAATCTGAGTGAATATGGAGCACTACAAGGTCCTAATTAAACATCATTGCAAATTTGCAAGCACCAAAATAGGTCTATTTTAATATAATACATTTAAGTATTATTCTATTATCCATTGTAAACATTTTCCATTGAATCTAAAACGTCATCTAGCCAACCATTAAAAAAAGAAGTACGTTCGAACATTGTTCAACGTTTCCATCCAACGTGTTGCAACAACTTGTGTTTTCAATTTTTCAATCACGTCAAAAATTAACTATTTGGACGAGTGAACAAGGAACCACCAATTTATTTAATTAAAAATTAAAAAAAAAACATCAAAACGTAAAGGGGAGATTTAGTCTTTGTTTTACGTGTGTGGCTTTGTAAATAGAAGAGAGAGAATTTTTCACAACAATTATCGGAAGTGTAAAATATAGTGTATAGAGAAAAGAATGAATTCGAATGACCATCATGAGAAATTAAAGAATGGAACTGTAAAGCCTCATTTGGATCCATATTCTTATTTGATTAATAATACTAATGGAAAGGGTTTTCGTTCCAAGTTAATTGATGCTTTTAATGAGTGGTTTAAACTTTCCGAAGATGAATTGAATGTAATTAAGAGTATTATTGATAAATTGCACAATGCCAGTTTACTAGTTGATGATATTGAAGATAATAGTAAATTGAGAAGAGGAAAACCATGTGCTCACCTCATCTATGGCACTCCTGCAACCATCAATTGTGCAAATTATGTATATTTTGAAGCTTTGAAGGATATTCAAAAGTTAAATTCAAGCTTTAGTGACCAACAATCATTTTCCGAGGCAATCACTGTCTTTATGGATGAATTGCTCTTATTACATGAAGGTCAAGGTTGTGATATTTATTGGAGAGACAATGGAATTTGTCCTTCGGAACAAGATTATCTTGTAATGGTGCAAAATAAGACTGGTGGATTGTTTAGACTTGGAGTTGGATTGATGAAAGCAAGTTCAACCCAGAAGGATAGCAAAACATATGATTTTACTCCACTTGTTAATTCATTGTCAGTTCTCTTCCAAATTTTGGATGACTATCTGAACTTGCAAAGTGATATTTATCATACAAATAAGAGTTATTGTGAAGATTTAACAGAGGGAAAGTTCTCTTACCCAATTATTCACTGTATTTTGGAACAATTCAAATCAGGTGACACTCGTCTTCTCAACATTTTGAAACAAAAATCATCAGACAAAATTTTAAAGGATTATGCTTTGGAACTGATGACAGAAACCAACAGTTTCTCTGTAACAGTAGAAAAGCTAAAGCTTGTACATATAGAACTTGTAAAATTAATTCAAGATATCAATGGAGGAAATCCAATGTTGGAAAAAATTGTTGCTGGCTTAATGAATCAGGCCATGCAAGAAACAGGTCAAAATAATGTACATAATAATTAAAAGTTTTTATTCAGAGACATCATGTGTTTTTGCATCGAGGCGTTACCTTTTGCAAAACCCAATCTCACTTTGGCTTCACCAATCTTGGCATTATCTTTGGTTTTCTTGGCAAGTTCAAAACTTCTCTCAAAAAAGGCGATACTTTCGTCATGTTGGCCCTTACTCCCCAAGGCCATACCAAGTTTAATACATGCTGTACCAATTCTGTCATCATCCTGTGCTTCTTCTGCACTAGATAAAAATTGATTATATGTTTCGATTGCCTTATCGATTTCGTTTGTTTGTTCATAAAGCTCTCCCAAAGCACAAAATGAATCTGACTTTCCCTTCTTATCCTCAATGTCTTCACATACGGTAGTATACATTTGTTGGTACTCAATTGCCTTCTCAAAGTCCTGTAGAGATTTATATACATTTCCCAATTTGAATAAAGAATTGGAAATCATTTCCTTATCTTTCAGCATTTTTGCATTCTTTAAACTCTTTTCATAGAAAAGACAAGCGTTATGAAGATCCGATTGATTTTCTGAATCCTCTCCCATCTTCATGTACACTCTCCACAATTGATTGATTGCTCTCTCCTCTTGGACTTGATCGCCTGCTGAGTGAGCTAAACTCATATGAGCTTCGTGATATTTAACAGCCATGTTGACCTTCCCCATTCTTTCATACATTTTACCAGCATTTTCCTTTGATAGTCCTTCTAATTGTGAATTTGAAGACTTTGAAAAATGTTATGATTCAATTAGGTTTGACAACTTACTCTCCTTGCTGTATTTTCACCCAATTCATAGAAATAGTACATTGTATTATAATCTCTTTCTGATTCAAAATAGTCTGCAATTTGTTTGAAAATATCATAAACCTTTTCGAATTTTCCTCTTCTCTTATAAGATTCTGCCTTCACAAGCATTTCCTTAATAGATCTGAGTCTATCGTCCGTTAACGTAAAATAGGTATCTGTAATATCATCCACAAGCTAATTGTATAGTATTAGAATATTCACCCCATTCAATATTTTAGAAAACTTACCACTGGATCTCTATGGGCCAATAAGAATAATTCCTCAAAAGCATCTACATATCCCTCAGCCAACGATTGAATGCACAGTTTGGCTCTATTAGAATGGGTAGTTGTTACGCTTGCTCCCAACAATTTTGAATCCGATGTTCTGGAAAGAGGTCTCTTGATTGGTTCCAATGTAGATCTCTGTAACTCTTCATCCCTCTTTCTTGTCGACATTGGAGCAAGATCCATATCATTACTGCTCCTCAAAGAACTGAGTCCTGATTTTCGCTCACCTTCAAAACTCTTTTCTTTAAGTGATTTGTTTAATGTTTCCTCAAATCTCTCTCTTTTAAAATCTTCATCTAAAATTGGAGTCAATAGAGGATTAATGTGAGACCTAGAACTGACAGAAGAAGCACTACTTCTTCCACTTAATTGTTCCGACTCGTGATTGATTGGACTTAATCGTGATTTGAGGTAACTTGAAGAAGCTAACTCTTCGGAAGGCAATCTAGGTACTTCTTTTTTCAGTTTAGACTTTTTCTTTACAACCTTCTTTTCCTGTTCCTCTTCATCGTCATCATCAATAACTCCAAATTTTGCTGTATGAACATTGAGTTGATGTTGAATATTCATTTGATTAAAAGAGTGAGGTAATCTTCGGCCAGAGACATTCTTAATAAGTGCTCCTTGTTTTGCTGTTGAGGTTCTCTTATTAACAGAACCTAAAGATGGCTCTACCATCTTCATATTGCTTGGAGAGCCAAACTCATTTGTAGACATGGCCCGTATAGACATTTTTTCAGTTATTTAAAGTACGAAAGATGTTTTTTTAACGTAAATTTATTTTAATAATAAGGCGGGAACATTTGATGCTTGATTAATCAAGGTCTGTTCTTCGGAACAAGTTGGTTGATAAGTTTTGATGATTTGATTGATACAATAGAGAAACAAATGATATTGTGATACATGCTTTTCAAAACCCTCAGTGAATTTTAATTTAATGATGATAATAAATATTTATTGTTGTTTGTTTGTGATGATTAGGAGTTGTACTTAGAGGAATATTTACAATGCTATTGTGCCTAGGGTTGTGTTGCAATTTGCATTCACACAGGTATTTGTTGTTCATATCATATCGGAAGTAGAATTATTCATCTCTGGCAGCTTGCTTAGCCTTGGATCTAGCAGTTCTAGTAGCAGAAGCGGCTTTCTTGACTCTTGATTCAGTTCTTGGACCATCAACCTTTGCAGATTCCTTCAAGTTCTTCTTGGTAGTCTTCTTTGGCTTGGAAACTCTTGGAGCAGTCTTTTCATCCTTCTTGGACTTTTTCTTTTCGGTCTTCTTGGTAGACTTCTTCTTTTTATCTTCTTCTTCTTCTTAGATGATTCATCGGATTCTTCCTTCTTCGATTTCTTGGATTTCTTGTCCTTCTTATCTTCCTTTTCATCTTCATCATCACTTTCCTTCTTTTCGAGGACAATCTTATTTTCCTTCATGTAAGACTTCTTGTAATCAGCTTCAACCTTGTAAGAACCCTTGACCTTGACCAACTTTTCAGATTCGACCAACTTTTTGATGGCTAACTTCAAGTGAGTATTGTAGGTTTCTGGAAGTTCATACTTTTCTTCCATGTACTTCTTAATAGCTGGTAAACTGGCACCATTTCTCTTTCTCAATTGAATAATGGCTTCAAGAACCATGTCAGTGTACTTTGGGTGATCATAAGAATCTTTCTTAGAGGAAGAAGAGGCTTTTCTGGCAGTCATTGTTGTTGAGTTGTTTTTTTTGTTAATGTTATTATTGGAAATGTGTTGGATCAGTCCTTTTTCATTTAAATAAACGCAACGGCTCAACTTTTAAAACTCGGCCATAAAAAATTTGGATCCACTTTCCAACCGTTACACTTTACAAAAAATTTTATTGGTATTTTTGCATCATTCAATCATACTCGTTTCTGACATAATGCATTGATGATTCGTTCATTTTCCTGATGAATTTGTTTCTCTTCTCAATTTCTACATCTCTAATTTCCAATTCTCTTTCTAACATTCGGACTCTTTGTTCATCTTTGGCTCTACCTCTGTTCATTTCACTTAGGATATTCTTTAAATTTTGGTTTTCTCTCAACAGTTCCTCATTGTATTCGGAATGATTGTGAGCATGTGATGCATAATATTCTAATTGAGCTCTTAGTTGTCTATTCTTATCTTCTAGTGAATCAAGTTCAGAATTTAGTGACGTTATTGTTTCGTCTCTTGTCTTTAAATGTTCAAACGAAGGGAATGATTCTTCTGTCTGAACCCAGGCATTAAAACTTAGGGGGTCTTTCTGTTTTTGTTGTAACTTTTCAATTGTTTGAGATTGTTGCTTAGCATTTCGTTTGTATTTTAACAGTTTTTGTTCCAAGAAGGATATCTTTTCCTTGAACGATGAGTTCTCTACTGTTAGAATATTGATTTGAGAATTGTGATCAGTTTCTCTCTTTTTACAAAATTCGAGATCACCATAGCTCTTTTCAACTCTTATTTTCAGCTCGAATAATTCGTGTTCAACTTTTTCCTTTTCCTTCTCTAAAGTCTTTACTCGATCCTGAGCCATATCCTTCTCCAATCTTTCATTGTACAAATCACTTTCATATTGTCTTAGCTTATCATCCAAATTCTTGTCTCGTATCTCCCCTAATTGTTTTTGAAGATATTCAGCTTCAATTTCCAATGCTTTTGCTCTAGTTTCTTTCCTTTCGAGCTATTATTTGAATAATGACATAATAAGCGAATAACTAATTAAGGATGAACATACCTTTTCTCTGAGTGTGATCACTTCATCTGATGTTTGTTGAAGTAATAATTTCTTTTGTTCTTGTTTTTGTTGTCTCTTCTTCTCCTTCTTTTTCGTATCACAAAGAGTCTTTTCCAAACTTGAGAGTATTACTTGCTGTTCATCGAATGATTCTAAATATTTTGATCATCAATATGATGTTTGAAAATTAGTAAAAACCTACTCTTAATCGTTTCAAATTTCTCCTCAGTTGTTTTTAAGCTATGTTCAGTCTCGGTGAGCTTCTTTCTATACCACTTATTTTCGGATCGCAAAGTATCACATTCTAGTGAGAGCTTTCTTCGCTCTGATTCCATCTCCTGAACTTTGGTTTCAATGACATGAGCAGCCACTGCATCTTTTACGGATGTTTTACTCATAGGTTTTCTTGTTGATGTGGATGTTGTGGTTGTTGTAGCTGTTGGAAAAAAATCAAATGTAAGGCTATTAAGGAAAGTAGCTGAAATATTATTCTTGTTGGTAGTATCGATTGGTATTGTACTAATATTATTAATTACGGATGAATTAATACTCTGATCAAGTTTAGATGGTTTATAATCCCTATTAGAAGGCATAAGTCATCAAAGTTTTCTCTTTTTATAACGTCCTCCTTACTAGCACAAAGTAAGATGATGAATTTTTTTTTCTAGTTGTTATTGGCGCCATTCAAATATTGGCGGTAATGCATTGAGAGACAATAGAGAATAATTGAGTATGACAACTGTCGTTAAATGTCTCTAACGAACAATAAATTAATGTTTGAAAGGTAGTGCAGTTAGTCTGAAACCTCATCACCAATCGTAAACTTTAATTCAATATCAAATTAATTTTTAAAAATTTAAATCATATCTTGAATGGGTTAATTTACATGATGAAGGTGATGATAAAAGTTTGATCATTCTGTTAATATTTCATGACAATTTTCTTGAGAAGGTAGAATTAAAAGCAGTGTGTCCTTTTGAATTGATGATCATAATTCTCCTTTTGCTCATCTAAAGGCATTTTTGGTGAGAAGAAAAACACCAGCAAGTGCCTGTGATTGCAACTTTGTAATACATAAAAAAATTAACCAGAAAAAATGTTCGCTTTCAAGAAGGTTAGTAGCCTATTTGCCGCGTTGTGTGTTTAAACTCTTGTTATTGTTTTAAAATTCTCTATTGTCTCGTTTTGGTCTCGGTGCGAATGATAACATACTTTTTCATCATCTTGTACTCATCTCTTCATCTCTCTCTACATTCTCATCAACATGTAATACGCTCCAAATTTTTATTATGATGAAACAACAATTTGCTCTTTTAAATGATATCATATTTGTTAACGATAATATTATTCCTTCTTGTCTTGTTTAACGACAAATATTAATGTTGATATAACTAATACATTGGAATTTTAAACTACAGTTTGCCACTAATCCAAAGCTCCTTATGGCTGCTACTGGATTATCAGCTGGTAGTTTCCTCGTCTTTAACAATGTGAATAGTGTTGAAGCTTCTGATGGTACTGCTATTCCTCCAGCCCAACCATGGCCACACAAGGAACTCGCTGGTTCTTTCGATGCTGCCTCCATTAGAAGAGGTTATAAAGTTTATAGAGAAATCTGTAGTGCTTGCCACGGTATGAATGAAATTGCTTTCCGTAATCTCAATGTTGCTTTCACTGATGCTGAAATCAAAGTTTTGGCTGCTGCTGTTGATGTTGAAGGTGAACCAGACTCCCAAGGAGAACCAACAACTCGTAAGGCCAAGGCTTTCGATTACATGCAATCACCATACAAAAACGAACAAGCTGCTAGATCTATGAACGGAGGTGCTTTGCCACCAGATTTGTCAGTCATTGTCAAGGGTCGTCCACATAATGAAGATTATATTTTCTCATTGTTGACTGGTTATGAGGATGCTCCTGCTGGTGTTTCTTTGAGAGAAGGTCTCTATTGGAATGCTTACTTCCCAGGTGGTGCTATTGGTATGGCTCCTCCACTCTCTGATGGTGCTATTGAATTCGATGATGGTACTCCAGCTTCAGTTTCACAAATGGCTAAGGACGTCAGTACATATTTGACTTACTGTGCTGCTCCAGATACTGAACCAAGAAAGAAGATGGGTTTGAAGGTTTTGGCTTCATTGTCACTTGTTATTGCTCTCTCATGGGTTCACAAGAGATTCAAGTGGAGTACTATTAAGAATAGAACTGTTATTTTCAGGGAATAATTTAACTTAGGACACATATTCTTCCAAGGTTTTTTGTATTAAAAAAAAGTGAATTTTAAATTTATTTAGATTGAAAAAGCTTGTTGTTGAGCAATTCAAACAATTTTAACAAATGGAGATAAATTTTAGGAGATTTTAAATATTTAATTGTTTATTAATTTATTGTGCAATTTTAGTAAAGTAAACGCCAGCTGCAATAACAACAGCAACAAGACCAACAATAATTGGCATAACTGATGATCCTGATGATGCAGAAGTTGTTGTTGATGATGAAACTTCATCCTTGGCTCCTGATGATTTGTATCCTTCCAATTCACCAACAAGCAATGACTTTAACTTATTTCTGGCATCCTTGCTGTGTCCGACATTTTCAAAAGCTTCACTGGCATCAGCACCAGCGTGTTCGAGCAAAATATCTTCACCACCTGGATGTTCATGTTTATATTCAGTGATTGTGTAAACCTTTCCATCAACAGCAATCCATTGATCCTTGTGATTTTCGTCGTGTTCTTCCAATTCCTTCTTGGTGATAATTCTGGACATTTTTTTTAAATTTAAAAATTGAAGTTTTTTGATGATAGAACGTTCTTGCTTAGAGCGGGACTTAAAACCGATCGTATCCGAATGCCGACTATATTCTACGCGATTGGATAGAAAAACTCCTTGAGGAAGAAGAGTAATAAGGGTAACGTGGTGCAATTATTATTTATTATTGTAATTTGTTTTGTTAACGAGGATGACATCAAACGTTATCTTTGTTCACTGAATTAATTCAGTTTTAAATTTCCCAACCTTAAATCATTGAATGTTATAAAAGAGCCACTCAATCTCCTTGAAATATTGATATCAACCAAATCATGATATTTCATTATATGGACAAGTTGTGGAGCAACAAATTAAAGAATCTTGATTATAATTCAAAGCAAATTTCAAATGCAAACTGTTGAAATGATTAATTTCAATAAATTTCAAGCCTGGTTCCATTCAAGAGTTTAACAAAGTTCAAACTCAAAAGCGACTTTCAGCATCATCACCATCAAAAACATCTAATTAGGTATAACCAAATACTTCATTGTTGACAAAAAGACTACCGTAACATAAAATCAGCTAATGTTGAAAAACCTGTTAAAGTAAAAAAGACTACAGCACCACAGGTTCCCAAGTTGTCTCCAACCTCAGTACTGATGTGGCTCGACGATGCTTAACTTCTCAAATCGGACGGGATGAGGTGCATTCATCGTGATATGGCCGTAGCCATTCAATTACTTAAAATGTGAAATATGTACTATTTCCCCATTGTGCTGGTTATTATTTAAATCGATACCTATCCGAAAGGTATCATCTCTCCAAGAATTCAAATCCAACCCTTCTTTTATCCAAATTTATTGAGATTCCATATTTAAGATTTTCACTATACTTGGCTAAATAAGAGGCATTTTCGCTATTATCCTTAAATATTTCATCAAACAATATAAAAAATGATTAACAAACCTCTTATTCCATTATTAAACATAAATGAAATGTTACATTTTAGTCAACTCCATTTTTACTCAACAACCTTTCCAAATTAACCAGACACTCCTTTTTTGTCAATTTTACATTTGGAAACAAACTATTAGTACTCAAAACACAATCTTTCAAACATATAAATAACCACCTAACAACATCCTCATTCAAATTCAATTCAAACATAAAAAACATCTCAAAAACAATGAACAAATTCATCATTGCTCTCGTGGCAACCTTACTTTTGGCTTCTTGCTTGGTCAACTGTCAATATAGCAACAATTACGGTACTAATTATGGTACATCAGGAGGCGCTGGTTCTAACTATGGAGTCACTGGAGGAAATTACAATCAATATGGACAAAATTCTCAATCCTATTTGAATCAAGTGAATGCAGTCAATTCACAACCATACTCAAGTTATGGATCTTCATATACTGGACCAAGTAGTTATGGAACTAATTATGGAAGTGCTTATTCAATGCCATTCTATGGTGGATACGGAGGATATGGAATTCCATTTTATGGTGGTTATGGAGGTGGTTTTGGATACGGTGGTGGTTTTGGTTATGGTGGTGGATTGGGTTGTGTTGGAGGTGTTAGATGGTGTTAAAGGATCCAAGTTCAGATGTTTTCATCCATATCTCCTTAATTTGGTGTTAATTTTTTTAGTGTTTTAATATATTTCTTGAGAGAATAAAAGTGTTGAAATTTGTAAGAATTTTCTCGTCCTTATTCGATTTTTCGAAATGTGAATATTTTATTATATCTGAACAATTTGCAAATGTTGTAAATGTTGGTACTAACCCAACAAATGTCAACTGTTTGTTAAAATCAAAAAAAAATGTCAACAAACTTTGATGAGATTTTACTAAAAGGCGTCAATTTTATTAGTGAGAAGAATGTAGAAGGACTCAGATGGCTCAAAACTAAACTTTCCAAAGAAATAATTAACAAAGAAATTCGTTCCTTCACCTGTGAAAATTCATACTTTTCCTATTGTCCATTATTTATGCATGCTTGTGTTTCGGATGATTTTGAAATGGCAAAAGTTTTGGCAAGTGTTCCGAATGTGAATGTTAATGTTGGTGTAAGTTTCGAATAATTTTAATTGTGAAAATTTAATTAATTGGTAAATTGTAATCTAGGTTGTAGTTGTAAGTAAATTTTAAAAAATCGGAAATTGGAAAACATGATATTAGCCAGTAAGTTTTTGTTTCGAATAATATTTATCATCAATTAATAGTACACAGTAAGTATTCGATTCTTTCAAAGAAGCTCAATAATCAATAGTGGGATTATTTGTATCCAATTGGAATAGCCGACAATCCATTGATCATCAAACTCATTTCTCTGCATCCTAGTTTCGATCCTCATGATGATGAACTATCCGAAAGAAAACATTACGAAATACTAAACTATACATCTGGAATTTCATTGAAAAAGTTCAATCATGATTCGAATAATCAAATTACTGCCTTTATTCCCTTATTGAAAGTAATGTTTCCAACATTTTTTGAAAATGTCTTTCTGAATGAGAAATTGTTGAGTCAATTGTCAAAATTGGAAAGAGAAGAATTGCAAGTTATTGTGGATGTGCTAATGTATGATAGTATTGAAGTGTTGCCTGATGATTTGGATGAGGAGGAGTCGATTATTTTGGAGAGGAAACTTGCATTACTCTTTCTATTGGATAAAGCTGATGAGAATGAGTTGACTTATTGGAAGAAAATTTTATTCGAAGGTGTTAATTTGGGATATTTGGAAAGTTTTGGTTTTACTGAAAAGGCAAAACAAAAAGTTGCGTATTATATTGAAAATTTCGAATGTGGAATTTATTTGAATAATTTACACAATCTTCTAGTTTCCAATAACTCAATAACTGAATTGGATATTACAGAAAAAGAGGACATTTCTAATCCACTATGGGAATTATTCACCAAAGAATGTGATTCTGACATTGACATTTCAATTACATCAGAAGATGGCCTCACTTCATTCACCGTGAAATGTCACAAAACAATTCTCATGTCAAAAAGCTTATTTTTTGAAGCATTTCTCTCAAGTGAGAATGGTACTTGGAATTCTAGTGAAATCTTTCCATACGAAACTCTTTTCATTATTGAATACATTTACGGAAAGGAACATTTGGAAATTCCCAATCGAAATCTCTTAAACGTCATGAAGAAAGCTCACGAACATGGACTAAATGATTTGATTGAATATTGCACTGAAAAAGTTGAATTTACAAATGAGGAGGAAGCAAGTAAATGGGCAGAACAATTGGAAGATTATTATGAAGAGCCAATTTTTTGCTCAACCATACTTTCTAAATTAGCACAAATTTGCAAATCTGTTCCTTGTAAATATTCATTGTAAAGTTGAAAGAGTTGAGTATTGGAAATTTGTTCTTGTTTTTATTAAAGGTGAAGCAAGATTGGCGTTAATTAAGTTGTTGTAACCTTACAAAAAAACTATTTTTGGAGAGATGGTGAACTTTGCTGTTGTGGAATGAAATAAAATTTCCCACCCTTTCTATTTTCATTTTTCAACCAACAAAAAAAACAAATCAAACAATTATTTAAATAATCTAAAACAATTGATAAGAAAATGTGTACTAATAATAATAATAATAATAATAATACTCTCACTGGTAAATTAATCATGAGAAAGAACAAGGAAGAAAGTATTGAAAAGGTTTTCCAATTAATTAATTTCGGAGGCTTGAATGAATCTGTTAGAGAATTTGTTCAAGATTTACCATCTGCTACTTCTTCTGATGAAGTGTTATTATCCACTTTCAAGATCAAGGCTATTGTTCCATCTTCTGAGAAGAGAAAAACAATTTATATAATTAATAATGAAAATGATTTTTCTGAAATGATGAAATTAATTCAAGAAATTCCACAAGATAAACCAATTCTTTTCAGAGTAATGAAGAAGAAATTGAATCATGAAAAGAAGGAAAGAAAGGAAAAGAAAGAAAGAAAGGTCAAACTTCAATTGACTGAAGAACAATCTCAAAGTCTTTCCGAAAAGAAGCAACAAATTGAATTATTGAAAGATGAAATTAAGATGAAGAAGGAACAAATCATGACTCTAAAATTTGAAATGAAATCTTTGAGAAAGTCATTCCATCCTGTCAATGTTAGCATTGACTCAAATGTTCCATCTACTATTAAGTCATCTCCAAACAAGGAAGAAAGACTTAAACTCAAACTTGAAAAGAAGGAAGAAAAGAAAGCATTTAAATTGGAAAAGAAGTTGATCAAAGCTCAATACAAGCTTGAAAAGATTGCATTGAAGAAGCAAAGAAAGCAACAAGGAAATACTTCTACTCAACCAGAAACTGTTTCAACTACCACAACTTATAGTGAACCAACTGTTCCAATTAACGTACCTATTGTTGAACCAGTAATTGTTACTGTACCACCAGTTCAACAAGTATCAACTGAACCAGTTTCCAACAATGCTGATATTGTCACACCAACTGTTGATGAAAAGCTCTTGTTGAAACTCCAAAAGAAGGAACAAAAGCATGCTTGGAAAATGGAAAAGAAACTTGAAAAGCAAATAATCAAAGCTCAAAGAAAATTGGAAAAACAAGCTCAAAAGCAAGAGAGAAAGGAAAGAAAATTGTTGGAAAAGCAACAAGTTGCCACTCCTTCTCAAAATTAATATTAGTTTAGAATAATTTTAACAACTATCATCAGAGAAGTATTCATCAATCATAATTTCTCCCTCCACATTTGTTGTGTAGTGTCTGAGAGAATGAATTGTGAAATAGATTTTACTGAGATATTTTAATTGCACCAGTCAATCATGATATAGCTGGATTTAAGGATCATGAAACAAATCTAAACAATATCTTGTAAATAACAAAATAAATCAATGTTACACAATTGTATGGCAAGTTTTCTATTTATTGTGAGACTATTGCACATGTTAGATTGTATTTTGTATTCAAATACTGTATCACAACCGTAAACGTTCAATACGGTAGCAGATTTATGAGATATTAGTAAGCTTGTAGCATCGTACAAACAATCATCTCGCAGTTAATATAAACAGGGGCACCATCAAAACACAAAAACAAATATTTCAAAGTGTATCGACGATGAAAAACTCACCGTTTTCATTCACTATTTGTTTGCTTAGCTTTTTCGTCTTGATTGAGGGAATTTGGTGCCTTGATTATGGTGCTAGTTTAGATGATAGTTGGGCCATGCCTGATGGAAACATGTGGAGAAGTCGATATGTTAGAGATGATGCAACATCTACTGTCTATCAAACTGCTCATCTCGGTTGGAGAATTCTCCCACGTTCTGTCGTGATGGATCCATTAAGCAAGCAACTATATGGAATGGCCAATAATATTGCCACTGGAATGGATTTCTTGATTGCTATTGATCTTGTAAATGGAACCTTGTTACCAATCGTTCAATTTCCATCTTCAGAGGAAGGAGAATTAGTTAAGGAGATCTCACCACTGTATCAACAAGAGGGCAATTACTATTTCACAGTGAGAAGAAATCCCAAGACAAATATGGACTTTATTTTGAGAACTTCCGTATTGAATGGTACTCACTTTAGTTTCACAACCTCTAGAAGTTATTCCACTATCTATGGAATGATTCTTGTTAAATCTGGAAGAAATGGAATTGCTGTCGTAAATAATAATCTTCTCATATGTTACAACTCTGATACAGGTGTACAACTTTGGGAACATTACAGAGATTTTAATGGACATGTTAAACTCTTCCTTTTTGAGGATTACATTCACGTATTTTGTAAAGCTTTTGGTTATCAATTTAGTGCTGCAACTGGATCCCTGTGGTATTCGGTTAATGATACGTTCCATGTTGAGGGAAGACAAGAATACTTTGCCTTAACTTATTACGACAATACTCTGGTTGCTACTATTCAAAAAGGACCAAAATCTTACATGATTGTCAATTATAGTGCACGTCGTGTTATGGATACAGGTGGCAAGTCTTCATCTATTGCCTTAATAGATCAATTTGGAGTTCCAATTGATTTGAATGATTGTTCCAACATTGTTTCTACCCCGCAGACGTTTAGTTTTATGTGTAAAGCAAGAAACTCACCACCATTCGTATATAGTTATTCTATTAAGGGAATTCATATTTCAAAATCTTATGAAATTAATTTGAGCTATGTTACTGGAAATAATGCAAAAAATTGTTCGAATCACATTAGTTTGGTAGATGATGAAAAGTTTGCTGTGGTGTGTGATACTGGGATGGTCATCTTCAAAACAGGCGATAGTTCAGTAAGTCCTAGAGTTGAATTCAAGATTCCTATTAATGCTGGAACACAAGTGTTTGCTACTGATAGAAGATTGACTGTTATTTCAACCGAAGACACCAAATCATTTTCACAATCTTTAAAAACTAAATAAAATTTGATTATTCGAAACATAATACAAGGTAATTGTATTGTTACTAGAGCTCTGTAACCATTAATTTCAAAGAACCATTTTCAAGTGAAGATAGAGCTTGAGATGTTGGTGTTTGCTTTAAATTTCGCAAATTTGTTAGACTGATCGTATTTGCATCCATATTTGGAGCAATAATCCATCCAATAGCAGAGTTTTCTGTGTGAATTTCTGATTCATCTTTTCCAGAGTAGAGAACTAATGTTTTGAGCAAATTGAGAGCCTTATCTGGTTGTAGCCTGTCAGTAACAGGATCAGCAATTAAGGTCATGGCACATATTACCAATTGATACTTTTCTTCTTGATGATGTTTTAAATAAAACATTCCATCTGGACATGCTTCATCATATGGTTTTATAAAAGAATTTCTAAAATAATTGTTTGCCAATTGAGTGAACCTATTACCAACTGTGATTTGAAGTGTTATCTTTGAGAGATTTCTATCATGTAGCAAGCTTTTTATGTTGATTGACCATTCTTCCAATTCTAGGTTCAACGTTGAGTTTGTTATACTTTTAAATAGTGGACTTTTTGTAAAGGATTGTCCTTTCAATGATGTACTTTCGTGTAGGAGAAGCATACCCATGAACAATTCAAATTCCTCACCAGTTCCTTTAAACTCATATGACATGAATTGCCACATATCATCAACCATAATTTCGAAACATGGGCAATTGAGTGTTCAATGAATGCTTGTGAATAAGTATAGGAATGATTGGTGCTTTCCAACTCAGAGTCTATTTCTCGAAAATCAAACACGCGATTCTTGTTGAATAATAATCGTAATAGGTGTGTTTTTATATCAATCAATTTAGTTTCATTAAGGAAGGATGTCAGTCTGGATAAACTTTTCATTCTCTTGTATTGAATAACAACATCTAGAGCATCTCTAATAATGGAAAATTTGTCATTTGAATTCACATATGATTTTTGTAATAATTCTCTATGTAAAATGGTTACGTTTTGAGGTGAACCAGAAACAAGTGAGTCAATGCTGTGTTAACTCCTGGCAACAGCCATGGTTGAAGAGTTCCAATAACACGTCTAACCAATTGTCTTCCTTCTCGACTGACATCAAGATTGGCATCTGATATGTTAAATGTTGAGCCAAGAAAAACAGGATTGTTAAATTGTCGATTTTGTTCATAAACAGCATGGAAGAGACCCCCCTTTAGTTGGCCATTGACTTACACCTTTTGTTGGGCATGTTTGAATAATAGGTGAGCTTCATCGAAAGAAAACCCTATCTTGACATGTTGATCTTTCAATTTCTGGTCGAAAAAATCATTCATTCGGTCCAATCTACAATTCCAATCATTCTCGTTGTAATGGTCCACTAGTTTCAGGAAAATTTCTGTTAGCAATAAATCTCCATTATTCCTAACAAATCTGTTTTGATTTGGTAAGGTTTGAATTAAGTGGTGATGTTACTGTTGAAAGTCAATTGGAGTAATGGAGGGAATCTTATCAACCAAAGTACTGACATTAATATTAATAGTCAATGCAAATAGAGAAACTAAATCTGTTGGAGAATGTTTCTCTTTGTCAACTTGATTAAGAAACTCATCAAAAAGTTTTGTACCACCAACAAGATTAATCACAAAGAATGAATGACATCTTTCACGTGTTGGTTTTGCTCGAGTGTTTCTTTATTTTTTTTATTGCTTTTTGATTGAATATAAAGTTGTTGCTGCTGAAAAGTTAACAATTCTCTTCGTTTAAATAGATGTGTTTCGCTAGTTCAATTGGTAGATCAAAATTGATACAGTTTCTTTCCTTTCTATTAATATTCACCAATCAAACAAAATAAATCAAAAAAAATTTGTGAGAATGTTGAAGAGAGTACAGAGAGAATTGCGAGATATTAAACAACTGACACATCCTGGCTTTACTGTCGAACCTAAGAATGACAATGAACTTTCGGAATGGACAGTAACTTTTAAAATTGTTGATGTGAGTTTATTTCGAATAGATTTATCAATTTATTGATCAATGATGAATGAATTATTGGAATTTGAAAGGAGGAGCCATTTGTTTTCACTTTTTCTTTTCCTTCCAATTATCCTTTCCGACAACCATCTCATCCTATTTTCCAACTATTGGTGCAGCCATCCCAATGGAGTCCAGCACTAACAACTATTCGATTGTTTCCACAAATGTACAATGCATTATTGGCTGCCTATTGGGTGAAACAAGGAAATGTGAAAGAATTGAGTCGAATGAAAGATTTACCATCACTTCTTGATGTTTTAATTCCAGAGAAGAATAAGAACTATCCTCCAGCGAGAACTTTGTTGTACATTGCTTGCAAATATGGACAAGTTAAAGTTGTGAAATATTTACTGAAGAGTATGCCATTGGTTGATTATAAGAATGGAGTAAGTAGATTTGTAGATTTGAGATTTTGAATGGTTTTAGGGAGTAAGTAAAGTTTAGCATATACAGTTTCGAATAAGAGATTTTAGGGAGTAAGTATGCTTATTAGTTGTTTTGCAGAGGAATAATTTGATTAGTGTGTAAGTTGATAGTGATCTATTGGAGTTTACTGACGTTTTTATAGTGTGTAAGTATTTCAATTACTTTTCAAATTAATTATTTTAAAGCATGTAAGTTTAATTTCATTTCCACAATGAAGCATTAACAATTAAAAGAATGTAAGTTGATTTCGTAATCGATCATTTCTCAACCATTTCACAGTGTGTATGTATTTATTAAAGATAACCAACTAACTTTTTGAATAGTCAGTAAGTTTTTGAGTGTAAATTATTTGGAATACCATTTATGGTTATTAGTGTGTAAGTTTGTTTGCTAAAAAATCAATATTCACACCAAGAAAGGGAGAAACACCATTTGAAATTGCCAAAACTAATAATTTTACAAAAATTATGAGATTATTAATTGCTCATCACCTAATTAAGGTTTGTTATTTGTAAAAATTTCCAATACTTATAAAAACTCGCATCTACAATTAGAGAAATCACCATGATGTCAGAATATTACTCAGTTCAGGTGTTGAAGCAGAATCATTGGTTGAATTATTGTCAGAAGGGGAGATTGAGCCATTCAGATATTTCATTAACATTTACACTTTGCCAAAACTTGTGGACAATCAATCAGAAATCATCACAAATAATAGCATTCTCAAATATATGTTGGCTCCACAAGCTGATTTAATGCTGAATAGGAAATTGGATGAGTTCAAGTCTCTTGGAGAATATTTTTCATATAATATGTCATATATTTTATCTTGCAGATTGAAGAAAAGAGAAACTCTTTCAACTATCACTTTAAATAGAGCCACAGTCATTGAAGGGGCTGTCATTAACAGAGCCAATAGAACATATCTTGGAAATGGGGCAAATGGAGCTGTATATTCAGTGTTGATGAATAATGTTCCTGTTGCAGAGAAAATTTCTAATAATATTGGAACGAGTGAGATTGAAATTATGAATGGAATTTGTGAACATGATGGTGTTGTAAAATTGTTACATCACTATAATCAAGATGGAATCGAACATTTATTCATGGAAAAGATGGATGATTCATTATCTTCATTTTCAATAACTGAACCAACAATTATTGAACTTGTTCAAATATTATTCTCCCTTGTCAAGGTTTCAGATACAATGAAATATTTACATTCCAAGAATGTGATTCATTATGACATTAAACCAAATAATATTTTGGTGAAAAAGATGAGAATTGATGGAGTTGAGATTATTGATAATGTCAAATTGTCAGATTTTGATGTTTCTCTCACAGTGGACAAACCTGAAACCTATTCCTGCACCACTGCTGGCACATTATATTACATGGCACCAGAATTGAGAAATAAGCAACAAGACACAGTGTTTGTGTTTAGAGCTTTGGATATTTTCAGTTTTGGAGTCACAATGCACACACTCATTTCTGGATATAGACCTGCCAATATGGCAGATGTTTTTGGAAGTTTTATTTCAGTAGTTCAATTGGTGGAGAGGTTCAATTTCCTCACTCAAGAACAAGCTCAAAAGATTCATTTATTGGGAATGAAATGTACACACATTGATCCAAAAGAGAGACCAACTTTTGAAGATATATTTGATGAATTGACTGAGATTACAACTCAAATCTACTTGAAATTTATGGAAAGCACCATGAAGACTACAATTGAATAAGGATAAATATTTGTTGAATTTCTCAAGTCAATTTATTGTGAAATTTTTGTAAAGTAAACATCAGGTCAACAATGGAACTATTGTTAATAATTGACGGTAGCCACCACTGGTCAGTTTGGAACATTCTAAGAACTTGGACGAAACTTCACAAAAAAAATGAACACATAATGAGGGAGAAGATTTTGCATCACACGACAAGATGGTAAGTAAAATCACAATTTAACAATCATAGTTATTTTGCAAAGGTTTTCTTGGGAAGTGGTGGATCAGGAAAAAGTAAGAAATTAAATTACAATATTCTAAAGGATTCGAATATTCTATATTTTAGCAACATTGTTTAATACCTTGCTTGGATTGAACAACCCTACAATTTCCCGTTGCAACACCACAAAATATAATCATCTTCCCTGGTGTTTTAAACTATTCCTATCCGATATAAATCCATCCAGGAATGATTTTACTAAATTTGGACAAGCATTTGATAAAGTTCAAGATTCTGCACTGGTAAAGAATAGAATACCTAATAAGAAATTGGATGATGAAATACATGAATATTTCTATTTAATGTATCACGATTCTGGATTTCAGAAATGTATTCATGAAAAGGAAATTGAAGGAAATTGTATTTCAGAAATTAGTGAAACAGTTTCGTATTTCAATCAAAGAAATGTATTAGAAAGGTATATGAAACAGAGATTAATACCAAAGGATTATGCTAGAATCTATATGAAAACTGTTGGAATAGTTGAAAGAACTGTTTGTGGAGTTACATGTTTCGATACTGGCGGACAGAGATGTGAGAGAAGTAGATGGGAAGATTTAATTACGAGCTCAGAATGTAAACATTGCTTTGTAATTTCTCTATCTCAGTGCAATGAATTGTGTTATGAACTTTCGGATTTGAATAGATTTGACGATTCGTATAGACTTTTTCAGAGTGTTTTGGAAAGAAAGGAAATCAAGAGACTTTATGTAATTTTCACAAAATTTGAAGTGTTGAGAGAAAAGATTAGGAGAGGATACAAGCTTTCATCATTCTTTAAGGATTTTAAGGGAAATGATTCAGATCCAAATGAGGTGAAAGACTTTATCATTGAAAAGTTTCTTAATTTGGATCGAGAATCTAAAATTGCCAAGCACTTTGTTGTTGATTGTTGTTTCCATAGAGAATCTCTAGTTGGAATGTTTAATGAAGTTGTTGGAAGACCAGCATTTGATATGATCGATCTGAATTTCATTCCAACACCTTCAGAAGTGGACAAATGGTTGGATAAAGTTGATCCAAATTGGAAAGTCAATATTCCAACCACTCGATTCACCAATTTAATGGATGCAATTCTTTCCAAACCAGAAATTGAAATTATCTGGACAGCAAGACCTTTGAAACGAGACGAAATTCTTTCTGTTTCAGAATTCTTTGATTTGGATGACATTCTGAACATGAGATTAGTTTGCCGTGAATTTAATGGAATTATGAATGAAGGCGGAATTAGGGTCAAGAAACCCAATCTTGAACTGTTTATGAAAACTCCCTTCAAATATGTGAAATTTATTGATTTACAATCATGTTTCTTGACAAGCGATATTTTTCAACATCTAGTTAAGGATGACAGATTTAAAAGTTTGGAATATTTAGATTTGAGCAATAATTACCTTCTCAAAGAAGAGGACTTTGAATATTTCTTTGAGAATCAACAATTTAGAAATTTGAAAATTCTCAAAATGGATTTTTGTAATTTCAGCAATCTTTCAGCGATTTCTGATTGTAAATTTCCTCCAAAATTGCAAAGCCTTTCACTGAATGGAGTTAAAAACTTGAATATTTCTGATCTATCCAAATTGGTGGACAATCTTGGAAATACTTTAACTGAATTGAATGTGATTCATTCTAATTTGGATATTTCCCAAATAGTCAATTCTAATATTTCTAAAAAATTGAAAATATTGAACTATTCTTTGGTGGGAAATTAATTTATTTCCTTAAACAACTCTTCTGAAAACATCACCATTCGATAATTGCCAAATATCCATATTAGGAGTAGTTGATCTCAAAATAGTATCTCCAGTAGGATCATGGAATGTAATATAGATAGTAGTCAATCCAGTAGATTCATCATTTGAGTAGAAACCTTCAGCAGTTCTTCCATCTGTTTCAATTAAGAATTTTTAATTATCTGAAACTATTCGAAACTTACCTTGATTACGCAAAGTAAAAGCATGACAAGTAGAGCCAGTGACAGTCCAAATCTTTCCTGACTTTTCCTTATATTGACCTCTTGGTTGAGCAACTGGTTGAGTAGCATTCACTCTAGTAAAAGTTTCTGAAGGTCCACGAATAATTTCTCCATCGGAGGAAATACTAACTTTCCAATGAGTACTTCCATCAAATGTAATATATGCAACTGCAGTAGAAATTTGACATGGAGCAACTATTTTCACAAACACAAATGACATGTTCATTCGAAACTATAGTTTACTTACCAACAAAACCAGTTGCCTTTCTATTGGTACCTTGTTGTGTCCAAGTGAAATGATTTCCCTGTTGAACACTGGTCCAAATCTTACCACTCGAAGTTTCTCTCCAAGAACCGACAAGGTTAATGTAACGAGAATTGTTTGACAAGGAACCACATGTTGATTGTTGTGCATGTACAACAGCAACAATGACAACAAGGACTGCTAAAAGAGTCAAAAGTAAACCTTTAACCATTTTTTTATGAGATGGAAAGTAATTGGTTGACTAATTACGTATGATAAGATTAGTTTTCTCATAGAGGGCGGTTTGCATGTGACAGTGGTGAAAAATTCTTTAGTTGGAACAACAGAAAATGGCACCGTCTTATTACTCTGAAACACATGAAAGCAACTAGAAGTGCGTATTATGTGAAGTAAACTGCCTACTTTAGGCACTCAATCTTAACCCAAATCATTCAAATGTTGCACAGAGTCCTTAAATGCCGAAAAGTGTGGTCTCTCAGGTCGTTTTTGATACAAGAGACATTAATACACTTACACATCTTTATTGTGAAGTAAACTGATGGTTAACTACAATTTATTAAGTCAATACAGAATATACTCATCCCTATCAAACTATCAAAGTGAAATATCTCAATATGAACCATTTGAATTTCTTCCAAACTGAGCAACACCGCTGATGTGAATTACGGAGTGTAAACACAATCAATTCTCATTTTGGGATTTGTTGCTTAATCTTGCACCTCGTTTGGCAAGCCTATTCACTGGAGGTCTTTCATTTAGAACTCATCTTTGTTCATAACAGAGCTCAAAATAAATTACTCCAAAGTATTATTTGGAGATAGGTAGGCTTCTTGATTGATTGTCAAGGTAATATTATCATTGTTTCTTGTTGGTGTTTTGGGTTCATTCAATGTTTCAAGATTTGCAGAATTTTTCTTTTGTAAAATGTTTAAACTTGTTCTCAACATGTCAGTGAAGGATGGAACAAGAGCTGGAGTGTGATGTTTCTCATGCAACATGTAAGCAATACATTCACCCTTTCCTTTCACATTTAAATGTCTTTCTTCAAAAGTGAAACCCAAATCATAAACTCTTTCATAGGTTGATCTGGAAATTTGAATTCTTCCTGGAATTGAATTAGATTCCATTCTTGAAGCTGTATTAATTGTATCTCCCCATAAATCCTATTTAATTAATATATTAATATGAAATATTGAAAATGTACAATTTACACAATAAAATGTTAAAATGTTGAAATTAAAAACATACATAGGCAAATTTCTTCCTCCCAATAACACCTGCAATAACACTTCCAGTATTAATACCAACACGAATATTAATTTGTTCAGATGGTTGTTTTCCTGATTTTGAATTAAATCTTTGTAAAACATCAAATGTATCAATGGAAAATCTCAAAATTCTTTCAGGATGATCTGATTGTGCATTTAATCCATGTAATCCACCCACACAAAAATATGAATCTCCAATCGTTTTAATCTTTTCCAAATTATATTTGTCTGTCAAATCATCAAATCCAATTACAATTTCATTCAACATTTGAACCAATTCAGATGCTTGAATTCCAGTACTTAATTTTGTAAATCCAACCATGTCACTAAAAAAACATGAAACATCATTGAATTTCTCTGCAATATAAGTTTCTCCTGATTTCAATTTACTTGCCACTGCACTTGGTAAAATATTCAATAATAATTCTTCAGAATGTTTCTTTTCTTCTGTCAATAATGAATTATGCTTCTTCTCTGTTGTAATATCCTTAATGAAACAAGTGACAACACTTTGAGAATTGTGAAGAGTGGCAAAAATATTGACACGTGATGGGAAGCTTGTTTGATTCTTTCTGATACATTCCAATTCAATAGAATCTCCTTTCGAATCACCTCTTGCTGCATTCACTAACATTTCATCAATGAGGTTTTTAATTTTCGATTGCTCATTCTTTTCAAATAATTGATACAATGATCTGCCAATCGTTTCTGTTTGATTATATCCAAATATCTTTTGAGCTGCTGGATTGAATATTTCAATATCAACCTTCTCTCCACTGCACATCACTGCTCCATCTACAGATGCGTTCAAAATGCTTCGAACTTTTGAGTCGCCCTCTGATGAAGAACCTTTCTTTCTTCTAAAAATGTTTGAGAATGAGTCAGGAAGATGATGATGTACAATATAATTCTTAATATTTTCGTTTGAGTCCATCAAGTCTAGAGGTAGATAATTGAAAAGAAGACGCAGTTGTTGGACTGAATTGAAATACTTTCCCATTGACATGTAAATACCAATCGAGAATATAAACAAAGTCAAAAATCCAAGAATGGCAAATGGAATCACCAACTTGTCTGATGGAACAGAGGCAGCCATAGCAAATACATCTGAAAATGACAGTAATGAATTGCTTACATAGGTAGAGAAAAAACTAACTACCAAATAGTCATCAAATAATGATTCAAATGTTGTTGATTTGAGATCAATATCTTCTGTGAGTTGTGTGGCTTTAGTCGTGTAAGTTGTGATCAATTTATCAACACCAATGCTGCAATTATGTGAAATCATCTTTTCAAATGTACAATTAGCTTCTCCCTTTATCATCAAATCAGTCTTTTCGAAAAGACCAATCACAAGAGTCTCATCTGGGTAATAATTAGACCCATACATGCACATATTCCAATAGAATCTTAATTTCTTAATTGATGCTTGAATAGATTCAGAACGCTCAGTATTAGATGAAACCAATCCATTAATAAATGTTTTGTCAGCAATTTTTAAATTAATGAATTCCTCAGTTATCGCTTCTGCAATATATTGGGAGTTTTCTAATGCATTGAAAGCATCCCTCATGGTGACATAGGACTCAAAGCTGTATTGAGAATTGCTGAGAGTTTGAGCTAGGAACAAACCAGCACAGAGTGCAACACAGATTGCTGTCACAATTCCCAATCCTACCACAACATTCCTAGGGTATAAAGCAGAGTTCTTGGCCGGTCTTACAGAGCTGTCATCTTGGACTAGCTTGCCCAAATTGTGATACATTTTTCCTGCTTCATGCTTTGACACATTCTTTTCCAATAAAACAATAAGCTTTTTCAAAAAAGACAAATCCAATCTTGCAAAGCACAAATAAATAGCAGTGTAAGTAAAATAAACAACAATTGAGCAAGAGTAGTAAATAATAAAAGTATTGGAAATCGTCTTGGTATAGCTCTTGGATTCCTCAACAAATTTGTAACAGAATGAAGAATAAGCTGCTGTCATAATATTCCTATTGTTGAATAGTATCATGAAAGGATAACTGCTGAAAGTATGTAGATAATCCTCATCTTCAAATTTGTAAATCTGCTCTGAATAGGTTATAGCCAAATTAGTAATATCTGCAATGGTAATATTGATAGCTGTGGTAGAGTTGTAAATCTTTTCCAAACCATTAGTATTTGCCTTTGGTTGATTAAAGCTATAGTAGTATTCATGAAATTCAGAGTACATATCAGTGGTAAACTTGGCTGTTTGTGCTAGCTCTTTCAATAGAATTAAGTAATCAATATTATCCCTTAGCTCTTTCTTGTGAGCTTTCTTGAATTCAGAAAGGCTCGAGTAGCCATATTCTGCCAATAATGAAGGCCAAGCTGATGAATTGGAACTGTACAACAATAGAGAGCTCTGATAACTTCTTGTTCCACTAACAATTCGAATAGCAGATGCAATCGGTGTACAGGCAGTATCCACAACAAGTACGCTCTCAGTAACATAATTCGAAAACATCAAGCTCATTACTAATGTTGAAACCAAAATTAGCAAGGATAGCACAATGAAAATGAAAAACATTGTGAGATGTGAATGATTCTTATGTGAGATGGCCAATGCATTCCTGAACAGAAGCTCCTTCTTCAATTCTGGATTATTCTCAACACCACCAAAATCGTTATTCAAATCTCCTACAACAGTGGACTCTACCTCATGATGATTAGCATCACCATAAGATAACGTCTCAAAAGCGTGACTGATTTGTTGAGGATGCACTCTGTTCTTTTGGTTCTTTTTAATTCTTCTTTTAGAGGAGGCATTCATTCGTTTGGAATCCTCTTCTTCAATTGTTGTTGCTTCAGAATATAATTCCTGAGCAGCTTCCTTATTGAATTTAAAAGATTCTACATATTTAGCAACACATCGAAGAACTGTCTTGTCGTTTTTGTAAATGTGCATTAAATTCTTGAATTTAGTTTCACATTCATGAGACAATATCCCAATCCTTACAATAATAGATTCACATTTTTCATGATTGATATTTTCTTGCATGATTTCCTTCCAGAAAGCTCTGTGAAGTGCTCGTAATTCATCCTGTCTTCTTTCTAAGTGACCAATAAGCTTGGCCATTTCAACATTGTTTCTGCTCTCTGGATTGGTTTGATAGACCGTTGCTTCTACTTGTTTTTGAGCTAGACTAATTAATAAATTATAGTAAGTGGATGGTCTTCTTTTAAAAGCTTTCTTCAAAAGTCCTTGAGCAAATGTTGTAGAATTGACCTCGTTTGGCAAATAATTTGCAATAATCATACTAGAGAGAAGGATAATCTCATTATCTAATTGGTTATTGGAAGAGAACCCCTTAATCAGAGCAATACAAATATAAATATCGAGTAGATTGTGCTGTGTGGGCGTTTCTGATTTTTCCGTTGGATATTTTTCTTTGAATTTCATAGAAAATTTAAAGAATATTCTAAGGTGCCTTAATTTTCTTGACTCAACCAACTGTTGATAAATAATTTGTGCTTCTTTCTCAATGTATTTTTCAGTTTCTTTGGAATCTAGATTTGTTTCATCATTATCTGATTGAATACATTCCAGAACAAAGTTTCTAATAGATCTCACAATAAATCTCGTATACAATTCCATAAGGGAGAAACCAAGCACAAAACCAATAATAATCAAACCAATAGTTAGACCTGCAAGTCCAACACCAAGTGTATTATCCACCGATGGCAGTATCTTTGATAGGGATGGGTTATTTACAATAGAAGTTACAATAGCTCCAATACTCGAAGCTAATCTAGCCAACAGGCAACCAAATACAATACTATTCTCAATTCTTCTAATGAATGGAATCAGCTTGGCAAAAATTATAATTAAAATAATAGATCCAACACTATGAACAATAGCTCTCATAAAAGAGTATTGTGTTGGAATGATAAAGTGTAAAAAGAGTTGCCACAGATTGAAGGCAACTAACAAGCTCATGAAAACTGGATTATCGGTCACAAATGGAGCTATATTTTGAGGATGGCAGTTTGGTACAATGAGCATGGAGAATACATTGAGTATAATCAATAACAGGATGGCCAAGATCATTACCACCACAAATATAATATTGCTAGTATCGTGGCATTGGATCACCTCATGGGAATAGAATTCAAATCTATTCAGATTTGATGAGCTTACTGTATAATTACAATCAAGAGAGAATGTCATCAAGTACAAGAGAGGTACTGATATGAATGGAAATACTTTGGAAAAGATGGCAATAGCTCTTCTCGAGTTCTTTAAATGTTGGGAGGTTGTCTTGTAGGCAAAGATTGTCCAGATCAATAGAATTACAAATACCAATACAATACCTACTCCAATAAAAGCCAATACAATACCTCCCTTATAAGGGATCCTTTCAAATGAGAGAGTAATAGCATAGTTGAGTACTGAGAAAATCCATGTTCCCCAATCTCCGTACATCATTTCTGGTCCAAGATTTGGTAGAAAAATTCCAATCCAAAACATGTACAAGTGAATCAACAAGGTTATCACATAACCATAGATTCCCTCCTTCACTTGGTTGTCTTGTATGAAGAGTACAAACTCCAAAGTCGAGTTCTTCAGTTTTGTTACCGCATTAACTTCAGAACCTGAAATGTCAGTTTTGGAATGTCTGTCAGAGGAACATACTGATGATCCTGCATAGTTACTGGTTGGAATTAGTAAGTAATTGTTGGCTCCCTGAGGTGGAGAGAGCAGCACCCTCGAATTACTTTGAGAACTGTTTGAACCTCTATCGTCAAACACATTAACATTGAGAGATGTCATTATTCTGGTTTTTTTAAAATTGAACTGGCTGAGTTGATGAAATAATCAAATACCTTGCTCAATAACAAAATCATAACCAATGAGATTTGTATGGCGGGAATCATATAAAACTAATAAGGATGTAGTAAAATGAAATTATATTTCTTTTCAGGAAGTCAGGTACAAAATACTTATGAACTTATGGAAAACGTTATGGAGCATCACAACCTTATTCGTAGTTTTTCTAATTAAATAGTGGTATTTTGTAGGAAGAATATTCTTGCATGCGGTCTTACTCTTATTATGGTGATGTCATTATAGGCCAATAAAATACTCAATTAACAACTAATCATCCACATTTGTCAATTGTTCTGTCACTGAAATGTCCTCTGATGTTTTGTATGAAACTGAATATGGACAATAATCAGTCACCATATCTGTTATCGGTACCAATTATACGGTTGTACATAAGCACACGATCTGGACAGTTAGCTCTTGCCCTTTCTATCTCTTGTTGAAGCTTGATTAGTGGATCAACATATTCTGTATTAAAATACGTCAAGATTTTGCTTACTATTCCATTATTCTTCACTCTCTCTTCTTCTAGTATTGGTTCATTAGAAATTGATTTGAATTCTGACTGAGCATTAGCACTGGCATTACGGTTCAATGGAATACTCTGGTTTGTTCTGTTCATCTTCCAAAATTATTATTTCTTCCTCGTGATGATTAACATTACTAATATTTGCTGCTGTTCCTTTGTGTTTGATCAATTTACGATAGACACACGCATAGACAAACTGACCCTGTTGTGTAGACATTTTTAAACGTTGGTCAAAACAAGGATACGAAGAGTCAACCTTGTTCTGTTGTTGTGATGGTGAAACATTGTATCACTTTTTTATTTTAAATATTTTTTAAAAAAATAGCGCCAAATAGAAAACTTCTTAACGGTCACTTCCAGAGTGGCTTCCTCAATATTTGAATCACAGCCTTATTATTGTTCGGAATTAAAAAATTGTTGTAGTAGGCTAGCAAGATTATAAGCAAATTATCATGGCTTGGTAATCAAAGGATTCTTCCATGTAAAGAAGATATTTTGCGGACCTTTATTCCTCCAAAATGGGTTCATTCACTTTTGCCACCTCATGATTCGTTCTAGATTATCCATCAGCACACCAAACAAAAAATTAGAAACACACCCTCTGTGTCATTATTTCAACACCAAATAGTCATTGTTTTTGACACATCATGGGTAATAGTTCTAGAAAAACATCATGTCATCAAGAAAAGAATTAACGGAAAGTTTGTTAGATAAAGATTCGTATGAAGTGCCAGATATTCAGGTGATGAATTCAAGTTATAGTGAAGATGGACTTTTACCACCATCAATATCATCATCGAGAAGAGAGTTACCAGAACTTTCTGTGCCTATACGATTGTCGGAAGACCCATCAATGATGACAGGAAATTATGAATTGTCTAGTGTCAAAATTGATAAGAATTCATTGTATACCGATAATACAGATGGAACTAGTAGTAACAATAGGAGGCTAATTTCACCAAGGAGGATGAAAATAAATTATGTGGACGAACAGGATGACTTTTTAGTGGCTAGAGCTAAATACCCTGATGGAAGATATTGTGTAGTGGCGAGACAATACCTGTCTAAAGATTATTTCAAAAAGGACTATCAAGTAACGATATCGAATTTTGATGTTTTTCAAACAGTGTTGGCAGATGTTTCAGATATTGAATCATTAATGTGGAAAAAGACAACAGGACAGTACAATGAATTGGATGAAAGAGAAACCTGCATGGCAATGTGTCATGTTTCAGACTTTTTATTTGAAAGTCTAAATGCTAGGTATGAGTATATGGCTTTGTCCAATCAAAGCTTTAGGAAGGAAAAGAAAGTAGATCATGAATATTACCAATCCAGATATCACAAACGTAGTGAAAGAACTCGACATAACACAGCTGATGAATATTTCCAAGTGGAAGATATTACCTGTAAGCAATTCTCCAAGAATTGTTGCTATGCCTTATTGTTGATAGTATCAATTTTCATCTTCCTCCTTGTTGCTAGTGTTCCAATTTGGTTAATTGAGGGAACCTATGAAGCTCAAACCCTGAATCAAATGACCAGTAACTTTACCATTAATAACGTTACCACTTCCTCTAATGAGACAGACATTACCTATGATTTATTCAATATTGACCATTGGTATTATACTAATTGCTTGTATTTTAGTACTGTGACGTGTAAGTTAATTTCAAATCATACAATTCTTTTAACTTTCGTCTAAATAGTTACTACTGTAGGATATGGAGATGTTGTTCCTCAAACAGTTGCAGGAAAACTATTTGTAGTTTTATTTGGTATTTTGGGATTGGCAACGATGGGAGCCATGACAGGAGTATTATTTAAAAAGTTAATGCAAAACACCAAATCCTTCCTCACCTTAATTTCCAATATTATAGTATTCTTCATCAAACTCTGCATGTCATGCAGTTTCAATTCCACTCAAAGAAAGACTAGTAGGATAGAACGAGTTGTTTCTGTAATTGTGAAACATCCTCTTAGTCAAATTGTATATTTCTTCTTCCTAGTGGCAACGTATTCCATTGTTGGAGCTCTCATCTTTATGGCATTTGAAGATTGGGTGTTTGGTGATAGTCTCTACTTTGTATTTATTACACTAACAACTATTGGATATGGCGATCTTAAACTGAAAAATTCAGGTTCTAAATTCTTTTTGATATTCTTTATTATTTGTGGAATAGGTCTGTTGGGTATTTTACTTGCCTTAATTGGTGGTGTATTCAAAAGATTACTGAAAAAGATTTACCTGAAGACAACCAGTCAACAGGAAGGAAACAAAAATGAAGATTTTTTCAATGTTGCCTCAATTCAAGAGCATAACACTCCAGGAAGAGATTCAGATCATCATAGATACTAAATCCGTGTGTCACATTGTATGACACCATGTTGGAAATCTTATCATTCTGAAATACTTATAAATTTTCTTTATTAAGTATTGCAATTTCGTTCAATAAGTTTTCTATATTCTCGCACAACTTATTATGATAACTTCCAAACCAGTTGGAAAACTTTCTCTTTAAAAGTGAGAGCAATCTAAAATCATTCCTCATTCTACGCACAAGTAACGCGGGCGGAGGAGTTTTGTTGAGCAGCTCTCTTCGAATCAGGTCAGCATGAATGTTTGCCACCACGAACACAGCCACAACCAATAAGCAAATATTTACTGTTTCTGTTGGTAGTAGTGCATAATAATCACTAAGCTCGTCTGCAAAGGCACTCCTCCATATTTTACACTTTTCAACAATTTCACTATCACATTGTTGTGTAAATTGTTGGGAGCTGTTGATTATTATTTCGTGGAGAACAAGCAGACTGCAACTAGTCAAGTATATTTTCTGTAACACGAATACTACTTGATTAAACTCGTTTAAATCTAGACTTGATGATTCATTCAGTGAAATAGCTTGTACTTTTCCAATTCCAAATTGTTCCAAAGCTTCTTCTTCCAAATGTTTCACATTATTCTCAGCTATTCCTATTATTAAGAAGGGTACATTAGTCTGATTCCTAAAAATCACATTAGGGGACTGCAACAAACACAGCAGTTCATATTTACATCTACCTCTGATATCTATTGAATTTCCAAAGACAAATCTATTCACAAATGAAGAAAATTGGAAAGTACTACTTTCTTTCAGTATGAATGATTGATTATTGAAAAGTGGAGAGGAAACCATTGATTCAGGTTGTATGTATTCTTTTAGGTTTTCCAGTGTGAATTTCAATTCATCCAAAAGCATTCCACAATGAATCCTCTTTTTGATAATTAGAATTTCCTCCTTTGATATTCCATCAAATAGATTTTGAGGTATTTCATTAGCATTGATTGGTAAAAAACTTTGTTCCTTAAATACAGGAAACCTTTCATCCAGCATGACATCTGCCAATCTAACAAATTTTACAGCTTCTTTCAAATCTCCCATCGACAATTTGTACTGACACAATATTAACCTAGTTCCTATCAAGAACAGAGACTGAGAATCCATTCTATTCGATGTGAAAAACATTGTCCTATTCTCAAAAGTGGTAGAAAGACAAAGAAGCCTATTTGATTCGGTTTCATCTTCCAATATTTGAATGCACTTGTTGTAGTATTCCTCTGCCTCTCGCCATTCTTCCTTAAAATACAGAATCAATGCTTGTGAGGCATACATTAGTGCTAACAAATCATCTGGGAATAATTGTAAACTTTCCGAGTTTGTCAAGTCCAACAAAGTCAACACATCTGCCCTTGTCATAATGTCATTCCCAAACCTTCCATATATACAACTTGGTAACTACTTCTTCCAATCAAATACTTCAACTTACGAAATATGTTTCGAATAATAATCCAATGATGATTCAAGAAAGTTCTTTGCAAAGAGTCTGATTTCATTTCTAAACTCAAAAGTAGCATTTTCTCTATGGGAATCACCATCACCATCACCATCACCATCACATGAGAATGTTCTTCCACTAATTTCCTTGCTGACATTGGTTTATCATCAATTACACAATATTTTTCACATTCTTCCATTGGTTCCTCATCTTCAGCTTTAGTTTTGGTATTCAACTTGAACTTATAGACCTTATACTTGGACTTGGGTTGTTGTGGATGTGTGATTGATGCATGCATGCTACTTGATGTCTTCTCATTCAGATCGACAAACTCTGCATTGAAATTCTTCCTTAACTTTTTTGGAGTCTCATACATGCATTCGAAATTGTTCTTTAAACAATAACTACATGCTGGTAAGACTCTATCACATCTAGTATGTCTACTTTTGCAACGTTTACATGAGATGGGATGTAATGTTATCCTTGCTGAACATGTTGATGGTAAAGATGATTCGTTATTCACAACTGGTGAAGAAGGTAACGATATTGTTGCTTGTTGCATGACAATGTTTGTTACTGGTGTGTGATGCTCATGTTCATATGTTGATGACGATGAAGAAGAAGGACTTTTAGTATGAAGATTAGTACATGTAGTAACAGCAAGATACTTCTCTGGATTATGGTGCTGGTGTTGGTGCTGTACTAATACATGTAGGTTCGGACATGATGATGCTAATTCTGTTGTTGATGTTTGTGGTTGTTGTTGTCGACGTTGCTGAGGTTCTTGTTGCTGCTCTCCTTCAATCCCAATTCGAGAGACTCGTTTCATTATTTGCTCCGTTCTTACTTTTTTTCGTTTCGTAAAAGCGCAACTTTGTGAAATTGGAGAAGAGAGTTGTTGTCTTTTATTGAGTTTAGTAATCCGGAGAATCTTGAAGATTGGGTAATTTCAACAACTGCTTTGCTTACTTTGGAAAGTTTATTATTGAGAATGAAGCAATATAATTAATCATTCATGAATGCTTCCCACAAGTCATCAAAATAGGTATCATCATTGTTGGGAAGATATTTGGAATGCATCATGGTAGATTCTCTGCTGTTGTTGAAATTATTTACCATCGAGTTAGAGGGTGCCGAATGCCACTGAAAGATGTTGTGACAATAATCTGGTTGTTGGGTGGCTTTTCGTTTGTTGGGTGCTTTTGTCTTTGGGAGTGGGTTGCTGCATCGATCTTTGGTTTTAGAGGTTTCGTCTACAATCACAAATGCTCTCATTTTGTTTTTGTTATTCAGAAACTGAATCAGTTTGGACAATTTAATGGACTAAAGGGGGATTTTGTATATAAGGACCTGCCGAGCACATCCCTATTAAGGTGAAAATGTTTTTGGCAAGATTTGGTCTTGCTATCTATCATCCATGTTTGCGATATCTGAACTCTGAGGTTCTGGGGATTTCTGTTCATTTGAATAAAATTTAAACACACAACTGTAGTTTGGACAAACCCACTTTAAATTAATAAGGCAAAACCTAAAATTATCCTCCCATGCCGGGAATTGAACCCGGACCTCCTGGGTGAAAGCCAGGTATCCTAGCCATTGGACTACACGGGATATACATGTTGATTGAATCTATGCTCTACTTATACAGTCTACATAACAACTGTGCTTTAGCATTGTTACAAAAAACTAATAATTCATCATTTAACGTTTTTTGTTGAACGAATTACAAAATAATAATAATTTGATATTACATCTATTGGCATTATTTTTATCTCCAAAACACTAAAATGGTGCTCTGTAAATTTGACATTGATTTATGACAAAGTAAAACCAATAAAAAATGTCAGAAATTGTCCAAACTTTGATTCAAGCCGAAAAGTCCTACATTGATCAACTCAATACTTTGATACAGGTTAGTTTCAATATTAATTGACCAAGATTTATCCTAAATATTATTAGAAATATTTATTACCACTCGCTGATGAGGAATCTTCACCTCTTGTTCATTCCGTTTGTCATCAATCCGAAGAACATCATCAAGAAGAAAATTATCTTCATAATATTTCTAGTAGTTTAAATATTATTACAAAATTACATCATTTCACCTTGACAAGATTGGAAGATTTTTCCAATAAGAATAATTATGCAGGATTTGGATCGTTATTTTCAACTGTTTCATCACAATTGTTGGCTCCTTATAAACAATATTATAGTTCAGTTCCTAAAATTCTTTCCTATTTGGAAAGAGAAAAACAAACAAATGATGCTTATAAAAAGTGGTTGACTGAGAATGATGAAAGTAAATTGGTTGATTTACTTGTCAAGTCACCTCAAGATCATTTGAATTTCTATGTAACACAATTGAATAATTATGGATCTAGTAGTGATGATGAAAAACAAAATATCACAACAAGTTTGGACTATTTGACCAAAACTATTGAATCAATTGCTCAAGCTCAACATGCCAAGCATCAACCTATTCGTCGTCTCTCTGAAAAACATTAATTAATATTATATATTGGAATAAATACTTCTGTGGATCAATATTCTTGATCACTTTGGATGACAGAATTTATTTGATTAATTCTGCTCATGGCATGAACCAATTGCTTATCTTTGGAAGGATTGGATGGTGGTGTTTGTTTTTGATGCTTATGCACGGAAAGCTTTCTTCCTTGCTCATAGTTGCTATATTTCTCAAAGAGAATGTTGGAGGACAAGTAGTCCTGTTGTTTGTAAAGAAATTCAGCAAGGAAAAAGTATGGCAATCCAGGAAACCACAAATTGAGTAGGTTCCATGATTTCTCATCCATTGATTCAATGGTTATGGAAGACTTTCCAATGATTTGCTGGCTATCTGTGGCACTTCTCATGAGTGAAATCAATTTGATGAAATACTCTAAAGATTGTTGGAATTGTTTCAGTTTGATATGGTTATTAATGAGTGTGAATTGAATATTCATGAGGTGGTAGTACTTTCTCGAATTGTTAATGGTACCTTCTCTTATTGGGGAGCAGTACTCTTCTTGTGCACATGATGAAACGGAGTACACGGATTCTGCCACCTCAAGATCCCTCTCTGCTTGAGTGAAGAGTCCCAACTTGTGGGATGAGTAACCTCTGTAGAAGATGCACTTTTCCTCAATCTTACTCATCATAAGCTCATCAGAGCTTGTCGATTCTGATGAGTATTGTTGCTTAATAGTGTGGATGCCATCCAAACACTCTGTCGAGTAGGCAATTGTCTTGTCGTATTCTCCACTTATAGAATACGATTGGACTAGTAAAAAGATCACTTGCAAATTTAGTAAGGCAGAGAAAAGTCTGCTGGGACCTTGAACATAACTTGTTGCTTTTCCATAATAGGCCTTGAGGAATAGTTTACAAAACATGACGCATTCTTCAACATTGGATTTAGGGACTGTATACAGTGGATTGGTGGAAGCTTGTGACTTGGTATTCTTTGTTTGTTGCTGTGAAATCAAGTGGAGACCACATTCGCTTGCGATTTTGCCAAGTGAGTGTAATCTCTCATAGAATGCCATCCCACTTTCCAGACAATTCACAGAGCAGAACAGTTCCTCCATCACATTCAGTGTTGGACACTTTCTTTCCAATGTATTAAACTCGAACGATAACCATTTGTGTCTATGTGAAAAATCAAAAGATAATTTGTTAACAAGATAGTGAAAAACAGTACAAACCTTTGCATGTATATCTGCCACCAAGGAATTGATGCCTCAATCTGCTGATGATAGACACATGAATTGACAACAAGAGATTCATTCAAATTGCCCCACCTCAAATGATACAGTTCCTTCCACAATCTATCCTTCATTGTTTGATTTCTAAAACTCGTATTCACCCTTCTAGTATTATTCCACAACTCCTCTGCTCCCAAGAAGGAACAAATTATAACAATGACATCTTCACACAACATATCATCAAAGGAGACTCGATAACAAGATGCACTGGAAGTGCTTTCCATCACCGGAAGAACACTCTTACTATTTCCCTTGCTACTATCAAACGTACAACAACATTCACATTGATTGGAAGACTCGGAGGGTATCATCTTGATCCATCTTTTCAATACCTTCATAATTATTCCTTAATAGAAAGATATTATTTAATTTTCTTGATAATGATGCTTATTACAATTAATATATATATAATGAGAGGCGTAGTAATATATTAGTGTGATGAAGCTAATATATTAATGCTCTTAATAACTTTTGTTTGTTTTTTAAAGTATACTTTATTGAGAAAGTTTAATTGTTTGTTTGGTCCTTTGATTCAGCAAATTGTTCTCTACGGAGGATGAATCCCTTAGTTTTTTTTTGATTTGGTAATGCTAAATGGCGGCAAAAAAAGGCGGGCTAAGGATGGATAAAATTGGATATATGCACATCCTTAAATGATACTAGTCGAGTTATTAAGGAGAATAAGTTCACCAATACGCGGAATATTCCAAGTTTGGCATTTCTTGTTGGATTCACCAGCATGTCTCCGCCAAGTTGAGGAAGTCTTGGAATGTCAATGAAACAAAACCTTAGAGTCTCGACTGCGTAACTCACTTTCTTGTTGTTTGCCTTGCTGTGATATTCCATTGAATAAACTTTCTTCATTCTGCATTTGGCTTAATATCGATGCATCTTTGCTATGGACAAAAAAGAGTTGACGAATATAGTACTTTCTTCTTTGCAATTATATATTTAATGAATCAAACATGGTAACAATCTAACATTGTGTCATCCAATAAACAGTTCGGTTATCCGAATCATTCATTATGCCTATAATGACATTTCACATCACTTCACTCGTCAATCATAACAAAAATTCAGTAAAAAAAAAATCAAACCACTTTCCACTCAATTGCTAGACCGAATCACATCATCATCATGGCTTCATCCACCACCAATGCACAGAGGGGAAAATTCCTTGGACACATTGAAAAGTTTCCATTTTGGGTCTGGGTATTGCTCTTCATCTTTTGTTGTCCATGTGCTTTGGTTTTCTATATTCTCCATCGAAGAGAGAAGAGAACCATGCAAGGACAATTACGTTACGATCCGAACAATGTAAAAATTTCCTTCCAAGTTGATAATGTTTAATTTTCTTTTGTTTTCTTTTGCTGTTTTCCAATTTTTTGAATTTTTTGAATTTTACATGCGCAAACAAGAGAGGAATTTTATTGAAAATGATGAAAATGAGTAGAATTGATGAAATTTGATAGGAAAAGTGTAGACGTGTGGATGTAAAACCTTTCAAGGGATTGGAAAGCAGTGATAGGATCATTCACATGCGTGCATGTGTTGTAAATTTTTTTGGATTTTCATACAGTAGTGCATGTGAAAATTTCAATATTTGGATTTGGAGCAGAAAATTAGCAAACTCGTAAGGGAAAGTTTCAATTCTCGTACTAGATTAGAATCATTCAATAAATAATATTTCTGTGTATGTAAATTCTATTTAAATTCTTATCAAAATTATTGTAAACTTGCCAATTGAACAAGATTGCAAATTCATGAACAATGAATAGCATTTTTAATGCTCAACAACCATTTCAATCAATCTCATCAGCATTTTGAAATCTTTTACACACCATTTAGAGAATGAAAAGAAATCAATTTCGAATTTCTATTTGAAATTTTTGTCGATTTTCTTCCAATTTTATTATTCTCAACATATTTCAAAATGTTTTTGGAGCAGAGATGGGGGTTGTCATGAATTTCAATGTGACACTTCATTTCGAATAGGGTTTAAAAGTTTCGCCTACTATCAAAAATTGCCTTTTATTGATTCTTTCCAAAAATAGTCATCAAAGAGATGTAGCTCTTTCAATCCAGATACACCAAAGCAATACTGTTTGAATCCATTTCTAACAATGAATCAACTTTCGTTCTCCTTTGTTAGATGTTGAATGTTTAAAATTTTTAAATTCCCAATAGAAAAAAACTAAACAACAATGGGAAATAAGCATGTTAACTGCCATCATGAGGAATCGAATGAACAGATTTCCAATCTGATGAAACATTATGGACACTATTCGATAGAACAGAATGGTGGCATTTCAGATTCGAATAGTGCCGACGAAATCAGTTCGAATCTCATCGTGAAACATCACTCTTTACTAATAGACGAAATTGAAAGAAGTAACCCAACCCTGTGGCGACACTACACTGTACAATATTACATCAAAACTAGATTTGATGCCAACACATCATCACTTGACACTTTCCTCAATCAAATGTCAAAATCAACCCTCAAAGAAATAGAGAGAGAATTCAAGACAGCTCTTCTCCAACATAGATTATCCAAATATCATTTTCCTAACCATCCAAACCATGAAGAAAAGAATGACGCCTTACATGTCACTTTTATTGAAGATTTCTTTGATTCGACATTTCCATCACATGCTCATTCAATAAAACAAAAACACAAACTTTGATGCATATCAGATTACTTAATGTTTTCAATTATCTAATTCTATCAATTTTCTAGTCAATTGAGAGAATGAAATCAAATGCCAATCATTGAATGCATCTGATGTTCAACGGATAACTAAAATGCCATCATGTTTTGCAACGGATCCATTAGGGAGTAGATGGTCCATCAGGGCATCCTTGATAATGGCCATTTCATTGCTTGTTAATTATTGAGGCATCAAGTGGGATGTTCATATTTGGAAATTCCCTTAAATACCTCAACAAGCTGAGACTTGCAAAATTAAATTACTAAAAAGAAAATCTCGAATTTATGGCCATAGAAACAACTAGTCCCATTGTTAAACAACAAGAGGAAGATAGTAGTGTAATGGAAATTCCTATTAGTATTCACACAACTCAACTAGGTCCTCATCAACAAAACTTTTCATCACATCCAGACGAAGATTTAGAGTTGGAAAGGAGATTATCAACAGATGCAACATACTTGCCAATCAAACAGCAACAGCACTCATCAAGACTCGAACAAATCCTCATCAAACGATTATTGGCCATGCACTGGACGAAAGGAAAGGCCACAAAAACGACAACGAGAAGGAATTCTTCACACACGCACGTTGATAGGGAAGAACAGAAACAGAATGCTCGTTCATTGCACTACCGAAATGTTGTTCAGAAAATAAGGAAACAACACCTGAATATGAAATGGCTCAGCAAGTTTGAATATTTGGTGTTGAGTATTTGTGATTCCACCAATTCGAATTGGTTGGAAAATTCTGTAAATAGGAGTGTATAAAGTTTTGTTCGAATAACGTATTTCCTTTCAAAATGATGAGGCTGTAAAGCATGTCAGTAATCATGTCCATGCTTGTGGTTAAGAGTTAAATCACGAAGAGAATAAAATAATGTTTAGTTTTTCAATGATTGATTGAATTCCTTAACATCTCCAAAACTGTTAAATCTCAATTCTAATAAATCTTCCAAATGTTTACGAGCATTATCAAGAACACGTCCAAAATCAAAATAGGTTGCCTTAGTTCTGTGCCATTCTCTGTGAAGGCAAGTAAATCCGACCACATACATTTCATTGAAAAGATCGAGATTAAATTGGTGAGTTTCAGTCTTGGCCTTTGGCTTTTTCTTCTTTTCAGTCTTTTGGGATATCTTTACAGGTGAAGCTGGAACAAGCTTGGTGCCAGCTGTTGACTTTTTAGTATTACTACCAGCAGCAACATTTTTCGAGGAAGTGGCAGAATTTGGTTCATCCCACGACAGAGAATTATTATCCCACACAACAGGTGAAATTTCATCATCCAAAATATTAATTCCCTTCTTTTTAGGTTTTTGTTCTGGAATGTCATCAAAGGAAAGCAGTGTTCCTTCCGTAACTACAGGTGTAGAATCTTCATCCTCCTCTTCGTCTTCATCCTCTTCAAGAACTGGTTTTCCTCTTCCGGATGTTAAAAGTTCAATGAAATTCTTCTTGGCCGTCACATTATGTACCTTAGATGCTTGGAATCCAATACCTAGGAAGGACAAGAGCAACATTGTCACATTCAACCCAGCAATAACAAATGGATAACTTGTGAAAGTACCATCATCAGTGACAGAAATCTCATTTGTACATTTTCCAAAGTAATTCTTGAATCTCTTCTTGTAATGTTTGGAGAAGTAGAGTAAATTTCTCAACCCAAGAATACCTGCTCCTCTAAAGTCTGTTATTAATAATTATTCCGATCCAATTATTGATGAAATTGAACAAGCAAAGTTATGAAACATGATTGAATAGATAATTATTAATATGACACAAGAACAATAGTGATTACTTACCAGTTTCTGGTTTTGTGTTTTGGAATCCCAAGAATTTCCAATGTTCTCCCTCAGTTAAAATAGTCTTCTTCTGAGTACAACACTTGTAGAGTGAGAATAACAGTTTTTGATGCTTGTCATTCTCAATATCGAACTTTTTAGAGCAATACTTTTTGAATTGTTCCAAAATTTGCTTCTTTTCAGGTTCTAAATAAATCTCTGGAGATGGGAAATCACCTCCTGCTCTTGGGTTTGCATTGGATTGATTCTGTCTGAAATTCATTCCCGAGACAGCACTTGTCAATCTAGATCCTCCAATATTGGCAGTTTCTGTAATTGATGAATAAATATACTTTAACATATCGGCAATAACTTGCAAAATGTATGGACCACTCTCTTCGTTTTGTCTCTTTCTTGCCTGTTCATAATAATTATTCTTCATGGTACCAATACGTGGATCATTAGAGTATGATGATGATGATGAATTTTCATATGATTCCGAAATTGATGGCATACTATTAACCTTTCCCATATCTCTTGAACTTATTCCCTTGTATTTATCAATATTACTATTCGATGCAGAGTAATTCAATCGATTATTATCATAATTATCTGATGTAACAACAGGAGAGGAATCACCATCATATATACCCGATGATTGATAACCTCCTCCAACAGGAGAACCTGTACTCGATGTTGATGATTGTGTTCTTGTGTGTTGTTGCTTTTTTCCATATCCAAAAGTTACATTTCCCCACCACCACTCCCTGTACTCCCCGTACTCGATGATGAGAATGTTCTATTATGTTGATTCTTTGTCTTGCTACTACTCTTCTTCTTGGTCGATTTCTTATGTTCAATAAAATCAGAAGTTTCCTCGTCATCATCATCCAATAATTTCTTTGGTGATGGATCGGAAAACTCGTCCATCAATGCTTCTCTTTTTCTCATGTTATTGTTATTATTGGTTCTCTTTATTTACACTTGCAAAATCGCTAACCTTTGATCTTCTTCTTGGAGTGAACAAGTTTGCTTGATTTTTCTTTTGTTTTGGTGACAAGTAATTTTTTCTGAAGGCTAAAAAATTTTCATGATGAAATTTCTGGCCGGTGTGATCGCATTACAAAATAAATATGCAATTAAGGAGTGAAAAGACAAGACTTAACGGAAGGAATATGATAACTTACATTTAGTTCTGTTCTTAAGAAAAAAGACTACAGCACCACAGGTTCCCAAGTTGTCTCCAACCTCAGTACTGATGTGGCTCGACGATGCTTAACTTCTCAAATCGGACGGGATGAGGTGCATTCATCGTGATATGGCCGTAGCCATTCAATTTCTTAAAGTGTGAAATATAAATGTATTCACTCCTTTTTCTTTACCTTTGTTTTCTTTTTTTTAAACTAACCTTTGGTACATTGTCATATTTACAATAGTCCCACAATAAATAGAAAACTTGCCATACAATTGTGTAACATTGATTTATTTTGTTATTTACAAGATATTGTTTAGATTTGTTTCATGATCCTTAAATCCAGCTATATCATGATTGACTGGTGCAATTAAACTATCTCAGTAAAATCTATTTCACAATTCATTCTCTCAGACACAACAAATGTGGAGGGAGAAATTACGATTGATGAATAGTTCTCTGATGATAGTTGTTAAAATTATTCTAAACTAATATTAATTTTGAGAAGGAGTGGTAACTTGTTGCTTTTCTAACAATTTTCTTTCCTTTCTCTCTTGCTTTTGACCTTGTTTCTCCAATTTTCTTTGAGCTTTGATTATTTGTTTTTCAAGTTTCTTTTCCATTTTCAAAGCATGCTTTTGTTCCTTTTTTTGGAGTTTCAACAAGAGCCTTGCATCAACAGTTGGAGTGACAATCTCATCATTGTTGGAAACTGGTTCAGTTGTTACTTGTTGAACTGGTGGTACAGTAACAATTACTGGTTCAACAATAGGTACGTTAATTGGAACAGTTGGTTCACTAGAAGTTGTGGTAGTTGAAACAGTTTCTGGTTGAGTAGAAGTATTTCCTTGTTGCTTTCTTTGCTTCTTCAATGCAATCTTTTCAAGCTTGTATTGAGCTTTGAGTAACTTCTTTTCCAATTTGAAAGCTTTCTTTTCTTCCTTCTTTTCAAGTTTGAGTTTAAGTCTTTCTTCCTTGTTTGGAGATGACTTAATAGTAGATGGAACATTTGAGTCAATGCTAACATTGACATGATGGAATGACTTTCTCAAAGATTTCATTTCAAATTTGATAGTCTTGATTTGTTCCTTCTTCATCTTAATTTCATCTTTCAATAATTCAACTTGTTGCTTCTTTTCGGAAAGACTTTGAGATTGTTCTTCAGTCAATTGAAGTTTGACCTTTCTTTCTTTCTTTTCCTTTCTTTCCTTCTTTTCATGATTCAATTTCTTCTTCATTACTCTGAAAAGAATTGGTTTATCTTGTGGAATTTCTTGAATTAATTTCATCATTTCAGAAAAATCATTTTCATTATTAATTATATAAATTGTTTTTCTCTTCTCAGAAGATGGAACAATAGCCTTGATCTTGAAAGTGGATAATAACACTTCATCAGAAGAAGTAGCAGATGACAAATCTTGAACAAATTCTCTAACAGATTCATTCAAGCCTCCGAAATTAATTAATTGGAAAACCTTTTCAATACTTTCTTCCTTGTTCTTTCTCATGATTAATTTACCAGTGAGAGTATTATTATTATTATTATTAGTACACATTTTCTTTCTTATCAATTGTTTTAGATTATTATTTAAATAATTGTTTGATTTGTTTTTTTTGTTGTTGAAAAATGAAAATAGAAAGTGCGGGAAATTACCACAATAGCAAAGTTCACCATCTCTCCAATAATAGTTTTTTTGTAAGGTTACAATAACTTTTAATGTAGGTTGGTTGTCAAACATTAAAAGTCCGACCATCTGGTTCAATACCATGATTTGTTTGCATACTTTCATAGATTTGAAATCCTTCCTTAATTAATCCACAATGACTACATGCATTCAACACTGCAGCAAATGTGGTGCCATTAGGGGCTATATTCATTTCTTTGAATATCCTAATAGCTTCTTTACCCTGCCCATTCAAAGTTAATCCAGATATGAGAATGTTGCAAGTGATAATATTGGCTTGATTTCTTAATTCTTTATACAGTTCTAGAGCTTTTTCAAAATTTCCAACATTCAAGTACATATTTAGCATATTGAAGAGTTGTATATTTGGTTTATGTCCAAAATCTTTCATTATATGTGAACTCTACCAGCCAATTCTCTCATACTGTACTGGGCACAGAAATCAATAAAAGAAGAATGAAAAGTTTCCTTCATCGTGATGATTATTTGATGCAATTCCATTGTAATTTTCATAATGATCATGATTTAAAGAGACCCCCCGGAAGAGTTAAAGCAAGCATCATCAATTAGAATTCCTTTCAAATGAATATCAAAGAGAATATCCAGAGCCCTTTCAAATTGCTTTTCTGAGAGAAAACACTTGATAAGACATGTATAATGGAAGATATTTGGTTCAACTTCATATTGTTTCATCATTTCAAAATATTGTTGACCCTTTACACTATCGTCGTTTTGCATGTCTTTGCACATTGTTAAAATAATTGTAAATGTTTTTTCATCAAACTTGTAATTTTTCGTATTTTCATAGAATAGATTGAGAGCATTATGAATTAAACCATCCTTGTAAAGAGCTGACAATGTAACATTTAACACGGCCACATCTTGTCCATTGTACCCACCAAAAACATCCAATACTGCCTGGGACTGATTGAAACAACCAAGCATATTAATTAATGACACTACCAGAAAGGGATCAGACAAAAAAGAAGGTAGATTTTCAACAATTTCTTGATGTAAAACTTTTGCATCATACAAAATACCACTTTTGATGCATTCATTCATGAGTGATATAAATATTCGAGAGCTTAGTGGAATTCGCTTTCTTTTCATCAGCTCTAAAACATTCAAAGCTTGAGAAATTCGAACTGTTAATACATCCCTTGATTAGTGCATGATAGTGAGATTTTCCAAGACTCGATAGGGCTAGAATAGCATAGCTAAAAGTTTGCTTGTCCGTCTCAATTGAAGATTCCTCCATCTCGCTGAATAACAGTAGTACTTCATTGTAAAGAGAGTGATGTGCGTATGCGGAAAGCATTGCATTCCATCTTGCTGTTGGTTTCTTCTCCATGCTGTTGAACAGTTCAATAGACCTTTCTAATAACCCACACTTGGAGAACATAGAAATGAGGCTTGTTTGGACAATTATATCATTGAAAAATCCACTATTAATAATTAATTCTTCCAGCTTTAAAGCAGATTCTTTTGTGGTGCATCCAGCTTTGATGTAGCAGGAATAATGAAACTTGTCACGTGCCTCAATGTTTCGAAATATAAACTCAGCCTCCCACGTTCCAAAAGTACTGCACGAATTTAATAAATTATTCAAAGTGTACTTCTCCAATAAAGCTAGATTTTCTCTTCACCAAGTAGAAATAATCCATTGCCGATTGGAAATTGTATTGGCACATTTCCCTAATGATGAAATTCCACAAATATGAATTGATGTTTTTTTCTTTTGTTGAATTGACATTTTCTGAATCATGTTATCAAATTGCTTCCACAAGTCCCTTTTCCTTTGCATATCTATTGGTTTTTTAAGAAACGTTGTTAGAAGATATAAATTTGGTTTATCTATTGCTTTGAAAATTTTATCACACTCCTCCACAGAAAACTTTCCCTAAAAATTTCCCACCAAAAATAACGTAAAAAAAACTACAGATGATACTTGGCAGCTGATTTTTCGAATATGTAGTGATAATTATCACTAATGATGATAGTAATTATTATTATATTACAAGCACGGAATGCAAACAGGGAACTGTATTTAAATGGACACAGACATGTTTTCATAATGAATCAATCTGATGTATAATTGTATGGTGCTAGCATTCTAGCTAAATGAAGTTAAATGAAGTTATTTAATACTTCTTCAAGAATTACATAATCTGTATATGTGCATTACCTGAAAACACATCTAGCTCATTATTGTATTTTAAATTCTAACGGTACACTGCTTAATATTTCTATTTATATCCAAATTCTCTATCAAGTTTAAATCAGAAAGTTTCAAACAATGGATTAGAAAATAATTCTTAGATTCATTCCAAACGAAAGTCTACAACAAAACAACTACAAAAAAACATGTTGCATCCCAATGCTAGTATAAATCAATTGAATAATACTAACAACAACAATATTGCCATAGAAGAGGATTCAATCTCTATTGCTAGTACTTCACGTCGTGGGTCAACCGTTGCTAGAAACCAGACGACTCCAACAAGTTATCTGAATATTCCCTCAGTTCATGGACAACATACCTCTAGCTCATCAAATGTATCCTTCTCGTCCCAACATTCCAAATATTCAACAACAGATATTACTGGCTCTGAGATTTCGATTGGAATCAAGCTCAGAAATCAACTTATGGATTTTATATTCTTCATGCAAGAGGCACAATTAAGAGAAGGTCTATATTCCTATTTGATTAGTTTACTATTTCATACTTATGTATTTTGGATTGGTATATTCTTGCCAAATCTTGGAATGGAAATGAAATACGGAGAGTGGGGAACATGGGTTTTTTCTGTATTGAACTATCCTTTGACTTTATCATTCGAAAGGTTACCTTATATAGGTTCGTTGGCTCTAGCGTTTGTGGTTATAGCTGTAGAGCTGTTATTTATTGTTTACTTGGTTTGGAGTGTGTATGCTTACAAAACAACTTCTCAATATTTGAAATGGACAAAGAAAGGTTTGGCCCTTGGTTCGAAACTTTTTCTACTCGTTTCTCTTCCAGCTGTTTACCTATTGACAACACCACTTGATTGTAATCTTGGTTCTGTCTCAGTTCTCAACCGTTTTTTACAATATTCAAACCAGAACATTGAATGTTATTCAACTATTAATATTGCCTTCATGGCCATCATGATTATTGGAATAATCATTCAAATGATATTATCATGTTTTTCTCTATTAATTGTGACGAATTGTCATCCCCAACACTTTTCTCCATTCACTTCTGATCATCCAATTTTCCTTATTGGAACAATGATTTGTACTCAATTCCAAATTCTTTCACATTATGTGATTCCTCCTCAGTATGCATTTATCAGATCGATTGTGCATTTGATAGTTTCGATTGGTTTAATGATTGGTTTTTCGAAAAACGTTCCATATTTTAAGAGATTTGAGAATTCCATTATGGTTGGAGTGTTATCTGCAAGGATCTTCTCAAGTTTTGGTTCTCTAATTAGTGGCGTTGTAAATAATCCAAATCTTTCGGCAATTTACAAGTCAGTTGATAATGTGCTGGGAATTGGTCTAGCTGGAATGACTTTGGCAATGATTATCATCTCTTTTTTTGTTGGAATGATGGTAATGGAGGCGATTACAAGAATTTTGATTAGAAGTGTTCGATTTATTGTAATTGAAGGTATTAGAAATGAATCTAATAATGGTTTCCCTGATTTACTGGAAAAGGCAATCGAGAAGGATTCCATTAATATTTACCAATACTTTCTAGAATCCAAAAAGTTGAATTATCTGAAACTTTTTTTGAAATTCTCCATTAAGGAAAAGATTCCAACAGATGAAGAAGATCCAACTCTTTCCAGCAATCCAAATATGTTGAGCAATCTGAAAATGTCTCTTTCTCTTGTTAGAGGTATATCATCACTCAACTCACAACTCGATAATGATATTCTTCTCTTATCAAGTTCTATAGCATCAAATTGTCTCGTAAATGATGTCAATGCCACAACATTTTCCAAAGGAATTTTAAGGAGAGCCATAAAAAAGAGACCAAATACATGGTATAGATTCCTCATCTATTTGAAACAGAAGGAAGTTGACATTATAGTTCATCAAATTAATCCAAATGCCAAAAATACTGAAGAAATGAGTGAAGTAATGTTCATTCTCGAAAGGAGACAAAATGAATTGAAAGCCCTTCACAGAATGTTCTGGAAGGAAATGCTCCAGGAATGTGTCTTGAGGGATAAGATTGAATCAATCATTGTAAGAATGGGAATTATTTCCAATGAATGTGAAACCAAGTTTTTGAACATGTTGGCAATTTATAAGAATGACAAGAATTTATTACGAAATTTTGCCAAATACATTGAAGAATTCAAGTTTAATAAGGATGCTGCTCAAGAGCTGTATGCTGAAGCATCAAGTTTGGAAGAGGAAGAAACCAAAAGAAATGCTCAATTAAGAAAGAAGAGGAATCAAAAGTCCAAGTTTAAAAACAGAATAGTTCCAACACAAGAAGGCCCAAATATTGGTATCCATCTCCAGGAACACGACATTAGAAGTGAGAGCAGTTCATTCTATGGCGATCAGAAAGAGGCAGAAACCAATCCAGAATTCAATGGAATTGAGAATAATCCAGAATTTAGAAAGGAAAACGTATTCAGAACTTCACTGAGCCTTCCACACAGACACACTCTCCAAGTTTTCCTCTTCTCTCTATTTGTCTTATTTTCCATCTTGTTTTTGAGTGTTAGTTTGGCTTTGAGTGTTTCATTCTCATCCTATATTTCAGGCACTGTTAAAATAGTGGAAACAGCTTGTGCTCCAGTTGGCGCCTCTGTTCAGATCATGTCTAGTATGAGAGCTTTTCAACCAATCACATATTTGTACAATCACTCAATGGTTGAATGGATGAATGTCATGTCCAAGTATGGATATACTTCTTTGGAACATTATCATGAAGAAATGTTAGAACACATTAATACTTACAGGGACATTTTGAAATCAGTGCGAGAATTGGTTCATGACGGAAAATTCACACAGGAAATGTACTCTGAATATCATGAAATTTATTACACTTTCAATTTACCAACTTCATGGCCAGCAACAGAAATCGATAAGGTTTATAACATTTCGACCACTACTAATACCACTATTGCAGATATTACAAATTTATTCTATACACACTCTGAAACTATTTCTAAATTTGGACTAGCAGACCTAGAGAGTTTTCTGTCAAGTTATCCCTTTATGTTATTGGTAAGTTAGTTGTTCTAGAGTTTTATTCTAATCATGTGCAGTACTTTAATTCCGAGAGAATGGTTACTGCCTATTCTGATTTTTGTGTGAATTTTGTTTCCAGTTCAAAGGATGAAACTCAACTAATTACTAATACTTTTATCATTTACTTTTCCATCATTGTGACAGTCTACTTCCTCTATACATCTCTTTATGTATTCTACTCTAAGTTAGATCTATCTGTTATAACAAAGATAGTTCTTCTCATTGAGAAGAATGTTTCAAAAAATGATGCAGGAAGATTATTCCATGAATTGAGTAAGGTAGTCAATGATGATACATCAACTCATCCAGTCAAGAGTGTTTGGAAATATCCAAGGAGTGTTGTAGTTGTATTGGCTCTTATTCTCTCTCTAATTGTTTCAGTTTGTTGTGGGCTATTCTTATTGGAAACTTTACAAAATGTGAATCAATGTTACGGATCCTATGTTATTATGAAAGAATCATTCCAAACTTTTGAAGATATTCAATATTTGAGTAATTTTATCACTGAGAAGTATATTATATCTGGATTTCGCTCCAACAATGATGCTTTCTTCAGAGTTTCTAATTTATACAATTTTACATCCAATCCAAAGCATTATGTTACTGAAAAATCAAGTGACTTGAAAAACCATTGGAATTTATGTATTTATGGAACATCCATTGGAGAGAATCCAGAAAATACCATACTTGGAAAATTTGATGATGTAAATTTACTCGTGGCAGGTCAGGAAAATTGTACATTGACTGACATGTTTAAAGAAGATGGTAATCATTCGTGCGTTATGGGAATTGATGATATGATTACAAATTTCGTCACAATTTCCAATGAAATAATGGAGCTAATGGATGAAAACGGAAAAATTAATAACTTGAAGCTGTTCGAAACGTTTGTTAAACATTTCCATCTTTCCAGAGCCATTTCAGATCAATTGATTGATTTTTCTACTGTTTTTTCAAAAGATGCTGCCATAACTGATGAAGAACTTGTCTACGCATTCAGTTTCGTTGGATTTATTGCAATTATCTCCATTTCACTTGCCATTCGTTGGTCCTTACATCAACATGCCAACTCTGTCCAACAACTTCGTCTTCTTTTTAACTATTTATCAATTGAGTTAATGGATTCTAATGAAAATATCAAGAATTACATTGTACATCACCATATTCCAAATACATTGTCTTCCCTCCTCAAAAAGAAGTCAAATTTAGGGGAAGGTGACTCAAAAGTTCGAAGCATTTTGAATGCATCTGTAGATGGAGCAGTGATGTGCAGTGGAGAGAAGGTTGATATTGAAATATTCAATCCAGCAGCTCAAAAGATATTTGGATACAATCAAACAGAAACGATTGGAAGATCATTGTATCAATTATTTGAAAAGAATGAGCAATCGAAAATTAAAAACCTCATTGATGAAATGTTGGTGAATGCAGCAAGAGGTGATTCGAAAGGAGATTCTATTGAATTGGAATGTATCAGAAAGAATCAAACAAGCTTCCCATCACGTGTCAATATTTTTGCCACTCTTCACAATTCTCAAAGTGTTGTAACTTGTTTCATTAAGGATATTACAACAGAGAAGAAACATAATTCATTATTGACAGAAGAAAAGAAACATTCTGAAGAATTATTATTGAATATTTTACCAAGTGCAGTAGCAAGTAAATTGAAATCAGGAGAAACTTATATTGCAGAGAAATTCAATGATGTTTCATGTTTTTTTAGTGACATGGTGGGATTTACAAAATTGAGTACTGGAATTCAAGCATCTGAATTGGTTCAAATGTTGAATGAAATTGTAATTGGATTTGATGATTTGACAGACAAGTATAATTTGGAAAAGATTAAAACGATTGGAGATTCATATTTTTGTGTGGGTGGATTACATGGATTGAATGCACAATCAGATCATCCTGAAAGAATTTTGAGATTTTCCATTGATACATTTGATGTTTTACAAAGATTTAATTCAAAATCAGGAAAACATCCATCTGAACAAATTAATATTCGTGTTGGTATTAATACTGGAAGTGTTATTGCAGGTGTTATTGGGAGGAAGAAATTTGCATATGTATGTTTTTAATTTCAACATTTTAACATTTTAACATGTACATTTTCAATACTTCATCTTAATATTTAATTAAATAGGATTTATGGGGAGATACAATTAATACAGCTTCAAGAATGGAATCTAATTCAATTCCAGGAAGAATTCAAATTTCCAGATCAACCTACGAAAGAGTTTATGATTTGGGTTTCACTTTTGAAGAAAGACATTTAAATGTGAAAGGAAAAGGTGAATGTATTGCTTACATGTTGCATGAGAAACATCACACTCCAGCTCTTGTTCCATCCTTCACTGACATGTTGAGAACAAGTTTAAACATTTTACAAAAGAAAAATTCTGCAAATCTTGAAACATTGAATGAACCCAAAACACCAACAAGAAACAATGATAATATTACCTTGACAATCAATCAAGAAGCCTACCTATCTCCAAATAATACTTTGGAGTAATTTATTTTGAGCTCTGTTATGAAGCCTACCTATCTCCAAATAATACTTTGGAGTAAATGTTATGAACAAAGTTGAGAATCTCTCCAATAAATAGGCTGCAAATGTCTAATTGGAGCTAGCTCAAATAATAGATTAATCATTTTTACACGAAGTAAATAAATTAGGTTTATTTAAATTATTGGGAGGTGAGTTCTTGTAAGATGTAATTGAAAACTTGTTGAGCAATAGTGGCATCTTGAGCCTTGACAGTTAATCTGTAAGCTTGCTTTGGAGCATTGTATTCAAGACGTAATAAAACGTTAACCTTACCAACAGGATCATAGAAGAAAGAACCAGCAGCAACAATATTACTTGGATTGTCAATACCAGTCAAAATGGCCAAACGGAAACCTTCAGACAAAACCTTAGCACAGGCATTTACATCAGAATATACAGGAGTGCATGGGAAAATCTTTTGGACTTCTTGTTCCTTTCCAATTGCGTGCCATTGTTTAAAGAAGTTTTCAGCACCTTGGATGACCAATGGTTCAACAAACTTGTGTGGAACGATTGGCAACTTGATGTTGAATCTGTAATATCTACGATTAGCTTCAAAGTACAAATCCAAATCAGTCAATTGGCTGAATGGGCCCTTAGCAACCAAGTCAACGTATTGTTGGACTTGAGTCTTTGGTGAAATCATTGGTGGAACCTTGGAAATTTGAGCTTCCAATTCCTTTGGAACGAGAATGTGAACCTTGAATTGAGTCAATGGATTAGTAGTCTTGTTACCATAGAGGAGAATAAGTCTACCCTTACATCCGTGATATTCAGTCTTAATCTTGACTTGCAAATGTTCGTCTTCAATGGCAACACCTTCGTTAGACTTGAGCAAAACTTGATGCTTAACAGCAGCGTCTTGATGGACTTGTTCGTTTTGTTCAAGAGCATTATCTCTGTTAGCAACTACAACATCATCAAAGTTGAATCCGGTAGTATCTCTTTGTTCCTTCTTTTGCTTACCCATGTTGGCAGCTTGAGCAGCAATGTTAACACCTCCTCCAAAGAAATCACCAACATTGTTTTGTGGTGGTTGTTGAACAGGTGGTTGAGTAACTGGTCCACCAAATCCTCCCAAAATATCGTCCATGCTCAAACCTCCTCCATTATTAGTTGGTTGTGGTTGAGAAACTGGTCCACCAAATCCTCCCAAAATGTCATCCATACTATATCCTCCAGCATTATTGTTATTTGAAGAACCACCCATATCGAGCATATCCAACAAATCATTTCCACCTTGTTTGGTTTCAGGTACTTGAACATCCAAATCTGGATTTTCTTCTTCTTCGTCTTCGTTGTTTTCTCTTCCTGTACCAGTAGCACCACGCTTCTTGGCAGCTTCTTTTTCCATCAATCTCTTAATGACTTGAGAGTCACGTTCTGGATACATTGGCATGTTATCCATGACAGCTTGAATAAGATCTTCATCACCAGTATTGATGAGAGCCAAATATTCAGCAGATCTTTGTTGCAATTCAGCATCGAAAGAATTGGTGTGCTTTTCGAAAACATCCTTAATATTATCACGGAGTCCTTGGTTATCAGGATACAAATTGTACAACTTCATCAAAGAGTTGAACAAATGACACTTAGTAGTGGTTGAACACAAGTTGAACTTGGACAAGATCAATTCATATTGAGAAAAAGCATCAGTTTGAGGATTATCAGCAATCAAGTCACCAAATTCACCGAAAATGTAACCAGAAATCTTGACACAAGTTTCATGAGCAGCTGGAGAAGAAACAGCACTGAAAACAGTTTGAGCAGTGTACTTTTGTAATTCTTCACCCTTGTTTGTGACGATTTGGATAACTCTGTGCCAAATATCATCAGCAACAAAGTCACCAGCTTGGGAAATCAAATTGAGAACAACATCGACATACCAAGTGAGATCAACAGAGAACTTTTCAGCAAGAATGGCAATCTTCAAAACCAATTCTTCTCTGATAGCATAGTCGGAAAGTGGCAAATAGTTGAGCAATTCACCAACAATTTCACCAGCATTATCTCTGTTACACATACTGTACAACAAATCGAGAGCTCTTCTTCTAATACTGATATCAGGATCCTTCAAAGCAAGTAAAATGGTATCTTGTTCCTTTCTGATAGTAGCCAAAACTTCATCGAATTGAGAGTAAGCCATACGTGAGAGAGTATCAAGAGCAAGATAACGCAAGTTAGTTTCTCTATCCTTCAAATATTTAGTTAACATGGAACAAGCTGTCACCAAGATTGTCTTTGATGAATCGTAGTGAATAGCAAGATTCATTGCTTCGAAGAGAACACTGTGAGCAGCATTAATTTGACTCACACTCTTTGATGTAGTTTCCTTTGATTTCTTAGCAATTTGAATAACTTTTTCAATAGCTTGGATGATAGAGTCATAGATGGCCTTATCTTCTGGAACTGGGTAGTATTGGAGTAATTGGAAAGCTTTAACTTGCAACCATGGGGCAGCAATCTTGTAGTACAAATATGATGTAGAATATTCTCTGTTCAAAACCAACTTCATCAATAAACGAGCAGTCTTTGAAACTGCATCTTGATAAGCTTCTGGATTCTTTTCGGCAAGTCCCAAAATTAAACTCATAACACTGGTAATAACACCAAGATCTCTACCATTGATAAGAGCAATAACCTTTTCGGACCAAGAATCTGGAGGCAAACTTTCTGGGTATTTTCTATGCAAATTCAAGAGAGTAAGAGCAGCCTTTTTTCTGACAGTCAATTTGGTTTCGTTGGAGATGAGCAATTTTTGTACGTCGTGAGCAAGAGCTTCAGCTTGTTCCTTACCACCAATGTTGGCAATAGCTGTAAGTGCCAAACATTGATCATTTGGATTTTTGCTATTCAAATCATTCTTCATACATTGGGTAATAAGTGTAACCATTTCGTGATTTTCGTTCAACAACAATGAACAAGCAAGATAACCCATATGTTTTTCAGAGTAATTTGGTGAAGCCAACAAATTGACGGCTTCAATGTGACCAAATTCAATTTCATAACCAAGCATGTAAATATAGAGCAATTTACAGATATACTTCTTACGATCATATCCTTTAAGAGCTCCACCATTCTTGAATTTACCTCTGATCTTGGCTAATTCTTTTTCTACTTTAGATTGTTCTTCTTCCTTTGTAGTTGCTGTTAATTATTGTGTAATATTAATAAAAATTTTGTTGTTGTTATTATCGATGACGACCAACAATAGAGGTGTTGGATAGAGCAGCGAGCAATTATTGTATCATCGCGCAAGTATTTGTTGTTGTTATTATTTTGTTATTGTATTATTATTGTTGAGTGTATAATCCACAAGTTAAATCATTGTTAAATATCGTATTGGTATTGTTGAAAAGGAAGTAATTATAATACAACAATACGATCAGGATCGATTATAATTAATAATGACAAGAATATTTAAACAACAACAACAAAAACATCATATCCAAAAGCCAGTTAAAAAACCAACAAAAAAACAATATACTAACATTTTCTAATGTCGGAAATGAACACTGACAATCCACGCATATCCATTTTCGTGTGTATTTTATATGTAAAGAGTGTAACAACACAGAGATGATCTTTCTTTTACCACAAAACAGCAATACAACGAGCCGCGTAGAGTTTTGATGTATTTTTTAGCGTTGAAGAAATTTAAAAAAAAATTTACAAAATTTTTTTTCTTGGTAGGTGGTACTTATTTGGCTCGCTCATGTTACGAGTCTGAAACTAAGAGCTAAGCTAACGGTTTTTCTTGGATGTGATTTCATCAAAGTTTAATAGAGTAAGGCAAATTACATTATCAAAAAAATGAGACGTCAAGGGTCATCAAATTTTCGGGATGGTGAATTAATTGTTTGAATTTAATTTTATTTTAATAGTTTTCCAGTGGGAAATTTTCAATCTTTAAAGGCTAGTTGTTGAATGAACAACCAACAATAACCAGACAGCCAAGCAAGAATCGTATTTATCCACATTTTGGTCTTAAAGATTGGCTTGAAGTACAATCTTCTAAAGTCTTGCAAAGTTCTCCAATTTCATGGATTACTCCCACCAGATGGAAAGTCTCATCATAATTTGGATACTGTTCTATTGACTTTTATCATCTAATATATCCCTCTTGAAAGTTAAATGTTGGAAAGTAAGAATCAACATTATTTGTAGCCTCTGCAGTAATAAACATCAAATCCCTTTCTTTCGAATATGGCTCAGTAACTTCTGTCAGCAATCTGTTCCAATCCACCTAGATTTTCATGATGGTAAATTGACTCCTGTCAAATACCAAGCTCCAAACAGCGTTAACTTGACATACACAACATTTAGAATTAAAATATTGGTATCAAGGTGCTACTGCTATTTAATTTTGTTATTTTACAATCATTAGAACCATCAACAATGTGTTGAATTGACAAAACTCAATTTCATTAAGAACATTTACCAATGTTGTTTGTTTAACTTTGGCATGTCGATGCATATTGATGAAAATCTCAAATTCAATTAACTGTAAACTTTAAAATAATATGGAAATTACCCATGTCTTAAAGGAAGATAAACACTTTCCAAATGAAAGTTTTATCCTTTTTGTGTGTAAGAAGTTCACGTTAATCAAGAATGTAATGTGAAACCTTTCTGATAATTAGTTTCCCCTGATGCTTGCTCTTTCCATCTTGGTTACTAATCTCAGAAATCCTCACAAGCTTATTTCAAATGAGGTATTAGAAGGTGCGCTTTCGTCCTGGTACAACCTCATACTCAAAAAACTGTAAACCTTTCGAATATTTAAATGATGTGATAACAATACACTCGGTATAAATTAATAAACAGTACAGCACGTTTACTTCAAATTTGACGCGTTTTTTGAAAGAAAATAAATTATTTAGAAAAAATTTTGTTGTTCTTCTGCTGTCAAATCCAAAATAAGCATTTCAATAGAACAACACCTAACCACTCGTTCTTACTCATTTCTACATATTTTTGAGAATGCTGCCACCCCAAGGGGTATGTCAATGCGAGGATTCATAATTTGAAGTCAGATTTCAAAACTACCTTAATTCCATCGAGAAATTAGCATTTTGTTGAATAAAATATTATCGTTACAGATTCTTTTCAAATGGAGTTGAGTTTACTTGCCAAATCAAAATTGAAAGATGAAATACTTTAAATTTTAAAAAAAAAAATTTCATTTCCCCCAAATCTTGTCAAACTTGAAGTAAACGTGCTGTATCAGTATGATGGGAATGATTGAATTACTCACATCTGTATTACAAAGATTCGGATTACTGGAAGAAACTAAAAAATCTGAAAGAGTTAATACGTTAAAATCATGCACATTCAAAATGTAGGAAGATTTTACATTGAATAATATCAAATATTGTGCATTTAATGTACGATTCTCATTTTCAGGCCATTTTTATTAGATACAGTTACTATATTGGTGGATGAGCACTTTTATGGATGAACGTTGGATTACTAATTTGAGATTTTAAAGAGGGTATTAGAAACATTTGGAATTCAAAGAGACAATTAGGCGATTAGAATCTCTTGCATGAAAATTGCATTTATTACAATTAATTGGTTATTATCTATTCGAAATAAATGTTGTTTAGTTTACTTTCGAATAAAACCATCAACAAACGCATAAGAAACACAGTAGATCTGTAATTAGCTGTGTTACTGCAGAGATTCAACACTATCCTTCTCGCAGTCAATGCCTATTTATGAAGGTCAACACCTTTCGAATAATTGTTATCCTAATTACAAATCTAATAAGTATTTTACAGGATTCCAGCACAGTGTTAATTCAATCTGTTAATCACTGCTCAATTTACCTATCCTTTTACATTCATGGAAGAGTCGCAAGAATTCGTTCAATATCAATCGTTGCGTCATAGCGCAAATTTGAGGGTTACGAATGTTTACAATGATAATAGGTGTATAATCCTCAGATTTATTTGGACACATGTTCCATAAACACATCAAGATAAATTGTCCATCTGTTTCATTTGGTTTCCTCCAGTTTCGTTTGGATTCTTCATTTTTTGTGTTGTGTTTTTGCATCATTTGTGGTCAAACATTTTTAAATTTCCAAATTTCCTTATCACCAACACATGAGGCAGAGGATATTTCTCTTCAACTTTTTGGGTTTGTTTTCCACAACTGCCACCTGTCGCAATACCATGCGACTAAATTGAAGGGAGTGAAAAGGTGAATAATAGGATTAAAAACTCAAAAAAAAGAAACATAATATCATTCTCAATGTAAGTGGATAATCTTGAATTACACAATTAATAACAAACAACATTTTGCCTGTTGACTTTTGACATTGAAAAGATAATTCATGATCTCAATTCAAAGAATGCAATTACCTTCGATAGCCTCGCTTTTAAATGATAGTCCAGAGAAAGTGATTCTGCCATCTGTCAAGGAATTGGAACAGTTAAAAGTCAATACTGATGTTTCTAATAATCAAAATACTGTTCAAAATTCTACTGTTGTAGGGTTCAAATCATACAATAACAACAATAATACTTCTCTCAATAATAATACTCATCACCATCTACTTTCGAATAGTCAACAACATTCGAATAACCAACAAGTTACTTCATACACATGCACTTCTTCTACAACATTACCTTCCAGTAACAACAACCATAACATTTCAACAAGTCCTCTCATAGAGGAGCAGCGATTTAATCATTCGTCCACTTTCTTACAACAGCAACATGCATACATAAATGGGATGTGGAAGTCAACTGACATTGCCTCTGATAATTATTCCAATACAAGGAAATGGGACGAATCTAATTTGAAAATCCAACCTAATAGTCCAAATACAATTACTCAACCTATTCCAATATTTCAAAACAAATGGTCAACTACGACAAGTAATCTTTCTGCAACATCACCAGCAACTTTTAAACCAATAATTAGTCCAAATAGAACATCGCCATTGAGTTTCACTCCAAGTGTGGCAACGACAGCTTCAAATTCTTCAAATGCATCTGAAAATAATGGAAAGAAAAAGAGGAAACATGACGAAAGTTCAGAATCTAGCTCACCAATAACGAATAGTCCAAAATTGGTGAAAAGAAATAGTGGCACTTCAAGGAAATCACCAAATTCCACTTCTAGTTCTGCATCTTCATTCCAATTTATGAATTTTTCAATTTCGTCTGACAGTTCGAAAATCAAATTTGTAAATTCTGAACATCAACAAATTGGAATCAATGATGGATCTTGGACAGATCAGGAACATGAAGATTTCGTCAGAGGATTGAACGAATGTGGAAAAGGGAGATGGAGAGAAATTGCTGAAAAGTATGTCAAAACCAGGTAAGTTTAATTCGAATGTTTTATTCTAATTTCTATAATAATTTCCAATACTACTACTTGATATAGAACAAGAACTCAAGTCGCTTCACATGCTCAAAAGTTCTTTGAATCCCAAAAAGAAAAGAAAAAGTAGAATTTTTGAAAACTCTCTCTACTTGTAATATTTACACACAAACTTTAATGTACATAATAACAACTTGATATTTTGAAAATAAATATATATAGAAATATATAGATCAATTATTTACGAGTAAGATCATACTCATCTGAATAATCTTTGAGATTTGCATTTCCATGAGCAAAGATTCGATTTGTGAAACGAGTTGCTTGATCCACTCCTCCAACAGATGAATGAGAATCTCTTTCCTTCAAAAGATCCAATTTTTGTTGTCTTGTTGTGGCAGCAATTTGAAGCATTGCTTTGGCAACTTCCTCTCCCTTAATTCCACTCACACTTCTTGGAAGTGCCCACGATAATAAATTATTCAAATTTTGAGCAACCTTTTCTCCAAATCTTTCATCATTTTCACGTTCTCCAATTAATAAACCTGGTTTGATAATGTGACAGTAAGAAGATTGATTGAGTGATTTTCCTTGAGTAAATTGTTGATAATCCAATTGCTTTTGAGCAACCGACTTTTCAATATCTCCCTTCACTTGATTGTAGAAAAACATTGAACTGCTATCAGCTCCTGTAGAAGTGACAAGGAAGAATTGTTTCAAATTCTCGGAAGTGTTCTGAGCAGCATTGGTGAATGATTTGTAAACCAAATTAGCAAATGAATCTGGATAATCAAAATCAACGTGTCTAAACTTTTGCTTATCATTTCCAACTCTTTTGATAGTTGTTCCCAAGCAACAATATGCTTCACTGTTTATATTCCAAATAAATATAATTTCCGAATATTACATGATAATAGCAATCAATTGATTAATTATAATAAATTGATTATTTAAATATTAATTTCATGATGATTCGTCTAAAAACTTACTCTACTTCATTAAAAACATCAGAAATTTGATCCAAATTATCCAAACTATCCAATGTAATATGTTCAATAGGAACACTTGTTTCATAATTGAATGGATTGTCCTTTCTTCTCGAAATGGCCACAATCTTGGCATATTCTTGAGGATTTTGTTGAGACAAGACTCTGACAACGTTCTTTCCGACCAAACCTGTTGATCCTACTACAATGGCTTTTAATCCTCTTCCAGAAGTTGTTGCTGAAGACATTCCTTGTTTAAAATCGAGTGATGATGTTGTTTTTTTTGATTCTTGTACTTGTTGATAGAAGAACAAGGCAAGGAAAAGTGAGAGGATTGAAAACAAGATGAGATATTGCGTGCGCATTTTGTTTATTATTGTTAATAAAGGTTCATATGTTGTTTAATATTAGTTATTGAGCAAACTCATTAAGAATACCTTTTTTCAGGACGTCCAATGCTACGCGTGAGTACTTTTTTATCTGATGAGCTTCATCATGATATTATTTTTTTAATTTAATTTAATGATGACTGTAGAAAATGAGCGCGGGATGTTTTTCAACAAGAAACAGTTCTTTTTAAGGGCTTGTGCTTGATCGAGCCTTATAGAATTGAATGAGATTAACTTTACAAGCTGCGCGATAAACATTCTAAAAGTTGTAGCTTTTTTGGCGCCAATACTTCTGAGGTCATGGGGTGCTGATGAATTATTGTACGGGGTTGGTTCACGTGAAATATTCGAATATTATTTGAGCTGGAAGAAACAAATTTTGATTAAATAAGATTTTTGTTTCTTCTTATTGATTGCAATGACATTACTCTCATCACCACATTATCATTAAAAATACCTCAAAATTTTCCTTCATTCTCCTTACTATTAATATAACAACTGCATCTATCTATTCAATATACTTCACAAACTGTACGAAACATTGTAAACTCTCTATACATTATGAAAGGAGGGACCTTATGATCCTTGTGGCCGCAGCAAATAATTAAAAAACGCGAAAATCCTAATTCGCGTTAGGAAAATTACCGAGATGGTATAAAAGCGAGAAATGCACGAATACAAGCCACTACAAAACACAAAAAAAAACTACAACAACAAACTACAACATTAAGAATGAACTCCTCAGCTGCTCAAACCAACAAGAATCAAGAAAGCATTGAACAAGTCTACGATAAGATGAGAGGACAAGTTAAAACCATCTCTGATGCATACAAGATGGCCTATGGTGAAGATCATTTCCAAAGAGAAGAAAAGGCTACCAAGGAAGAAAGAAGTCACAAGAATTGTTAATCAGATTATCTTTAATGTGCGCTAATCTTTGATCAAGGGTCGAAAACTCTTTGAAGATTTTTGATCTTTTTCAAAACATTCTTTCGCAAACATGAGAATGATTGTGAAGAATAAGAACTAACTGTAATTTATAACTCGAGTGCCTTTTCCTTTTGTATAGAAACCCCTCAAATATTATTTATTTAATGAATCTCATCAACACAATAAATTATTTTAATTGTTTTTGCATTTCACTTTACAATTTTCCTCACACCTTTCAACAAGAACATTTGATTAACATTTGGCACACACTTAAATAATCATCAACATGTTGCAACAAGATATCATTAATGATAATATAATCGAGAATAATTTCAATAAAAGCAAGTCCTTGTTTTGGAAATTTTACATTTTATTTAAAGACAATTTCCATTTCTACACAATTGATTGTAAACAGCATTGGCAACAGCAACACCAGAATTCCAACCAGCTTGATTGGCATATTCAAAATGAATACCACCATAAATTCTTGATTTACCAGCTTCCTTAGCAGCATCTGACAATCTGTTAAAAGTTCTGGTGTGATACTTGTAACCATCACTTGTCACATCAAAGGTTATATCATCACTACCCAACAATAAACTCAAAATTCTGGCAGCAGCTCCAGAGAATGTTGAGTGTCCACTTGTATATTCTGGGAATGGTGGAGTGGCCAAGAGAGGGAACCAATTGAGATTTCTATTTCTGTTATTGACAGCAGTTACTGGACGAAGGGCATTATAGAAATATTTGTGATCCCAAGAGACGATACCAGCATCAGCAACTGAACAACCCAAGAGTTTGAACATGGCTGAAATCTTGAAAGTGTCAGTAATTCCTTGACTTCTAATAATTGATTGAAGGATGACATTCCAGTGACCTGGTGGAGTGGCAGTACCTGCACCATCATCCCAGAACCAAGAAATTCTTCTTTGATCGAAGGTTCTAACGCTCGAATCATTTCTACCGTACAAGAAAACTTCATCATAGGCAGTTTCGAATGCAGGAGTTCCAATTTGTGGTGGAGGACCTTGTCTGAAACTTTCAACATCTTGAATTCCAAATGGTTCAACAGCTGACCATTGAGGCAACAATGGAATTCTGACATAGTTTGGAGCATGACTTTGATAATCCATTGGACCATCTCTGAATTGATAATCAACAAAATCAGAACTACCATCATTATCTCTCGATCTCAAAACTCTATCGGCAGCCAAGATTGCAACCTTACCAATTCTAGTTAATTCTGAGCTTTCATATTCTTGACAACCATTACATTTCAAAGCGCTCTTTAAAGCAGCAGTATAACAATCAATATTATTTGGGAACAATTGACCAAGAACTCTATGAGCAGCATAGGAAACAGTTGTAGCAATGGTGGCATAATCACATGGTCTACCAGTATATCTCAATCTTCTACAGAAACCCAAAGCATCATCAACAGCAGAGTGAACAATAGCCATAGCTCTGGAAGCAACAGGTGGAGCAACTTTGAAATCTCTGACAGTTGCCAACAAGACATTATTCCACTTGATAATGAAATCTTCATTGAAAATATCCTTTTCAGTGGTAATGGCAGCACATTTTGGACTAATATCAGTTTGACTAACTGGGAAAGTATGAGAACTGACAACAGAGACATAATATTGACCAGTGGCAGGATTAATTCTAATCAAATTCAAACCTCTAGCCATTCCTTTACCCCAAATATTTGAAGTCAATTCACAATCGACAACCAATGAACCATCAGCTGAAATTCTCATTGGCATTGGACTAGACCAAGTAATTCTTGGAAAGGCAGTCGTTCCATTAACCTTCCAAAAATAGGTATAAAACCCAAATGGCAATACTGAGCCACTATCAACCCAAGTACCATTCTTACCTCCATAAGCACCATGAACAACAAGTGGTTGAGTGAGCATGATAGCAAAGGCATCATCATACACTCCCAAATCTTGAGAACCAGCCAAAGTTGGATAACCACGAACCTTTGCATATTCAACGACATATTTATCACCGACTGATGTGAAAAATTGAGTGCCAGGTGGGAGACGAGAACCATTATCAGAGATATCTAAACCATATTGATTTCTATAGAAAGAAGTGGCTTTTTCATAGGCATCTGGATAACGAGTGATTGGAGCAATGTCACCTGCTTGGATGCCATCTGCCAAGTATGACAAGTGGAATTGAGCATCGAATTCTTGTGGATCAGTTTCTGTGGTAGGTGAGTAGGAGCTTACCATCATGATGAGTGTTGAAATCATCAGCAGCATTGTAAACACGAGGAATCGTGTCAGTTGTTTTGCTGACATATTATACAGTTTAATTATTATACAAGTTGTTTTGTTTTTTTGTGTTGTGAAAGGTATTTGGAGTTGTTTGGTGTAGGTATTTAAAGAATCGAGTTCTCTGGTTATTGAGGCAGGTTGTGTGTGAAATGAGTTGAAGTGACAGCTGGCGTTCTTGAACACATCAACATTTCAGGTCGGTATTTTAAATAGGAGCAGGTTATTTAGTTTACTTACATGGCTGTTTCCTTCTTTGTTTATTAAAACATTACTTTTTATATTTTATTGGCAAGTGACATGTTTTTTAAAAAGGAAGCAAAACTCTTAGATTTACAAACATGTTCAATAATAAATAGTGGGCGATTTCATAATGTAACAGAGAACAGCGCCTTCCTGTCGTATAATTAGATCCTCAATCAATTCAGCCTGCCACAAGTCACTCAATTTCAACAAAACGCCAATCAATCTTCATTTCAATAAACAAAATCCAAAAAAAAACAACCAAACACACACTCCACATCATGTACAAACTCCTTGTAACATTATTATTGCTAAGCTGTATTGTAAATTTCACATCAGCAGCTTGCGATCCAAGTAAACTTTTAGATGCAGAATTGAGTTTATTATTTGATGATGCTTTACCATTCGATTTGATTCCAAAGAGAATGGAATATCCATTGAATACTCAACGTTTTACAAATGCCAAGTTGAATGAAGGTTTGCAATTTTTTAAAACCAGATTTGGAATTGATTTTACAAATGCCAACAGTCAACCAAAATATTTCAGATTGGAAAAGGGAAGTTTTGAGGGATATTCAGTAGTTGGTGCTGTTACTAACAAATCTAGATTCTTTGGCAGTCCATTGATTAGAGTTTATGCTGACATGTTGACAGTTGTCAGTTTGAATTCCACTAACGTTGATCCATTGACTCAATATCCAATTCCAAAGGATGCCATTGCACAATTTGGTTACTATTCATTCTATTACAGAGCTAACAATACCAAGTTTACTGAACCAATCAAAGTCACCAGTCAAACTTTCCAAGAAGGTTGGAGAGATGCTCAACAAAATCTCGATCACTCACGTAATATTATCTTTGATTTGTATTCCCCTGAATGGGGAGTTGGTGCTTCTCAAGGTGTTGTCACCATGCCAATGCATGATTCCACATTAGGTAAAAGTCAAGTGTCAATGAGAGAATGGTTGAGATTCCCACCTGTTGGAACTGCAAAGAGAGGTGATGTAACTACCTGTCAATCTTGGTTGAATTAAATTCAACAAAAAACTTGTACAATAAAATTGTTAAATTGAAATTTTTAACACTTGGTTGACTTGCAATTTTATGGAATGAAATGTTTAGAATAGTTTTATAAGAAACTATTAGTAAACTATTTGTTTATCTTGTAATAGTGTTGAGAAACTAATATAATACTTGTCAAAATTTGGTCAACTTGAAAAAAATATTAATAAGCATAGTAATAATGTAGTTAATTGTAAGCCAACTACTAACACTACAGTATTTCTACAGTACAACTACAGAATTTAAAATAGTTTCAATTTACAATTTACATGGCTATGTGAACTGTCACTCTTCAATATTTTAATATTTTATAAATAGGGATGTTGACATGGAAAGAAATATGGATACATAAAAATTGAAAAGGTAATTAATATTTACGTGGAAATGGTGTTTTCCAAAATATTTGTGGTGTTCAGCACTATTTCAATAAGAAGAATTTTGTGACTTTTGACAAATTTCAATATTTGGCACCGCACAACTATATCTTGTGGCTTAACAAGTATGGTGTTAGTTCTGCCAATATGGTCAAAAAACAGTAGTAGGAACCGTAGTCCAAGGTTCACCTAAACTGTAGACGAAAGGTCTTTTACAAAGATGTTGAAAAAAACAAAATTGGTCAACTTAAGGTATTGACAAAAAAATCTTTTCAGTGCAAGTGTAGGGATGAAATGTATGCCGCATGCGACAGTTAATTTAACCTTAACAAGATTCGTTTCCATGTTTTGATAACTAAGATTCCTCTCAACTTGGGAATTTCAATTTCAAGCCAAGTCACAAGCTTGCTGTTAATTTGTAGTGGAACTCAATTTGTTACAAGCTTCACTGTTAACCAGGAAATACCACAGACAGACTCAGTCCAACCAACCACTTAACATCCACCCTAAACTTAATGGTTGTAGACTGACATCGTCTCTCAGGTCTTTACGATGCAAGAGACATTAATAACCAAATTTCAATTTATATTGTCAGTGCCTCAACCAATCTTGAACCAAAACCTCTCTTTGCCTGACGTCCTTATTAGTCCATTCCTCTTTCTCATATCACATCCTTATTTGTACATTAAATACTCCGTCTAGTGCATTCTTTTTTTGATTCAAAAAAAACGAGTAACTTGCACTGTGCTAGAAACTGCTTCATAGCCCACAACATATAAGATTTGCAAAATATTGTTTTTTTATGTAACAAATATTAATAATACCGCTCACAATAGTTTGAAAATTTAAAACACGAAAATGGCAAGTTTGGAAGGAGAGAATGCACTCATGAGTATGGTGCAGGATAGTTTTGCAGAGTTTACGACTTCTCACGCCACGATGAGTCACTTTGAATTGGTAGGATTGGAGTATCTGGAGGTTTTTGGTGGATACACCAAGGATGTGATGGACACAGCCACGAGGATTTCAAATTTAGGACTCAATGGCACTCCACAGTTTTATTATTGCAAGATTAATATGGCCACAAGTGAAAATTTGACTCTCTTACAAGAATACCAATTGCTGTGGAGTGAAAAAGTTCAAGAACGATTGAAATTTGGCTCCACTTACATTTACAAAAAGATGAATTTGAAAGAATGCTTTTCTAGCTTGAAAAGATGAATTTGAAAGAATGCTTTTCTAGCTTGACAATGCAAACTGTCATGCTTTTACAAATTCAAGATTTGACTGAATATTATCAGGAAAAGAGAAGATGGATGGTGGAAAATATGGAATACTCGTCAATTCCAATATTTTCTGGACGAAAGATTTGTGAAAATGAGAAGAAATCATTCGAATTGGTAGAAATGAAAAGTCCAGAGGAAATGGTTCAGTTTTGGACTTGTCAATCCGATGCATTTAGTGGTGTTCCACAAATTTCTGATAATTTGAAGGAAATTATTAGAAATGATACTTCGACAGTTGCTCCAGATTCGTCTGTGAAAAGTTTCACTGTTGGAATTAAGCAAAAACTTTCGAATGGACAAGTGGAAATAGTTGCTTGTGGAAAATTAGTGATGGGAAAACATGTTGCTTCTATTAATCATTTGGCAACTCGTGATGGACACAGAAACCAAGGATTTGCAACCATTCTCATGGTTTCAATGATAGACATGGCCAAACAATTAGGTTACACGAAAATGGTTTTAGAAGCAACTGAAATGGGAATTGGAATTTATGAAAAGTTTGGTTTCAAACCAGTTTATGACTTTTACATATTCGAATTGGATCATAAACATTAAATTTCATCCTTAGGAACTTTCTTCTAGATTATTTAGTTTTTCAATGAAAGAAAAACTAAAACATTCTTTTGATAACCATTAATTCCACATCCTCCAATCAAAACAATCTTATTTCCCACCAGAGTCAAAGTATGTCCATATGAATAAGGCAATTCTTCTTTGATTGTCCGACCAATTACTAATTTTGAAAGGTCTCTCCAGTTTCTTGTTTTGTAATTGAATGCAAGAAATTGATTAGTTGAGCTATAGGTGGACCATCCACCGAAAATAAATAATTCATCACCAACCAAAACAGAGGCATGATAAAGTGTTGGTTGTGGAATTAATTTGGAAACTGGTTTAACTAATTCCCATTTTGAATATTCTTGGAAATATTTGGAATTATCTGGTAAAACAATGTGAAGAATCCAAATTTGATTTTGAATTCCTTGATTTGTTCGTCCTCCAAATAAAATCATTTGATTTGTTCCTTCAATTAAATGTGCTGTATGACCAGTGATATTCCCAGGTGAAATACTATTTCTATCCAATATCAATTTATACCAAACTCCAGTTTCTAATTTCATAACATAGATATCATGATAAACACTTTGAAATTCATCAGAAACTGATTGACTTCCTCCAAATAAAACTAAATATCCATTGTAGTGAACCAGTGAATGGGTGTCCATAATGGGTGGAATTTCACCACTTTGATTGACTTGTTTCCATTCGAGTTGATTGTTATTTTGAATGGAGATTGTCCAAGTATCGTTCAACTGCTTATCAGTTATGAAGTCACAATATCCTCCATTCAAAACAAATTCATTGTTTCCAATAGAACACATTGGAAAGAAAGATCTTCCTATTGGAACTTTTTTGGAGTTTTTTGATAATCTTTGTAAGTGTTTAAGATAATCTTTTTTCAAATCATAAACCATCAATTCGTTGGTCTATGTAATGAAAAAATATACAATAAACATTTTAATATTATTAAAAACTTTACAATCAACTTACCTGTTCATCAGTTACATGACCATCATATCCTGCAAACAAAATCAACTTATCCTCACCATACGGAACAGCAGCATGACCCTGCCTTTGCAAATAGTTATCTCCATAAAGTGTAATACAATAATAATATTGAGAAAATAAATGTTCTCTCAATAATTGGTACCAAACTTTGGAGATGAACATCCATTTGACTCCATTTCGGAAGGAAAGAAAACTTAGGATGTGACCTTGAACGTCGTATGGAAGAAGATCGAAGGACATGATGAGAATTTTTTTAAAATGATTATTCGAAATTGGAATTTTAAGGTTGACAGGATACTAACAAAAATGTATGGAAAATGCCTCTGAATAATTCATATTGTATTGTGTTAAAAGAGTGAATACTTAATTGCCAGAATTCTGAGCTATATCCATTGACTGATTATTAATGGTACTCAATCTGTGCAATATTTCATCAGCAGATATTCTATCCATTATGATTAAGATTATTAGATTCAAAGCAAACTTACCTTTCCTCTGGGTTGAACTTGATCATATTTAGCATTAAATCACACATGGAATTAAGCTTGAATGAATCATCCAGTTTGGTCATTCCCCTTACTGTTTCCCTAATTTCCTTATCGTCTTCATCACTTTGAGTTTTTTGTTTCACTACATTTAGTTTCGATTCGTAATCTGATGAGAGTAATTGATAGAGAATACATCCAAGACTCCAAATATCACTCTTGTTGCAGGAAGTTATTCCTTCTTGAAAATGTTCTGGTGAGCAGTACTGTGCTGTGAAACCATTGCTTGTCTCAACAGATTCGAATCTGGCTGATCCCCAATCGCCAACACGCAAGTGGAATGAGGATATATCAATGATCGTATCCTGTGAAGGATTTGGAGATTCAACTAGTATGTTTTCTGGTTTCAGATCTCTATGGACCATATTCATATTGTGCAGATATTGAAGGCAGTTTGCTTAACAATTTCAATAATCAGTTCAATGGTCATCAATGAGCTTTGAGACCACTTTCTCAAATCACAGAGATACAGTGGCATAATTAAACAAGTATACTTTCCATCACCAACAATTGTAAAACGACGAATAGGTACAATATGGGTATGTTGTAACCTACTCATAGTTGTAGGCTCATTAAGAACAGACATATCAACTGACTCAACGATTTTCACTGCAACTTCAATGGTTTGCCCATCACTAATCTCATCAAAAACATAAATTTTACCAAATCCTCCCTTTCCTAATATTCTTTTGAGTTTGTATTCGTATTTTTCATCTTCTGTAGCAATGTAGAAATGTTGATAAGGTACTATCTCTATATCTTTAAGTTCAGTATATGTGAGCTTTTTAGCAAATTCTTTCAGTTTCGTTCTCGTCAGAAACAAAACCAAACTAATAACACCACAAACTCCGACTACAACGCTCGCAGGAATTGAAGCAGCTATCTTGCAACCAGTTCCACATGTAACTGATTCACAAAACAGTCCTTCGTATCCTTCTTTGCATTCACACAAATTAAATCCATAGCAACGACCATTTCCACTGCAAACTCTCGGTTCGTAAGAGGGGATTGAAATACAGGTTGGGTATTGACAATCAGATCCTACATATGCTCCACTCATATCTCGAGTGCAAATGCATGAAGCGGGAGAAACGACAGTGCTACAGAATCCATTACCAGAGCATGCATTGGGATCTGAAGAGTTTTTTCCATTGCATAGAGGAATTTCACACTCATTGCCACCATATTTGTTGAATTCACATTTACATGTGTTGAATAAAGTGCATTTACCATGTGAATTGCAAACAGATGGCTCGGTTGAGTTCTTTCCAAAGCAAGAAGTTGCTGAGCAGTTACTGTTAAAGTAATTAACTTCACATTCACATGAATCAGGAGAAATACAAGATCCATGTCCAGAACAAACCATTGGATGATCCTTTGAGATTCCAAAACATGTAAACTCCTCACAGAACTCACCATAGTATCTGTCCTGACATTCACAAACATCAGGAGCCAAACATTTACCTTTCGTATTGCATGATTGTTGGCAAACAGGTTCACATACAAGAAAATCATTCAATTTGTATCCTTCTTTACAGTAAAATGTCACTTGTTGAACTGTCCCATCAACCAATTCAGAGATGTAAAGATTGCCATTTGTTTGATCAAGAAAAATGGATTTTGGATATCTGACCTGTATTGGTAAACTAGTTATCGTTCCATTTGTGAAAATTCTTCTAATTTTGTGATTACAATAATCAGCAATAAGACTTTCACCAACTGTTGTAACAAATACAGAGCTAGGTTGACATAGATACGCATCTTTAGCAAGAATACCATCTCCATTGTATCCTTGGGTATTTCCGCCTGCTATTGTTGAGGTTATACCATTCTTGACTAATCTGATTCTATTATTAAAAGTGTCGGCAATCAATATATCAGTTTGGCCTTGATTCATATACACAAATACAGATTCAGGTCTAAAGAGTTTGGCGTTTGTTGCTAGACCTCCATCCCCTGAAAACCCACCAATTGAGCTAGACCCTACAACAGTCGAAAGAAAATTATTCGAATCTATCTTTCTAATTCTATTGTTGAAAGTATCTGCAATATAAATCTCATTTTTCTCCACAAAAACTCCTTGTGGATTACACAATTGTGTATTTGGCACTCCAACTTTTTGTCCATCACCACTGAAACCACAGATTCCATTTCCAGCAATTGTTTGAACAATCATTGTTTCCTTGTTGACCATTCTCAAGCGCTGACTCCATTTATCTGGAATATAAATGAACGAGCCATTCACATGTAAACCGTGAGGATTACTTAAAGTGGTGTCCTTTGCAAGTTTTCCATCTCCATTGTATCCAAAAGTGTTGTTAATGCCAAGAATAATGTTTGGCTTTGATTGAAAGTCTGTCTTGAGTAGAATTTGTTGATTAGTTGCTAGGATGAAGAGACTGTCGTGTTGGTAAAAGAGTGAAGAGGGTCCCTTTAGGCCAGTAATAATAGGTTTGACTTCAATATCAGGTGGAATAAATTGACATATGGCTGGTGTCAACAACGTGAGGAAAACGCTTATTATCAAAATGTGAAGCATTTGCATCTTATTTTTTAATTATTGAAAACAAAACGTGCTCGCAATGCTTGAATGATAATAAGTCTGTAGCATAAACGTGATGGTCACGTTTTGCTATTTTTGGAAATTTTGAAAATTAATCAGATATTTTACTTTATATCTGATTATGAAAAATAATGAGCGTCTGAGAATAATTTCACTGTAACTGTAGCTACAAGAGCTCCAATTTGAATTCCAAAACCAGCACATCGGAAAGGATTCAAATCCATTTGAGTTAGAGCATCTCTTAAACGTTCTCCAAAGGTTAATTTCTTTTGATTGATTGGTAGGTCAATAATTTCCTCTCCATTAGGAACGATTGTTGCTTCTTGTTGTTCAGTACTAATTGGTTCAATTTGCTCGAGTTTTTCTTCCACATGTTGAGTTTGTTCAGTCTTTTTTCTAGATTCCAATAATAATTTCTTATAAATCATTTCGTCCTGCTTTTCAATGACTTGATGGCTGTGTAAAAATTCTTTTGTTTTACAGAATGACATGAATCCCTTTGTGAGAATGGCCACGACCACTAGGAATCCTCCGAAAGCTGTCGAGTATTTCAATGGAGGATTTGGATTATTGAATGCAATAACTGTTAAAAAGCAAGCACCAACAATCCAAATCAAGTGGCAGAACATGGCAATGAAAAAGTTGTAAAATGGAACGAGGTAAGCAACGCCACTAGCTATTGGGCTGATAATCATACCTATGGTGATAGCATACTGCAACAATGTGGCATGATGTTTGTAGTGAGCAAAGACATATGGCATGATTGAAACAACAACTCCGTTTTCAGAACAGCTTATCAAGAATTGGAAAAAAATCAACCTTACGGTAGACCATGTCATGAGTGGTCGTTTTTTCACTATTAATTCTCTTGTTTCCTCATCCAAAGCATCAACATCTCTTCTCAATTCCTTTTTAGAGTATGGTAAAAATCTTAATAAACAATAAGAAACCAAACTAATGGCAGTGATACCTGCAATAATGATGCAAAATACCCAAAATGGGAACAATGGTGTTGGAGTTGAATTTTGAATAATGGAAATAATGGAAGCTATCAAACCAGTTAAGGATTCTCCAATTAATAGAGCACTTGAATAAGCATGTTTGAAATGTAATACAAATGGATAAAACAACAATGTTGAGGTACAATCACTAACTCCAACCAAGAACATCATTATTAAAAATGGCCATGACCTTCCATTAATTGGAATATTCCACAAAAACGACATGCCAATCAATGCTCCAATACCAATCACAAATAAGCTCAAAATAGATACTGTATCCACAATGTCAAATGTTGACTTCCTTGTCGTAGTTGGTTTGAGCTTTCTTTGAATCATCTTTTTGAAAATCATAAACACAAAATACATGAAGGGGACAATATTAGCCAATTGTAAACTCAAATTCATATCCACAGCAATAGCATACCCTTCTGGCATGACATAACCCAATAGAGGTATCTCTGAATAGATGCCATTCACTGCAATCCACGAAGATAGCCCAAATAAAATAATCAATGAATAAATTATCAAATTAGGTGGATCACTACATGTCTTGGCAACAATCTTCCTCAAATAAAACCTCTCTGTTTGATTCATTTCATTCTTTGTAATTTCTCCCATCTTGTCCAAAACTTGAGCATCATTAACTACAACATCCGATTGACCATTAGCAATAGCCTTCTCGGCACTAGCCTGATATTGTTGTTGATGATGATTATCGACAACATCAGCATGTTGTTGTACTTGATCATCAACCACCTCTTTCAAATCAGCAGAAGCAACAACCCTACCACTTGTCTCAGTCATTCTTTATATAAATCTCTCTTTTTGAATCTATTTAAAACTTCTCTTTTCAACAAGGCTCTGAAAAAACGCGGAAAAGAGATGAGGAGTTTTTTTTAAGTTTGATTTATCCAACACTTGAGCGAAGTTTGTTACTCTTTAAATAGGTCGATTCGGGAAATATTGAAAGTTGAAGAAAATATCTTAATGTTGTAAAGAGAAAGAGAAGAAAACACGTATTTTCAAGAGAGAGTTCAAATGTTAATGGGAAATTGATTGAAATTTTGATGATCCTCCAATGGAGCAACATCATCATGGAATTGATACTTCTTTGAATTGGTCTGTAGTGAGAAGGAGAAAAGGATTATTGGCATGTGCCAATACCTCACAAAGATAACGACTCTCTTCCTTATTGTTATCCCACTATTTTACAACCGGATTAAACTTGCGATTGCGGGAGGAAGAAATTGAGAGAAAGTGAGCCCTTTCGGAAAAACTCGGATGCCAATTATTATTAATTCCAAAGATTCCATTCGTACGAGTTGTAATAGATATAGGCTCATTCCCTCATTTGAAATCAGTCCGATAGAATTTGTCAATATTGACAATTCTCTTGCATTTAATCTTTAGACATAATGTTCCTGATTGAATCTATTGTTATTAAATATGATTTATTGGTGGACAAATCGATAAACTGCTACTAAATATCTAGGATCTGATGGACCGTAATTTGCAAAATCAATACCTGTAAAATGTGAAAAATCTTGCTCATTAAGCATTCTATCCATATGGTCAGAGAGTTTCTCATCTTCAGAATACATGGTAAGATTATAGAGAGTGAGGGAACATGCAGGTGTTGCATTGGACAGTGATCGTACCATGACATTCAGATCAAAAATATTTGGTGTAAAACACTCCCTTAAATAAAGTAACTCTTCACCTGACGGTCTCTCACAACAAGTTTGAACAAGACTAATGATTCTTTCAGTAATTTCATTAATTCCATCATGTATGCTTGCCAATTTTTTCCATTCTATTGGTGAGTTTGGGAATATTGTTTCAATATTTGATTTCAATTGTTCAGTATTGATATCATATCTTAAGAGCGATCCTAAAAATCTAGAGAAAAATTTGGTTCTTTTCTCAATCTCGTAAATATCCAAATTATAGTGCTCCATAATGTATTTGATGGTATTATAGGAAGAGCGAGTGTAATATATGTCGACAATGGCTTTCTCTACAGTCTCTAGAGGATAATAAATTCCTCTTCTATTGGCAATCTCTAGGATCTTTTCAGTAACTTGAAATCGTGCACAATCGGAGAATGAAACTGAATTAAGATCAATAGGATATAGCTTCAAGAGCTCATCAATATAAGTATCTGGCAATCTTCCCATTGATGAAATAATAAAATCATTAAGGTGACTTTGCATTATTTGTTCACGAGTTCTGAACTTTTCCAAATATGTAAAATAGTCAGCAACTTGTTTAGCAAGTTTCAGCTCATCAGTCATATCATATATACTCTGATACATCATGTAATTTGTAAAGGAGCCCTCCATTCTATTTTTTTCAAGTATTTGTGTTATTAATGGCAGAAGACCGTTCGTACAGCAATCAGTTTGGAAAAATATATATTCAACCAATGAGAGATCAATACTGAAAGTATATTTGACCTCCAAAATCTTTTTCAAAACCTCCTCATAATCCTCTACTTTTACAAACTCGTTCAAGCTCATAACGCACAAATCTAATATTGAGGCCCAACATTTGTCAGCATAATCTAACTGTTCATGAAATTTGAAAAATAATGAAAAGGCTTCCTTTCCAAGTTGGTAATCCTCTACGGAACACGTCTCACTTCTATATTCCTTTCCTAAACATGTACTTAATAATGAAAGTATGAAAGCCTCATCTGCACGATGATAATAATTACTCTTGTTGATATTAAGAATGTAGAAATAATAACAGTTCTCTTAGAGTATAATTGCTTTTCCATCAAGTATTTGAATCTTTTGCCAATCACTGCTGGTCTCTTGCTCTCTGATGACGTTTCTCCATTATCAAATTCATCCATTTCTTCATCTGTTGGTCCAACTTCTTCATCATGAATAATAAATTTTTTCAAAGACTCTCTAGAAGCTGTCTTATCCTGCAATATGTGAATATCATATGAGGTAAGAAACATATTCAATATTGATCTATCTATAGTAAAGAGTTTAGAGTTTTTTTTCGTCTTGAGAGATCTCAAAGATGAAATTAATGCCTTCTTTTCCTTTGTATTACCTGTTTTAAGTGTTTTCTTCACCTTTGGCAGATCCCAATAATTTTTGATCGTCATGGAGACTTTATGAACTCCGACAATCTTTCCGTATAGTAAAATAATATTTGAAGTAAGATAGTGTTGTAGAATTGTCTTCCAGAATGGTTCAAATTGATCCAAGGAATACCACTCCTTGCAAGTCATCAGAGCATTCGCCAAATCATGACTGGGCAAAAATTCCATCACACAAAAGATATCATCCAAAGACAAGTTTTGCATTTTTTTTAAATTTAAAAATTTAAAATTTCAGTGACACTCTGTGATTGTTGTGTTTGGGGTTTCTAATTATTGGAATAGCTTGTGAATTGTAAACTTGAAATAAAAAGAAGAAATAAGGAGCCATATTTTAAAAGACAAAGAGTGGATTATTATCTTTCTGTTTGCAATTAAGTGTGGTTGGTCATTGCTCAACCATCACCAAATTGACCTGAGGACATTTGACATTCAAGAAAAAAACTCCTTTAATCTTGTTTCCATCACCATTACCAGATCAACTCACCAACAAACCTCTACTCGCCTGTGGTTTTTGTCCAATGACGACAACCAACAATAAAGGCAACCTGTTGTTAGAGCAACAACAATCAACAACTCTAGATAATCATCACCATCACAATAATCATCATCATTATAATTACCAGCCTCCCAATTACCATCACCAATATCCGACGTCATCATCAAGTAACACCTCTGTTGTTGCATCAAATAATAATACTAATAACAACAACACGGCAACCACAACGGAAGAAACCTTCATGCGAGTCGGTGTTAATCATCATCACAATTTTTCTCTTGTTTCTTCGACAACTTTTCCCGCCAATCAAAATTACAACAAAAACAACCCAATATCATCACCACAACTTCAACAATATGTAACAACATCAAGCACGAGTGGTCCTTATAATATTTCAAGAGCTAATAGTGCTAATAATTTAACAATTAATAATGTTGGTAATGTTAATAATAATAATCAAGGAACTAATTTGGTTCAATCGGGATTGCCACCCACTCAAAGTAAATCAAAATTAATTGATGATGAGAGTAGTCAGAGTCATCATGATCATATTGCACCCTCATCCTATAGAGGATTGCCTTCATTTCAATTATTTATGAATAATAATAGTAATAATAACTCATCAAATTCTACATCACCTGTTTCACCTGCTGGTTCAGGTGGAGGTACATCACAAGGAGGTTTATCATCACTGAATCAATCATCATCGGCTGGAGTTTCTCCAAATAATCAAATGATTGCCTATGAGAGACATCGATCCCATTCAAAGAAGAATAGTGGAGTTTCTCCTCGAAATACTCAACAACCAATTCCTTCAATGCCTCATCAGGTGACTTCACCATCATCGACTACATTTAATTTATCTCCTAGAAATCAGCAGCCACAACAACAGATCAACCAAAGTACTTCTACTCAACCGATTGCGAAAGAGAATGTTGTTATTCCAAAGAAGAGTCCACATTTTATCAAAAATTCACCTATTGGAATAGATAATAGAAAGAATGTGAATAATAGTTTGGGAACATCAACAAATTCAACTGTTTGGTCATCATTTTCTTCATCTCCTCCAATTGGTGACAATATTAATCCGAGTGCAATATTTTCCAGTTCTCCGTTCCCTAAAGGTCCAGTTATTACTTCCAAGTTGAGAATTGATGATGTTAGGTCATCATTAATTGCAACTGGAATTTTTGCATTGACTAGAAAATTTCTGAGCACACCAGTAAGTATTGATCTTTCGTCTATCATTTTGACAATCTTTTTTACAGTTAATGACTATTGGAGCAAATTTACCTTCACCAATGGAATTTTCTGATTCTGACAATATTTATCTCAATATTAACCGTCAAAAAAAGTTGTCAACTTCAGTGCCAAGTGGTTCGACCATAGATGATGACGATGATGAAGTAGTGAGCAGCATGAATACACCATCATTGAGTAATATTTTAATTCCAAATCATTTTGGTGAGAGTGGTGACTCCAATCTCAAACCAGGAAGTAGTTACAATCGTATGGATGCTAGTAGTGGAAATTTATCAAACTTTGGATCATTGTTGCATGCTTCGAGTTATAGTTTTGGAGAAAATCAAGAGTTGAGATTGTCTGGAACCTCAAAATGTCTCCTCACAGCAGGCGACTCTAGTGAATTACTCTTTAATAATAGTATTTCTCTATACCAGAGAATCAAAGAGGACATGAATGCAGATGATCAAAAGCTTCCAGGAATTGATTCCTATGATCAGCCACCTCTTCCTGTTCAGGAAAAACCAACAATTCCAATAATGATAACTAAAGAGCAAAAAACAGTACAACCTGAACCTTTGATTAATATTGTTAAACCACCTCCAACCGAACAAGATAATACATCTGAAAAAGGAAAACCAATTGGAAAAGAATCTAAATTCTTAAATATTAATAATAGTTTGGAAAATAATAATAGTAGTCACACTCCAATGAAAAACTCAATGGCATACACATACGGTAGCAGTGCAGATGATACACAAAACGATTGTTTCACTCCAAATTTAAGACATCGCTTCTCTCTTGGATCGATGATAACTCCCTCATTTGGTGGATCAATTTTGAATAATATTGAAGAAGGAGGTGGGCTAGATATTATTGAACCTAGTTTACCAAGAGAGGAAAATTTTGGTACCAAGTATTCCAATGATTCAAGAAGATTTTCAACTGGAAGTTTAATATCACCAAGCCCTCTCACTGATCCACATGCTGTTAATGCCCAACAAATTTCTCAACTTCAACAATTATTGAGAGAGAACAACAACTCTTATTCTCGCTCATTTGAAGAATCTGAAATTACATCATCTAGTTATTCGGAATATTCAGCACGTGAGGTAGAACAAGAGGAAGATCATGGTACCAAAAGAAAGAGAAAACCAAGAGACAATTATGTCGTAGAAAAGAAACAGAAAGATTATCCAATGAGTCCTCATCTTTACATGAATCAAATTATTCAACAACAACACAATCAAGCAGCTCAGCAACAACCTAACCTTGAACAATTCAATTCTCATGATCTTATCAATTCCACCACAAATGTACCATATAACAATAACCAGTTACAGAGATCTATGAATGTAGCTAACAATATGAACAATCCACATTTACAAACTTTCCATAATCTTCAACAATTTTCCCAACAAAACAATAGACAGTCACCAGTTCAACAAGGTGAAGATGAAAAGTCGAATGGCAAGAACAAACTTTTTGGATTTTTTGGAAAAGTATTCAAGAGGAATTCTGTCATTTCGAATAATGGTCAAAACAGTCAAGTATCACAACAAGAGCAAAATCTTTATCAGCAAAATGCTCTGTTTAATCAAATGCAATTCCAACAATTTACACAGCAGCCAACAGTCCAACAACAATTTTCTCAACCTGCCAACGTTCCAATCGTTTCCAATCAACAAGATGATTACACTATGAATATTGATAGAAGTTTGAGCAATCTTTCTCTTACCAACGAAGATGAAAGCTATACTCAACTCCTCACCAATCCACAACAACTCCAACAAGTTCAACAACAGCCAATAATTAACAATACTAATGTCCAAATTCCTCAATCTCATACCATTTTTGTAAATCAAAACAGTCAAAACAATCAAAACAATCAAAACAATCAACAACAATTCATCAATTTTAATCAATTTCAAAATCCAGTCACAAATCAATTTAATAATCAACAGTTCAATAACCAATATGTCAATAATAATACTCTCCAACAAATGCAGCTTAATTTCTACCCTCAACAACAAAATATTTTGCAAACACCAAACTATATTCAAAATGGTAATATGAACTATAATGTCATTAACAACAATGGATTCAAGATGCAAAACATGCAAAATCTTCAACAAAATATTCCACAAAACATGCAGTTCAATCAACAACCACAACAACAATTGGATTTATCCTATCACTCTAATGCATTGCTCGAACAACAGCAACAACAACAGCCACAATATAATGCACCAACAAGTCCAAGACAATTGTTGGCTACTAACATTACCAATGCCATGAATACTAGTTTGCTTAATCCACCAAATTACTCACCATCCATATCTTCACAAGGTCAATCAACACCAAGTACAGCAACCACAACAACAAGAACTCACCTGTTAAGGTTGAATATTGATTCTAGTAGTAATGAGACCATGTCTATTAATCACTTTGTCAATAGCTCTTCAACACTTGAAGACGAGTTGGCTGAGTTGGATGATGACGATGATGATGAAGTAGGATTGTCTAAAGGAGTTACAAAGGAGAATGCTACCAAAAACTCAAAAGGTGAATATGTATGTGATGCTTGTGGAAAGGAGTTTGCCCAATTTGCCAATCTTAAACGCCACTTGAGACTTCACTCTGGCAACAAACCTTACACTTGCACATTTGAGGGATGTAACAAGAAGTTTGTTCGTCGTTCTGATTTACAAACTCACATGAGAATTCACACAGGAGAACGACCATACGTTTGCAATGTTGAAGGTTGTGGAAAGACATTTACTACTTGTTCCAACTTGAGAAGACATGAACGTTCAGTTCACACAAATCCTTCCAAAAAGAAATAAAGAATAATTTAAGGTTTATTCGATAAATTTACAAGTAAACTTAGATCAACTAACACAAGTTAATCGAATGGTGGATATTCATTAGGTTCATACTCCTCTGATGGTTGGTGAGAACCACTGGTATTCTTGTTTCCTAATGCACTCAATATAGAGTTAACCAAATTGAGTGTATTGGTTGTAGAAATAGGCTTAGTTTCAGTGAATAAATCTTCATTATCTTCGTCATAACTTGGTTCTGTTTTCAACTTTTTATTTGATGGCTCTACCTCATCTTCATCCACTTTGAAAAAGTCATCAGAATAAGTTGGAACAACAATATCGCCATCATCTTGATTACCTCCCGTCAATACATCGTCATCATTACCATTGAATTGTTTGCTATTGAGATGAATTTCGAGAGAGGTTGAGATTTTTTGCAAATCGACAAGGTAATTATCATTCCATTCCTTAAGTAAGGTTTTAAGAGATTAGTTTTAAAAACATTGCATGTTCTACATACTTTAATCAAGTCATTATACTGATTAAACAAGTTTCTCTGTTCGTTCAATTCTTGTTCTAGTGCTGTCATATATTCCTTTCGTTTGTTATTTTCCTTTGCAAGCGCAAATTTATAATCAGAGCATTTTGTGAGCACTCCTTCAACATCACCTTGTAATTGTTTTAATGTGAAAGGTGTTGAATGAGCTAAATTATTAATGAATGTGATTAAATAATGAAAATATATTAATGGATGAATGAAAATTTAATTTGAAAATTATCGAGTTAGTTTTTGATTTTTCAAAGTACAGAAATATATCCACATTTCCACAAATGTACTTACCCAATTGATCTTCTCTCAATTCATGTCTATCCAATACTCGTTGTTTACATTCTTGAACAAGTTTATCATTATCTGTGAAATTTTTTTGATCGACACGATTAGCTTGAACAATTTCATTGAATTGTACAAGACTTTTAACAACAGAATTTGTGTTGGCAAGTAATGTCAAGGCATCATTGGAAGATGACGAAGTATTACTACTGCTTGGTCTTTCTCTCTTAAGAGGATTTGACTCGGATGATCTTTCTTTACCACTACCACTACTACGAGAATTATCAGAGGAAGTATTAGATGATGAACCTCCAAGCGATCCATCAATAACACTCTTGCACTCACTCGAAAAATCAGCTGTGAAAATCTTTCTCTCCTCCAAAATACTGAAAATACGTTGCAAGGACTTACGATCCTTCTCTGTCATGAGTGAGATGTTATCTCGGAGTGATCCTGGTAGCACTGCTTGAAATTGTTCAACAAAAGCATTGGTCTTTTTTCTCGAATTTTGAATAACATCATTGGCCAAGTAGTAATAGCATAATTTTCTATTTGGTGCTGCCTTCTTAGCTTCTCTAGCCCAAATGGAAACAATTTCTTGAGCCTTCTTGACGTGGTAAATAACCCAAAGTGACAAGGCTAATTTGTTGTTGTTCAAACAAGTGTTCATTACATGATATTTTGGATCAAGTGTAATCACATGAATACATTCCGTACAAAATTCCAACACAAATTATTGTTATTGTCATCATTATTCATCATTATATTTTCAACCAATTTGATCATTTATCATAAAAACATATTGTTGTTGATACATTTTATAAATATATAAATCATTCCGTTCTTGCTCGAATCATCATGCTATCATCACCAATACAAACCTTGAATAGATTGTTGTGTGTTGGTTAACTTGTCGAGTTTGCCCACAAGTGTCTTGTCGTTCATTTTTTAATTTTAAAAAAATATTTGAAATCACAAAATTTAATTTAAAAATTGTTTTTTATTTAAGCTTAGGGAGTTTGATGGAGAGGTTTGGTGGATTGGGTGGTGGTACTACTTCTTGAGCTACTCCTCTTGGGGAGAAGAGTGTGCTCTTGTTTTCTCGGTGTGATTCTAGGGTTTTGTCAAAGAGGTCAATCATGTTGAGTTCATCAATTCTGGCTTGATCTGGTTTCTTTGGATGTCTATTGTCCTCCACGGAAGAGGTTTTACCTCTTTTAACCCAGGTTGGCTTGTTGGTTGGAGGTGCTGTATTTCTGTATTCGATTGACTTTTCTGTTTGCTTTCGCTGGTCTGGATAGGTTGGAACTGTAATGAATTTTTTGCTTGATCTTTCCACTTCTTCTTGCTGTTTATACATGGAGGATTGTTGGGATAGCTCTCTAACTGTGGAAAAATTTCCTCTAATGTAGTTCTTTCCTGGTGAACCAACTGCTCTCTTGAGAGATTGTCTAATCTTTGAATCAAGTTGATTATCAACTCGAGTGCTAGCTCTTTGAGTCCATGATGAAACTAAAATGCAATATATTGTATCCGGAGATATGGTAATTTCAGGTTTTCTATTCTTTGTTCCAGGACTTCCAAAAGCTGTGTAGGCTCTGATTTTTGGAGGTGGATGTTTTCTATCAGAACGAACCAACACACCAGTCATATAGCTGTGCAAATTGTATGGTGGAAGTTCTTTTGCCATTGGTGGGAAGGAGGCAATGAGATGTCCTTTCAAATGAGGAATATAAAGCCAGTATTTCTTCTCTGGTGCAGATACTTCATCCAGAGAGAATCCTGAAGGATTTGTCTTCCAGTTCTTGATTCTATTCTTCTTTCTCTTCTCTTCCCCTTCAAATAAGACCTTCTCTGGAGGAGGTAAATGTTGAGGTGTTTCAATGAGTGGAATACCCTCGAAACCAATTTCCTCTCCCAAGTGAAGAGCCAAATCTTCAACAGTTTGAGGTGATTTGTACAACTCCTCTGTTGCCTTGTCCTTCATATGTTTGGTGTGCATTTGTTCTTCTTCTTGTCTCTTCTTTTGGTTATTAGCAATAATTGAATCAATTTCAATTAGGCCGTCATCACAATGTCTCTCCTTAATATTCATCAAGAGGGAGGAATCTGGAAGGAGACTGTTTTCAATCACTTGATTAATAGTGTCCACCATAAAGATGTGATTCAATTTGGATAATGCTGATAGTATCTTGACATCCTCTGACTTTTTGTTCTTAATGTACATATCTTTTGTGGAGAGGATATTTTCAAATGTATCTTGGAGTCTCAATCTAATGATTGGCTTCTTTTGATCAATCTCAATTTGAACAGATGATCTCCTTCCAGCTGGCTTTTTATCTTCTGCCCTATCTGATTTAGGTCCAAGCACAAGCTGTTCATAGAGTCTATTCGAATAGAAATAGGTTGGGTCATACATTATATTTACAGGTTGATTTTCTTTGGATATGTATTTTTCTAAATGCCCTGTAAGGTACCTGAAGGCATCTTTTGAGGTGGCCTCAATAACCATTAAACGTTTCTTACCATCGCAAATTTCAAATCCACAAAAGTGTTTGAAAACATCCTTTCCTGAATTCTTTCCTCCTGGAGTCATGTCTGAGGAAGCCGATTCTGGAGATAATGACAGAGTATTAAATTGATTGACTGGAGAAAGATTTGCTCCTCCACCATTCATAGTTCCTGAATTTGGCATGCCACCAAACAAATCTGATCGACTCTTTGCTGGCATTGGCTTAATGAAAAATTGATTAAATATTTGTTCTGTTTTTTGAATTAGATTGGCATTCTCCCAATCAAAGGTTAAAATGATTGGATATGTACTCTTCTCAGTCTCTGTAAATTGTGGGAATGGTGTATTAAATCTGAGTTGAATCTTTATCGAACTCTTCTTTTCGACATATTTTCCCTCAAATATGGAATACTCTACAGTAAATACAGAATCATTGAGAGAATTCTTTGGAGATTCAACAGACGGACTCTTCATATTCAAATTCTTTGGAGATTTTGTGTTCGGTTTGGCCTTCTTTTCCTCTTCTTGAGTTTGAGCCTTTTTCTTTTCCTCTTCAATTCTTTTTACAGCCTTCTCGTATTCGTCTGGTAGTATTGTGTAGCCTTGAATTTGGAAATTGTCTGAAATATCTCTTCCCCTAGAGTTTAAAATTAACGTTTTAAGAGCTACCTCTGATTTACCAAAGAACTTGGCGATACCATCCTTAGGGTCTCTGTCGTGTGTCTCGAAAACTATTGGCATTCTGATAAAATAATCTCTGTACATTTCCATCTCATTTGAATTTCCCAGATAAATAATCCTTTGATAGCCAAGATTAATCAGTGAATCATGGTGATAGCCCTTTGTTTTGAAAGTTTTACCTCTGATGGAATACGATACAGAAACAGGCTTACATCTATCAGATAGGTAGCTTTCATTTGGGAGATCCTTCAGTGAAGAAATTGAAACCATCATTGGATTGAGTTTGTTTTGAACATCTTCCGAGAGAATGCTTGCTCCTTCAGCTACCTCAAACCTAATATTAATATTGTGCATAAATTCACTATAATCTTGTGGTGGCGTAAATGACAAGGCATTGACACTGAATCTTGCAGATGAAATACCTTCTGATTTAAATGACTCATCAAAACCATTCGAGGCTGTTTCGCTCTTAGTGTCTAACAATGAAGACCAATATTTGTACTTTGGACTATAAACAAATTCATATTTGCATTTTGTATAGCCAAACTTGTCATTTACAAATAGTGGAATTGTCGAAGCTCTGTAAGAATGGAGAATCTCGCAATGACTTCCAAAAGCTGCCTTAATATCAGCAATCATTCCTTCCTGTAGTTCTTCCAAAGGTATTTGATTTGCTGAACCAATATTATTCTGTACCTTTTTTGTGGTATTTGTTGCTGGAAGACCTGGTGCAGGAGGTGTATTATCTTTCTTATTTCCAGCATTTGATGGAGTTGCTTCCTTTTTAGAAGACTTTTTCTTTTCTACAGTTGTTGGAGGTGTGGCAGGATCAAATTCTCTTCTAATTACAAATGATACAAATGGGCAAGATTCGAAATAAACTAAATCTTGTAAGGTTTCCATGTAGATGGTATGTTCCTTCTCGATGTTATACTCTTGTGAGTCAATTAGTGTTTGATGTAGTTCCACAAAACCTGTACTTCCTCCATAATTACTTGCTACAAAATAAACCACTCTGTGTTCCCACAATTTTTGAATTGAACCATCATCATTGGTAGTTGTATTACTCTCTGTAGAAATGGCAGAATTATTTGCTCCCTTTTTAGTACTATTAGAAGATCCAGGTCGTTTTCCTGATGCTGATGAAGGTTTCTTCTTTTGGTTTGGTCCTGGTGATTTTGATGTTGTTGATTCTGTTTCCGCATCATCATTCACGTAAGGATAGTAAGGAATATCGATGAAAGTTCTTCCCTTAAATTTAATCAAAATCTTCTTTTGATATTTAGGAAATATTGTTGGTCCCTTTTGCGAAGAGGATGGAATCGTCTTTTCCGGAGGCTTTAAAGCTTGTGCAACATTATGTAAATCCTCAATTGGAAAAGTCGAATTATTGATAAATGATGAAAAGACTGACAAATTAGACCAGTCCTTACTTCCAGAAACCGAAGACATGGCACTCTCCTGATGTCCTCTCGCAGATATCAAAGAGGCCGATGATCCTACAGAGGCTAACTTTTTAATATCTACACTTGAACCTCCCGTAGGGCTAAGACTTTGCATTTTTTTTCTAGTCGTTATTATTTACGAATTTGTTTTTTCTCAACCTCTCACTGAATTTTTCCAAAGACCTATACTCAATGTATTATTACACGATGGATGCCTCCCGTGTTTTTATTGTTATATTAATAGATGATACACTATTATTGTTGTTGTTTTATTTTCTTTTGTTGGTGCGAATAAGCAGACAATAGCAACCTTAACTGAACAAGAAGGCGGGAATTCCGTGGTGATACGAAATTTAAAAAAATATTTTGATGAGTTGGTTTTAAGAGAGATGAAGAGATGGAAAATTGGATTGATGGATGGTTTTGAACATATAACATTTGATGTGATTGAATAGGAATGTGTCCCATCCATTGTTGTAAATAATCAGCTCATGTTGTCTATCAAGGGAGATATGGTTCTAACAATCAAGTGGCAATATCACTATCAGAAATCAATGATTATTGTGCTTGAATAAATTTAAGTTATTGAACTACACGAACAATTCTTGCGTCTTTGATGAGGTGAATACATATATATTTCATATTTTAGGTTTATGAATGGCTACGGCCATATCACGATGAATGCACCTCATCCCGTCCGATTTGAGAAGTTAAGCATCGTCGAGCCACATCAGTACTGAGGTTGGAGACAACTTGGGAACCTGTGGTGCTGTAGTCTTTTTTACCATGAAACAATAAAATCCTTTATTTCTGGAGCGAACTCCAAAATTTAGTTTTTTTCAATAAATAGAAGAAATTATTGTTATTGAAAAGGATCATTTAAGAATGGTATTTAATCTGAAGAATAAAATTGTCATGCAATAGGTTTTTCAACATTCAAAAGAATCATATTTTGTATTAAGAATCTTTTCATTGTAAAACAGAGATCACAAACAAACGTCACTCAAAAAATCAAAAAAACCATGAAAGAAGAATCATTTCTCCAAACAGTTCATGTCGATAACAAGGTTCTTGATCATGAAAACCTCAAAAACCAGCATTTCGAATAAAACCAAACAGAAAAAAATCAACTAACCGAATTAATCTCTAACATCATGTCCACCATTAACTTCCACTACCTTCAAGCCAAGAAACCTTTCAAGCAATTGACTATTTTCACTACCGTTGCTGCTGGATCCTATATTTTCACTCAAATGTGCAAAACCTACTTTGGAATTCCAAGTACAACTCCAAATAATGAAGCAGAAATGGTTACATTCCATAGACCAATTGATGTTCGTGATCCAATGTCATTCGATTGGGCACCAATTCTTCCAGAAAAGCCAAAGCGTGATTAATTTTTCTGCTTGTTTTTCAGAAGAGTTTTTGTATCATATTTTGTAATATTTATTGTTGTAAAATAAAAAGAAATCAATCTTGATAAATTTATCATTTTTTTGATTCTGTTAGAGATTATTGCCACCAGTGGATTCATAGAGAGATCTAAGGAATTTTAAATTTGAGAGTATTCCTGCTGTAGAGATATCACTCTAGGCAACACTGTAATGTGTCAGGTAATGCAAATTCAATGAAGTATGAACTTTTACAATGAATCTACCACTAAAGAACATCAAAAAAAAATGCAAGAACCATCAACAACAGGTACACTCCATGATGAACCAAAGAATCATCATCAGGAAACAAGTCAGGACGAGGCAATGCTTGTCGATTCATCATCCTCATCATCCTTTTTTTTTCCATTCCGAAATTTGTTACCCGAAATTCAAGATTATGTGAGTGATTTTCTTGATCCAAAAACAATGCTCGAGGCAATGCTTGTCGATCAGCAATTTTACTTCCGAGTGGTGAATAGTAATTTGTATAAAGCCTTTAGGGTGATTAACCTATTACAGTACAGTTCAACTATTCGTGAAATGAATGATTTTAATGAGTTGCCATCGGATGACAAGTTGATGAGGTCGGTTGTGCATTACTTGTTGGGAAAATTCAAATTCTTGAAGGCTGATTGTTTGAATTATTATTGCAGAATTCACTTGAAAAATTTGGAAGATTGTCCAGAATCGCTGTTGAAGAATATTGACAAGTGTCTTGCGATTGTGATTCAAAATTTCAAAGTGTACGATACTCGTAGTTTGAAAAAAGCACACCTTCGTCAATCCCATTCGGAGTACCATCTCTTTCAGAAAGAATATGGAATTTGGAACGAGTTAATAGACCTTTTAGAATTGTCAGTTTCACAAGGAGAGATTATTCCACAACTTTATGAAAGAATTGAGGAATCTATTACATTCCCTCGGGGACCAAAGGAAATAGATCAATATGGTCCAACCGATTATCCAGAATTTGACAATGTCAAGAAAAAATTATATGTAGATAAGACAAAGGATCAATGGCTTTCCAAATTCTTGTCATCCATCAAGAATAATTCAATTTATTACCTGTTAGCTCGTTTATCATTGATCCCCTTCCAGAATTTACCAGAAGATCTGAAATCAAACAAGGATTTTGTTATATTTTTCCTGAACCATTTCAGAGAGATTTTCTATCACGGATCCAAAATGCCTACGCACAAGAAATTGCAAAATTTTGAAAAGATTACTCTGCATCCATCTCTAATTCAAGACAAGGATGTGATTATGGAGGCTTTCCTTACGAACGATGATAGAGTTTACGGTCCAGTATTCGAAACTTCATGTTATGGAGTGATTGAAAATAAGGTACTAGATAAGAGAGATTACGAATTTTTAGGAAGGGTTTTTAAAACTATTCCTGATGGTTTGAAATTCATGGCAGAGTACAATATCAAATCAGCTCAAAAGTATACTTATACTGAAAATGATTTTTCAGAAATTATCAAATTAGCTCCATCAACATTTGGAAATATTCCAATAGAATGGAGACACTTTGAAAAACATCCTGAATTGTGTAAATCGGCAATATCACTCCTTGGTGAAAACTTTACAAGTGTAATATGTGATAATACTGTTCCCCTTGAAGTCCAGGCAAATTTATTCAAATTGGCATGTCAAAATTTGAAGAATAAGGAAGTTTATCAACCTACTCTGTACAAGCATCTTCACACAGAATTGAGAGAAGATACCGAATTAATGAAGCAAATTGTGCCAATTTATCCAACAATTTGTAAAAATTTCAGAAATACATGGTTGGAAAACGAAATGGAACTGATACTCGAAGCTGCGCCATATTTTCCAGTATTGGATCAATTATTTATTTACAGTTGCAGAAAAAATTTCAGATCTGAAACCACTTGGGAAATTAAACACGATGAAATCAACACTGTAAAAAATAAGCAAATCGAGAGAAAAAAATGCACACCTGATTTTTTAACTACTAATCTTGAATTCGCCAAGAGGACTTTGAAAGCTTTCCCTTATCAATTGCAGAGATTTTCAAAGGAAATTCAAGATAATAACGAAATTTGTAATATTATTGTGGAATCTGGATGTGACATGACTGTAATACCAATGTTTTATAATAAGGTAATGAAAAATATTGAGTGGATAAAGAAATCCATAGAGTTTGGAACTAATATTTTCATGTTTGACGAGAAGGTCTACAACAATCCAGAATTGTTCAAGATTGCAGTCAGGAATTTCCCTAAAATTTTAGTTATGAGTGAAAAGTTCCAAAAAGATAGAGAAATGGTTTTATACACAATCGAATGCTGTAAATATTTAAGAAACGAGAGTCCAAAATATCTTTGCTTTGAAAATATTGATCAGAGTATCATTGATGAGGAAATTGTAGAAAGGGCAATTATGGAAACACCAACATTTGTTGATATTAACAATTTACCACCAAGATTCAAGTTAAATAGCAAACTTGCCAAAGCTACCTTACTTAAATATCCAAACAGTTACGTTCATTTCCCAGATCATTTGAAGGAGGACTTGGAAATTGCTGAATTGGCAGTGAGAGCCAATGCTAACAACTTGAATGAGCTGCCGAAACACTTGAAGCAAAACAGAGACTTTTTCCTTCTTGCCATTTCAAGAGGATATAATTACAATAAGACTGGAATCATGTTTCCTCCACTCGAAACAGATCCAATCAAGTGGAAATATCACGATCAGAAATCAATGGTTATTGTACTTGAATAATAAATTCAAGTTATTGAACTACCCTAATGTTGTAATTCACTGAAATTGATTTTTTTCAATCTTTTTATAATCATAATACATTTATATTTCATATTTTAGGTTTATGAATGGCTACGGCCATATCACGATGAATGCACCTCATCCCGTCCGATTTGAGAAGTTAAGCATCGTCGAGCCACATCAGTACTGAGGTTGGAGACAACTTGGGAACCTGTGGTGCTGTAGTCTTTTTTGTTTATTTGTTTTTTCACCAGTTCTTTTCACTAGTTCAAGTTTTACTTTTCAATGCAACCACCTTAATTGTTAGTTTGCTTCTCACATTCTTTCCAATATTCCAAACCGTTGGATTCTGATTGAACTGGTCCATCATGACTGTTGCTACTTGCCAACTATTAATCATTTCAGACGAAAACATTTATGATACAATTTTCAAATAATAGAGTAACTGGCACAATCAACTATTACAATTAAAATATTACTTTTAATTTGGATTCTCTCCAAAAAGTTGTCAATTTTTATGTTAAATTTCTTTTTTACTTTTTTATTTCTTTTTTTTAATTTTCTTTTTTTGGTTTTGAATCATTCTTAATAATCATGGTTGACAATTTTGTAATAATAACTGCCAGCACGACTGCCACAAGTCCATCAATCATAAAGTGATGAGCAGAGTACATACTCGCCAGGAAAATCCAAACCAAATATTGAATCATGAATATTTGATAAAAAGTCCAAGATTTTCCACTCTTTTCACTTCTTGTCAAACTTTCTTCATCAACATTTGATTCTTGCTTATAAACAACAAATAGTTCAATAAAGGTAATAATGGCAGTCCAACCAACATGAAGGGAGTAGAAACTTCCAAACTTGATAGTTCCCTTTCCATAAATTCCTGCAAATAATTCATAACCAATTAAACGATCAACCATTTCAAATCTTGCCTCTGGTGCATAGAGTGGAAAGACTGGAAGTGGCATATCGAGTGTTGCATCACCAATCATCTCATAGTATTCTTCATATTTAATGGTGTTATCTCTGAACCAAGGTGGCGCTGTTGGGAAGAAGAAACATAATGTAACCTGAATGATTGAAATGACACCCAATGAGAGTAAGTAGCATTTGAGTTTGTAGTTAGAAACTTGATATTTTGGAGAGATGGAGGAATCGGTTGAATTTCCAGTGTAGGACGAAACAATATCATCATTGAGTGAAGATTCATTGGTCGAACTCTTTCCAGGGATGAATCGTCGAAGCATTTGATAGGTTGGTATGATGACTGTTTCTTTCAATGATTCTCTGTTAGGTTTCCACAGGAAAATGCAAACAATGACTGGATAAACTGCAAGTGGATAGACAAAGTGAGCCAGATATGGAATGGCAAAGAAGACATCCAAGAATGGATGATACAAATTGGCCAACAATTCGTGTGGCATTGCCAATCCAAACATTAAATACTTGTCAATTGTTGCAATGATATCAAAATCTACAGTATTGAAAAAATCTCCCTCAGATTCGAATAACCATTCAAAAGCAATCAATTGAAAGTTGCTCATCAATATGAAAAATATCAATATTGGAATACTAGTCCAATTGAGCACTGGCAACACAATCGCATTCAATATCCAATCCACTGCATTTCCAAACAATTTCGCATTCTCTGCCTTGGTCATTTCTACTGTTTGTATTTGTACATGGTCGTAACTACTATAATAGGTTGTTGATGATGATGATTTTGAAGTGTTCTGCTGTATGAACAGTGGAGATTTAACTTCTAAGTGCTCTCCATGTGTTGTATTATCGTGAATAGTGGTGGACATTTCGTAGCACTTATAACTTTCATCTATTGATGCTGATGAAGAAGTGGAGGTAGTTGAGGGTGAAACTGAATGCTGCTGGTGTGCTGCTGCTGATGATGATCATGAGGTTTTGTTATTGATAATGCATTGTATTCAGTTAATTCTTCTTCTCCATCCTCAATTTGTTGTTCCTGTTGTGGAGTAATCTTTGAGAGTAATGATGATGACGGCAATGAGGAGGAGGATGTTGGTATCATTGTTATTAGTCTATGATTAAATTGCTCTTTTTATATATTAGGATTTGAAACTCGATTCTATGCTGTACAATCTGAATTGTTAATTCACCTATTTTGTATATGAATTGAAATTAGTCAATCCAAAACTCAAAAAATTCGATATCTTTAATTGAATCTCAAACTTGATTCAAAATCTTCTCGTAAGCAGCAATTCACGTGCTTTGAACTTGAAGGTGATCAATGTTGTGTGTTTTTTTTCAATAATATTTGAAAAGATTTCAAACTTGAAAAGTTTTTTCATTTATGGGCCGCTGGGCGCGAAAATTCCCCAAGCATGAATAGAACGCTTTATTAATGGACGTTCGTTGTTAAGCAGATTATTGCATATTAAAAAAAACATAGAACAACGCTTTTTGAGCGCATTGAATGGTCGTACAAATCGCTTTAAAGTGTCGTAGTTGATCTCTTTAATTGATTCATTCGTCGTTGGTGCTACTACTGAGATCGATCTTGATGGCACGAGGATATCATGAGGATGTCCATTGGATTGTGGTGGTTATTGTTGTGAAGATGGAAAGAGAACGAAAAATGTCCAAGGATGTCCAAAGGTTGTTCACTTTGAGAGTTTCTTTAAGGATTTAAACCTAGGAATTAGAGAGTTTACACCTTAGTTCCAAGTGAATTGGAGGAAATGCAAGTAGAATCGTTGAAATTAGAGGAAGGAATTGGGATTATTTATTTTGAATGACATTTTTGCATCCATCAGATTCGTGTTAGAAACTAGAGTTGATGAGTCGTACAGTCCATCATATAGTTCCACTACAGAACTACATGACATGTCAAAAATGTCGACTACAGTTGTCGTGTTGTTGTATTATATTCTTAAAGGAGATTTTTGTAAAATGCATTTAATAGTCGGATCCTCTACTCAAAACTTCCTTGCAGGTTGGTCTCAAGAAAATAGTATGCTCGAATTGAGCAGTGTAACAACCTCTAACATCAACCAATGGTGGATATTCATTGACAATACCATTGTTTACCAAATCACGAAGAGCAGTAAGATATTTCTTTTGGCCAATTCTGTCCAAGTATCTACGACAGAAAGGAATGGATCCAAAGTTTTCATTGATAACTTTGAGTAAATCTTTAGAATCCTTATTTCTCAATTCAGAACCATCACCATTGTATGTGTATTCTCTGCCATAATGTGAACAGACACCTTCTTCATTGATGTAACCCTTACCAGTAGAACCGAAAGTTTCAATAGCGAAAAATTCATTTTCTTCCATCTTGGTATTTTCTTCAGTAGCAACAATTGGAACTGATTTACCAGCATGGACACGATATCTTTCAACAGAGTGACCACACAAATTTTCAATACTTCTAACCTTGTGAGTCTTTCCATTAATTGTCTATTATATTCCATTATTAATTTGTTCAATAAATTAATTGAATATTTGTGAATTTCAAATAATTGAAATAATTGAAATAATTGAAATCCAAAAATATTAATAAATCAAAGTATTCAAAATAACACATACAACTTCATAAGATTCCATAACTTCTTGAATGGCAGCACCAACATCACCTAATCTGACATCAATACCAGCAGCCTTAACACCCATATTAGTGGCATCTTTGACAGCATCCAATAATGGTTGATATTGATCATTCCAACACATTGTGAATGCAGAATCAATAATTGTACCATTAACATGAGTTCCCAAATCGAATTTAATCACATCATCCTTTCCAATAACAGTTTCATCTCCACTATTTGGTGTATAGTGAGCAGCAACATGATTCAATGAACAACCCAATGGGAAAGCAAGTCCAGACTTTTTCTTATCAGCTTCCAATAATTCTCTAACCTTATTTTCATAAGTTTCAGCAGCATCAATAACTTTCATTCCAGGTTTAACAATAGTCTTGAACCATTTTCTAGCAGTTCTGTGAACTTCAGCAGCATGTCTAGCCTCCTGGAGACGTTCTTGTAATTTTTCATCCTTTTCTTGTGCTCCTTCCTTCAATTCGGAAGGATGAAATCTCTTGGTTTTATAATCATAGGTTCCTAATTCACAAATTTCACCCTGTGGGAATTTCTCATCCTTGAATAAATACTTGATTGGGACTGTAGGTTCTGGTTGAGTTTGTTCGGAAGGCCAATCTTTTGGTTGTTTGGTGGTTTGTTTTTTCGATGATCCATTCGATTGTTGTTGTTGTTTGACTGTTTCCTTTTCATTCTTCTTTTGCATTTCCATGAGGAATTTCATATCATCGTCACCACCACCTCCTGATTTCTTCTTTGATGCGGATGAGCTTGCTGATGATGATGTGTTCTTCTTGGTCATTGTGATGATGAATTTTTTTTCAATCTTAAAATTTTTAAAAAATTATTCAAATATTTTGAAGTTTTTTATATTTGGTTCAGCAGAAGAGAAAGTGTGAAAGTGCTTCCTCTGTGAATTGTTCGACGAAATGACCGCAACCCGTACTGATGATGATTCTCTTGATATAATTGATATATTAAGGTGTGGAATTTGATTTCAACATTAATCTTCGATGAGACCTCTTTGTTCAATGATAATATACGAATGAGAGTTCTCTATAATTGAAAGGATAATCAAAATGGCAGTAATGCCTTAAAGCTTTTGAAATAGTAATCATCGTTGTGTGTTACCAAGAGGATAGCTTGCATTTTTCCACTTCCTGTGAAAGATAAGATAAAGGATCTTGTTTCAATTCAATGTTTTCCCAATGGTTTTCAATAAGGACATATTCTTGACCATTAATGATGAGATTTACACAATCAATGAGGTCAGTGGATACAGTTTCATTTTCAGGTTCTTGAGTGTCTGGTTTCTTGGTGTTTCGTTGACCCATTTTGTTTTGATAAATTGTTATTCGAAACGTGAGCACGAATTATTTACAATTTACAAACTGTGGTCAGAAAATTGACAAGATTAGAGATTAATCATTTAAATTTCTTCTTCAATTAATAATTCTTTCTTTATACGTCCAATTTTGGCAAGAATTTGATATCGCTCTAAATTTGTTTGTTGCCAATTCTAGAATTAATTATCATTAGAATGATATTTGAATATTATTTTTGACAGTTGTAAATGTAAAGAACAAAATCTTAATGTTGAGATTTTACACCAATTTCTTTAAGGAATTCCAAAGATTCAATTACATTTCATGAAGAAAATCAAGCAAATCATCAGCATCATCATCCCACGGTTTCACTCCATAAGACAACAACATATTTAGATCATTAAAACTCATTCCATAATTAAACGAGCTTCCACCATAGTAATCATCTCCATCATCTATCACTACTATCATAATAAATTTGCTCAGCAGGCACAGAAGAATTCACAATTACTGAATTACTAGACTGCTGATTCGATGGATTAGTAGCAGTAACATTATTTTGTAATGATGATGAAATTGCTGCTGGTGCTGGATGATAGAACCAGCAATTCGTTCCAAATCTGCAATTTCCTTGTGACCAATATCTACATACTTTTCTACTTGCATTTTGATTAGCTCCTGGACAAGTGGTAGTAGAATTTGAAGTTGCAGAATTATTAACGTTAATATTAACGACACTATTACTACTTTGTTTTTGATTCTCATTATTGCTTATTGATCATCATTAGGATGATGTCTATTTCCTTCACTATTACTTTTCATTCTTGTGATAACACTTCTTGGAGGATGGTAAAATCTGCAATTCCTTCCAAATCGACAATTTCCCTCCAGATGATATCTACAAACAGGAGCATGACTACAATCATTCGCTTCATCACCAATATTCTTTCTTCTCTTTCGGAATTGTTTTCCACAAACATAAACTTCTCTATCATCATTAGCATCCGATAAATCATCATCATAGTAACAATCCTCAACTTCACTCCCACTTGAAACCCAATCTTTGGAATGGAAACGAATTCTCTTTTTGAATTTCTTTGGTCCTTCTTCAACAAACCAATCGGCAAATATTATGGATGAAAATTTCTTGTAACAATTACCAGAGAAGCCCTGTACTTGTTCCTTGCAGTCATCCCATTTGAGATAGACTCCAGGATTTCTTCCTCTGTGAACGGCATAGTAAGGTCCATAAGAAAAACTCATTTTTTTTTTAGTTAAAAAATTGAGTTCAAATTTGTTAAGCATAAATTGAATTAAAAAAGAATGTGCATGTAAACGACATCTTTTCTAAAATCTATTGAATACTATTCATAAATCCATGAAAATGAGACGAAACTTAATAGTAATGAAGCAAGTTTGGTTACCCTCCTCAAATTGGATGATTTCCAACTATGGAACTACTTTTTATTGGGTGGGGTTTCTAGATATTTACGGGCATGGCTGGCTACCTGAGTTCTCGTTCTAGTGAGAACATAGTTTTCGGCAATCTCTCGCCATCTGCCTCTTCCACACTCGTTTAGTCCTCGCATAAAATCTGCATGCTCTTTTTCAGTCCATGCACCGTCATTAATTCCTATCTGTTGATGTCTAGCATTCACAAATTTAATTTTCGATTTGTCTGATATCGAGAAGTTCATGAATTGAATCGAGTTTTGTGGTACTGTCGAGAGTGAATTATGTGTCGCGTAATTTGTAGAACTATCTGATAAACCTGAGGGCGATTTGAGAGGCTGTTTCGTATTATTAATTTCTGATTTAGTTTTCTTAGAAGAGCTATTGGTGGTATTGGATTGGCGATTCAATGATTTAGGTGTGGTAATTATTGAAGGTGGATTAATGAATGATTCCGAATTGTTAATTGAATGTTTCGTTTCGTTTTCATTCTTTCTCTTTTTTCTTGATGAATTACTTGCATCCTCAATTTTCCGTTTCGAATTTTCTGCATCCTCATAAAATATTCCATTAAAAATGGTATTAAGGTGATTTTCCTTAATAACCGGATGTGTGGATGATTGTAAATCATGATGTTGATAATTTTCAAACCGACTTGGAAATGATCCATTTTGAGAAGTATTTACCACATTAGTAGATGTATCATTTACATTTGATTTTGTGGATGAGTTCCTAGCAGTATTATTAGTAGATGATGAAGAAGATACATTTCCATTATTATAAACTTCGTTTTGAAGCAATATTGGTGAATTTCGTTCATATATATAAGCAGAGGAAGAAGGTTGATAATCATGCATTGCCGTTTGATCATTATTATTTCCATTATTTTGCCCTCTATTGTTTAAATTATTATTGGATGCATGCAATTGGTTAGCTTGAGGGGAATATTGTATAGGATTAGAAAAGTACATTTGTTGGGAAGAGTTTGTTGTTGGAGGTGATAAATTGTTGGGCAGTATTGCATCTTGTGTTTTGTAATTCAAAGATGAAGAGGGTGGTGGATTGCCATTAGTATTGCTATGATTACTACCATTTATATTGCTCGCTGTGGTGGTAGTTGTAGTACTAAAGTTAGGTAGTGGTGTTGTTTTTGTATCAAATACATGCAAACATGCATCGTTGTTTTTAGACATTTCATGTACTTGTTGTTGATGAGTTGAATGCATCGATCCATGCATGCTCAATGATGTAGATGTTGGCATGCCACTATTATTCACTATTTTTGAAAACATCATGTTTGGAGTACATGATGTTGCATGTATCAAAGCTGGTGTAAGATTAGATTTTAAGTTTGAACTATTGTTATTACTACCAGCAGTGAAAGATTGACTACTTCTCCCCACACTATCCAATGTCGTTCTTGTCGATGGAACAAACTGATGATGATAATTGGCAACAGAATTCTGAAATTTAGATGTAGATGCTTCATCAAAGGCATTCACATTAGATGATCCATGTACATGATGCATAGCAATATCTTGTTGCAGCCCATTATTGGAATTGGCCAATATTGCATGATGGTGTTGTTGCCCCACAAACATCATGTTGTTGTTGATGCTGTTGTTGTTGGTTGATGATGGATTACTAATAGTAAGCTGTTGTTGTTTAGGCATCTTGTTGGCATCTTTGCCATCATCTTGCCCAAATAAATCGGACAAGGAAGGCAACATCTGTCTTCTCGATCGTTGTTGTTTGCCGTTTGTGTTTTACTTTGATGAACAAGTAGTACTCAGTATCAACAACACCAACAAGGTTGAGACGCTTTTTTTGATTTTTGGAATACTAGAAGCATAGTTGCGTTGTGTTCACAATCATTGCTTCAATGTTCTAAAAAGGTCAGAGGGCAAATTAATGACAGATCTGTCTTGATTCAAAAGATGCAGCAAGTTTGGGGTTTGTCCACCTTAGACTCGCATGAAAAAGTGAAGCAAGATGAAGAAAGGGGTACTGATGATTGGTTATGATGTATCTTGTCTATGTGAGAGATAAATCCAATGGGTGTTTTACCTCACTATTTAAGATAGAGGTCAGCACCTTTAATGCTATTAAGGAAAGTAGTTATTTTTCCTCAATGACTTTTGTAGATAAGTGAGGGTTGCTCCGACCCTAAAAAAGCTACCAAGCACAAAATTGTAGTGAAGACTTTCTCCGACTGATGTGCATGCAGAGATGGTTTCTTAGATGGAATTTTTTAATGGTTTTGGAAATAAATGCTACCTGTTTGAATCTTTTCAAAGATCAGTTTTCAAAAACTTATTCCAATGCAATCATTTCACTTCATTATAAAAATTCCACAATATTAATAATCATCCAATGTGTTCTCATGCCGAGATAAGATCAAGGATTAATCGAGAATTGATAAACTATTCCGACCATCTATAAAACCGTCTGGTGCTTAATCAGTGGAATATATTTCAATTGGAATATTCTTCGTTTTCTATATTATGTAGACAGAGATTTGACCAATCTTTCAATATTATTCCAAAAGTGAGTCCTTAATATTTGATGATCTTGATGATGCATTAGCATTTCAACTTGGCATACTTGATTACATTTCTTGCATTGGAATCAAAATGATATGATATTGCAATATCCATTATTACTGAAATAATTATGGAGCCATTTGCATCCTTTTTCTTCAACATTTTAAATCGGGTGGTTGTTTTTGTTAATGATCGAAAATTCGGAAATAATTCCATTAAATAATAATATATCAAATTGTTCTCCTTCAATCCATGTGTGAGTGCATATCAATAAAGAATTAAAATTAATGTTGTTTAAATTGCATTCAATTTTGAAATCCAACTCTGAAAATAATTATTCATCGTGTTTTACATCATATCTTTCGATAATCACATTTTTTTTAAATAATTTAAAAATTAATTCTCTATTTTCATGAATATTGTGTTGCAGTAACAACAATTAGAAATAGAGCTCCGAATTAGGAGTTTAAATTACTGCTTGATACCCAAAATCTAAAAATAAAATCTTCGAAACAAGTTCCACAAAAGCAAAGAAAAAAAAATCATCAACACGTTACTATACACACATGATGCGAAACAACATTCATCATCATGGTTAAATTAATGAATATTTAAAGGATAATATTATCACTACTTCTTCTTCTTCTAAAATGAATTACTAGACTATATAAATTATACGAAGACATTGTCCTCCTATTCTTCATCATCTAAAAGGGACAACAATCACTTCCGTAAAGAAATTTAGTTGTTTGTTTATGGAAGGCTAATTGTGAAGTGAGTGGCATTGATTAATGGGCAAATTGTGGAGTTTCCATGATTGTTTTCCTATGTGTTTCTCCGAATTTTAATATATATATTTGCCTGTGTCCTGTGATGATTTTACTTTGCCTCCATTCATCATCAATATATACAACGCGAGAAGGAAGGACGTTATGAGAGTCAACAGTCAATCAATACTTTACAAAACCTTGGAAATTAACATTTTTAAAAATTATTGGTCAACCAAGTCATTATTTATGGAAGTGCTTTCTCAAAGAGGGGGTTAATTTTGTCTAAGACAAGGCTTAGGTTCTTCATAATTATAATTGTGGATTTGGTTTTTCAATAGCACACACAAGACGGGTGATTCGTCTGATTTGAAAAAAAAGCTGTCTGTACTTTATAATGATGGCCTCTCAATCTCATTCCTCGTGGCTGATTATTAGCTTGTTGCTAATTGCCCTGTTAACTTCATCAATAGTGTATGCACAACAACAAAAATTGGATCCTCTCTATAGGATTAGTACAATTGCAGGAGGTGGATTTGATGATAATGTGAATGCAGGACAAGTTTCAATCTCACCAACCAAAGTTAAAGTTGATCGTAAAACTGGAAACGTTTATGTTTCAGGTGAGTTTATCTTTCAATATTTAGAATATTTAAATTCCTTTGCATGTTTTACAATTCATGTGAATTCTCTATAACTGATTAAAATAATAACAGACAGAATTAATAGCAGAATTAGAAAAATTGATATCAATACAGGAAAAGCAACCACTATTGCTGGTAATGGTATCATTGGATATTCTGGAGATGGTCAATTGGCAACTCAAGCTAACATTAACAATCCTGGAAAAGTTGAACTCTCTTCCACTAACGATATTTACTTTGCTGTAAGTTTTTTCTAATTGTGAGATCTCTTAATTTCATCTATTTTCAACCTAGGATACTGAAAATCACAGAATTAGAAAAATCTTTGCTAACGGCACTATTATAACAATTGCTGGTTGTGGTAAATTTGGTTTTGACTTGAATGAAGTTTCTCCTGTTCCTGCCAGTGAAGCCAAAATTAACTTTCCAAAAGCTGTCAAACTTTCTCACGATGAAAAACAATTGTACATTACTGACACTGCTGCTCACATGATCAAATCATACTCATTCGAAACTGGATTAGTTTCTATTATTGCTGGTTCCCTCTATCGCGTACCAGTCAACAATGAAACAACAACAGTAGGTGTTGAATCTCCAATGGGTCTTTCAATCAATCCTGAAACAAAGGAACTTTACTTTGTTGACAGTATTGGTGTTAAAAAGATTAATCAAAATGGTACTGTTGAATTGGTTGTTGGTGGTAGCACTGACAAATTCAGTGGAGATGGTGGTTTGGCAATCTTGGCTGGTATCTCAGCAACTGATATTGAATTTGCTGAAACTACTACACTTTACATTGCTGACACCAATAATAATAGAATCAGAGTTGTTGGTACTAATGGTTTCATTAATACTATTGCTGGTAATGGTGTTATGGGAGGAAGTACTGCTGGCGTTCAAGGTGTTGATTCTCCTGTTATTGCTGGTGGTGTTTCATCTTTTGATGGTGAGGTCTACTTTGCTGATCTTTACACAGTTTCCAAGGTTGACGTTGGTGGATTTATTAGACGTGTTGCTGGTAATGGACAACCTAAATATTTGGGTAATAACAAGTTGGCCACTGAGAGTCAATTGTTCCAACCAAGAGGTGTTGCTGTTTCACCAAGTGGTGAAGTTTTTATCAGTGATATTGCTGAAGATACAGTTAGAAGAATTGGTAGTGATGGTATTATTACACCATTTGCTGGTGGTTCCTATGAAAATGTAGTCAATCAAGATAATGTTCTTGCTCTGAGTACTTACCTCAACAATCCTAAAGCTCTCGAATTCTCATCAGGTGAATTATTCATTTCTGACATGAACAGAATTAGAAAGATCAAGGACAATCTCATCTCTACAGTAACTGGTTCCAAAACATCAGATAGACCACATGGTATTGCTATCTTTAATGGAATGATTTATGTTGCTGATCCAAAAACTCACAGAGTCATTCGTATTTCACAAGATGGTTCTTCTACTGTTATTGCTGGAACTGGCGTTGCTGGTTATTCAGGAGATGGTCAATTGGCTACTCAAGCTCAATTGTTCAACGTTTCTGGTGTCTCTGTTTTACCAAACGGTGAGGTTGTCATTGCAGACACCAGTAACCATAGAATTAGAAAGATCAACATTGATGGTATCATTCAAACTATTTGTGGTACTGGCGTTGCAGGATATTCCGGGGAAAACATTTTGGCCACTAACTCTCAATTGAACTTGCCAATAGATGTTGAAGTTTCTCCAATCAGTAGTGAAATCTTCATTGTTGATACTAATAATCATAGAATTAGAAAAATCAATTCTGATGGTAAACTTGTAACAATTGCTGGTACTGGAGTTGCATCTTTGAATGGAGATGGACAAATTTCTACCTTTGCCTCAATCAACACTCCAACTACAATCTCAATCTCACCAACCACTGGTCAGATATTTATTGCTGATTATGAAAATAGAAGAGTTAGAAAGTTGGATCCATTCTTTATTGAATCATTCAATTACAATCTTACCTCTGGTGGAGAACTCAAAACTGAACCAGTTAAAAATTTGGAACAATTAGATGCCAAGGTTGTTGTCTTTGAAAAGACAGATACTATTACCGTAACCTTCCCTCCAAATTTTAATACTCAACTCAACAATTCCAATCAAAATACCCCAACTACCGATTTAACCCTAGTAAGTTCTGTCTACGAAGTAGATAAAGAAAAGGAGAATCCATCCCAAGTTGAGAAAGCAATCAGCAGTCCAATTGTTACTGTTTCCATTCTTCAATCAGATGGTTCTCCATTCAAAGTTAAAGAACTATCAACACCAATTGACATTTACTTTAAAGATGTACTTGTCTCAAATTATGACAGCAAGGAACCATTTAATTACACTTGCATGTATTTCAATACTGAATTCAACGAATGGAAGAATGATGGTGTTGAAACAGTTTTAGTCAAATCAAACGTTGACTCAAACACACTTGTCTTTACCATGACATGTAAAACTAGTCACTTGACATCCTTCTCAGTTATCGACCTCAATTTAATCAAGGAAAACAAACCAAGATCATCAGCTGGATTGAGCAATGAAGCCATCATTGCCATTGTAGTTTCCATTGTTGGTTCTGTCTTGGTCATTGGTGTCGTTTCTGCAATCATTATCACAACTTGTTGTGTTTTGAAATTGAAGAATAAGGGTGCTGCAACTAAAATCTAAATAAATTCTAATTGATAATAAATTGCCAGCTGGTACTCTCATTCTAATTAGAAGCTAATGTCCATTGTAAAAGAACTTTGACCTTTTCAAAGGCAATTCGAAAACAAAAAAATGTCAACAGTCGTTTTATTAATTCTTGTCATCATTGTTGGTGTGTTGACTCATCTCTCCACTCAACAAATTTCATCTTTGCCATTAGCCCAATCCATCAAACAAATGATTGATCATTCTCATCAACATTATCCTGAATCTGACCTTTCCGAATACATGAAGAAACTTTCCGAAACTAAACAACAACGTTCTGCTCTTGCCACTTCAGATATCGAATCTGGTTCTTGGTTATTAGGTGATATGACATTATTTAACGATCAATGTGATCAAACTATTCTTCCATTCACTCAAATGGTGTCAACTAGTAATGGCATTACAATTTCACATGTCATTGGCAGTTTTAAAATGACAATTAGCACCATAATTCCAAGACCTCTCAGTAATCTTTACAATGCAATTTTGTCATATGACGGCGACAGCATTCCAATCTGTTTTAATATTAAGGGAGGTCAACTAGCTTTCACTTCTGATTTTTTGTTGTGTTCCTCAGTTGACAATTTCACACCAACTTGTCAAGCTTCAAATGGAAATGTCTACAATATTGCAATTGTTTACAAATCACCAGGTACAATCTCTGGTGGAGTGACTGCTGGTTTGATTATTGGTGTTGTTTTGTTCTGTTTATTGATTTTGTGTTGTTGCATTTGTTGTATCGTTTGCATTACGAGAAGAAATTCGAGACAACCTAATTATGGAAGATTGAATTAAATGTTTTTGTAATGATTGCAGTATTAGTAAATATGACATAACAAGGTCAGGATCGTTCTACACAATCTTCTGTGTTGATTGTTGATTGATTACAACAATGTTCGAGTAGTAATTTTTTAAAAGATGAAAAATCAGAAAAAAAATGAAAAAACAACAAACCGCCATTTTTGTTCACAATTTTCACACCAACAAGTTGAAATTTCTATTGCTTGTCGTGGGTGTTGTGTTTCTTTTCACAATATTTTCACATAAGGTCAATTCGACAATTGTGAATCAGAAATTTATTTCAAATTGTAATAATACGCAAGATTGGAAGGGAAATTTCGTAAAGGTTGACAGTTTGGATTATCCGGATGTTGATGACTTGTCAATTAATAGTGTGGCAAGTTCTGTAGTTTGGAATATGTCCCTTTCTGGTACTTTCCAAATAGCAAGAAATAATCTAAACCTTTCTTCTTCAATTATGGATTTTTCCACTGCCACTTACATTCAATTTTATCTCAAAGTCAACTCTCCATGTTCCTGCAACACTATTTATCTATATATGGGAAGTGAGGACTCTGCACAAACAGGAGCTGATTACTACATGTATAATGTCGTGTTAGATTTCACAGGATGGAAGAAATTCACATTGAAAAGATCAGATTTCAGTACTGTAAGAACACCACTTGGTTGGGATAAGATTGACCAGTTGGTTTTTTACACAAATTGGGGAACTTCCAAGACAAATACTTCACTTGAGGTAAAAATGTCAGATTTCAGTATGTTTGATGTGGTTGGACCAGTAGTAGGTGATGTGGAATTTTTCAATGCTTTGAATTTTAGTATTCCACAACTTTCTTCTGTGAAACAAGCAGTTCAGGATAAGGATTATTCGAAAGCTAAGAGTGCTTTTTGTACCTATTTGAAATTTGAAAGAAATAACGTACCATGGAGTTTCAATCCTCGAAAGATTTCCTCAGCAGGAATTGCCAGTTCATATATTACAAAGGCAAAGGAAACTTTGTCTGGAAAAATCACCGTTGTAAGCATTCCATACACGTTTGCAGATCCTGAGAATATCAATTGGAATTACAATCCAACAGCTCAACCAGGATCTCCAGATCCATATGATGCTGAATGGACATGGCAATTGAATAGAATGTCATTTTGGACTGATTTGGGACGTGCCTTGTGGTATGCAAATGGAACTTCTCAAATGGAGCTAGCTCAGAATATTACTAACTTGTTTGCTGCTCAATTGAATTCATGGGTGATTAGTCAACCAAGACCAACGTTTGCCAATCAAGCTGGTTATAGCGCTTGGAGAACAATTGAAGCTGGTATTCGTTTGTCAACTTCATGGGCTGAAATTTATCATAGATTCTTGACAGTTTTACCATGCGATGATTTACATACACTTGTCAAGAGTATTTATGAACAAGCAATCTATTTGCATACTTACAGAACTACTGGAAATTGGTTGACTATGGAATGTAATGGTTTGTTTACGGCAGGTGCTGTTTTTCCCGAGTTTAAATTATCTTCCACTTGGAGATCTATCGCAATCTCAACCATGTACAATGAGTCAGTTGCTCAATTCCTTTCAGATGGTGCTCAATATGAATTATCAACTGGTTATCATCATGTTTCAATTGACAATATTATTGGATTATATTTGACAGCCAAAACTGTTGGTATTGTGAATGAATTTCCTGTAGATTATGTGAACAGACTTCAAAAGGCATTGGAATTTGACATTTCAATCATGACACCTTCACTCTACATGCCAGGTCCTTTGAACGATGGATGGGATTATCAGGTTTACAATTATATCACTACCTATGCTTCATATTTCCCAGATTCTGCTCTCATCAAATGGCTCATGAACAGAAATGTCAATCCAGCTCCATCATTCAACAGCACTCTCCTCAAAGATTGTGGGTTTATGGTCATGAGAAGCGGATGGTCTAGCTCAGATAACTATGCCTTGATGGATATTTCTCCACTTGGTTATGGACACGAACATCAGGACAAATTGAATGTAATTATTGACCCTTATGGAAGAAGAAGATTATTGTTTGATAATGGTGGTGGTGAATATGAGCAATCTATTTACAGAACCTTTGCAACATCAACAGAATCTCACAATACTGTCATGGTGGATGGTTTCTCCCAGAAACGTGTCAATAGAGTTGCAAATGATTTGACAGGATATGGAAAAAAGGAAACACCACTTCCAGTTTTTGAAACAACTCAATTGATTGACTATGCCAGAGGTGTCTATATTGATGCTTATAGAAATACTTCTTATTTTCCTGCCAATCACACAAGAGAATTCCTATTTGTCAAGCCAACTCACAATTTGGGTATTAATATGTATGTTGCTATTGATACATTGAAGTCTGCCGATGGAAATCCTCATCATTATCAAGCTCGTTGGCATTTGAGAACTACCAATGTCAAATTTGATTCAAAATTCAATTCTCTCGTCACCAACGATACAGGAGTTCCAAATTTGATGATTATTCCACTTTCTACCTCAACATTAGCTTATCATGCAATTGCTCAAACTACTCCATTTATTCTTGGATTTGATATTCAAAGAGGAGTCGACCCAACACCTGCCACTTCACTTGTTCATTATGTGGAAAATGTGAAAGATGCCTTAATGGTCACATTGTTAATTCCATTGAAAACTGGTGAAAATGTCAATATAACCCAAGTTGAAGAAATTGTAAAGGATTCATCTTATAAGATTACTTTACAAACTATTGGCGGATTAATTACAACTCAAATCAATTTGAGTTATTTACAAAGAAAGGATATTCAAGATAAGAGAAGAATTGAAATTACTCAATCCACTGCAACCTCTTCAATAATCTATCAAGCCATAGCTCCAACTCCAGTTTCATGTCCAACGAGTGGATACAGTGGTGTTGAGTGCGACATGTTCAATTGCTTTGGAATTTCAAGTACCAACTCCTCATCAGTTTGTTCAGGTAATGGAAACTGTACGAAACCAGATCAGTGCACTTGTTTGAATGGTTTCACAGGACTCAATTGTTCTTCAATTATACCAAAACCACAACCATCTCTGTATCCATCACCAAAGCCACAACCATCCTTGTATCCATCACCAAAACCACAACCTTCTGCTATGACTTCCACTGTGAAACCAGTGACATCTTCAACTAAACCAACTCCTGGACAATCTGTCAAGGTTCAAAATTCAAGTATTGTCGTACCAAAGAATAGTGATAGAGTTTCGTCTGCCAATTCTTCATTCGCAATTTCTTTATTTTGGTTGATAATCTTAATTGTTTTCATTATTCACTCTTCTCAATAAAGTTTTTTAACTGTTTATTCTATTCCTTGGTAGCATCAAGTCTTTAAAACTAAACTGTTTTCTCCTTATTGCTGTTTTCAATGAGAAGTGAGAAATTGCAAGTTCCAAGATTGAGAGAAAAATTAAAAATAAAAATTCAAAAAAAAAAGCGCGGAATTGAAAGGCCGACCTCACTGCTTTTCATCGGTTCGGATTTAGAGAAGAATTTATATAATATTCGTTATTTAAAATAGTAATATTAAATACCTTGAAATTAGTATTTACATACCGTAAATATATTATTGTATGTTTTCAATAGAGGTATTCACTTCTGATTCGGAATTGGTAGAGAAACGACTCAGAGAAAAACATTTAAATCATCAATTACTACCCTACTCTAAAAGAGCAAATCAACAAGTAGAATTGTTGAAGGAACATAAGAGCACAATATTGAATTGTATTTCTCATCATCAAATTAACATGCTAAGCACCAACAAGACAAATTCATCATCCTCTTCATCATCATCGGATAAGAAAAAGAAGAAGAATAAGAAGAAGGAAGCAGTGCAATCTTCTTCAGCATCAGCTTCTTCATCATCATCAACAACAACAACACAAACTCTAGATATTAATGCACTGAGTCAATCAACAAAGGAAGAATTAATAGAAAATTATTATGAACCGAAACACATTTTCTTCTCATCAGGTAATCCGAATGTTGAATTGATTACTGGTATTATTAAATTGTACAAACATGGAACACCAAGAAGTTTTACCAATGCAGTTAATGAAAATATTCAAGGAGATGACTTTAATACAGTGCCAAGATCAGCAGAGAAGAGACCAATGGCAAGCAATTTGCTTAATGTTGTGGATTCTGTAAATAATTCAGCAATTTCAGAAGAAGGCCCAAGTGAGGATGAACTCTTTGGATTAATGAGTGGAATGGAGCAAGATGAGCTACCAGAGGAGAGAAGTAGATTGGTATCCATCTTGGCAGTTCCTTCCTTCATCTCTATTGCGGACTTTTTTGAATTTATTGCTTGCTTTGAGTGTAATATTGAAAAGACGAGAATTTTAAGGGACGAATCACCAAACAAGTATATGGTATTATTGCAATTTGATGAACAAAGGAATGCAGATTCTTTCTTTGTGCAATATAATGGAAGACCTTTCAATTCTCTCGATCCTGAGCATTGCAAGATTGTATTTGTAAAGAGTGTTGAATTTACAAGTAGACCTGATATGATGGGCAGTCACTTGGATATCCAATCTTCCAAGGATATGTTCATTGTTGGAAGTTGCAATGATCCTCAACTTCATACTGGATCCAATGCTACTTCTCCAAATACCAACACTGAAACCCAATGTACAGAGCCAGAATGCAAAGATCATGGACATTCTGAAGATGAAAAGAGATATGAATTACCAACATGCCCAGTTTGTTTGGATAGATTAGATTCAGGTGCTAGTGGAATTATTACAACAGTTTGTAACCATCAATTCCACTGCAATTGTCTGACCAAGTGGGGAGATGGTAATTGTCCAGTGTGTAGATATACCGAACAAATAACAACAGAATTGAAATGTGGAGAGTGTGGATGTGAGTCTAATTTGTGGATTTGTTTAACTTGTGGTGTTGTTGGATGTGGAAGATATGAGAAGGGACACGCCATGGAACACTTTTTACAAACCAATCATACCTATGCCATGGAACATAATTCACAAAGAGTTTGGGATTATACAGGTGATGGTTATGTCCATCGTCTTGTTGCTGGTAATACAGAAGGAAAATTAATTGAAATTTCTCATCCAAATCAAAAAGAAGCAATGCGAGAAGCTACAGAGTTGCTGGAGGCTCAGTACAATTCCAAATTGGATTCATTCCTCAATGAGTATAACCAATTACTCTCTCAACAATTGACCAGTCAGAGAGTGTACTTTGAAAACAAACTTGCAGGTTTGGAGAAGGATAAGGATAAGCAAATAGAATCCCTCATCAATGAGTTACAAACCTATCGACAAAACACTCAAAAGATGACCAACAAGGTACAAAAGACTCAAAAGAAGGCAGAAAAGGAAAAGGAAGAAACAGAATTTTTGAAAGAGCTCAACAAGACACTCATCAACAATCAAAAGCAATATGAAATCAAGATTGAAAAATCAGAGGAGAATTACAAGAAATTGCTGGAAAAGAAGGATGCTAAAATTCGTGATTTGGAAGAGCAAGTTCAAGACATGATGTCACACTTCTCAACTCAAGATCAAATTGAAAAGAATCCAGAAATGAAGAATGCCACCATTAGAGCCATTGGAGGTCAATCATCAAGTGGTTCTTCTTCTGATAAACCAAAGAAAAAGAAAAAGTAATAAGAGATGTGATTTCTATTTTTTATTGGATTTTTACTTTTTTGGTGTGAAATACTTGTTGAGCTTGGCAGCAGTTCCATACCTATTGGTATCCATCTGGGAAATATACTTATCTGCGCCACATTCATTAAGTTTTGCAAGAACTCCAGCCAACTGTTCTGGTTCCTTATCTTCATCATAATATTGAACAATTCTCAATAGAGTTTGTAAACCAAGTGTAACAACATTGGTATCATTACAATTCATAACCATCTTGGCAACAGGTACTAGAATTTGATATTTTTCAGTGAATAATTCTAAATGTTGTTCAGTTCCATTAGAAGTTGAATTGGAAAATATCCAAACAGCTTCCTTCTTCATATCAATATGGGTATCTCTATTGTGAAATAGATTGGCAACTAGCTCTAAAACTCCACACTCAACTGCGCATTCCACTTGTTTTTCAGTACATGCAGCAATATTGCTGACAAGAATCATGGCATCTACCTTGATGGTTCTTGATTTGTTGGATTTCAAAATATCATAACAAACATTAAGGGCATTAAGGGTAACCAATTCTTGAGTTTCTTCATCAGTTCCTGCAGAAATATTGACAGCTGCCACAAGTGCTTGACCAATGACATTATCATCAACATGTTTCAACAAGTCCACAATCTTTGGCAATCTGCCAGTCTTTAAGAATACGTCAATCATTTCCTTTGGAAGCATCAATCTTCCTAGAGCTCTACAAACATTCTTCAAAATATCCGAATCCTCAAACGAAAGAAACTTGTCCAATAATTCAATTTCCTTCCTCATGTGACGTTCCTTAGGAAAAACAGTTCCAAAACACAATTTGGAAAAGCACCAAGCGGCTAAAAAGTACCATTGGTCTAAATTCCAATAAATTACTTACCCATTCGTAAAAGAGATGTTGTATCTTCATTTAAATCTGTTGTTCCACTAAATCCTGTAATTAACGTTACAATTTCATTTAAAACATTAGAATCCAACAAGTCATCTCTGAAATTGTGATGATGTTTGGCCAAATTTCCACAAATCCACAATGCTTCATATCTAATAGAGTCACACATTGAGTTAATTAAGAGAATGAGCTTTGTAATGGTCAACTTGGTGACAAGAGTTTCAACTTGATCCATTCTTCCACATGAAAGCTTTTTCACAACCTGTGTAGCAACTAATTGGAGAGACAAAATATCCTTCATACTCAAATTTGACATACTCTTACAATTATTACAAGATTCTTGCTTGAGTGAAAAGTATTTTCCATAAATGGAAGTATCCAGATAAGAAATCAAAGTTTGAACACAGTCAGACTCCAAAACAGAGTCAATACTATCTTCAAAATCTAAATCATCAGAATCTAACAAGTCTTTCAACTTGACAAGATTGTATTTTACAATGTTAAATACTTCATGTTGAGTTTCCTTAATGGAATTATTAATGGTACAGTTTCTATTAAAATCATTACAATATTTACAAGAAAAATTACAAGAGAGATGGTGAGGGGAAGTGGTGGTGGTGGTAGAATTGGTTGGTGTTGCATCGATTGGAGGTGCTTGCTTCTCGTCATGCATTTCGAATACAGTTTCGGTAATGTCATTTGAACTTTCTACCAGAATTGGAAGTTTCTCAACCAATTTTTCAGTGAACAGAATATCCAAATCGAGTTCTAAATGAAAATTATTCTTCTTATCTAGTCTTTGACTCTTCATTTGCTCGAGTGAGAGATCCTTTCTCTTTGCTGGGCCAATTCTACACGAATGTTTGTTTCCAGTCAATCTGGAGGAAAGTTTGACTTGGTTTAGGATAGATTCTCTTCTGTTCATCTTTTTCTTTTTCAAAAAGAGAGCATGCTTTTGAGGAGAAAGTTTGATAGTTGGACGAAAGTTCTCGTGCTTTATCATACATGGCTCAGATTCGTCCATGATTTTCTGAATACTATTTACAATATTTACACTATCTTTACAAGATTCCTTATCTATTGGAAGGATGTTATTAGATTTCGGTTGAGATTCGCCAAGTTTAAAACCTTGAACTGCAACCACAGGAAGAGAATTGCAATTCGAAAGACCAACATTGGAAACAATCATTTGAGAATGATTCACAAAACTCTCACTCATCAAATTGGATTCATTTCCATCAATAAATGATGCATTCATCACTCTATTGTTGCTACTATTAACATTTCCATTCGTGGAAAGTGAGAGTTTGAGATTTTCAACCGAATAATTAAAATTGGCACCACCATTGCTGGAATTACTTGTTGAGGAGAGGGAATAATCCAGAGATGAAGATTGATTTGAATTTTCTTCATCGGTTAAGGAAGTAAAGTGTTCGGAAACACATGTTGAGGAATCAACCGACAAATTTGAAACAATTTGTTTATCAAACGTCTCTTCTGGTTGTATCAATCTATTCGGATCCATGTCTAGTTGGTTTTCTGAAAACGTTGTCGTCAGTGATGAAGAATTGCTCTTGCTTGAAATCAACGATAATGATGATTCAGTTTTTGCTGCTAAGGAATTTATTTGGTTTTTTTTGTAAAATCTAAAAAAAGAAGATCGTTGATTGGTTTTTTTAACTGTAATGTGTGAGGGTGGTTGTTTGTTGAACGAGCTTCTTTCGTTTTTTGATTAGTTTTTTTGTAAGACTTTACAATTTGAACGGAATGACAGCTGAAAATTGGGAGCGATTAAGATTTTACATTAAAGGAAATTGACCAAAGAATGAAAATGAAAGGTTTGATGAAAGAATCGTGTTGAATGTTTAAATAGAGGATAGAGATTGAAAGGTCTGTTATCGAGCCATTCTTTTACGTTCAAATGACTCTTTTGTCTTATTTCTAATCAGTTTGGCATATAGGCGTGACACCAAAATGAAAATAATTGCATTGGTAAGGTTAAAGTCAAAAGATAAAAGGCATGGGTGGAGTTGCGCCACCAACACTTCAGAAATCTGAGCTGATCGTGATGTTAGAATTACACTACATGCCTCAGCATACTAAAGAAAATCACAACCTGTTTACATTAATATTATATTAACACAACATCATATTGTGGTTCTTGATCTATTTTTTAACAATTAAAACATTGAAAGCTCAATTTAACTCTGGCAATAATTTATTTAATTAGTTTGTTGAGAAAGGAGGTTATTAGGCATTATAAGGGACTGTCTCATGTTCTTCACAAACTTTTGAATAACATGTTCATTGTTGTTTACAAAGGGATGGGTTTGCAATTCTCTTGCGGTAGGTCTCTTCTTCCAATCCTTGGTCCAACACTTATCAATAAAATCTAAACAGACTGGACTCAAATTGTTTGGAGTTGGCATTGGTGGTTTGTCGTCTTTGACCATGTGATACATGGCAGCAACTTGATTGAATTCATCGTATGGTCTCTTTCCAAATAGTAATTCGAAAACAACACAGCCCAGAGACCAGATATCTGCAGTGAAACTATACGGTTTGACCATGATAACTTCAGGAGCAGAATAGTGAGGTGTACCAACACAACTAGTTCTAATAGCTTCAATATTCAATAATTGGGCACTGACACCAAAATCTGTAATCTTTACAACACCCTTACCACTAATCAAAATATTGGCTGGTTTCAAGTCTCTGTGAATAATTCTCTTTGAGTGTAAGTATTCAAGACCCATAAGTACCTGAGAAACAACAACACTGACCGTCCTTTCATCCATTGGGCCAGAAGTTTTGATAAAATGTTCAAGTGTTCCTCCGTCGACATACTCGAGCACAATGCTGTACTCTTTAAGTTTGGAGCTATATTTACAACCTAGATATTGTACAAGATATGGGTGATATAATTGTTTGAGAATGTCCACTTCTAACTTGATGAACTTTTTGGAGAATCTTCCTGCCTTGACACTCAACTTTTTGATAGCAACTGGATCCTTAGTATTTGTAATATAATTTGGAATGAATCCCTTGTAAACTTTACCGTGAGCTCCTATACCTAAGAGTTCATCCAATTCAATGATAACCTTAGCGCCGTCATTTGGTTGGAGTGATAGTTGTTGATCTGTCGTGATAGTCATACTTGGATCCTCTTCAATGACATCTGATTCTTCTCTGTTTTCTCTTACCCTTGGTGATTGAATTCTATCGTGGTCCTTGTTCTTGTGCTTCTTTTTCTTCTTCTTTTTAGTCTTGTCACTATATTCTACTTCAGAATTAAGGTGTTGCAATAATTGGTTGAATTGGAACTTTTGTTTGTCTGTATTGGTTGGTGTCTCTTCCTCCATAAAGGTAAGTTGCTCTGCAATAACCTCCTCTGAAGGATTCTTTTCTTCATCTTCATTCATTAAGACCATATCTTCTTCTTCTTCAACTACAGGCATATCGACACTATTTCTTCTTTGACGTTGTTTCATCATACCTGCTTCCTTCTTCCAATCAATAGTTCCATTCTGGTCAATACTGTCAGTCATGAATGTATTTTGTTCCTCAATAGAGTTAATCATAGCCATGTCGTCGTCATCATCCATGTAATTCTTTTGGCCATGATGAAAAAGATCCATATCCTCTTTGAGAGCCATCTCCCTTGATCTTCTTATCATGTCCGTTGGGGAAGCTGGTGGTTTAGGAGTATCAAAATCGAGTCTTGGTAATTCCAATGCTGGTTTTGATTGAGGAGCATCGTCCATTTCCTTTCCTTCTTTTCCATTGTATCTGGAAAGATTTCTTTGAGACATGGCTCTTGATTCTCGCAAACTAACCTTTACAATAAATTCATCTTCACTCGGATTAAGAAGGTTTTGAGATGACTGAGAAGATTGGATTGGTGGTAGGGTTGTTTGGTTGGATGTGTTGGTACCACTAGTGGTTGTTGCAGTAGCAGTAGTATCAGTAGTAGTGTTGGTGTGTTGAGGGGTGGTTGTATTGGGAGAAAGTAGATTAGGCCTTGCTTTGTGCTTTGGAAACTGGTTTTCTTGAGGCTGCAACGATGGCTTTCAGTAGTTTTCTTGGATCTACTTGATTTAACATCTTTTCCTCAGTTTCTTCATTTTCATTCATGGTTGAAGTGAGGAAGAATCCATCATCTTCAGTTTGCAAGTCATTCAAAATAATGATTTCAAAATCGCCCTCATCGTCTGATTCATCATCTTCTGATTGAGCTTCCTCCTTTTCCTCATATGAGACATCTTCCACATCAAATACCTCATCGGCATCTGCAATATCAATGCTCTCACTTTTTCCTTCGAGAGATGAAAGAATAGACGTCGTTCTTGACATGCTAGGTGTTCCGAAGGGTGACCATCTGCTCTTCCATCGAATAATTTCTGCTGTGAGCTTTTCCTTTTGTAATTGTTTATCTTCTTCAGTCTTTATCTTTTCTGATTTACTGAGTACCATATTTTCCAAAATACTCATAGCAGCTGACTGTGGATCCACTTGTTCAATAGCCTTAGCCACTTTGGTAGAAATTTCTGGGTTGAGTCTCTGCTTAAATCTTCTGTATTCATCGTCGAATCTTCGGATTTCAACAACTTCATCCTCCTTGCTCATTTCATCAAAACCTTGTTCTTCAACTAGGCTGCTTCTCCTCAAAGCAACATATGAATCCCTTTCAGTTTTATATTCCTTCCATCCAGCAAGACCTGCAGTCATAATCTTTCGGTAATAATTCAACCTTCTCATTCTCTTTTCCATCTTTTCAATTTCCACATTATTGATATCATCCATTGCTAGTGAATCATTTTGGAAATTGTAAACATTTTTAAAGCTGTTTTTTCTTCCTTGTTCATTCCTCCTCAGCATTGAAACTCTACTAGTTAAAACTTTCAATTCAGAAATAACTTCCTTATATGACATGTCCATATCATTATGTTGTTGATACTTAATCTTCTTATTTTGTGAATCAAGTCCATTAGGGAAGATTTCTAACAACTTGAGTTGTCTCATTGTCTCTCGAGTTGCCTCTGGAGACTCTTGTTCTTCTGGTATATCCTTGGGTGTATCCTCATCCTCTTGAACCTTGAGCACCGGTGTTGGTATTCTATCCTTATTGTTATTTTGTGGAGGTGGTGTTAACTCTGTATAGTCATTAATTCTCGAAATGTCTCTATCAGTAAATTTGAGTGGTTTTTTCCTATTCTCAATTACAGGGGTAAAGGAAAGCTCAGGTGAATTTGGTGTTATTGGAGTAACAGGTGATTCCTCAATTAGGTGCTGATTGCTATTACGGTGATGAGCAATGTTCTTTGTTAGAATTTGTAAGTCATCCTCTTCATCCTTTTCATTAGTTAGAGTAGTAGCTTGAAGATCGTTCAAAAATCCACCATTCTCAAGTTTAAGTTCTCTTGTCTTTGGTACGATTGGAACTTTTAGTGGTTTTTTGTCGTTGACACCTTTGCCTCTTTGAACTTTTTTAATTTTAAAGTAGGAAAGTGATGATGATTCTGGTGTGGAAGGAGTAATAACAGGGGATGAGTCGGATTTAAGACTAGATGATCTCGTAGTTGTTTGCTGGGTGGTGATTTGGGAAGGTATTTCGTGGAGAGCTGCTGTAGAAGAAGCATGATTTGTCGTTGGGTGGTGATTATTTGTCGTTGTTGATTCAGTGAAGGTACTCTTCTTAACTGAGGTTGGTCTTACGTGAGGTAACTTTTCCTCATTAAGGTGGCTATTATTATTAGTATTATTGATTGTCTGAGAAGTATTAATATTATTAGTAGAGGTTTGGAATGTTGTAGTTGAAGGTTGGTTATGGTGTGCGGGCGAAATTGTTGATGTGGAAGCCACGTGAGTGTTAGAAATACCTAATTTAGCAGATGGAGGTCTGCTAGCACCAAAACTTGATCTCAAGTTTCTTGTTGTTGTTATAGATTCTCTGTCAGCATTTGTGGGAGACATGATGTTGGGTTCAACTATTGAAGATACCTGTTGAGCAAGGTTTGGAAGTCCAACGAGCTCATTTATCACTTTTCTTCCCTTTGTAGAAGTTGCAGATGATGGTCTAGAATTGTTTCTTGATTGAATATCAGCATCTGAGAATAAACTATGAGTTTTGTTAACTGGGGGTGTAAGTGAGGTAAATTTGTTGAGGGATGTTACAGAGTTTTTGTTAGTAGTTGGAGGTATTGGAAGGGAACTATTAGGGCGACTTGATCCTCCTTCTATTCCACTAACAACTAGTGCATGTTTCTTGTGTGTAGGTGAAATACCACTAGAATTATTTAAAGTTGATGTTGCTCCCAATTCAACTGAGCCCATTTCCAAAGGACTTCTTATTGAGGGTGATTTTGGGTTGTTGATTCGAAGGGGATTCTTACGAACGGCAGTCATTTGATGATTTTGCCTATGACCCTTCTTGATGAGTGTTTGTTCTCCCAGCATCTTTTAAATTATTATTCTAAAATTTAGAGAGAAGTTGATGACTCGGTATTCCAAAAAGTTATTCGTGTTGTTGTTGTTTTGTTGTTGTTGCTGTTACTCTAATGTTTCATAAGGTTTGATGATTGAACAACTATTATTAAGAGAGTGATGATGTTTTTGTATTCTTTAAACAATAACAGGGCGAATATTGTATTAGTAGAGCAGAAGCAGCCACAGCACAATTTTCAAATGATTTCTATTCTTCTTATTGTTGTTGTTTATCTCGCTCAATGAAAGCAAAGAAAACCGTAGTAGAAAAACCCGGGAAAAGCGAGGTATTTTTTTTGATACTTGTTCGCTCCATTTGTTCTTCGTTGCTTGTTTGCTTGGACTGTGTTTGTTGTTGGTCAAAGGGAAAGTACAATTTTCGATAAAGTGATGATTTCGCTTTGAGATGTGTGTGGATTGAAATCAATTCACAGAAGGTGATGCCTTTTGAAATCTCGGCACTGAGTGCACAATCCAAATGCTCTGAACCTTGGTTTTCAAAAGGACAGAGGGTGATGTTGTTATATACCTGGATTTAAATTCCGTAACTTTGAACCAGTTTTGTCTCGTCAATATATTCTGCTATTCACTAACTTGGTCAATCATGATGACACAATCCTTTCGTCATCATCTTTGCCGTTACAAATATAAATTAATAATTTTGATTTTTTTTATCTTTAAAAAATTTAAACGAAGGCTTTGTGGGTCGTTTTTTCAATTTCCCTTCCATCATCAGACAACAAGAACGAGAATCAAATCCTTTCGGAAAAACAAATAGCACCCAATCCACATCCATAATAACCATGAGATCCCAACAACAAAAGCAGCAACACAATGATTCCGGACTCTTTTCCTCCTTGAAGAGTATGGCCAATGATTTGATTGGTAATTCTCCTTCTCATCACCAACAACACCAACAACATTCCTCTCAACAATCTGTTAAACGTTCGACCAATGTTTCCTCAACTCCAACTACTTCCACTCCACAAATTAATACAAATACCACCTCTAAAACACAAACTCTCTTCCCAAGTTATCAAACTCTTCAAACAGCACTTCCACAAGAAATTGAACGTGTTCGTTCTGTTCTTCAAAATTCTAATGCCACTCTCTCGCAATTAGAGCAGGGAGATCGTGCTCTTGATGATTTGGTTGTCTTGTTGGCCTCTCAATTGGTTCAACTCACTGAATTGAAGAGAGAAAACAGTCAGAAACTCATCCACAAACTCAAGCAACAAACAGGTAATAACAATTCTAACGTATCAATTAACTCACCAGTGAGTGCCAAATCACCAGTTTCATCCACATCGACCACTAATACTCCACAAGTTGTGAAAACCAACAGCTCAACTCCAACAACAGAAACTTCTGCTGCCAACAAGGGATTTGGAGCTCTTGCTAACAGATCCACTTCTGCTAAACCAAGTACTCCATCATCAAATGCTCCTGTGAAAACAACCAACGTTCCACCAAAAGCAACTAATCCACTCGAATCCATGTTGGATTGGCAAGAAAATGAAGTGGTTGTGGAGCCACCAAAACCTCAAGTCAAGGAACAAGAACTTTTCTCTATGGATTCATTCGATGACTCTTTTACACACTCTGCAAATAATACCAGCACTGTACCACCACCAGCAACTACTACTGTCACAATGGATGATGATATCTTGGGATTTGACAATGGTGCCACCACAACTGCTCCAGCAGTCAATTCTACTCAAAGTGCCGATGATATTTTAGGATTTGAAACTTCAGACAAACCAAAAGAAGGAGCATTCTTGGATGAATTATTAGGAACTGAAAAGAATGGAAATCAGGGTGTCATGATTGATTTCTCTGATGAAGGACAAAAGATTTATCAATCCAATCAAATCTTGTCAATGTTTGATAAGCCAGCCGAATCTACAACAGCCTCAATTTTGGATGCTGATGACATTCCAGTGGCTACCACAACAACTGTCAACTCTGTTGATGAATTTGATTTTTAAATGATTGAATAAAGGTTTTATTTTGAATCACATTGAGGAAATTTTTTCACCACAAAGTTTGAGCTTAAATTATGTGGAATTATATTATAGTTAATGTATTTGTACAATCATGTTTGAAATTATTATTCGAGACCGAAAAGTTTGTTTCCGAGTGGAGTTGGATTCATTCTATAACGTTCTAATGCCTTTCTGATAATCTTTCGTCTTATTTCCAATGAACTGTTACCTTGTTTAGTGGTTGGCTTGTAACTTGGGAACATTTTCAAGAATTGACACAATCTATATCTATCACTTTCATTTGGAGCTGATCCATGAGGCATACAAATGTCCCAAATCAACATGTCGCCTGCCTTGAGTGGAATTCTGACTGCCTTATTAAATAATTCCTTTTCTTGTCTTGAAAGTACCACAAATGATGAGTCTACATACTTATTGGCAAGTGTATTTCTTGTCAATTGAGTCCATTCCTTAAAAATCTTATTAAACTTTGGCACAATAATAAAACCTCCGTCCTGAGCTCTATTATCCACAAAATTAATCAAACCCTGAACTTTGACAATACCATCCTTATAATTTCCTCCTTCATTGAATTCTCCACAAAATTCTGGTAAGAAATAATACTCCCTTGGGAAGGATTCCTCAATTGGATTCTTGTTGTAAACATAATTCCAAGGATTTCTATCCAAATGAATATTTCTTCTAGATTTCCATTCTTCATTTTCAACAGTAGGTCTAAAGAATCCATATCTATCCATCGAAACCCACAAATCCTCATTTCCAATTATTTCTTTAAATGCATGATAGACATTCTCATTTTCTCTATTTTCCATTGCTTGTTTTGTAAACACTGGAGGTGAGCCAAGAATTCCTTCTTCTTTCATGGCTGGCCAATTCTTATTGGTCCAAGTTGACTTATCGAGATGAGAGACATTGCTCTTTGGAAGATCCAATGGATCTTTCATGAAATCTTTCGTATAACTTGCATTGTAATGACCAGATTCCAAATATGTAAAAATATCAGAAATGGAATTGTTGATTTGCTCTTGATTGAGAATTGAATTGAATACAACAAATCCCCATTCATTGAAAAATTCCTTGGCTTGTTCCATTTCCGTATGAGGATTAAAAGATTGTGCAAAGGAAGCAGTACTTTCGAATAAATCTTCGGAAGATGATTTTGCCGTCTTGTTAGGATCATGATCAGGTAGAGTGATCAACGGAATGGAATTTGGAATTTGAGTGTAAAGATCTGTTAGGTTTAGAGACATTTTTTAAAAGTTTATTTTTAAAATGAAAATTTTGAGTTTTTGTTCATTTTGAAATTGACAATTTTACAAAATTTGTAAACTTTTTATAATTACAATAGAATTTAATAAGGATTTTAATAATTTAATAAATAAAAAATGTCATCATTGAGTGGAGGGACTAAACTGACCACATTTTAAAAAATATTTCGAATATTATTGTACGAAAGGATTCGTCAAATTCAACAACCAACTACAATACGATTTTGTAGCATCTTCATCATCAAGTATCAAACTACATTCTCCTCTTCCTTCTCCACTTATTGGTCTAACAATTGTTTCCACATCAACTTTCAAACTTTCCACACAACAACTTTCATCAACAACTTGGACGCGACTTATTTCCAATGGTTGTAACTGTTGATTCAGAACTGGATAGGTAATATCCAACGTATGACTGTCAACAACATGTGCCACTTGTCTTTTTCTTAATTTTCTTGGTGGTTTCGGAGGATTCATCATTTCGTCTAAAATTTGTGGAAACTTGGATGATTTCGTCAGACCAATAGATTTTGCAATTCTTGTAATCTCATTGGAAGAAACTGCCCTAAACGGTCTCATACTAGTAATAACCAAAGCAAGAATTGGATATCTGGCCAAGTTTCGTCCAAATCTAATGGAAGTTTCGTTTCGTTCTTCCTCTGAAGCAACTTTGACAGCATAAATCATTCGAATGAGATTCTTCTTGGTGGCATTGGTTCGAAACATGGTCATGAGAGGTTCGGAATTCTTATTCAAAATCATGTTGGCTACTTCATTTCTAATAGTGTGGAAATCAAAGAAGAGTTTCGAATAGATTTCGTCTTCCGAGAGTGTGATTAATTGTTTAGCCTTTTGCAAATATTCTTCGATGGAAGATTCCTTGAGAGTTTTACGTGGTGGAATTTCAATAATGGTATAATTTGTTTCTTTCTGAATTATTAGAAACTTGTAGAAATAGTCATTATTCGAAACTTACTCTTTTCCTTTTACCACTATTTGGATTTTCATTCTTCTTTGGAGAGGTTGTTGTTATGACGTTCCAGCCTCCTTTCCTCTTACTTGAAATGACATCTTTGGCATTGGACGAAACTTGTGAAACTACAGACGAAACCTGTGGCTGATAAATTGGCACATTCTCTTCTTTGCAAGTAGATTCTCGTAAACAAAACAATGATTCAATAGCCTCCACATCACAACTCGAAACACTCGAACTGCTGAGTAGATAAACTTCTTCGAATGGAAGAATGAAGTGATGAGATGGAAAGGATGTGGAATAGGTAGTTGTTGTTGGTGAGGGAATGAAAGCCTTGTTATTGAAGGTTGTGGTTAGTTGGATAGTATTGGGTTGCATTTGTTTAGTTTGTTTTTTTTAACTTGTTTCGAATAGTGTTGTAGAGCTGAACGCGTTTTATAGTTTGAAAGAAAGGCTTTGAATTATTGGAGGCTAGCCTGTGAAATGAAAGGCTTTGTTTATTGGAGGCTGGTTGTTGAACTTTTGTGCTTTAATATTTCCTAATTTGGATGGCTGTGTTAATACAACAACAGGTGGAGGAGGAATAGATTTAAACTTTATTCAATCTTTCTTCCGAGTCAACCAATTCCAAACTATTAATGTTTGGCAACTCGAGTGAGGAAACTGATTCTGAATCTGTATTGTGAAGTTCCTCTTGTTTCTTGATATGAGTTTCCTTATATCTGGCAACAATAACAATAATGACTCCCATAATAATAAAGATACCACCCAAGACGACGAATGGACTTGTCTTTTCTCCTAAGAATGTCAAGCCAGTGATTAATCCAACCATTGGTGACATTGTGGAATAGAGACCTACAATGGTTGGTGTACTCATTGAGGAAGCTTTTGTTTGGAAAATGAATTGTACAGCACCGAATGGTAAACCAGCATAAATTAATCCAACTGCAGACATTAAATCAACCTTACTAAAGTTGATTGGTAAGAAGAAACATCCAACAAATAAGAGTACACCGTATCCATAGAAGAAGGACCAAAATGTGACAGTAATAGGAGGAACATTATTGTTCAGGAGTTTCTTTTGGGTGAGCAAGTACAATGAATTGACCAGTGTACTCAATAATAAGAATAAAAGTCCCAAAACAAATCCTATTCCAATAGAGCCAGAATCACTTGATTGAATTTGACCTGGATGATAAATATTCCAGTGATAGTGAGTTGGATCCTCAATTGTTGAAGTGTCTGGAATAAGGGTTGTGAAAGATTTTTCTTTCAGCAAGGCTGTTAAAATAATCATGGCAATAGCACCCATAACTGAGGTAATGACACCAACCAATTTCAATATCGACTTTGGTTCTCTACCCAACAACATGGAAAGTATACAAGTAATAACACTTGTGCAAGGTGAAAGTGAGCTACTCACGGTAGCATTGGTTAAATAATATCCTGTCAGGAAAGTGATTTGATTCAAAATAATGAAAATTCCACACCATGTTAAAGTTTTGGTTTGTTTCCACTTTGGAATTTTCCTCAATGCATAATCCACAATTGGGTTGGCATAAAATAAATAATAATTAGCTTGGTAATAATAGTAAAGTAGGGAATCTCTTTTTGAGGAAACAAGAATAGAATATTCTTCCTTTCTTCTTCTCAATTTTTTCTCGTTTCTAAATGAATAACTTCTATCAAAATAGAGCATTACTGGAAACATGCAAATGATCATAATTCCAACTCTGAAAACTCCAAAAATGATAGGTCTGAAAATCTTCATGGCATGTGGTGATAACAAGTAGAAACCACCAAATAAAACCAAATTACTAATGAGTAAAATGTGTGGTAAGAGTGCTTTGTAAATACTTTTGATATTGATCCAAATTGATTTTGGTGAGGATGAATAGTGATGAACAGTACTAACTGATTCACCATCGGTGTGATGTCCTTCATCAGAGTAAGGCTGATCCATACTCGTCTTACTTCCAAAACCAAGAAGATTGACAGTGTCTGAATGCTGTCCTACCAAACTGGTCATATCCAAAGATTCTCTATTTGATGAATCCACTACTAGAGTATCATGAGAGATGGCTGAGTGCTCCTTTCTCAATTCCGAGAGTGAAACTGAACTCTTCATTGAAAGTTTTCCAGGAATCTGTTTTTGTTTTGGATGAAATGATGGTATTCTATTCAATGAAGCTCCATTTTCCACAGTGAAATCCTCTTCCTCCTGTTCAGCCATAGCCAATTCGTTGGAACACCACGATTTAGTACCATGCAGATGTTTAGTTTTGCTGTTAATATTATCCATTTCTATTTCTTCATCTTCCATACTTCCAAAACTAGGTTCACTAGCAGTAACTGGTAAAACACCAACTTGTTGTTGTGAATGGTGTGTTTGCTTTTGTATCGGAAGAGTATGTTTGTTGTATTCTTGATGATTCTTCTTTTTACTATTCTTCCTTCTCCTCTTTTTAGGATTACTTTCATAGTGATGATGAATTGCAAAAGGCATGTTGTTATTATTGTTATTATATTAATTAATTTGTTATTAGGCTTATTTCAGAGTCCGCGCTAGTTTCTTGCTTCAGCAGTTTTCAGTTTTTGTGTTTTTTTCTCTTCAACAATGCAGATTCTTTTATCGCGATTTTTTTCTTTCAATTTTGAAGCTGATTACAAATTAAGCTTTATGTATTATTGGCACCAGAATTGGAAAAGTAGCTGTTGTGTATGGTTCGGTTTTGGAAATATTATGAAGTAATGAAATTGAGTATTAATGAGTAACATGTTACTCAAACACCTCTAATGTTGAAAAAAGTGCAAGGGTTGGCAGTACTGGTTAATTCATATTTTATTTTTTAAAGTATTTCACAACGTTTAAAGAATGGTTTTTTCGGTGTTGATTCCTTTTGAGGTGGATGGTAAACAAGACTGTTTGGTTGAGAGCCAATGTGGCTCTTTTCTTCCACAGAAACAGATTCAAGCTCCCTTTCTTCACTTTTGAAGGTCATTACTACAGAGGAGCCAGAGCAATTATCAAGACACCACTGAATGGTTGTCAGATCGCCACCTCCACAGGAAAGTATCTTATTGTTAACAGAGAATTTGACAGCAGTTACATGGCTACAATGTCCAATATAAGAGACATCTTTGGCTCCAATTGTCGAGCATGGATAATTGTAAAGACTGACTTGGCAGTTGTCAGTTCCAACCACAACAAGTTTTTTAGACAAGTCAACATCAACACTGTTAATATCTGATCCATCCATATCTGATTTCCATATTCCTCGAACATTATAACCAAGGGTACAATTATTGGTTTGCCATTGAATGTCCTCAATGTTTGGATTCATTGATTGAGCCATTGAAGGAATATCCCACAACAAAATCTCATAATCTCCACTGTTACTCCTTATGTATTGATTATCTTTGGAAATATCAATATGCTTAACAAATGATGAATGGCCTTTCAGCTTTCCTATCAAATTATATCCCTTCTTGACATCATATACATAGACGTAATTATCATGACTTCCAGCCACCAGCAATGAACCATCATGTGAATACTGCAAAGCAGCAATCTCTTCAATAGAATCCTTTCTGTTAACTATTGGATCCTCGAATATCTTATTCTTTGAAAATCTGAGGACAAACAGGGATCCCTCCTTTGTTGTGGTTGCAATGTGGAAATGATCTGGAGAAACTGCCACAGCTCTCAATTCCAAACTTGTCACTCTCACCTGTGAAATGTGCTTTCTTGTTTCAGTATCCCACACAATGACTCTGCCATCATCAGATGCAGTTGCGAAAAGAGAGCTGTTCTTGAATGTGGCTAATCCCCATAATTCCTTCAAATGATTACCAAAATGAGATAAAGAAATGAGAGTATTAGTGGACTTGTTGAGAATTCGCTCTAAATCACCATTTGATTTCGAAACAAACACAATATCTCCTGATTCGTTTGAAGCAACATTTTTAACAGCTGATCCCACTTGTACAGAGGATGTTTCTGTAATTTGATTATTCTTTGAAAAACTCCAAAACTTGACAACACCGTCCTTTCCTCCCGAAACAAAACCATTTCTAAATCTTGACACCGAATATACAGCTCCAGTGTGAGCCTGCTCGTGAGCATGAACAATATTATTTCCAGTGAAAATGTAAATACTCCCATCCTCAACTCCCACCACAGCGTTTCCATTATCGTCCAAACAAATGCAATAAACATTTTGAATTGATCCTTTTGGTCTGAAAACACAATTTTTCGATTGCAAATTAGAGACTGCATAATATTTAAAAGTATTCTTTCCACACAAGTACAAATTATTGTCATCTTTTGAAAAACATAAAGCATATACTTCCTCATTAGTTCCTTTCACATTGGCAAGACATGTTCCCTTATTCCAATCATAAATTAAAATAATGTTCATTTTAGGACTACCACCAACACAGGCTAGTAAGGATCCTTCGGTTGAAAAGCAACAAGTTAACACACCTCCATTTTTGAATTGGGTGTTTGTTTTGAGTGCCTTAATTGGACCTGCCTCAGGTTGGTGACTGTCCCAAATGTAAATCATATCGTCCTTTCCCATTTGCCCCGAAGCAAAGTATCTACCATTTGGACTGTTGTTAATAATAGGGTGTCAATAATATAACAATTTGATATCAACAACATACTGTTTAGCCAAAGCAACAACATCATCATCATGCTTGCAGAATACCTTTTGAGTGTTATCCTCAACATTAAGCACTACCCCACAACCAGCAGCAGGATAGACTAAATGCTGTTCATCATCAACATGAAACACGTTTCCATAACAACCCTTCTTTGAGCATCCATGAATATATTCAATCTTTAGCTTGGATAATGGCTTCTCAGGATTTGATTCCATCAATCCCGATGAGTTTGGAGGTGGATGAGTTGTTTTCAAGAACCTTGGATATTTATCGATTTGTTTTGAAGACATTTTTTTCAGTTTGGTTGTTTTTATCTCTGCTCAAATATTTGTACTTTAAGTTCATCTAATTTTGGCGGGAGAGCCTTATAGGTGATGTATAATTAATCTCTTTCTGATGGCATAATTATACTCAGAAAATTTGTCATCTCCATTATATTTAATAGCATCACCAGCAATACATCATCAACACTACTTTAACAAAAAGGAATTTAAGAACGCGTACAGTCAACAATTTCTCTTAATGAGTTCAGAAGTACCAAAAGAGTGTTCAACTTCTCGGAAGGAACTTTAAAAAAATTGCCTCTGCTTAAAAAAAAAGGTTCACTATTGTATTTTGCAAAATCATCAAAAAATTATTCGTAGATATTAGAAAAGATGGGTTCAGCCTGTTCAACACAAAAGCAATTGAAGAATGTTGAAGAACCTCAAAGGTTTTCCACTGAAAAACCAAAGAAGGTGCTGAGATCGAGTGTTTCAAAGAACGATCAAAAGCAACATACCGAGGCAAAGAAGGAGGAGGTAAAACAAGCTTCGTCATCATCGCTATCAGCAGATAAATCCTCTCATCATATTCAAACAAAACAAGAACAAGATCCTGTAAATACATCAACTGAGGAAAAAAAATCCTCAATAGCAGAAAAGAAAGTATCGAGAGCTCTTTCAAAGTATGAAAAACGAGATGAGCAATTGTTGTCAACTTGGGGAAAGTGGCTCAGTTCTGATGAGACCAACAAGTATGTGGCCAATGATGATGTTTACTATTTCGAGATGAATAACTGTTTTCCTGATTGCTTTTTCTTGGATATTGAGGGGGGTGATATTGATATGGAAACAATTGTTTTTGTTAGGGTGAGAGGATATTCAACAGTAATTGCAACCATGATTCAACAAGTGGATGATAAGAATGACAAAGCCGTTCTAACTTCAATTCAAATTCCGAAATCTATTGAATCTGATAAGGTTCTCCTTCCAATCATTCAAGCACTGGTAGAGGCATTACCAGAGCAATTAGAAAAACCATTCACAATTACTGAGGAGAGGAGAAATTACTTTATTGAAGGCAATGAGGACTTTAAAAACTTGATGCAACACACGGAAAATGCATTAATTAGTATTGAGGAAAATCACACAATTCCTTCTGATTTCAAAGGAAGTATTTACATGAATACTTGTATGGGAATGCCTCTCCTTCATTTTGCTGTGGGTAAGAACAACATGAAAGCAGTGGATTCGTTATTGCAACTTGGGGCAAGTCCATCACAAAGAGACACCAACTCAAATACTGCTCTATTTTATGTAACGAGTTTGGAAATGTTGAAAAAATTGGCAGAACACATAGATATTGAAACTGATCTGTTTAGACCAAACAATAATGAAGAATTGATTTCTCACAAATACAGTTCCCTTTACTCGGAAGATGGTGAGTTAGCTTACAGTCTAGTTCAAGAACTAGCATCATTGGCAGGAAAGACTTCAAGTCCATACGAATCAATTTTAAAGCTATTCTGGGGATTGGATAAGCAAAACACAACAGCACTTCAAATATTAGAAAAGCTTTACAAAAAGAAAGCAGAAAAGCAGAAATATACCCAGGATTTTAGAGCTCTCTACTTTAATGAAGCAGCTCAATGGAAAATCAGACTCGATCTATTCAAACCTGAAAATGTTAATATCGTTGAGGATAGATATGGTCTCACTCAATTAGAAATGGCTGTATTGGATGAAAACATCCCTCTGATTAGTAGTTATGCAAGTATTGGTAAACCTGAAGCTTGTAGGCCATTTATTTTGAACTACATCAAGAGTGTGCATGTTGCCAAGATGTTACACAGGTTTTATCCTTCCATATTTGAAAAGAGAGAAGCTGAAAATTCTTCTTCTCGTTCCGCCTTATCTACAATTATTCAAAATATGAGGGCTGGAAACATTCCTCTCGTTACATTTTTAGTGGAAACGCACAATTTCAAATTATCGACCACTGAAACCGTGCAATTAATCGAGTTAAGCCTCAATTCAAGAGATGTTGAATTACTAGAACTTGTGGAAAAAGTAATATCAAATTCAACAAACCTAATAGGTCAACTATTACTTAAAAACAATACAATACCTTCCAAAAAGTTGCATGCATTTGAATCCAACAAATTCGAGCAATCTCCATTGGAATACATTCTATCAGTCCATTCTGACATTCCTCACGCAGTAATGTTACAACAAGTAATTTGGAGTAGAGTTAAAGAATTGTGCTCCGAAGGTGATGAATTCAGAACATCCCTTAAGAATCAATGTGGTTACATAGTTCAACAATGTCTTGTAATGAGAAAAATTGAAATGTTCAAAGAAATAGTAACATTCCTGAAAGAAATTGGTTTGAATCATGATGATTTGAAATACAAATTCGAATCGAACTTTACAAGCTTGAAGCAAAGTGATATGATTTATAATGCCTTAACAACACTTGTTTATTGCACAAGTAATCTTGCAAGTATTCTCACAGAGGATTTCTTTACTACAGTTGCTCAGGTTTCCTCTGATGACGGTTCTGATGCCCCAATACTTCATATCCTCATGTGTTTATTTCTTAAGAAGGCAGAGTTCAAGGTTGTTTCCAAGTTATTGCATCCTCAATTTAAAGTTGAAACCCTTGATGGAACGATTACTGTTGTCGATGATGACATGAGATCATGGATTAAGAACTGGGTTGTTGGATGTAGTGATTCACAATTTCTAAAAAGATACCTTTTAAAACCTTACGAACATGCTGATGTCAAGAAAAGTACAAAAAAGCAAATTGAAAGAAATACCAGTTTTAAGTTGGAGATGCCAAATATTAGAAGATACATTTTGCTCTTCTACATTGACAACAATTATGTTAAGGAAAGGATTGAAGATGAGAATTTTGAAACACCTAATGCATTTGAGATTTTGGAAGAAGCGGCAAAATGCATTAAGGAGTGTATAAGGAGCGAAGAGCTGGTGCAGAAGGAATTTTTGAGAGCGGTAACTGCAAACTTGGGATATTTGCAAGATAGAGTGGGTAATGATAAAGATTTTTGGATGAGAGAACAAGTTTTAATTGAAGCAGAGATTTTGAAAGCATGTTTGGGGCTTTCAACTCCTGATTTTTCCAAATTCCAAGACCATTCATCCATTTTGGAAAAATTTGCCAAGTACTACAGATTGCACAAGAAAAACCTTTCAATCGAACAGTATATGAAAGAGTTTCTTACTGCAGAATTCAAGAATGTGCTTCTTTTTTGCTTGTCGAACTCTTGCCTTCATTTACTTACCCCTACACTCTTGAACGACATTATTACACCAGCAAAACAGTTGAAGATTTCAAAGTTTTTATACAGCTTTGGAACTTTCAATGAAAAGAATAGAAAAGACATGGATAACCTCCAGGAATGGATAGGGTCTTCTGAAAAGCAGCCTCAATTACTCTCACTGCTAAAAAATGCTATTAGTGTGGGCAATGTCAAATGCACTAAAAGGCTGATTTCCTCTTTTATGAATAAGAATTTACAATTAAGCATTGAAGATTTAACTTCTATCACGGAATCCATTTTATCAGTTTTTAGAGGTGGTTGCGACAAATTATTATCATCCCTCATATGTGAATTCATTTCAATGGATCAAATATTGGCCATCAAGAGTGACTCCAATGAAACACCGCTCCATTCTATATGTTATGGTGGGTGTGTTGAGTCCTTCCAATTAGTCCATAGCTCTTTAGAAATATCAGTATTTTCGAAAATGTTTTTAGACACATCATACAAGGCTGGAATGTCCAATGAAATTAATGAGTCGGAAGATGAGGAGCTACCTATTGTCTACCCAACTCATTATTTAGCTTACCTCTCTGGAAAAGTTGCAATTAGAAAGCAATGTCTTTCAGTCCTCAGAGATCTTTCATCGAAAGGAATGGTAACAAATCTTGAGCTTTTTGGAGATTGGTCAACTAAAGTTGGTGCTCTCAACATGATCTTAAAGCATAATGAGGAACATCCAGATGCTCCACTATTGAATGTCGAAATCGAACCATATTCATACCATCTTCTCATTAGGAGTTATTGGATGAAGTATTACATAGATAACTCTGAGAGCTTTAGATTCGATGACAAATTCATCAAATTATTTATTTATCATTTTGTAGCCCAAAAGAGTATTCCTTCTCCACACTCTGAAATTACCGACAATATGTTGTTTTATTGTTTCTCTGGTAAAAGTGCAACTCCAAGAAGCTATTGGACTAGTTTCTTTGAGGCTGTTATCTACACTTCTGCCTACGAGAATTTGACAATTTTCTTCTTTACATCAACTCAACAGGGAAGAATTCAACTCGATGAGGATTCTCTTCTTCGACTTTTTAATCTCTATCACAAAACTATCAAGTTAAGTGGAAGTAATTTGATAGAAAAAGGATTATTTGAAATTTTAACATGTGGAGATGAAATAGCGAGCAATATAATTACAATGAGTATTCTTCTCAATAGAACCAAATTAAGCAAGTTTATTTTAACAGTCATTGAAGATACACCCGGCTTAAAGGCAAAGATTTTAGAAGAGAGAAAACAATTATTCGAACAAATGTCTTCCATAATGCATCCAACATTGGAAAATAAGGCTGCCGATCTATTTCTTTGTTTCTTTGATATTAGTGCTTCTCTGTACGGTACAGAGATGCAACATCTTTCATTTGAATTTGAAACACCAAGAATTTCCAAAAACATCTCTGATGACATGATAATTGCAACCTCTATTGGTAAGAGTATTAGGAATTGGAAAATGGAAAGAGCTGTTGATCAATTCATCGAGCACATCAAGGAAGAAACCGGTGTTATGTTTACAGTAACCTTCTTTCCATCTCTTGAGGATCTAAGCACACCGATGGCTCAAATAATGACAGGAACTACTTGTATTTCCTGCATAGTAGAAATTGTGAAGCCATTATTAGAAAAGAAACTTCCTCTGAACGCTTTGTCCATTGTAATGAACGCAAAACAACAAGATTTCCATTCAAACATTAATGAGAATACTTTAGAAATCAAATTGAGTTTATCAAAGGAAGATGAAAATACATTAATTGTAGCTCCTATCACTGAATCAAAATAAAAACTCAATTCTTTATGATATGTAAGGAAATACATATTCACCTAAATCAAAGCTATTGATTCTAATAATGATAAATCTACAACTGTTAAATGTTCCTTCAATACGAGTCAACATCCACATCATTAGAAAAACAGGTTAAATAAATTAAATTAACAACTTCCAAAAAATCATGATATCAATCCCTCCTCATATCATGAAGAGAGAAATCATATTTATATGAAGAATAACCTCAACAAATCAGATTTATTTCCACAAATATTACTATTATAATGATGATAAATAACAATGATGATGGTTGGTAGTTGTTCCGATGATGATGTACCAACTTGAATTTTTCCAAATAATAAAATAATTTCCAAATCATGATGAAGAATTAAATTCCAAAAATTACTATTAATACTATTATTTAAATGATGATGAGATGATGTGGTGAAATTCTTGGAGTTAATAGATGTGAAATCACTCCAAGAATCAGCAGAGTGATGTACCTGATGTTGATCCAATATTTTTGAAACTTGTTGATGATAATCCACCAATAAATTGCTATTATTACTACTTATGATGATGTTGAGATGATGTCGTGAAAGTTTGGTGGTTTCATGATGTAAAACCACTCCGAGAATGTCCACAGACTATTTGTTGAATATTTTTGATAAATTAAAATTACAAAAAATTTTCATCATCAGCCAAGCAAACGAGAGGTTTCATCATTTGTTTATTACCAAAGGCTGTTCTTCATCATTGTGGAAAATATTTTCAGGATAAGACGATAGGATAATATGGAATGTGTGGAAATAGTATTGTTGGATTTTAACAAATGAATTACACTTTTTAAAAGGCGATTATTGAATTGACGGAAAAATTTGTTGAATTGGAGAAGTAGCACCATCTTATAGTATCACCATTATACTACAATCAAGTGGTGCGACTCTTTACTTTAAGAATATTTTCATCATCAATTTTATTAATTTTAATATTTTCATCATCCAGAGCAACAAAAACATCATAGGCATGCTCTAAATTGTTCATTAGTATCACCCTGGAAAGTTTCAAAACTTTCCATCAAATGGATGAAGTTGGAGAAGATGAAAGTAAATAATTTTCACATAACATTTGCACCTTTTGGAAACTTGGTCAATTTCGAGGAAGACAAAGATTTACTATTGTACCACATCAGCAAGGATGTTTTGGCAATGTTTTTCGAACAGTTTCTAAAGATTGCCAAATTGAATTTTCACATGCTTCCTAACATTAATCATTCATCATCTACTTGATCGTTCTTCATCAAGACATGAATAAATACGTCTCTATAATGTAATCTAACACTACTGTTCATCTTGTTCTTTTAGTTCAAAAGTTGGCCAAGATATTCAGCAACCTTCCACCATCAACATTCTACCATGAAATTTCCTTCAAGAGATTCTCTCATTTATTTTTTATTAACTCCATATCCCTATGAATGGTTTTTGAAATAATTGATTGGATTAACACTTTATCAATTCAAGTTCGTGTTAATTTCCAATTTACAAAAAAAATTAAAAAAAATGAAAACACTTGCCAACAAGGTTCTCTCATCATCAATTATTACTGCTTCTCGAGGATCCTCATCATCTCTCAAGAATGGTTCTATTCTTGTTGGTGGTAGTTGTGGATTGATGATGATTAATTTTAATTCCGTACCACTGATCAATGTCGGAAAGCATCATCAATTAAACTTTTCAATGGAAATTGCAAATAGAAGAAATTATCATACAACAAGTAGTAAAATGTTCTTTGATTTGAAAAAGGCTAAACAACAAGCAGCAGAGAAAGCAGTTTATTCCGAACAAGAACAGAATGAATTGATCAAAAATTATCAAGTGCTTGAGGACAAATTTAAGAAATTAACTGAAAATATTATTGAATATCGTAGAAATCATCCTACTCCTGTTCAATTGGAAACTAATCACTTATTTGTTGAAGTTTGTGATATCATTAATTTTTGTTACAAAACCTTTCCAAAAACTAATGATCCAGTTAACATGCAAGTTAGATTCTTCAAATCAAATGTTGGTATGAAGTCATATGTCTTGATGAAGAAGGTTGAATTGTTAATGTTAAAGATTGTAAATCAGGAATGGTTCCCAGTTGAAACAATCAGAACTCAATTCAATGAGGAAAATATCATGCGATCCCTTTCTGCTGTTTATCCTGCTGATACACCTGTTGACGATACACTCTTCTTGTTTGCTGCTTATGATGCATCACTTTCTTATGCAGCTTACATTCCAAACATTAGAGATATGGTGAGACCAACCACAAAAGAAAACGTAATTGCTGCAGCTTTATTCTTGTTTAATAGATTGAAGGATTTCCCAATTATGGCTGGTGAAATGAGAAATTATGCAGATCATGTCTTTTCAGATTACGAAGCAGCCAAATTGGCCTACACTACTGCAAAGCCAATTGAAAATGAACCAGATTTCCATTATAATGCTGATAAGAATGCTTATTCTTACTTGGGAAAGACATTCACAGAGCACGAGTTTGATTGGTTCGAAGATATTGAAACAAATATTCCAATTCATCTTGGAAACTTTATCAAAGCTTTGAAGGTTGCTGCTCATTTTGATGGTGATAGAAAGCAAAGTATTGATATTTTAGATGAATGTATCAAAACTGATCCAAAGAATATTTATATTCACTATTTGAAGGCATCTTGTTTGGACATTCTCACTAGTTCAGAGACAGACCTCAATGTTGTTCACAATAATTACTCAGATGCTATTCATCATTTGGAGAAGGCATTGGCCTACCTTGCAAATACTCCAAAGTTACCTCTCCCTACTCTTGCAAAGACCAATTTTTCACATGAAACTGAAGTACCAGAAAAACAGGTTGAAAGAATTAATGATCTCAAATTCACACCAATTAGTTTGATATCGGCCAGTATGTATGCAAGAGCTGCTGAATCTGGAGTTTCAATAGATTTGAGACATATTTACGGTGCAAAGGGGGCCGATTTTGTCAGACAAGCTGAATTATATTCGAGGTCACCTAATGGACCTTATTTTTATATGATTAAGGGAGGTTGCTATTATGCTTGTGACATGTATGAATTAGCAGTCAATGCCTATTCTTCTGTTGAAAGATTTGAATCAGTTGTGGATCCAAGTTTTGTTATTGATTCTCTTTGTTATGCTGCTAATGGAATGATTGCTCTTGGGTATTCTGATAAGTGTTTAGAAGCAATGGACTTTTATATGGAAAAATATGATAATGATGCCAGATTAGTTTTCCAAAAGATTCTCTGCAAAGATTACTTGTGTAGATCAAAGGATGAATTGAGACAGGTTTTGAAAGAATTCGAACAATTAAAGGAGAGCATTCAAGATTTGAAACTCACCAATCCATACATTTATTCAAGAGTTAACGTGCAAACCGATGCAAGAATTAACGAAATTTTGGCAGCTATCAACAATCCACAAGTTGCTGAACGTTGGTAATTAAACTAAAATGTAACCAATTGTTTCAGAATATTGGAAATCTTTCTTAATACTATTACTGAAATAAATTAAACAATGCAATATAGGTTTAATTAGCAAATCTTGGTTTAATCCAAAGCCATATCTATACATTAATCCAATTTTTTCCATTGATTGAGCATCTCCTAATGCATCTCCTTTCCAAAACCAATTCAATGCATTGGAATAATCGTCATCCAAGTAATAAACATTTCCACATCTATAAATTGCATCCATAGATCCATTATCAGCAGCTTTTTTATACCAATATAATGACATCTCTTGATTTTCTTCAACTCTTCCTGTTTCATATAACCAACCAAGAAGTATTTGATAATCCGAATCTTCACCTTCGGCAGCTTTTTTAATCCAATAAAAAGCCTTTTCCAAATTCTCTTCCACTCCATTACCTTCAACATACATCCTTCCGATAATTGATTGAAATTTAACACAGCCTTTCTCAGCTCCTTTGAGTCTCCATTCAAATTCCTTCTGTGTATTATTTTCGTCTATCACCAATTTCCTCTATTAATTTAAATATTTGTTCGGGTTCTAAATTTGCATCATTTTCACTCTTTTCGAATAGAGTAATTAAATCCTCAAGATTCAAGTCGGTATGTTGATGCATTTTTTTATTTATGTTATTTTTATTTTTCTTGTTATTATTGGAAAAGATTGTAATCGCATTTCTCAAATTCTGAAACTGTGTTCAAAGAATCAACTCATATTATCGAATGAATTCATTTTAAAGAGTTTTATCATCAAGAGTTTTTTAAGAAAGTATTTTTATTGACCTTTAATCAAACCTTGGATGTTATTTTCATAAACTGCTTAGCATGTTGTTTAATTGTTGGCCAATTTCCTTGAAGTTTGGTCTATTGGATGGTACTTGATCCCAACATTGTTGCATCAATTCAATATATTCAGAACATACTCCAGAGTGATTCAATCCACCACCACTACTACTACTACTTTGGTATGGTTTTACAAATTCATCAATCCAACCTTCGAATTCTTGTGAATTATTCCAAGGTATATTTGGTCTCTCACATTTTAACACTTTTAATGGAATGGAAAATGCAAATTGTTGGGAATCTCTGGAACTGTCTAAAGAACTATTGGGGGAGAATTTTGTCATTTTGGTAGAATATGTTGGTGAATAAGGTTTTTCCTCAAAGAATAATTCATACATGATCATACTATAGCTGTAGACATCCAATGAGCTTCCAATTTCGTATCCACTTCCAATAATTTCTGGAGCCATGTAAAAAATTGTTCCAAGATTCATTGTCATTGTTGAGCTTCCAGAGTTGGAAGTCATTTTGGATAATCCAAAATCGCAAACTTTAGGTTTCATATCTGAATCTAATAGAATATTTCCAGGTTTTAAATCTCTAAATTCATGAATTGTGGTTCTTTACCATACAATAATTTTAGAACTTACCTGTGAATGAGAGATCTAGGTTTAAGGGAATGCAAATAATCCATTCCACTCGCAATTCCTTTCAGAATTTCTATCTTACTTTTCAAATCTAGAGTTCTTCTTCCACATTTTGATTGAGCAATAATAGCATCCAAACTACCATTCTCCAAATATTCAACAACCATGTATTTGTTAGTATTAGAAAGGGAAACTCCGTAAAATCTCACAATGGAGGGATGTCTCAAACTATTAAGAAGAGATGCTTCATGTTCAAATTCATCTTCTGAAATGTCAAAACTATCTGTCTTGATACTCTTCAGAGCTACAGTAATTCCATTCCAACTAGCCATGTAGACTGTACCCATGGATCCTTCACCAATTCTTTTGACAATTTCAATGTCCTCAATTGGAATGATAATGTTGTTCACATTTTTGGCGAGTAAATTGATAAGAAGTGGTGATTCATCTCCAAATATAAATTGCTTATCAATCAATTTGTGTGCAATTCTCTTCTCCTTCTTTTCTCTTTTATAGAGCTTGACCAAAGCTTGTGTAATTTTCACACATGACACCAAGCCAACTCCCATAAATATAAAGAGAATAAGAACACCAAACACTACTGCAAGTATTATAGCTGTATGACTCCTAAAGGTGCATACATTGGTTGAGCTATCGAATGCATAGTCGAAAGGACACCTTTCAACACGTATCCCAAATTCGAATGTAAAATCTCTATCAGAAAACGCAACACTTGCATTGAGGATATGTTCCATTCTATCATTGGGTGCCTGTACATAAACATTCAAAAATGTATTGCTATTTACATCAAAGGGATTTGTAACAATATTATATCCACCACTTGATAGCAAAGAAATGGAGGGAGCAATTTGAGAACTTTCCAATGTATTATTGAAAATGTCAATTAAGGAAGTAAACTCTATGGATATTGTCTTTCCAGGATAGACGGAAATGATGTGATATTCATTCGAATCAAATAATGATTCTCTATCTGTCATAATTCTCCATTTCACTCCAATTAATTCTCTACTTCCAAGCCCGTTCGATTTATATCTTAAAGGAATTGCATTACGAAATTCAGGTGGAATCTCTTTAAAGAAAATATCACTTCCTGAATAGCTTGCTCTATTGTTACTCATCAATAAAGAAGCTGAAAAAATACATCTATTAAAGCAAATGCCACCTTTCACTGCTTGATTTCCATTTATGACTGATTGACTAACAAATTGGCCATACCCATCAACAGAATAAACAGCCCCTCCATTTCCACATTCTTCTGGATTGTTACAGTCAAATAAACCTAAAATTGCTTGATTGGAATCTAAGGTGGAGTAAGAGTCAATAAATGTTGTGCTTTTCACATAGATTGCACCTCCATTGGCTGCCTTATTCGAAATGTATCGATTATTGGTGGAAATAATTGTGGTAAACTCTGAATAAATAGCTCCACCATATTGTGCTGTATTCTCTACGAAGAGACATGAATCTACTTTCAATATATTAGATCCAGTTGTAACTTTTGGTCGATTCACCACTCGTAAAGGTTTCAAGTTTCGAATAAAATTGCACCCAATCAGTTCAATGGATGTAACATATTCCATTGAGAGTGCATTCGAATTATATGAAAAATTACCACGAAATATCCTAACCTTTGATATTCCAACAATTGATAATGAACTATTCGTTGTAAATATAGAATTATCAAGTATTAAACTATTCATTCCAACAACATTCAATGAAGTATTCACAAATTTTGAATAACTCAATTCTGCACTCAATCCAATTCTTATGTCCATACCAGAATTTTCAATATTGGACGAAATTATTAAAATTTGTCCTGCTTCGCTCGTGATTCCACTCGAAACTATATTCGAATTTGAAAAATTCAATCCATTAGCAGATACAAACATGACACAATTATCCAAGGTTGATCGGAGAAAATAATTTCCTCCAAAACTATTAAATGCTGATTGTGAAATTGTTGAATTTTCAAATTGCACCTCATCATAGGAATTAATTGTTAGTTTTACAATGTACGAATCTTTAAAATTGGCTTTGAGTGTGTAAAATGATGAATTTTCAATAGTAGTCGATTGAAAGTAAAGATAATTCGAGTTGGATTTAACGAAAGTTTCCTAATTTTCACATTTTC